TCCATGGGAAAGGCAATGAACCGGCATGTCAAAAGTGGCACATATCCCTATATCCTGCCCCAAAGCTCCAACCCCCGAAAACTTCACCCAGAATCAGGTTCTATGGACTCCCCGTGGCCTGAAACGTGCTCCTAACACAATTCTGGAAGGTGAAAAATTGGGTCCGCACTTAGGAAAATCTTCAGATTTTGGGAAAATCTTCACATTTTCCTAACCCTAACCCTAACCCTAGCTCCAACCCTAACCCTAACCCTAGCTCCAACCCTAACCCTAACCCTAGCTCCACAACTAACCCTAACCAGAGCTCCAGCCCTAACCCTAACCCCTTGCCCAAAGTCTCACCCTAACCCTAACCGTCGGACATGTGCAGCACCACCTCTGGTCAAAAGCGGTATGACACCCCTTTTTGCAAAGTCGCCCTCAAATGACAGGAAATGGCCTGAAACGTGCTCACAATGCATTTTCAACAGTTCCACACAAGTACAACACTTGCAAACACTGACTTTGGCCATTTTCCGCTCCCATTCATTTTCAATGGGAAATTTTCACTTCGCCATAACTTTTGATAGGAATGTCCGATCGCTGGTTCATTACTATTTCTAGATTCAGCATACCCGAAAATGGGGGGTAGACCAAATCTCAGCCCGGTTCATCCATGGGAAAGGCAATGAACCGGCATGTCAAAAGTGGCACATATCCCTATATCCTGCCCCAAAGCTCCAACCCCCGAAAACTTCACCCAGAATCAGGTTCTATGGACTCCCCGTGGCCTGAAACGTGCTCCTAACACAATTCTGGAAGGTGAAAAATTGGGTCCGCACTTAGGAAAATCTTCAGATTTTGGGAAAATCTTCACATTTTCCTAACCCTAACCCTAACCCTAGCTCCAACCCTAACCCTAACCCTAGCTCCAACCCTAACCCTAACCCTAGCTCCACAACTAACCCTAACCAGAGCTCCAGCCCTAACCCTAACCCCTTGCCCAAAGTCTCACCCTAACCCTAACCGTCGGACATGTGCAGCACCACCTCTGGTCAAAAGCGGTATGACACCCCTTTTTGCAAAGTCGCCCTCAAATGACAGGAAATGGCCTGAAACGTGCTCACAATGCATTTTCAACAGTTCCACACAAGTACAACACTTGCAAACACTGACTTTGGCCATTTTCCGCTCCCATTCATTTTCAATGGGAAATTTTCACTTCGCCATAACTTTTGATAGGAATGTCCGATCGCTGGTTCATTACTATTTCTAGATTCAGCATACCCGAAAATGGGGGGTAGACCAAATCTCAGCCCGGTTCATCCATGGGAAAGGCAATGAACCGGCATGTCAAAAGTGGCACATATCCCTATATCCTGCCCCAAAGCTCCAACCCCCGAAAACTTCACCCAGAATCAGGTTCTATGGACTCCCCGTGGCCTGAAACGTGCTCCTAACACAATTCTGGAAGGTGAAAAATTGGGTCCGCACTTAGGAAAATCTTCAGATTTTGGGAAAATCTTCACATTTTCCTAACCCTAACCCTAACCCTAGCTCCAACCCTAACCCTAACCCTAGCTCCAACCCTAACCCTAACCCTAGCTCCACAACTAACCCTAACCAGAGCTCCAGCCCTAACCCTAACCCCTTGCCCAAAGTCTCACCCTAACCCTAACCGTCGGACATGTGCAGCACCACCTCTGGTCAAAAGCGGTATGACACCCCTTTTTGCAAAGTCGCCCTCAAATGACAGGAAATGGCCTGAAACGTGCTCACAATGCATTTTCAACAGTTCCACACAAGTACAACACTTGCAAACACTGACTTTGGCCATTTTCCGCTCCCATTCATTTTCAATGGGAAATTTTCACTTCGCCATAACTTTTGATAGGAATGTCCGATCGCTGGTTCATTACTATTTCTAGATTCAGCATACCCGAAAATGGGGGGTAGACCAAATCTCAGCCCGGTTCATCCATGGGAAAGGCAATGAACCGGCATGTCAAAAGTGGCACATATCCCTATATCCTGCCCCAAAGCTCCACCCCCGAAAACTTCACCCAGAATCAGGTTCTATGGACTCCCCGTGGCCTGAAACGTGCTCCTAACACAATTCTGGAAGGTGAAAAATTGGGTCCGCACTTAGGAAAATCTTCAGATTTTGGGAAAATCTTCACATTTTCCTAACCCTAACCCTAACCCTAGCTCCAACCCTAACCCTAACCCTAGCTCCAACCCTAACCCTAACCCTAGCTCCACAACTAACCCTAACCAGAGCTCCAGCCCTAACCCTAACCCCTTGCCCAAAGTCTCACCCTAACCCTAACCGTCGGACATGTGCGGCACCACCTCTGGTCAAAAGCGGTATGACACCCCTTTTTGCAAAGTCGCCCTCAAATGACAGGAAATGGCCTGAAACCTGCTCACAATGCATTTTCAACAGTTCCACACAAGTACAACACTTGCAAACACCCCGATTTGGCCATTTTCCGCTCCCATTCATTTTCAATGGGAAATTTTCACTTCGCCATAACTTTTGATAGGAATGTCCGATCGCTGGTTCATTACTATTTCTAGATTCAGCATACCCGAAAATGGGGGGGTAGACCAAATCTCAGCCCGGTTCATCCATGGGAAAGGCAATGAACCGGCATGTCAAAAGTGGCACATATCCCTATATCCTGCCCCAAAGCTCCAACCCCCAAAACTTCACCCAGAATCAGGTTCTATGGACTCCCCGTGGCCTGAAACGTGCTCCTAACACAATTCTGGAAGGTGAAAAATTGGGTCCGCACTTAGGAAAATCTTCAGATTTTGGGAAAATCTTCACATTTTCCTAACCCTAACCCTAACCCTAGCTCCAACCCTAACCCTAACCCTAGCTCCAACCCTAACCCTAACCCTAGCTCCACAACTAACCCTAACCAGAGCTCCAGCCCTAACCCTAACCCCTTGCCCAAAGTCTCACCCTAACCCTAACCGTCGGACATGTGCAGCACCACCTCTGGTCAAAAGCGGTATGACACCCCTTTTTGCAAAGTCGCCCTCAAATGACAGGAAATGGCCTGAAACGTGCTCACAATGCATTTTCAACAGTTCCACACAAGTACAACACTTGCAAACACTGACTTTGGCCATTTTCCGCTCCCATTCATTTTCAATGGGAAATTTTCACTTCGCCATAACTTTTGATAGGAATGTCCGATCGCTGGTTCATTACTATTTCTAGATTCAGCATACCCGAAAATGGGGGGTAGACCAAATCTCAGCCCGGTTCATCCATGGGAAAGGCAATGAACCGGCATGTCAAAAGTGGCACATATCCCTATATCCTGCCCCAAAGCTCCAACCCCCGAAAACTTCACCCAGAATCAGGTTCTATGGACTCCCCGTGGCCTGAAACGTGCTCCTAACACAATTCTGGAAGGTGAAAAATTGGGTCCGCACTTAGGAAAATCTTCAGATTTTGGGAAAATCTTCACATTTTCCTAACCCTAACCCTAACCCTAGCTCCAACCCTAACCCTAACCCTAGCTCCAACCCTAACCCTAACCCTAGCTCCACAACTAACCCTAACCAAGCTCCAGCCCTAACCCTAACCCCTTGCCCAAAGTCTCACCCTAACCCTAACCGTCGGACATGTGCAGCACCACCTCTGGTCAAAAGCGGTATGACACCCCTTTTGCAAAGTCGCCCTCAAATGACAGGAAATGGCCTGAAACGTGCTCACAATGCATTTTCAACAGTTCCACACAAGTACAACACTTGCAAACACTGACTTTGGCCATTTTCCGCTCCCATTCATTTTCAATGGGAAATTTTCACTTCGCCATAACTTTTGATAGGAATGTCCGATCGCTGGTTCATTACTATTTCTAGATTCAGCATACCCGAAAATGGGGGGTAGACCAAATCTCAGCCCGGTTCATCCATGGGAAAGGCAATGAACCGGCATGTCAAAAGTGGCACATATCCCTATATCCTGCCCCAAAGCTCCAACCCCCGAAAACTTCACCCAGAATCAGGTTCTATGGACTCCCCGTGGCCTGAAACGTGCTCCTAACACAATTCTGGAAGGTGAAAAATTGGGTCCGCACTTAGGAAAATCTTCAGATTTTGGGAAAATCTTCACATTTTCCTAACCCTAACCCTAACCCTAGCTCCAACCCTAACCCTAACCCTAGCTCCAACCCTAACCCTAACCCTAGCTCCACAACTAACCCTAACCAAGCTCCAGCCCTAACCCTAACCCCTTGCCCAAAGTCTCACCCTAACCCTAACCGTCGGACATGTGCAGCACCACCTCTGGTCAAAAGCGGTATGACACCCCTTTTTGCAAAGTCGCCCTCAAATGACAGGAAATGGCCTGAAACGTGCTCACAATGCATTTTCAACAGTTCCACACAAGTACAACACTTGCAAACACTGACTTTGGCCATTTTCCGCTCCCATTCATTTTCAATGGGAAATTTTCACTTCGCCATAACTTTTGATAGGAATGTCCGATCGCTGGTTCATTACTATTTCTAGATTCAGCATACCCGAAAATGGGGGGGTAGACCAAATCTCAGCCCGGTTCATCCATGGGAAAGGCAATGAACCGGCATGTCAAAAGTGGCACATATCCCTATATCCTGCCCCAAAGCTCCAACCCCCGAAAACTTCACCCAGAATCAGGTTCTATGGACTCCCCGTGGCCTGAAACGTGCTCCTAACACAATTCTGGAAGGTGAAAAATTGGGTCCGCACTTAGGAAAATCTTCAGATTTTGGGAAAATCTTCACATTTTCCTAACCCTAACCCTAACCCTAGCTCCAACCCTAACCCTAACCCTAGCTCCAACCCTAACCCTAACCCTAGCTCCACAACTAACCCTAACCATAGCTCCAGCCCTAACCCTAACCCCTTGCCCAAAGTCTCACCCTAACCCTAACCGTCGGACATGTGCAGCACCACCTCTGGTCAAAAGCGGTATGACACCCCTTTTTGCAAAGTCGCCCTCAAATGACAGGAAATGGCCTGAAACCTGCTCACAATGCATTTTCAACAGTTCCACACAAGTACAACACTTGCAAACACCCCGATTTGGCCATTTTCCGCTCCCATTCATTTTCAATGGGAAATTTTCACTTCGCCATAACTTTTGATAGGAATGTCCGATCGCTGGTTCATTACTATTTCTAGATTCAGCATACCCGAAAATGGGGGGGTAGACCAAATCTCAGCCCGGTTCATCCATGGGAAAGGCAATGAACCGGCATGTCAAAAGTGGCACATATCCCTATATCCTAACCCTAACCCTAACCCCTAACCCTAACCCTAACCCTAAACCCTAAACCCTAACCCTAACCCTAACCCCTAACCCTAACCCTAACCCTAACCCTAACCCTAACCCCTAACCCTAACCCTAACCCTAACCCTAACCCCTAACCCCTAACCCTAACCCTAACCCTAACCCTAACCCCTAACCCTAACCCTAACCCTAACCCTAACCCTAACCCCTACCCCTAACCCTAACCCTAACCCTAACCCTAACCCTAAACCCTAACCCTAACCCTAACCCTAACCCTAACCCTAACCCTAACCCCTAACCCTAACCCTAACCCTAACCCTAACCCTAACCCTAACCCTAACCCTAACCCCTAACCCTAACCCTAACCCTAACCCTAACCCTAACCCTATCCCTAACCCTAACCCTAACCCTCGGGATCAAACCTAACCCTAACCCTGGCCCTAACCCTAACCCCTAGATCTAGCCCTAAACCTAACCCTAGCCCTAACCCTAACCCTAACCTCTCTAACCCTAGCCCTGACCCCTAACCCTAACTTTTAAAAAAACTAATAATTTATTGATATTAATTATTTTTTATTCATTATTAATTGTTAAACTTCATAATACGTTAAAAATAGTAATCATTTGACATTTAAACCATAAATATTAAAAATGCATATCATATCTAACATTTAAAAAGGATTACGGCCTAAAAACACTACAACTATCTTTAAAATTCAACTTCATTAAAATACTAATTGGCAAATATGGATTTAAAAGACTAAAGTTTCAAAGGGGCATTAAATTACAATTCATTTCAATTAATCTGTTAAAAAGAAGGGGGAAACATTCTAAATTGGGCCTTAAAATTACAATTAATCAGCTAAAAACAGGGTAGAAATTTCTAAATTGGGCATTACAATTACAATCCATTAAATTTAATCACTTCAAAAGAGGGTAAAAAGTTCTACTTTGGCATTAACATTCAGGTCATTTAATTTTAGTTGGCATTTATGGGGTTAACTGCACCCAGACGGCCGGGGGCCCCCGTCTGGCTCTGCCCTCTCCCACGCCCCTATAAATAAGACACGCACAAACAGCTCAGCCTCTCATTCCTCAAATGTCTCCTGAAGAGCAAACACCTCACAAACAGACTCAGACAAGTCCGGACATATTCCCTTTTGTGCCCATAGCCTGAAGAAGACCCAAGCGGGTCGAAACGTCGCGACTGGGCACTTTTTTCACCTCTTATTTCTCTATTCTTCATTTTGATAGACATTTTATTTAGTTTTTTCACTTTTATTTCATTTTATTTCATTTTTATTTCACAAAAAACAAAAAAGCAGAAAAAAATAAGAACAATTCATTTATTTTGTTATACTGTTTTAGTTTTAAATACCTTCATTTCAATAAATAAATAAATTAGATAGATAGATACACCAATAAATAAATAGTTTAGTAATTACACCACATTAATAAATAGTAATAAATAATTAAAAAGATTAAAAAACAATCATGACTTACGAGCATGAACAATGGACTGAAGTGCGGTACGGGAGGCGTGGTCGACGCCCGTACCGCACTAATAATCAGCAGTACCAAACGGGGTCGTGGGGGACGGGGAACAGGGGGATGGACCGTGCACCTCCTGTCTCCTATCCTAGGAGACAGTCCCCCTTTTCCCGTAATCCTAACCCTAACCCTAACCCCTAACCCTAACCCTAACCCTAACCCTAACCCTAACCCTAACCCTAACCCTAACCCTAACCCTAACCCTAAGGAAAATCTTCAGATTTTGGGAAAATCTTCACATTTTCCTAACCCTAACCCTAACCCTAGCTCCAACCCTAACCCTAACCCTAGCTCCAACCCTAACCCTAACCCTAGCTCCAACCCTAACCCTAACCCTAGCTCCAACCCTAACCCTAACCCCTTGCCCAAAGTCTCACCCTAACCCTAACCGTCGGACATGTGCAGCGCCACCTCTGGTCAAAAGCGGTATGACACCCCTTTTTGCAAAGTCGCCCTCAAATGACAGGAAATGGCCTGAAACCTGCTCACAATGCATTTTCAACAGTTCCAGACAAGTACAACACTTGCAAACACTGACTTTGGCCATTTTCCGCTCCCATTCATTTTCAATGGGAAATTTTCACTTCGCCATAACTTTTGATAGGAATGTCCGATCGCTGGTTCATTACTATTTCTAGATTCAGCATACCCGAAAATGGGGGGGTAGACCAAATCTCAGCCCGGTTCATCCATGGGAAAGGCAATGAACCGGCATGTCAAAAGTGGCACATATCCCTATATCCTAACCCTAACCCTAACCCTAACCCTAACCCTAACCCTAACCCTAACCCTTAACCCTAACCCCTAACCCTAACCCTAACCCTAACCCTAACCCTAACCCTAACCCCTAACCCTAACCCTAACCCTAACCCTAACCCTAACCCTAACCCTAAACCCTAACCCTAACCCTAACCCTAACCCTAACCCTAACCCTAACCCTAACCCTAACCCCCTAACCCTAACCCTAACCCTAACCCTAACCCTAACCCTAACCCTAACCCTAACCCATAATCCTAACCCTAACCCTAACCCTAATCTAACCCTAACCCTAACCCTAACCCTAACCTCTATACCCTAAATCTAACCCTAACCCCTAACCCTAACCCTAACCCTAACCTCTATACCCTAAATCTAACCCTAACCCTAACCTCTATACCCTAACCCTAACCCTAACCCCTAACCCTAACCCTAACCCTAACCCTAATCTAACCCTAACCCTAACCCTAACCCTAACCCTAACCTCTATACCCTAAATCTAACCCTAACCCCTAACCCTAACCCTAACCCTAACCCCTAAACCCTAAATCTAACCCTAACCCCTAACCCTAACCTTACTAACCTCTATCTTTACTTAATTACCCCTCCCTCTTTTTTCGTATCAGAGGTTGAAAAGCAACAGGTGAGGAGAGTTTCTCTGGCTAGTCACTGTGGCAAGTTCTATTCTCTCTCTATCACTCGAATCCCTGTAGAAACAGAATGGTTTTAATCCAGACCACCTGTTTCCCTCTCCCCATCCTCTGAGACTTTGTACTAACACACCCTAACCCTACTCCCTTAGATAAATTTCACCCTTTTCCCTCCCTACTAATATCACCTAGTCCTTCTCAATAAACAAAATTATTACTATTATTATTATTATTATTATTATGGTTATTACTATTATTATTATTATTATTATTATTATTATTGTTTTAACCGGTAACCATACCAACTCTAATTCCTAACTGAACCTCAAGAAATAATTGCTCTACAAACACATAGTCTAAAAGATAGACAGCATAGCATACCAACTGAGCTGAGTAATTAAACTTCCTACCCACACATAGTTTTTTACACACAGATTGAGCTCGGAGACTCGACTGGGAACATGTGACAGGTCGACATGCGACGGCCAGTGCAAGCCCTTGATTAGCCTACCCCAAACCGCCAAGTCAACAGACGAAAGCGGGGGCTATCACTGTATCTCTTACCCACACCTAACCCTAACCCTAACCCCTAACCCTAACCCTAACCCCTAACCCTAACCCTAACGCATTCTCTGATGATGCCAATCCCGATGAAGAAGCAGAGGGTGTGTCTGAGGAGGAGGATTATGAGGCAAGTAACCGACCGAACGGGGAAGAGGAAGGAAAAGAAGATGAAATGATAATATCAGAAGACAGAGAGGAGCAAACGGAAAGAGAGGTAGAAGAGGACGGAGAGCATAAAGAAGAAGAAGAAGAAGAAGAAGAAGGAGAAGAATGGGTAACAGAAGACAGAGAGGAGCAAATGGAAAGAGAGGTAGAAGAGGACGGAGAGCATAAAGAAGAAGAAGAAGAAGAAGGAGAAGAATGGGTAACAGAAGACAGAGAGGAGCAAATGGAAAGAGAGGTAGAAGACGAAGGCGTGCATAAAGAAGGAGAAGAAAATGAGGAAGAAGATGAAGGAGAAGAATGGGTAACAGAAGAAAGAGAGGAGCAAATGGAAAGAGAGGGGGGAGAAGAAGAAGAAGAAGAAGAAGAAGAAGAAGAAGAAGGAGAAAGGGTAATAGCAGGCGAGCGAGAGGAGCAGGCTGAAGAAGATACAGATTTGTTTTTTCTCTCAAAACACGACAAAATCATATGGTCCTCCGTAGCGTACGATAAACAAGAGCGGGGTAGAAAAGACAGGAGCGGTGAGGCTACGCCATCGCCGTTACCGCCGTCGACCGGCCCACCCGGACCGACTGAATATTCTCTCGTCCACGCCCGCGACATCGCCTCCGCTTTTTTCATGTTCGTCACCCCGTCGATAGAACGCATCATCTTGGAGATGACTAATTTGGAGGGAAGACGGAAAATCGGAGACGGCTGGAAACGCATGGATGCCGTCGACCTTCGCGCCTACATGGGGCTGCTGCTTTTAGCCGGCGTCTACAGGTCCCGAGGCGAGGCGACTGCCAGTCTGTGGGACGCTGAGAGCGGACGGTCCATCTTCCGCGCCACGATGCCGCTGAAAGTGTTTCACGCCTACTCTAGACTGCTGAGATTCGACGACCACGAGTCGAGACCCGCCAGACGCGCGACCGACAAACTGGCGGCCGTAAGAGAGGTCTGGGACGCGTGGTCCGAGCGGCTGCCGTCCCTCTACAACCCCGGGCCGGAGATAACGGTGGACGAACAGCTGGTTCCGTTTAGAGGGCGTTGTCCCTTTCGGCAGTATATTCCCAGCAAGCCAGCGAAATACGGGATCAAGACGTGGGTGGCGTGCGACTCTAAATCCAGTTACGCTTGGAAGATGCAAGTGTACACGGGGAAGGCCGCGGGTCGCGGGTCGCGGCCCGGAAAAGAACCTGGGCATGCGAGTCGTGCTCGATGTCACCGAGGGACTGAGGGATCGCAACGTCACCTGCGACAATTTCTTCACCTCTTACGAACTCGGGCAGCAGCTGCTGAAAAGGAACATGACCATGGTGGGCACCGTTCGAAAAAACAAGCCGGAGCTCCCCCCGGCCCTTCTCTCGCCGAAGGGAAGAGCGGTGTTCTCATCGAAATTCGCCTTCACGTCGACCACCGCCGCGGTCTCTTACGTGCCCAAGAAAAACAAAAACGTGCTGCTGGTTAGCACGAAGCACACGGAGGCCGAAGTCAGCGACCGCCGCGACAGAAAGCCGGTCATCATACTGGACTACAACCGCTGCAAAGGAGGTGTCGATAACCTCGACAAGGTGATCGGAACCTACAGCTGCAGAAGGATGACGGCTCGCTGGCCCCTGGTCGTGTTCCACAACATCCTCGACGTTTCCTCCTACAATGCCTTTGTGATATGGAGAGAACTAAACCCCGAATGGATGCCTCAGAAGCTGAACAAGAGAAGGGTGTTCCTAGAGCGGCTGGGAAAGGCGCTGGTGACTCCGTTGATAGAAAGAAGGGAGCTTCTCCCTCGCACGGAAGCGTCAGCGGCAGTCGTCCGAGTCATTCGTAGCGCCGCGTCTAGATCTAGAACTCGCGGTGAGGGCGAGGGCGAGGACGCCGCCGGAGCGGCGTCGGGAGCGGACGGCCCGACCAGGGCGAGGAAGAGGAAGAGGTGTCAGTTTTGCCCGCGGGCGAAGGACAACAAAACTTCTACTGTGTGCAGCGGGTGTAAGAAATATATCTGCAAAAGTTGTTCGCTCCCGTACTGCGCTGAGTGTGCCGCTGAGAATTTGGAGATGGGTTGATCGCCGACACACGCACGCACACACACGCACGCACCATGTGTGACCCCTCGAGACGTGGGATGCGGTCGGTTGAACTGTCCGCAACCGGGGTGACTAGTTTTAGAGGCAGAGAGGCAGCCTGGCAGGACCGCATCGGAAGAGGAAATACTTACGACTTTCCAAAGATGAAAATGTCACGGGAACTGCCGAAAAGACACGAGAGCATGATGAACAGCGAGGACCCGGACATTGAGGTTGTTGGTGGCGACGTGGGTAAAAAGCTACACTTTAACCCCGTTAGAGCGGCAGTGGCATTACAGCTGTGCAGAAAGCTCAAGGTAGACTGTAGTAGCAAATTCACGGATGTCTGTGAATTAGGAGCTCCTTGTAAGAACGTGAAGATTTAAAGCGACGGGAATTGCTTCTTTAGGGCAGTCAGTGTAGCCGTGAGCGGTACCGAACGCCATCACGGAAGAATAAGAGAAGCCGTGGTGAATCACTTGCAAAGCAATGAAGCTGCGTACGCCAACATTCTGAGAAGGGGTTACCTTTCGGTGTCGGACTACGTCGACGCATCTGAAATCGGCTCTCTAGGAAGTTGGGCGACAGAGGTTGAGATTCAAGCGACGGCGGATTATTTGGGCGTCGACGTATTCACGTATTACACCGACCGTTGGCTTCGGTACAGTTGCGACAGCGTTCGGGTCTCTAAACAGGGGATTTATTTAGCGAATAGCGGCAGCCATTACGAGACCGTCGTTTGTGTCACAAGTCCTCCGAAGCGGTCTTGTCGCGGCTACTGCAAACTAGGCGTAGTTGCGTCAGACACGTACGATTGTCTGACCTCAAATTCTGCCTACGCCGATTCTGCATCTCGATCCGAGATTGCTTCGCCGTCACCGACATCGATTCGTCCGGATAACACGGTGTCTGTGAATGACGTCGACTACTGCGAAAAGGCGAGCGATGAGCGCGAGGAGGGGTCCCGCCGCTCTGACGAGCGTCGAGCTGCGAGGGATTTTTACCGAGATGCCGACAGTCCTCGGAGCCGCTACGAGTATGACGATTACCGCAGTGACGCCGCCGAGCTAGACGTCGGAGGACGCTTCGGCGAAGATGAGGCCTGGGAGAATAATCCTGACGAAGAGCGTGACCGCTATGGATGGCTATCAAGGAGACGTGTAGAAAATTATATTATCGTTGAAAATATGGAGCATCGTCCCTACGGCGATAGCCTTGTAACTCCGGGCGACGCGGAGGATACCGCCGAAGCTGATTTACCGCGTAACAGCGTTGCGGATTGGCGTGAACTTTTCGACCGCTCTGATGAGCGTCGAACTCCGAGGGACTGGGAGGGCACGAGTGACCGCGATGCCGACTTTTACAGAGATTCTGACAGTCCTCGAAGCCGCCGTCAGTACGACGATTACCGCAGTGACGCTGCGGAGCTAGAAGTCGAAGGACGCTTCGGTGAAGATGAGGCCTGGAGGAACGCTCCCGACGAAGAGTACGATCGTCGCGGCCTGCTATCGGAAAGACACGTAGAAGGTGACGTTGTCGAAGACGAGGAGTGTTATCCCTACGGCGATAGCCTTGGAACTCCAGGTGACGCGGAAGATACCGGTGAAGCTGATTTGCCACGTGACGGCTTTATGGATCGGTCCGAACTTTTAAACGATGAGATCTGTATCGCGCTGTGGGATTGCGAGGAAGAAGTTCGATAGGAGTTTGGCTCGAATGACCGCTACGCAGCTACCTGCCGCTGGACCGAATTGGAGGAATCGTGGAAATCGTTTGTCGGTTGGCTGGGTGAGCGCTGGTGGGGCTCGGTGTCGGAAGAGTCCGTCAGGACCTTCATGGATTCATCCGAGAGACGTCGAGTCGGGGATATCGTCGTCTCGGCGTGCTTCAGTGACACGCCCGGGGGAGTTTGTTCTTTCACAGTGAAGACCGAAAGCGGCCTGCTGTCACTTCCTTTGCTTATCCGTCGTAGACGCTACGTGTGCGCCGACTTGGCGGAAGGTGATTTTTCGTGTCCGATCGACATGTTGAGAAAGCTACAAACCTGAACCTGAAACCTACACACACTTGCTCCCCTGACCCACAACGATACCTTCCGATCCCCAGAGCTTTTCTCTTACACGGGTAGTGGATGATATGTGGAGCGTTTTAGAATTGGTGAAAAGCGGATGGTGTGACGTTTCCCGACCCCATCGCGTAATAGAGTATCTACAAAACAAGGAAGGACCCTCTGTTACGCCAGCGGCGTTAATTTGCTGCGTAGATGATGACAGTCCGGGATACCTGTTTGAGATTATAGACGCCAAGGGGAAGAGGCTGAAAGTAACATTTAATAAATGGGGCTTCACGTTTGGATCGGGTCTACATTTCTCCGGACTCACAAGTCTGCTGTCACATAACTGTGAGGTCGATGGAGTACACTTTGTGATTAACTGTAGATTCTTGCTCACTGCGAGCGAACCGGAGCGTCCGATGTAAGACGTGTGGGGGGTTGTAAAGAGTTTGTGAACTTGTTTTTTTTTTTTTCCTTCAAGTGTTTGTATGAGCATGCTTCTATAGAAAGATTTAGGAAGAACTGCCGCTGAAATGTGCCTAAAAATGCATTATTATTATTATTATTATTATTATCATTATTATTAAAATGTGAATTCGTGCTGTAGCTTATGCTTGCTTACATATTCTCGCTTGCTCAATAAAGATGCGAATGCTGGCAATTTTGCTTTAGATGATGACTTTATTTGTGCACATCACACCACAGATTACAACACAACATTGTTTTATGGCTAAAAGTCATAATAGTAGCTGTACCAATCCTCAAAGGACATCTCGTCATTCATCATAAAATTCAACTTTGTCCTTCTGATCAAAACATCATTGCTCAACAGTGTGGTATCGGCTAGAGATATCAGGTCATCTCTCGCCTCCCCTCCGTCTGCTCATTATTATTATTATTATTATTATTATTATTATTAATTTGTTAATTTTATTATTATTATTATTATTATCATTATTATTATTACTATATGTGTGTGAGTATATATTTCCACATTGGGGACAGTGTGACCCCTAAGACGTGGGATGCAGGTTTTTTTTTTTACTGTGTGAGGACTACAGGACTTTTCACCGGGTCAAAAAGACCCCAGTCATCACTGGGTCAAAAAGACCCCAGTCAGTACCCCAGTCAGTGTGACCCCTGAGACGTGGGATGCAGGTTTATTTTTTTATTTATTTTTATTTTTATTTTTTTTTACTGTGTGAGGACTACAGGACCTTTCACTGGGTCAAAAAGACCCCAGTCAGTGCGGACTGGGACAGTGTGACCCTTGAGACATGGGATGTAGGTCTTAACTTGAGGACAACAGGAGGGATAAAAAGCTTAAAGTGCTGCGTGCTGCTGCTTATAATGTAGTGTTTAACGTCCTCCATTGTTTTTGTACCGATAAATTCCTTCAGTGTTAGACAGTCTGGTCTGTTCGCAGCTTTAGCACTGGACTTCACTTCAGTCCTCCTCAGTCTCAGTTTCGTGGCGTGCGAGCGCAGGAGGCAACGTGGAGCCGCAGGGTCCGTGAAAGTGAAACCTGAGGTGGGAACAAAAAAGCGAATGTTGTGATTCCTGTTAACGCGGCAGAAACGTGTGAAAGTGATGCGACATGAGGGTTTTTTTTTCTGACAGTAAACCGAACGTACTTGAAGCGCTCTGTGGCTGGCGTGTTCTCCATGTTGAATTCAGCCACAGGGACCTTTCTGGCCGCCACATGAGGAGCAAACATGGCTGCTGGATACACCACGGATGAAGTGCCGACCTGCAGACGAGGATTCAAAGTTTCAGTTTAAATGAATTAACAGATATCAGGTGTTAACACATCGTCCTGACTTGTCCTTTCACATATTTAACACGTGTAAAGTGTCTAATGATGAGCATTTGGACATCACCATATCATAAATATTTCAATGAAATCAATATACAGGCGTGCAGACAGGAATATAAAGCAGCTATACTCCATCCACTCACTGTGACCCAGACAATTACCTGCTGCAGCCACTCTTAAATTCACTCAGAGACCCGCTGACAGGATAACGTCCATGTAATGTCCGGGTCAACAAACTCAGACATGTACGTTCTCACATGCAGCTCCTCTGGGCGACACACAGGTTCAGGAGTGCAGTAAACGTGTGAAAAGGGCTTTAATGACCTTGGCCATAGAGGCTGTGTTGTATTTCACGAGGCACACACACACACACACACATACAAGGACACACATGCACACACATACCACAAGGCAGAGGTCACAGCTGTCCAGCACTTGTTCTGCTCTGGTGAGGATGTCTGAGTCCAGAGCCTCTCCAAACCAAACCACAGCTGGTCTGAGGAGGCCATTACAGCCTTTCTGCTCACACCTGAAACACAATAATTACAGGATACACTCGTGTTTTAAAAACCGGAGCACTTAAGAGGAAACAATGAGCGTCACAGCTGCTGGTCTGTGCACTCCATCAGAAAGGGAAACACGGGAGAGAACGCAGCATTCAATTATTTAATCCTCAACAAAATCACATGAATGGGAGAGATGGGCGTGATTTAAAACTGGAATCACCGTGTTCAACTGCAGTGTTAGAAAATGTAAACGGATCAGGGCCTGAATAACAAATTTTTATCTTCTATCAGGACTAGTTTCTTCTGACTATGTCTCCTGGCCAAGGTCAAAATGTTTTAAAGCCGTCACGACCTTGAGATATCCATCCACGCTCTAATCAGTTCAAGATTGTTGGAATCTCCCAATTATATCTTAGTCGCCTTCAACTTGTCCAAAATGCTGCTGCCCGTCTTTTAACCAACACTAACAGATGTGATCACGTCACTTCTGTCCTCAGCTCTCTTCATTGTCTTCCCGTCTCTTTTAGGGTTGATTTTAAACTTTTAATGTTTGTTTTTAAAGCTCTTAACAGCCTCGCCCACATCTATTTAACTGAACTTTTAACCGTTTGGGAGTCAGGTAGAGCTCTGAGGTCGTCAAATCGACTTCTGCTGGAGGTGCCCAGGTCAAAACACAAACACTGACGGGGTGACCGAACCTTTTCAGTCACTGGTCCCAGACTCTGGAATAAACTCCTCACCGAAATAAGACTTATGTCTGACCTGGGCCTTTTTAAATCCCCATTGAAAACTTTATTGAAAAATTTATGTTGGTTTTTAATATCCAGAAGCGTGGTGACACTTTATTTTATTGCACTGTATTTTATTCTTTTTTTTTTTTTTAGTTTTTATTGTTTTTATTGCTTTTTTATTTTTATGTATTGTAAAGCACTTTGGTTCACTGAAAGGGTTGCTGTAAAGGGCTGCATAAATAAAGAACATTTATATTTACATGACTAAAATTGTGACATGTTTGTCCAGAAATCACACAGCATGTTTTAACTGGTGATGACGGCCGTGGTAAATCCACGCCACAGTAACTGCAGTGAGGCTCAGTCAAAATAAAAACACAACCAAGCTCACTTCCGCTCTGTCAGGGTCCAGATTAGTCCGGCTCACTAAAACACCACCATTACAGCCGAACAAAAAAACACCACCAACAGTGACAGGACAGAACATGAGAAACAAACTGAAACAGGAAACATGTGAGAGTCACATCAGTGTGGGGTTTACCTGGGCAGGTTCTGGACGGGGATGTTGGCGTCGTCGATTTTTGGGTCTGGAGCTCTAAAGGAGGCAAAGAGATCAAGAAAACCACAATAGTCCTTATTAACAAAACCACACAAAATCTAGACTCTTACTTGGACTCATACTGACTCCCTTTATTCTTGCTTGACAAATATTCTCACTGAAGTAAACTGTCCCTTTAAAATGAGTTGAAAGTGTCTGGAATAAACCTCCCTCTCTGATTTCCTTTTATTAAAAGTGTGAATCATTACTCTCTGTTTCTAACGTTCGCCCCACATTTCCTAAACGAGCGAACAGTGTCCCTTTGAGCGTTTTCAGTTCATTTCATTACACGTTCACATGAGCTCCATTTGCAGAGAACAGGACTTGGCATATGAAAGGATCAGAGTTTAATCCCAGTTACTGTTACCACAGCCGATACAAATCAGTTTCCGCGTTACATAATCAGAGCTGATCTTTATTCTGCATTGTAGTCCAGGTCGTGCGTCACTTTGTTCACAGTGGAGATGTAATTAATTAGCAGTTTAAAACATCCATTTTTAAATGTCAGATAAGCAGCTTTTTAAAGTGACATTTCATTACAGTCACAGATTCTCCGGTCCTCTGCGTCGTCAGGTATTATTAAGCTCCTGACATCTGACACGCTGAAAGTGATCCATATCTGTTAGGGGTGCGTTTTCACGTCGCTGAGGAAAACAGTCCAATCCGGCAGATGACACCAGATGAAGCTCTTACCCTTTGCCCTCCAGAGCGGTGCAGATCGGGCTCTTGTAATTGTCTGCTTCATGACCGCAGCTCATGCAGCGCGTTCTGAACAGACTGCCTGGGGGATGAGCGAGAGAGAGAGATGACGGGTTAGAGCTGAAACAACACATCACAAAGAAAATCTAATCAAAATTATTAAAGTTTGCAGAGCACGCCCAAACTTCTATCTTTGCACCCATAACATAAAATCATCGTTTTCCACTTGCCATGGATTTCCAGGATGTTCTTGGATCCCGCACGCCGGTGGAGCCTGTCGACATTTTGAGTGATAACCGTAACCGTGCGTCCCTGTTTGCTCAGTCGCTCCTCACACTCTGCGATGGCCAGGTGGGCGGGGTTCGGATCTTTGGTGAGCATGACCTCGCGCCGGTAGTGGTAAAACTCCCAGACGCGGGAAGGGTTTCTGGAGAAGGTTTCTGGTGAGGCCAGACTCTAAAGGAAGAAGAAAAAAGCAGATTTAATTCTGACAAAAACTATTAGTGCTAAAGAAAAGTTCCTTCAAAAGTCACGATCGCGAAAGCTCGTTAGAAATGTGGGTCGAATAAACACAGCTTGACTCCGGAATAGGAATGAAGTTTCAAAGGAATCAGGTATGTCAGTTTCCTCTCTGAGTCTGGACTATTTTTAGACAAAGTTAAACTTTTAGAGCACTCCCCGGGAATACTTGATGAGAACAGACACCTCAGTAAAGAGGGTCTGGAGCAAGAACTCTCATTAAAACATTTTCTTTCATGAAGGATTATCGCTGTTTGGCAGATCTCTGGAATGCACAATGAAGTGTTTAATATGCCGCGCTGCAGTTTTTCACGTATTTAAAAAGCTGCTAAATAGAGGAGAGTATGAGGACTTATCTGGACTTATGTTCCATTTATATATTTTTGATTAATGTACCAGTTTACCATTTAAAAAAAACTGCTAAAACTCCTACACTTTACTTCCCTTGTCAGTCTCAATTAGTGCTGGGCGATATGGAAAAAAATGTATATCACGATATGGATCATTTTATATCACGATAACGATATATATCACGATATAGCTATGGTATGCTTTCAGTTCTATGAAAAATTTAAGTGTATACAGCTGCACTAGTACAGTACCAGTACAAGACCAGCACTTAAAACTAGAAAAATGAATAAACAAATACGTGGCTGAAGCGCGTTCATGTCTGTGCTCACCCAAAGTTATGCAACACTCACAGAAAACGCCGATAGTGTGAGCCAAAGCACTCCATAATAATAATAATAATAATAATAATAATAATAATAATAAATTTAATTTGTAATGTACTTTACATTTACAAAAAATCTTTAAGTGCTACAGTACACAGTAAAAAAAGAGCAGCAACAATAAAAAAGCAATAGAATGACAGTCACAGATTGGCATAAAAAAGAATTAAAAAAATAAAAAATATAGAGTTGCAATGTAAGAGGAAAGGTAGTAAAAGCATAAAGCATAAAGGAAAGCTAACCTAAGGCTTTATTAAAAAGGTAGGTCTTTAGGGCTCTTTTGAAGAGGTTGTTCACACTGCTGGATGTTTCTCCTCCAAAGCTGCTCTCTGCCTCCATCATTGTTTACTTTACTCTTGAAGCACGTAGCAAGACCCGAGCATGAATCCGAGCGCTTTATTCGCCTATCAGGGGCAGACAGGTAAGGTGATTTGATTCGCCACGACTCCAGAAATGATTGAAAAACTACAGAATGTCACAAAATTACGTTTCCTCGCTGCTGGTTCGAAGGGTAGAAATGCGCAGCCGCGCTCCCAGCTGACAGGAAGTCAAACCACTGTTGTAGTTCTTTTGTGTTGCTAGCGCGGTCAAGAGTGTTGGCTCTCACTGAGAGATGACTACAAAAATGGACGCACCTGTTCATCTGGTTGTTAAACACGGCTGAAAAAGATCATCTTTTAATGTTGTTCCCGCTCCTGCCCACTCCCGTTGCTTTTTTTCCCGTCCCGTCCCGATCAAGGGATTAATTAAAAAATGACTCCCATCCCGTGGGATTCCCGCGGGAATCACGTGACCCACGGGAATTCCCGAAAAATGTCATCCTCTATAGGGAGGTCCCGGAGCAGATGAAACAGGTGCCGGAGCGGCTGAAATAGGTCCCGGATCCGATCAAAAGAGGTCCCGGATCGCGCTCCGACTTGCTCCGGCACAAATTAAGCACTGCTTACAGTGATCCCCTCACGTGTGTAACCCAGGTAACCCGCAACGGCGGGAGGCGCTGGACACAAAGAGGGCACGTAAAGCGGCGTCATGTCGCAAAATCGAAAGAGAAATGCAAGCCTACATGTCAACGCATCCTTTTCTTTGAAAGAAAATATTGTTTTCTTTCCCGTTCGACACCAAATACACTTACTGAATGTGCAATTATTGTTGTTGTTACTATGAATCATCTGATGGCACAAGCCCTATGGATAAAATACAGCCTATCGCCCGAAACGATAAAAATAAAAATGGCACGATAGACATTTTCTATCGTGCCCACGATATTTTTCGTCCTATCGCCCAGCACTAGTCTCAATCCAAACAAAAGAGAGTGTGATGTTATAGTGTGACTGCGCACCTGTGCCTCCCATTTCCTCCAGTAGCCCCCTGCTCCTCTGAAGGTCGGGACTCCGCTCTCTGCACTCACTCCAGCTCCTGTGATGACGGCGATGCTCTGGGCTTTGGAGAAAATCTTCCTGAACGCTGCCAGATCTGAGTAAAATCACACAAATGTGACATGAAACATCAAGAGTGGAAACCTGTGCATTTGTAGAGGATGTAAAAGAAGTACCTGAACTTGGTCTAGTCATGGTCTGGCAGGCTGGGAGCCTTTTCAGGTGAGCATAAAGGTGAGAGTTTGTAATGCCTCTAGAGATGAACTGGCAGACAATCATCAGGTTATGGTGACTGGAGAAGAAAAACATCAAAATATGAGTATTTCCTGTTGTTTTACAGCTGATTTTAGACTCAAGTTTGCCTTGTGGGTAATTACTAAATCTGAATTTATCTTTTTTTATTCATTATGGTTCCAATGAATGAAAAACCGGTGACCCAAGATCAGGTCTGGGATCCCCCACAGGTCTGTGAATCTGAATTTTCAATATGGCAGAGTCTATAACCACCACAACCACCTGGTTTACTAATCCTGATTTTATTTATGTGTGTGTGTCTGTCTGTTGTGGGCTCGATGAAGTCTGATTCTTTGAAAAGAGAGGACATTTAGGGGTGTGTAGATGGATAAATGGGTAAGCGCGCCCCATATATGTGGACCATGGTCCCCACAGCGGCTGCGTGTTTGAATCCGGTCTCAATCATGTGCTGCATGTCCTGCCCACTTCTCTCTCTATCTCCCTAAATTGCTGAAAAAATACTCAAACAAAAGGCTGTCAGGGGTTAGGGTGAACCTTATTTCTGTTTGGTCTCTCTCTCTCTCTCTCTCTCTCTCTCACCCTGTTAATGTTGCAGCTCATCCACACCTCCCCCTCTCGATTCTGCCACACCTCAGGAGTCTGAGCAGCTGAAGCTGATCAGCCTCATCTAAGAGGTTACAAATGATCCTCAAGCCAGGGCTTTAGTCTCTCTCTCTCGCTCCACTCCTGAGCTGTGATGTGTTGTGCTGTATTGTATAATATTTTTATTTTGTGAGAACATTGGCTGAGGCTGAACATTTTAGTTAGAGGTGGAGGAAGGGTAAGGGAATCTCTGCCATTTTTTGTTTGACCTTGGTTTTCTCCTGTTTTGTGGCTGGTCAGGGAGTTTAGAATTGGATTTTGATTTTCTTACAGACAGGTAAGGGATGTTCTTTTGTAGTCAGATTTGGGGGTTTTGTTTTTTTTACTTTGGCCTTTGAATTCCCTGAAGTCACTCCTTCAGTTTGAGGTTTTCAACAGACAGTTCTTGTTAGCCAACTTTGTCTTTTGTTTAACTTGATTAACTGGTTTAGTTCAATAAATTCTCAAAATTCTTGGTGTTCTACTTCAAGAGTTTTCTTCTGTTAGCTTTACTTGTTTAACTCTAAAGCTTATGTTTTTTCTTTTAATGACCCCTAGATTTTAAGAAGGTCTAAACATGTGGGTTTCATAAGATATAAAGATTTCTGCCAAAAAATATTTTTGAGACATAATTATCAGCAGGAAATGGCTCAAAAGCCTCTGTGTTCTGTAAAAGTAAGTGTATCAGCATTGATATCAGTCAAAATGATACTAAAATACTAATTCAAATTTAACTTCATTTTTATGGCACTTTTTAGACAAAAAAATGCCGTTCAAAGTGCCTCACAGAGGCTTAAAACAATTAACAATAACACTCGATCCTCCCACCCATGGACACACACACACACACACACACACGCACACACACGCACACACACAGACTTTCACTCACACACACAAGCGCACACAGTGTGAGGAAAGAGCTACCTTTGGGAAACACTGGAGATAAAAAATAGAAAATGGTAAAAAGAGACTAAAACCTGCTGGACCAAAACAAGAAAATAATATTAAATAGATAAGTAAGAGATCTTTACCATGTAAAAGGGGAAAAAGAAGTAAAAACCTATGCAACAGGAATTAAGAAAAAGACGAAGAACAGAGATAATAAATAAAATGACATTAAATAAACATTAAGAACTTTGATCAAAATTAAATTTGCAATAAGAGAAATATAAAAAGGCAATTAGTGAAAAGCCTGGTTAAAAAAGTGAGTCTTGAATTAATATATCGTGTATATAAGCAAAAAAAAAAAAAAACCTCTGCAATCCTAGTTATGATCTGCTCTGTGTGCACACCTGAAGACTCATGATGGAGGAGCTCTGCAGACTAAAACTCTCTAAAGTTCTTCCATCATCATCTAACATCCCTGAGCTCTTCAGAAAACAAGGAAACTTTCTTTAAAGGAAATAAAAACAGCCTTTTTAGTCACGCACTAACTTCTCACATCCTTTTATTTCCCTATTAGCTGACTGAATTCTAAAAACTGCATACTGTAACATATCTTTAGCTTTTGTTTTGTTTTCTGCATGTTTTGTCCACAAAAAACACTAAAAAGCTCTAAAATGACTCTTCTTATTTCCGGGGCATTAATCTACGCCATAGGTCACTTCCGGCTGCCATTTGCCACCAAAAGTTGTTAATTTGGAAACGAAGAAAACAAACTTTTCCCCCAAATGTGTTTGAGCTTAAGAGAAGAAATGCTCTCAGATGTGAGGTAAATATCTTCAAATATCCACAACAAGGGTCACTCAAAATCTGGCTAATATTTATCTTCTGTAAAATGGAAAACTCAGGAGGGTGAATTCGTGTAAAAATCGAGGTTTGGTGAGGAAAACAGCCCTTTGTCAGCTTAAAGTGTGAATATTAAACTTCCAGAAAGGTCAGTGTGTCTTTTTAAAGCTAAAAGGTCATCTGAGTCTCTGTAAACAAAACAAAAACTAACTTACTCGTCCGTTTTATCGGCTGAAAATGACAAAAACAAACGAATAAAAGTGTTTCTGTGATTTTATAGAAATGCAAAGATTGATTTGATTCTGCAAAATTAACTAGTGAGCCTAAACTTTCCTCGAAAACTCACTACCCAACTGTGAGTTGGGGTTAGCTAGCTGGCTAAGCTAACAACCTGTCAACAGCATGAATGGAGGAGCAGGCTCACGAGCTCGCGCTGGTATCCAAGGAAACCGCTTTGACCACGGTTGGACGGCTGTGGCGTGTTCTTGGGTGACGATGTGAGACCAAACGTCAGATCCAAAATGTTAAATGTCCAAAAAAGAGACCTGAACCACCAACGCCAGGACCATCAGCTGGAGGAACCAAGAAGTCTGACTTTCGTTTCGCTCTCATCAGCTCAGCAGCGATTGGTCGATTGGTGTGGCTGTCAGGGAAAAGGGCCAATCAGGAGGCTCAGCGAGGTAAAAAACAACTCAGTCTGTTCCACCTGACTGAGCCAACAGAGGGCGTATTTGTACAACAGCCAGAAATTCACTGAAAATACTGAATGTTTTTTATTTATTTATTGAAGAAAAAATATGACAAAGCCAACAGAAAGATTTCATAAAAGGATCAGATTACTAACATGAACCATAAATCCGTTTGAATCCGTTTGAAGGGTTTAACAGCATTTATGTTAGAATCACTGTCCAGGAGCTTTTTAGGAGCATGTCTCAGACCATGAGGAGCCAATTGGTATAAAAAAAAAACTAGGAAAATGTCAAAAAATTTTAAATGTTAGGATTGTGTTGGGGTAACGTCAGAATAACGTTGGGGTATTGGGGTTAGGGTTAAGAAGAACATATATATTCAAACCATGTAATTTATCGTCTATATATGTTTTAAAATTAAAAACAGCTATTTTTTAAACAGTTTATCTCCCCTAGTGATTAAGATCTAATTGTAGTACTACTTAATTTATTGTGTAACAAAAATAAATACATTTCTGTGGAAAGAGAGTTTAGAGTCAACTGGGAAATTCAACTGATGTCTTCCAGAGATGGATCAAACATTCACACTACAGTGTCCTTTTTGTATTACTGCAGGGTTTGAGGGAATAAAATAGTAATTATTCATTAAAAGTAACTCACATTTCTTACAGATATTTACAGCAGGATGATTGTAGCATGCTGGTCTCTTTTTATGTATCCATACTGGCTTTTACTTCTATGCCTTTTACCTAAGGTTTTATGTTATATATAATTTGCAGCTTTATTAATTTTTAAGATCAACTGTAAGATAAACCCATTTTTTTTCAGTCCATGGCTGCAAATACAAAAAAAGACAAACTGTACTGCCACTCTGATTTGTTTATTTCCAACAGAACAATCATTTGTACATCCTCCTGTCTCCACTAGAGGCCAGTATTAGATCAAAAGAACATACAGTACAGTAAAGCACAGTGTTAACCCCAGTATTGGTACATGATGTTTTCACTCTGAATCCTGTGTGGTCTGTGATCGATTCTTATATTGATTAATAGATAACCTTTAGCCACACCATCAGGTCATACAAACTAATTAGGCCTTTGAGAAGACAGAGACTGTGTTTTTATGTCTTTGTGGACACAAACACACTGCTTTAAGAGACATGTTTGTCTGGATATTTTTAAGTATGACCCATATATGATGAAATTCATACCAAATATTGTGAACCACAGCACTTTGAAATGCCATGACTGGAATATCTCTAGAATGGGATCACGTAGATACTGTCAGAATATGCACTTAATGTATTTTTGCAATATGACTGATGCCATATTTTGAATGCTGCATTATGCATTTCAAATATCAGCTCAGTATGTTTATGCTACAGTGACAAAGAGCGATGATATGCCACACAGTTGTTAATACTCAGTATATCTGAAGATGGGGGCATATTAAGATATTTTATTTAATTTGTATGTAATATTTGACATATCCAGGAATACTGTGTTATATGTGGGATATTCTGTTTAGTATTTATCTTCATATAAAAGCTGTTAATAAATCTAATCAGGTTTTTCATGAGCTACAACAAGGACAGAAACCTTTCAGTGCCTCTTTGTCTTTCTCGTTGGCCCTTGTAAGGATGCCTAACTCATGTTCACACTTTAAAGAATGGAAGGTCCACACGAATCACCATTTTGACAAGCTTTACTGGTTGCAGATCTGGGTTACAGCGTCATCAGGCCACAAGTGTAACAAAGCCTGGTCGGAGACTGTTCAAGTATATACAGCCATCTACGTTTCCAAACATTCTGCTTGCATCTTGTTGACCTGAAGGAGAGTCCATGTAAGGGTAGGAACAAAGCACAACATATCTTGGGAGCCTGCATGATGTTAAACATGGGGACAAGGTCTTTGTTGAGGATGGTTGTCAGAGGCTCCAAAAATCTACCAAAGTATCTGAGGTATCTGAGTGACACAGCTCCACCACCCTAAAAGCTGACATGACTAAAGGCTAAAGAAAATCATCCTAACAGCCCTGCAGTCTGAGCAGACTCCGTTTTGTCACGTTCTGTCTTCCTTTGTTTCCAGTCCTGAATAACACTGGTGTTTAAAAGCTGATAAGAGCTCACAGGCTGATTTGTTGGCTGCAGAAGTAGTAGGAAACTGGCTGTTTCTGTAAATGTTTTAAGTCATTTTGATTAGCTAAAGGACGCCTATGAGGTTTGCTATCCAGTAATCATGGTTGTAGACCATCTTAGACCATACCAGCATGTGTTGTTTGTGCATAATGGAGGATTTGAATCACAGATGACATTTGAATGTGAAGTATGAGTCTTAACCTCTTTGAGTTTTTCCATTCAGGCTGCAAAAACTATATTTTCCTGAACACGTTTAACCATGATTTCTTATTTAGAGATTAGATCTATTGTTCCCCTTTTCAGTCTATAACAACTCACAGTGATTTATACTAAAAGTTCCCAATCCTTATATGTGAACCTCTTTGTTTTGTAAATCTAACAGTATATAGGAGAGAAGCAGCAGCAACAGATCCTGCCTGTTAATCAGAGTCTGACATTTTCCCTGATGAATGACATTTTAATCAGACACCTAAACTGTGGTTGAGTTGTGGGCCAATCACCGCAGCTCTCCTGTAGATAGAACCCAAACACAGGAGAGTTGAAATGATGTGTTTGATGGGAATGTGCTCGGGTGGTTTTCATTGGCCGGTGTGTTCAGGTGGAGCTGACTTACAGGAAAAGAAAGCGAACAAGAAGCTCATCAAGCCCACCCTCTCTCCGTCTCTCTCTCTCTTCCTCCCCCCTCTTTTCTCCCCTCCATCACCATTACAACAGCCCGCCCCCCTCCTACACCGTCTGCCCGGGCGGGTGCACGAGCGGCTGCTGCTGCGGCGCCGAATCTCTCGCAGTCCCGCCGGTCGCCAGTGGACGCTGCCCGGCTGGCCGAACATGGCGGCGGCCCCGGAGGAGGAGGTAGACCGCAGACCGATCCGGAGGGTCCGGTCCAAGAGTGACACGCCTTACATCAACGAGGCGCGGATCTCTCTGCACCTGGAGACAGGTAGGCAGACGGTGACACTGACACCGCTCTCCACTGCATGTCGAGGCGTGTGAGCAGCAGCCTCCACGGGGGGAATATGGGAGTGAATCGGTTCTCGCTGGGGGAGGAATTGCTTCATGGTGTGGTGACAGTTCCCACGCAGCAGCAGCAGCATGACTTTGGGCTTTCATTGTGCGGCTCTGACGGTATCCATGGTGCTCAGCTGCACCTGGGTGGAGGGTCACCACACACTGATTCACGCCCATGGTGTGAATTTTCCTCCATACATGTGATATGCAGAGCACGGTTTGGTGTGGGGAACCCAATCACCCCTGTAGGACGATTGATCGCTGGTGAGCCAACCAGACTCCGCCTTGACTGTCGGCTGCAGTGAGATGCTGTGTGCGAACTTGCCACTCATTTAAGATGCAGGTATTATTAATGCATTTGGAGACAGGAGGGTGAGGAGAAGGTGGTGTGGCGTGCCAAATCCTCGCCAAAACCTGGTTAGTGTGCGCTTAAACGGGTTAGACAAGTTATTGTTTCCTTTGTTGCCATGGTCACGATGATACGCTGTCAAGACGCTCGGATCATCCTCATCTTGATGCCACATTTATGCCTCTGTGTTTTTAGATTAAGCAGATTCTCTCTCAGAAATCGGTGCACATCCCTGAGGGAGGGAGGCTGCTGGAGCTGTCCACTGCCCCGTGGTGCTGAAAACGCCACCGAGCACAGCACAGCCAGGAGGATGTGCATGGATTTCTCTATTATGTTCATCCACACAGCACATATATAAGAGTCTCCCTCGTCTTGCTATAAGCCACCTCTATCCAGGACTGTATGGACCCTCCCCCAGATTTAGACTGTGTGACAGTCACATGGTGTTTAAGGCAGCGCAGTGATCATATATTTTCCATTCCTGACAGATGCCAACTCTCAAAGATTCTGCTGCCTGGCTGTTGCTCTGATGTCCTTGTTCATTGTTTAGTCTAGCATGTCTCACATTGGTCAGTAATTACTAAAACAAGGCATTAGAGGCAAAGATCACACAGTGTGCAGTGTTGTGTTGGTGTTAGCTTGAGCCTGGGGGCTGACTTCTCTGCTTGTGGATGTGAGGTGTGATTGCAGGGTGGTCCTTTGACATGTTTGTCAAACATGATCCAGAAAAAAACCCTGAAAAATAGATGAATAGGATCCAGGCAGGGCGGCACAGTGGTGTAGTGGTTAGCACTGTCGCCTCACAGCAAGAAGGTCTTGGGTTCGAATCTGGGTTAGGGCGTTTCTGTGTAGAGTTTGCATGTTCTCTGTGTCTGTGTGGGTTTACTCTGGGTACTCCGGTTTCCTTCCACATCCCAAAAACATGCAGAAGTGGGGTTAGGTTAAGTGGCCACTTTCAAATTGCCTGACTGGAACTAGCGATGAGCTGACGACTTGTCCAGGGTGTCCCCTGCCTTCGACCGAAGATGCTGGGATAGGCTCCAGCCCCCCTGCGACCCCTAACGGGAATAAGTGGTAGAAATGGATGGATGGAGGATCCAGGTATTAAAGCATGAAAACAGGTGCTGCAGGGATGTATAAAGAGCAGGAATCATTTTGTTTACATTTGTGTGAGTTAGGATGATAATTCTCATACAGGTGACATCAATATGAACACTTACAAGTGTGTGATTTAGATGAGAAGGACTTCTAAGTTTTTCTCTTTTTTTAAATAATCAATCAGATAAATTATTGAGGATTAATAATCTTGAATGTTTCAGTATGAGACGGACAAACATCAGTCCACACATCTATGTTTGCTGATCAGATGTGTTTTTAGACCCATGCCCTCTCCCACAGAAAAGCCTGTAGATCAACGCCCAACACTGTTGCCATAGCAATGCAATATTCACCATGAAACAGGAAGTAGTTTTTTCCTTGGGGCTTAAAATACTTGTTTGTTTTTTGTGCTTGTTGAAGACGGATCTGTATTGTATCATGCAATTGTGCATTTTGGAACTGAAACTCACGGTGGATTATTATTCACGGACCCCTGGAGCCTAATTTTTTATAGACAAGTGGCCCGTGAACGTGTCACTCTGATGTTAAGCCGGTTTCAGACACGTCTTGGTTTGTAGGTTTATTGTTTTTTTTCTAGTTGCAAGTCAGTCAAGACAAAACAACATATTTTATATAGTTTTTGTGAGGGTGCTCGGCTAAATGGCCTAAAAAAGCGCCACCTACAGCCCTCGTCTATGAAATCTGGTAGGCTTATCTATCTTTCCTGAGTCTACAACAGTCTCTTGGATTCATACTGTCCTCCAAATTGGTGAAAAATGATTATATCCCATAATAAAAGAGAGTTTGGGGGCCTCTATACATAACCCCCAGATGTGAATTGTCAAAACTGATAATCTAAACCATCTGGAGACAGAGGAGACTCTGAGAGAAATGCCTTTAAGCCTGTGTACAAACTCAAAAGGCTGTGGTGGATGTCAAAGTTTAATGTCAAGTAATATAACAGGAAGTTTATGTAACTCAAACATTCAGGATCTAAACTGTATCAAACACATTGATGGTGAGTTAGAGTTAGAGTTAGAGGTAGACCCTCTGGATATGCTTGAACTGTGAGGCCAGCAGTTTCCCCTAGGGATCCTTGTTAACAATGAAGCTGCAGCGCTGTGTGTTTTGAGTAAATGCACCTCGGTTTTGTTAAATGAGCGGACTCACTTTTCATTCATGGAGCAGAAGGATCACTGCAGGTGTCTGGTAAATTTTAAGAATACCTGCAGCTTAATCACTATCAGTGTTTGGTTTAATTTTGAGGGAAGTTGTCCTTGATTTTTAAGGCCTGGAGGAGCAGCATCCCCTCTTTTTTAAGTATGAGACCACATGAGAAAATGACATTTAAAAATGAATCTACACTCTCAAATTAATCAAAGCATGTTGTACTCCGTGGTTGTCTCTTTAAAGTTCTCAGCCAAAACTGCCTGACTTCAGTCTGTCACAAGTCCTGAAAGCCACGGCTTGTGGCAGACTGGAGTCCAAATCCTGGACTGGAGTACTACAACAGTGTGTCAGAATAAATCCAAAACTGTTAATTGATGGGAGCTGAATTATCTGACTGAACCGAATAATCTGAGCTGGATTTCCCGTCATTTAAAGCGTGTGGAGCCTGACTTTGTGCCCCCAGCAGAAGGTGATGAATGCATGTGAAAAGCCCGTCTAACATAAATCTTAATGAGATCAGGAATTACTCACATGCCTGCCTCTCCAGCAGCATGCCCCCTCCTCTTACTCTCTGCTCCCTTTTAGCCTTCTTGGACTTTTATGAGTCACGGTGATCAGACCCACCTTCCCATCATCTTACTCAGCTGCCCTCTCTCTGCCCCTCCTCTCCATTTTGTTTCCCATCACCTTTCAGCGACATTCGCCAAGCCTCCCCCAAAAACCAGCAACCCCATTCTTTCTTTGGTTCTTTTTGTCAGGCTTTCTATGAGGCATGACTTGATTCTGAGCGAGGAGGAGGCAGCAGAGGAGGAGGAGGAGGAGGAGGAGGAGGAGGGTGCTGTGTCTTGCTAACAGTGCTGCTCCTGGCTAGTAGCTGAAAAGAGAGCGGGCATGAGGCTGCAGCTGCGTGAGGCTGCTGGTGTGGCATCATGGAGAATCAGGCGAGGGCACTGCCAGCCGCATCAGGAGGGGGATATCAGTCTTCACACCTCTCGGGTTTCCTCCCAAACCAGATTTCTTTGCTCTAATCTCATATTTTGTTCTTTCACCATGAAGCCACCCACCCACCCACTCGCCTGATCCCCCCTTTACTCCGTGTTTGTGTGTTTAGCTGCTGTTGTTTTGCATAAATTCAGCCCACTCCTTTCTTTCTTTGATGTGTGTCACCATTCACGTGTGACCAATATTCTCGCCATCTTCACTCCGCTTGTGTTACATGCCTGCCTTCTATGTGTGTGTGTGTGTGTGTGTAGGAGGCTGGGTGTGTGTGTGAGTAATAGATTTAGTAAACATGAGTGTAGCACGGCGGTTTCTGCCAGACGGCTCGTCGTCGTTGCTCCCTTGAGCCTGACCCTCTTCAGCCACATTCAGTACTGAGCTGAGACGCGATGATCCACTGCAGTTTTTTCCTGCATTTCTGCCGACTCATCACTCAGCTACTCGCTCTTTTTTTCACCCCATCTTGTCATTGACAGGACTTCTTTGGTTTGAGGCGAGTTTGGGAAGAATGAGATGTACCAAATAAGATATGAAAACATCACTCACATGTTGTAATCAAGTTTTCTTTGTCTGCTGTTAAAGTAAACACCCGGAATTTGAATTTTGTCGAAGGACTTTTGAGGCAGTTTATTTAGTCGTTTTTTGTCAGGTTTGTATAAATGTTCTTTCAAGGCCAAACACGGATGAATGAATCAAATGTTTCGACAAAATAAAAGGAAAACTCTGTGACTCAGTGGCTGTTCAAAGCTTGTCAAATCACTTCATTCATCATGTGTTTGGGAGCGGCTCTCTGACCGTTTTGGATCAATGCTTCTATATTTATGGACTCAGGATTTTACACTGAAGGACAAAACCACGTGCATCTATTTTCTCTTGCACTAATATATGGAAATGTTGCTGCAGAATGTCGAAAAGAGGAAATCTGGGTGAACGGATTGCTTGCTCCTGCGGTGATGTCACGACAGGAGTGATCAGACATGCAAAGCCACACCCACTCCTGCAGGGATTCTACTACCTGCTATGGTTTAACTTTGGTGCTCCAGGGTTAAAGGTCACAGCTGGACAAGCTATCTGCTCTGTTGTTTTGTTGTTGGTCAAGACCATAGACTGTATATAGAATGGATGCCGTCTGCCACTGCAAGAACAGCACACTCTGGTGACGGGCTGCAGTAAAGGTCATAAATCCCGCCTCCTCTAGCAGAGCTGCAATGTTGACATGTAGTTACTGTCAGACTGGTTTGTGCTCAAGTCCTATTTTTTCTTTGAAGCTCCATTTTTAAAAGTTATTAGGGGGTTCATGTTTTCTTTGATTGACACCTGGTACAGCCTATGGGCGTTCAGGGATTGGGTAGCTCTCCTGGGGGGATACACTGTTTGAGCCGAGCGTCATCGCAGCGACTCTCGGCGACTGCACGGCCTAATGCACACATCGCTACTGTGCAGCGCTGGTTTCAGGAAATGAAGAAAAATCCCGGAAATACCGAGAACTTTATGGCTTCAAATCTGTATACAGGCGGAAGGCGGAACCAAGTTGTCCATAGTATATACAGTCTATGGCAGCAACAGGTTTTCAAAAAAACTTCCTTTTATGGTATTAGTGGCTGTTTTTTCCCCATTGACTCCCATTATAACAACATGTTCTGAATGCAGAGACATGGCACTATATAAATAATTTTTTACAGTCAGGGTGATCAACCCTGTTCAGAGGGGCTCAAATTAGGTAATTTTACTGTTGATCACCTGGCTCTCTCATTTACCCATTACATAGCCCTGTTGTATTACTAACACTGTATGAGGGTTAACAGGCAACAAGGATTAGCAGCTAAAATAATCAGTATAAAGCACCTTTAAGCACTCAGTTATCTTATAATTAAACAAACTTAATCATTGCTTATCATTATAGACATATATAATAGACGTTTGAAGACAGTAGTATGATCTAGACAACGTCCAAGTCCCAGCTGGCAGATAAACTTTGGACGCTGTGATAGTGAGTGTGTTGGCAAACATACACGCCCAGCAGAGCCCATCACCCAAAAAGGTCTATGAGTCTGAGCAGCTTCCAAGAGATGAGCAAAAACAGCCGATAAATACACTTTTTATGGCGGTTTATTCGAGCGTGTGCACTCCAGCGTCTGTTTCCTGGCATTTCTGGTGCTCTTGAGTCAGTCCAGATCCCAGGCTGCACCGCTCCGCTCCAGCCATGTAAATCCAGGTCAGTTCGGTTAGAGCTTAGCCGTTCTCACAAAGACCAAGACGCAGGCATTACCACGCTCTCATTCAAACACAGAGAGCTCTAATACAGACCTGAATGAAAGGCTGAGACAGAGAGGGCTTAAATGAGCGGAGGTGGAGGAGGAGGAAGAGCGTGAGGAGGAGGAGGAGGAGGAGGAGGACAGGGGTAGAAGGATGGAGGCTTTTTAAATTGCAGCGACATAAAGACAGAGTTGGCTGTCGACCATTGAATATGGTGGGAACGTTGCACAAACAAACCACCACCCACTATCAGGGTAAAACTCATTGTCTGCTGCTATCTGCATACATTAGCCGGGCCCTGAGCTGCAGAATCCCAGAGCTACCTGTGCAGAATACAAGAGCGCAGCCAGGGAGAGCGAGAGCTTTAAATGCAGAGGAGTATTTCCTGCCTCGCTGTCTCCCACCACTCATACAAAACCCCTCACTCTTCCTCTGCTGGCACGTGGATCCATCCATTCAGCTCAGACAAGCTAACCTTTGTGCCGAGAGAGAGAAAACCTGAGCTATTCAACACGGCCAGTGACTCAGAGTGAGGGTGACAATGAAGACAGTGGGACGGTCTCTCAGCTGCTGTGACGTCAGACGGACAGGAGAAAGAAACCGTGTGGTTTATGGGAAAAGACTCTCTCATACACCTTCGTCTCTAATTAAACACATGGACATAACCTTCCCTTTCCTGCTATCGTTTCATAAAGGATCTTGAGAGTTTGATGGAAACTTTAATTTAAGACAGAGAGGATGTCAGACAGGATTTTACCGCTTCACTATTACAGAAGAAAATCCCAAGAATCCTATCTTATTCAACTTAAAACCACTGGAAACCCAAATCCACAAAAGCTCTCCTTCTTCGTTATGCATGTCTTAATTTATGTAGAATGAAAAATGATTCGGCATGTTGGAGATTTCATTAAAATCAGAGTTACTTTTGTGATTCAGAAGACCTTTAAATAGACTTTAGTTGCAGTAGATGTGCTGAGTTTATATTATTAGTTATTATGTAGACGTTCACCTTCTGTAACTTTTGTTTTATCCTGCAGCCGTTCTCTCTGTAATTCTCCTTTTCTAACCCCACATCGTAAACCAGCAGCAGCAGTATAATATGAAAACTCTGGATCTACAGTTGATATAAAACAAATCAATGTGCCTTCCTCTTTTGCACTAACAGGAAAGGATGCAGTGTGTGTGCGTGTGTGTGTGGGTGTGTGTGCTGACAGAGGATAATCAATCCTGCGCTCTTGTAAACAAGGTTTGTTTACATTCAATGCCACGCTCCATCAGGACTGTCCTTGAGGTCTGCAAATGTGTTGAAAGGATCAACAAACTCACACAAAACAGCAAAGCTTTGTTTCTTTAACGTTATTCCTATGTTTACTTCTATAAAGTCTATAAATCACCATACTGACTGAAGAATCACACATTCTCATACAGATGTCTCACAGTCTGTTAGTTGGAATGAAACTCATTGTTCCTTTGTGAAAGTATTACAGACACACATAAATGCAAGGTATGCTCAAAGAGACTGACTCCCACTTCCATCAGGAAAGTAAAAGAATCAGACTTCAAATTGATGAAAACAAACAAAATAAAGTCGTTAAAATTCAAATTACTTTATACAAAGTCAAAATTATGAACTAAAAAACTAAATTAATGCACTAAAAACTCATCATCTGACATAATTTGTCAAAACTGGGTCATTAAAAAGTCCTGGTCTGACACAGAGGATTAAATTATCAGATAAAAAGTCATTATTCTAGTTAGACTGTGTAAAAATGAAATAAAATTACAATTTAAATCTAATTTCAAGTTAAAAAATAAGAGTCTAAGAGACATAATAGTGAGATAAAGAGTTAAAAACTACGATTAAATGTCCAAATATTGTGATAGAAAGTCAAAATCTGGGCTAAAAGTCAAAATAATTAAACAAAAAAGTCATAATGTTATAAAAAAAAGTCAAAACTATAAAATTGAAAAGTCATTGTGTTTTAAAAAGTCAAAATAATTAAATCAAAAAGTTGTGATGTTAATAAAAAGTCAAAACTATGAGATTAAATGAAATAATGGTCGGATAAAAAATCATTAATTAAGAGAAAATGTTCCAGTCATGCAACACAAATCTGTAATCTGATCTAAATTGTTATATTAATAGAATCAAAAAGGTATAATCTTGGATAAAAAGTCTGAATTATAAGATTAAAAGCTCCTGATATTCATTTAGAGTCAAAAGTTTAAGCCCAAAAGACACAATGGGAGGATAAAAAGTCATAAAATAAAGTAAAATGCCAAAAATATTAAGATTCATTGTCAAAATTTGAGTTTAATAGTTGAAATCATAAAATTAAAAAGACATTAAATATTAATTAAAAGTCAAAGTTATGAGGTTTAAAGTCAAGATAAGGAGAAAGAAGTCAGAACAAAAAAAACATTAGATCCATTTAATCTCATTTATTGACTTTTTTTTGTTATTTTGAGTTTTATTTCATAATTTCAACATGATTATGACTTTATTCCTCATATCAGAGTCTTAATATTTGTTTAATTTTGTCGTCCAGTTTAAGTCATCATTGTTTTATTCTAGTGTGATCGAGATTTATGATTATAAAGTGTATCTGTGCACCCTGTGGTTCTTGTATATACTGTATTGAGTCTGACTTTAGTGGTCGATGAATCCTTCACATACAGATCAGATTAAAGCTGCTGGTAATACTTTGAGGAAACATCGTGGTGTTGGGGGTTTACCACACACCTAAAGCTCTTCCTCGAATAAGTGTGAATAAGAGGAGAAGTGGAGCACGCTCTGTGATGTTTGCTCTCCTGGATGCATTCTGACAGTCTGAGACGGCGTGTCTGAACTGTAGCTTTCATCACTCGTGCCGTATGTCAGAGAGCGCAGAAATGAGAGTGATACTAGAGGCTGACGGAGGGAGGACGGATTTACCGCTGAGCTGGAGCAGAAGTTATACTCCAAACACACACTGAGAGCACCGCAGCATCAAAAACAAGAGCTATCTCACTCCATCATGTGGATTTCTCTCAGGCGAGAGTTTACTGTTAGTGTGCGAGATCGCTTTCCTGTTTTCTGCTGATGTGATATAACCCAGAGTCTATCAGCCCTGAGGTGTCTACAGGACGTTTTTGTGCGAGTTCTTCATCTTTGTCAGTGAAGAGGAAATTTGGCTGATGGGTTAACGAGTTAATGTGCAGTAGAGGTGACATTTATCACAGCTGGGCGTGTGAAGACAAAGCAGCTGTCGGCCTCAGTCACTCAAGCTTCAACATCTCGACCTTAAAAATGGCAGTATCTTCAGTTTAGTCTCATAATGATCTCTTTATCCTACAGTGGCCTCGAAGCGTGAGACATGATAGAGAGGAAAATCGATTTGACAATTTTAATTTTTGTTTTTAACATCGTCATCATCAAATAATCCGATTACAATTTAAAACCAATTTTATCGTGCAGCCCTACTTTCAGAGTACATACAGTAAATCTTTACCTCTTTAGATTTGAAGGTGTTGAGAACTTTTGAGAAGAACATTTTGCAACAATCTGAATCAAATCCTGGGATAAAACATCTGAAAGAAGGAAATAAATCACACGGTTGGCTGTGGGATAAAGTCTTCTAAATTTGAGGTTTCCCTTGGTGGAAAGTGTGCCAAATCCAGGGGCTTCCAAACCACTGATTTATTTCTTGAAGTGGAGCATCCAACCTTCTGGACTTTTGAGTTTAAAGGGATATTCCGGCGTAAAATTAATTTATTTTCATTTTCATAAATGTTCTTCCTTGAGCTGCGTCACCCCGCTGTAGTCTGTAATGGACTGGCCTGAGGTCTCGCTACAAACAAGCGTCTGCTGGAAGAGAGTAGGTGAGTTGTGTTTAGTCTCTTTGCTAAAGAAATGAGTCAAAGTTAAAAAGATTTTTGGTGTCTAGTACTATGTCTGTGACCCTATATGTCCTGTTGATGAAGTTAGGTGCTGTTCTGAGCATTATCTGTGTCTATAGAGTGGCGTTTTGGTTGAGGTTTGTTTATGGCTCCTCACACCGCTGTGTATTACTATCTTGCGGTCGTTACTAAAGTTGGTATAACTAGAGAAGCAAGCGGTCGACAACATTCATCTCTGGAGGCGGGGTCTAACTCGGTGTTATGGTGTGTTTGACCCTAAATTAATTTTACGCCAGAATATCCCTTTAAGGATGTTTCTTTTGGGTCCTTTGTTCTGTGGAGCCAGCGGTAAGCAGACTCTGTGATCCTGTGTGGAACTAAGTCTTATATGATGACCTAGAGAGACTTACTATTTCATGGCTGTTTTGGACCATTTTAGTCTCCGACCCTGATGCACTAAAAGTAAAGAAGCGGGCGTATCCGATTTATTCACTTCCTCTCTTTTTACGAATTCATATCCTCAGAATCAGGTCAGACTCTATTCCCGTTGTTATGCAGGTGTGTGTGGTGCAGTCTGTAATGTCATTTCTGGTTCTTAATCCCTTGTCGGTTGCTGACTGTGTTGTTCTCCTCCTTGTTTTGCAGCCTGCCTGTGAGCCTCTCTGATATTTGCCCCCCTCCCTCCTGCCTGTGGTTGTTTAAAGTCTGCCCCCTGGTGGTTTTCCCCAGCTTTAAGGGTATCTGCAGGCTGGGATGCTTTACTTTACAGTACATGCATCGCTGCCGGCAGTTTCCAGCACTTTTACAGTCTTTGCAGGTTTTTTGTCCTTTTAAATATGCTGTCTGAATCGGTGAAGGCCACCTTTCAGAACGATGAGCTGTGCACAGGAGACGGAGAAGAGAGGGTGACTCATATCTCTGTGATATGCCAAGCCTCACATTCACACATTTACAGGCATGTACACACACACACACACACACACACAAGCTCCTACAGGCTCTGCTGTTCTGTCACTTTGTATTAATTCAGCACACAGCAGGTCCAGTCAGAGAGGAGGGGGATGGAGGGAGGAGGAGGAGGAAGAGGAGGAGGAGGAGGAGGGGTGAGGCTTTGAACAGTGAATGGCAGCGAGAAAGAGAGACAGAAGATGAAGAAGTTTGAACTCGCAGACTTCTTTTGTCCCTCCTCCTCACATCACACGTTGTCTGACACAGTTCCCATGTGTTTGCCGCCGCGATGATGCCAACACATTTTCTCGACAGATGGAGAAAGACAAAGAGCCCAGACACAGAAGCTCATGTTGACTTAAGAAAACACTGTAGAATCAGGCTCTTCACAAATTTCTTACACGTTTCTCCTCGATTCATACGGCTCAGAATCATCAGTTCAGCTCAGATGGAGCGGAAATCCGTGTAAATGATGACATACTGTACATTACAGATCCTCTCTGTTTCCTGGAGATTTAAAACACACTTCCTGGTTTTCATAGAATCATCGATTGCTCATTTGACAAATTAATCTATTAATGGATAAAAGAAATACTGGACACGGCATCATTATTGTCTGATTCAGAGCCTAAACCAAGCCTCTGTGGTCCATCAGGATGATTTTTTCAAGGCCCAAGATCACACTGAAGATGGCGAGTATGGCTTTAAGCGGTATGATGTAAACACAGCTCTGGGCATGGATGTCATAATGAATCGGGTTGTTGAACCAGCAGAGAAATGTCATGGCATTAATCACATCATGACCTCAGAGATCATTTCAAAGTCTGAAAAAAACAAACACCTCATCTCTGAAACTTCTCACCTGTAGTGGATCACTCAGTGGCTCAAACAGCGTACTTTACATCCTTGAGGGTCATTTCCAACCACAAAGCTCTGCACACTTTTGGGAGATTTACTCCCAAGTTGGATGGTCATCACTTTAAACCTGCACTTCTGTGGAGTTTCGCAGCTCAAGGCAGAATATTTACGATTATTTCTTAATTGAAATGCAATCAGACCGAGACGCTAAGGCAGAAGAACTACCGCGTCTGCAGTGCAAAATGATTAATATGATGATTATTACTTCATGGAAATGATCCGCTGCACTCGGTGATCGACTCGTCAGGGCTCCGCCGCCGGTTGAGGTTTTCCTGTGGAGACGTAGACCGCTGTGTATTGCTATCCTGTGGTCGTTACTCAAGTTGGTATAACCAGAGAATCAAGTGGTTGGCAAAATTCATCCCTGGAGGGGGGGTCTAACTCAGTGTTACGGCGTGTTTGACCCTAACTTAATTATACGCCGCATTATTCCTTTAATCTGTTAAAGTTAATGGGGGTTGTACTTAAACGGCCTTCTCTTGCTGCTTCCTCTCCAACCACTCTCCAGCTCCATCTTGCTGTGTCTGATCTCTCCAGTGTTATACATCTTGTCGCTGATGTTTGCTGCTGGTGCTCTCCTCCACATAATCTTATCCCGCTTTGAGTTTGCAGAACTTTGTGTTCAGTCTCCAACATACATGAGTGAAACTCCAGCATCACGTTCATCTTTGCCCCACCTGACTTTTAGCCCCAGCCTGTCTCGTGGGTGGCATCCACTTGGGCTGGGCAATATGGCCTCGAATAAACATCATGATATATTGATCAGTTCACCTCGATAACGATAAATGGACGATAACTACTCCACAGGCTGCTCATCCCCTCCCACGTGAACTTCATCTACTTCAGCCGCTCCCACTTTTGAACCGTCCTCCATCTCCTCACCTGTCTTTACCTCTTTGTTACGGACTGGATGGGGTGGAGTCACGTCTCTGACGTAGGACAGCGTCTTAAAGGGACATGAGACCATAGCCTACCTACACACATCCAAAACCAACTTTTATTTATTATTTTTTTGACACTGAATATATTGACATGGGCAAAATGACGTCGGTTATTGTTGTAAATTTTGGTATCTGTAAATTTTCAGTTTGTCGCCCAGCCCTAGCATCCACACACATGTTCGGCCTCTCCCGTCTCTTCTGCTGCAGACTCTCCTGAATCAAAATAATTACTGTCCGACACCCAGATCTCCGAATGTGTTAGTACCGCCCTCTGATATGACATCCTTGCAGTCTGAATAAGACATTTCGTGGGTGGACAGGTGACCTGGTGGGAAAATGTTGTAAAAGGAAGAGCCGAGTGATGAAGATTAAAGATGGGAGAGTCTGTTTTAGACTCCAAACAGACGGTCTCCACCTCTTTGTCTCAGCGCCAGAGTGCCACATTAATTTTGCACACTAAATCTCCATCCGGATCGTGGTGGGCCTAAATTAGCAGCAGCACCATCAAAGGCCGGAGGATGATTAATATTTTTTGACTGGTGCTGATAGAGGCCCAGATGGGACGAGGAGGTGATAAGAAGAGTAATGATCATCATCAGAGATAGACAAGAGGGTGGGTCTCTGAAAAAAGGGGAGGTCCAGTTCGACATTAATCACTCTTGATTAGACTTCTTACCACAATGTATGTTCAGATCAAGGAGTTTGTGTAGGTTTATCGGCTTAACACGGCAGTCGACCGCCCAAAACATCTGAGACGAATGTTTTTAGTATTCAAAGCAGGAGCCCATTTCTTTGGGAAGACTTAAAAGCATCTATTAGTGTAAATCCAAGTTTGAAAGAGCCTAAATCCTGAGCATACACCGACTGATTCATTAAAGAGGAGAGCAGCAGCGGTGCAGTTTTACTCTGCATTTCTTAAACATGCCCTCAGGGAAAGGAACAACACCGCATTTAAAGCTACATGTGTTAAGTTAAATCAGCAGTTTAGCTCCGAGGCAAAGGTTTAAAAGCAGGTTTGGCATGGTAATAGTTAGTTAAGCACCACTCAGGGCCAACTGCAATGCTGCTATTGATCATGACATCTGCATTCAGTTTGCACAAACACAGGACTGATGCTGCCTGATCAATACGCAGCATGGCCGTCAGTCTGTTATGCTTTTTAACTTTTGCAAAGGTTTTTAACAGGAATGAAGAAATGCTCTAAGAAAGGGAGAAAGGGGAGGGCAAAATGGCTAGTACTTGAGGTGTTTTGGTTGTGTTGTTGGGTCCAAAATGGCTTTGTGAAAGAGGAACTGTGCTTTTTTGTATTTTACTAACAGATATGAAGTTTAAATGTTGGGTAAAAGTTTCAAAATGTGAGGTAAACGTGTGTTGGAGTGATGAGGCTGCAGGTTACTCAATACAGATTTGCTCAGTTTGGTAAATGTTGAGCATTAAGAGGCCCAAAACATGCTGCCATGGTTCATAATTTGGTATTTCAAACACTAAAACACAACCTTTAGCATGGCAGCAGTGGAGGAGACTTCTGGAGTGCGGCATTACGATATTCTTATGCATCTGCAGAGTCAGATACTGCAGGTTCAGGACCTGTGTTTTGTTGCAACAGTTACGGCTCAGGGTTTCAGTTGATGCATGTAAAGCTGCTACAAAGCGAAGCTATCAAAAGGACATTGGAGAGCTTGAAAATAAACCTCACTTGGTAAGATTGCATCAGGTGACAGTCAGGAAAGAGGCTGTAAGATAACCCTCGTGGGCAAATGCGCCCAAATTAAGTACATCCCCTTATAAAGTGCTTGTTATATTTACTTACAGACTAACATTAAGAATCCCTACAGAGATATGCATATTTTTTAGACGTTGTGTTTTGAACATAAACATAGTTATGAAGCGTCCTTTAAAGTCCCCTAACTCTGTCCAAAATGAAGTTCTTTCGCCTTGACCAGTTGGTTTTGTTGTGTCGTGGTTAGTTTAATCTGCACTGAAACACTGAAAGTCATAAAACAGCACAAACAAACAAAGCAAATGGAGACATCAGCGGGTCGGCTACTCCTGTGATCTGCAGGAAAAGTACTTTTCTTTAATAATGGAGGCTTTGAAAAGAGGAATACAGAGGCTGTTTTAACTTCAGAAGAGGCATCATACTTTTTATCAATAAGACCTGTCTGTGCAGAGGGAATCCTCTCTGTAACGTTGTCAGACACTTTGAGTCACAAAAATAGTGAACGTAGCCTCCCTGACTTCCCCCAACCTTCAGTTCTGCATTTTGGACTCTACTATCTCAGTAGTTTGGAGGCAATGTTAGAGGATGGAGTTGATATATTTCTAAGACCATACAGTATCATATGATATAGATTCTGGTAGGATTTGCTGGGCAGACACCAATTCACAGAAGTGACCCCCAGCTCAGGCAGGTAGAGGTGAGACTGATTAGGTCAAGGATCTTCATAACACTCTGAGTACGTGATCATTTTTTGCTTTTGCTTTGTGATGCTGTAGTCAGGATGGAGAATCTCTGCTGTCCATGAGGAATCGATGTATACACTATAATATACTGTATATATACCGAGAGTCGGATGTGAGGAGCTCAGTGTCACAGATCAACAATCATCTGACAGCTGTGGAGACCACAGGCTGTCTCCGAGATGATACGCTGTCATCCCTGATGTGACAAGCACACCTGCGGTCTAACTAGGCGCTGCACAGGCTATCACATGCAGTACGTGTGGAAACGTTCACACCTCTGTCTGTGGAAATGTGTGGCGCCCGTTTGTTTCAGGGGATCGCTCCAACTTGTCAGACACAGGGAAGCACGAGGTCCATTACTGTCAGCAGCACATTGAGCTGTAACCTGCCAAAACCTTTGTGCTCCTACTGAGCGCCTCATCTGTGCAGGGTGCAGGAAGCCTTTCTGTGACTGAAACAAAATGACATCCGCCCACAACATCCTCGCCATGCAGCACAAGTTTTTCAGCTCCTTTTCAGCCGGGTATGGGAATCTAAATTCAGATCTGCGGCGCAGAGAATGAAATAAAATGAGATGTTGTCCTCGGATTCCAAACAGACAAAAATATGACCATCTTCTCATTAGCATGTTTGTGAGTATTTGCTCTATGAATCATCTGAATCAGCAGTATGTGCACACAAACAAGGAGTCTGGAGTTGTTCTCAGTGTTTCTGCATGAAAATTTACATGAAGGTAGAAATAGACACAAAAGAGAGCAGCAATAATAACAGAATAATAATAATGCATAAAGGCGTGTGTATTAATACTCATGCGCTGCATCCTTTAGAGATACCGCTGTATTGATTTCCTAACAGACAGACTTGGATATCACCCCACTGAGGACCGCACTGAGTGCAGCTCCAGCATTCCAATGAATTATATTGTGCTACTTCAAAACAAATTCAGTGCCATTATAAACCCGAGCCATGCAGGACACGGCTTTTTACTGCTCCAGGAGGCACATCAGGATTAACTGCAACACGCTTTATGGCATTGTAAGGTTCGATTTGTGAAATAAACAAGCAGCTAAGTGATCATCAGGTGCGATTAGACCAACTGTGGCTCCAGGGTCAAACGGGCAGATATGGTTTGATTGAAACATTCACGCTAACATTTGTAATGTCTGATTAACTCATGATGCATAATAAACCGTACAAACCTGATTCTCAACTGAACTGAATAACACTTTGCAATACGAAGCACTTTTGGAGTCAGCTCCTAGTGGTCACTCGAGGAACTGCAGCTTTTTTAATCAGAAACGAGCCATAAATTCTGTGATATTTTATATTTGCAGAAAGAGTTTGCTGTGATGGTAATGAGAATACAATAGATGTGCAGAATCAGCGACCCGTGCAATAACTTGTGCAAACTGGATAAATCTGTCTTTTCAATGCTCTTATTTCTGAATTCTCAGCAACTTCTGTGCATTACTCAAAAAATACTTTCTGTCTGATTTATTTCAAATTGTTTCTTCCTTATTTATTTGATTTTATTTTCTCTAAGGCCTTAAAGCTGCCCTCTAAACGGCTCATGTCCCTGACTTAAAACAAACAAAATCCGTCTTCTGATTTACTAAAACACAAACTGTTAAAACTCATCATGGTTTTTTATTTTGTGATTTAAGTGCAAAGATAAGTTAACATTAAAACAGGCCTGAGTGACGGGTCTTCATTCCTCCTGTAAGTGAAGTGTGTGGACCAATCAATGCCCTTATGTGTCCCTTCAGCAGGTAACATAAATCATACCTGCACTCTCACCAGCTTCGGCTCTCTAGTCACACAAGACAAACTGTAAGTCTCAGCGTGAGTGTAAGAGAGTGAGACTATGGATTTATTGATTAAACTCACACCAGCAGTGCTTTAATCTCACATCTCCTTCTCATTAGAGGAAGCCGAAGCAGACAGAGAGTGGTATGGATCAGGCCAGTCATCAGAATTAGAGCGTGTGGGCTCAGCAGAGAAGGAAACGAGTGGAGAGAAGAACGAGGATTGTCTGTCATGCTTGGTCAAAAATGTTGAAGTTTTAATGTCACTTTGAAATAGAGAGGCAGTGAAGGGCTGAAGGTTTACTCTGAGTTCATGTTTGTGTAAGAAATAAATAAAAATATAGCTTTGACACTTAATTATCTAAAATAGTGACACTTTTGTAGTTTTAGAAAGGGCTTAAAGGTGTTGTAGTCAGGATCTGATGAAGTTCCAGTTTTTAGGAGAAATCTTGAATGTAAACTCTACCCCTCCCAACCAGTTTTCCCCTCAGCTCCTCCTCTCCCCTCAAGCCCCGCCCACAAACAGACGCTCCTGCTCGCTCGTATCGTTCCAATTAAATTCAGATATAATGCAGATAAATCCTTCAGATAATTACAAATGGGGCCCAGTCAAGGTGAAAGTCAAAAGCATTGGTGCTACTGTAGATGCCAACAGACTACCAACAAACACAATGTTTGCAGGACTTCTACAACGAGGATAAAGTGACATAGTCCAGGACCCGAGGGAGGACAGTTTAGCGATGGCGCTACAACACGCTACAGCAGGTCCGTTTGACAAGAAACACTTCTGTTACAGACACTTGTCTTACTTTGTTAAAGCGGTTTACCTGTCCAGCAGAAAGGTTACAGGGTCACCAAGATCCCCAAGCGTCCCCCATGGTTTATGTTGACCCGGCTTTTTAGCTCTTGCCTGGCTTTTTAAGCGCCCGTTATTCCTCCAGAGTCTCCGGTATTTACTTTGTTTTCTTGCTTGTGTCGGCAGTCGTGGCCAAAGGAGGATTCAGACAATTTTCCGAACTTTCTGGTTGGTTTCTACTGTCCGATATTGTAGCACGCTAACTTTGTTTGGGCTCCTGAACGACACGGGGGAGCAGCGTCTGCCTCACAACCAATCAGGTTAGAGGAGGTGGAGAACGGCTTTGTTTACAGTCAGAAATCAAATGTCAAATGTCATCAATAACTAATCGCTATTGACTGATATTAAAAGCTTTTTTGTTTATACATCACAAAAAAAGATCCTTCTTTAACGGATTCCTGCCTACCCTACTGTACCTTTAATGAGAGTTGACTCACTTTTGGAAGCTGCCTCAAGTGGCCATATAAAGCACTGCAGTTTTAGCCCTTCTCGACTCTTTGCTTTAGAGAGGTTTGGTCCTTTTTGTGAGTCTGGTGTTGCAGATATATCTTGATATTGCACAAAAGACAAGAATACAAACACCAAGACTTTCTTCTGAGTGAAATAATTTGAGATCCACAGACTGGAGGGTTTGTTTGCAGCTCAGGAGGGAGATATCAGAGTCAGTTCTGATTACATGCAGGCACCGTCTCCTCCTCTCCAGTCTGCTCCCTGTAGCTCAGAGTCTGTCACTTTTTTTTTTTTTTTTCCAGACAGGCAAATTAATTTCATCCCTGTTTGTTGTAAGTGAGCTCCACCTGCTGGCAGAGATCTGAGACTACAGGCTGTGACCCTTCAGTGGCCTCCTCAGATCAAAACCCTCCTGTTTTTCTCACAAGTATGTTGACTCACTTTCATCCCTCCAGGATGCTGACGCTGTTATCTGTGCCGGCATTTTTTTTTCTTTCATTGTTGTAGCGTCTAAATTTAGCACAGAGAACGAGAATCAGCATTGAGATGTCTCACTGAGCGCTGTTATCTCTCACTGTAGATGGAAAAAAAAGAAGAAATTTGTGCCTTTTGAGACTGACAGCACGGTTTCATTCAGTCTTTTTCACCACTATCGTACTTTAATTAAAGACTGAAATCTCTCTTGGTTGTGCAGATAGTGATAACAAGAGTTTTAGGAAAATTTAGCCTGTGACTTTAGTTGTCAGATTTCTCATTTTTATTTGTTTGATTTGATGAGACTCATTCTCATTTTGTTTCAGTGGGTGGTGTATTCACGGAGACGAGTTGGTTGTCAAAACACAATGATGGCTCTTATGAATAAATAAAAAATGTGCCACTGAATGAAAGTGGGTTGTCATGTCATCCAAAGGCAGAGCTGGTCCAAAGCATATGCGAACTAAGCCTCTGCTCAGGGCCCCACAGCCAGTAGGGGGCCCCCCGAGAGCAATCAAAAAAAAAAGTGTATTTTTTATTTTTTGCATGTATGAGTGAACTTTCTGTATGATCAAATATATATTATTAAAGTATAAACATTTTAGTGCTGCTGCTGATGTAGGCCTATGATTCTTACTGCCGATATGTCAAAGCTCTGCTACCATCATGTGCCTTTTTGAGATTAAAAACCATATGTGGCACCCTGAATATCATTGATCAGTCATTCATTAGTATTATTTGTATGGTTGCATTGGTATTATTTATGTTATTACCTCGGCCACCCCCTTAAATGTGTAAAGACATGTCAGGCACATTAAATTTATACTGTCGTAGGTGTGTGAATGATCAACAATCATTATTGGCAGAAATAGAGGGCCCCAAAATCGAATTTTGCTCTGGGCTCTATTGAGGCTTGGGCCGGCTCTGTCCAAAGGTCTTCTCAGAAAAAATAAACAAAAGGATGTCCACAGGTCTAATACAAGAATACTCTCACTGCTAACGTCAAAAGATTGGAAAATAAGTAAGAAATAAAAATTAAAACATATGATTGTAAACAAGGCATGATACGCTGTAAGTAGTTTTTTGTTCATTGTTGTAAAAGGATAGAAAAAAATCTCACTAATGAAACTTAGAGAAAAAAATGGATAAATGATGGTTGAGTATGTAAAGACCTTGTGGTTTAATATTGATTTTGGCGCCCCCTGTCGATACAGCCATTGATAAATCAGGTCTGTTGAATAGTTTTGAAGCACATTTGAAGATAAAGTTTGCTGTCAAAAAATAACATATATGTCTGTCAGCATCAGGTGTACATTATCAGGTAGTTTTAGGTCTTTTATTTACAGTGAAACCTAAAAACAGCGGATTGTAATTTCTGTCAAATACATAGACTGTATATAGAATAGTGTAAATATACCGTATGCAATAGCTCAGTCTATGGTCAAATACCTCACCGCAGAGATTAAAGTGAAAACATGAAAATAATCACCTCTACCTCTGTTGGTCGAACTCCGAAAGGTCATCATCTGTTTGTAGTATTAAGACGTGGCAATTGAAGTGTCGTTGTTGTACTCGGTCATTTGAATTCCGGTTAAAATCTAAATCTCCCGGTTCTTCGTTCTCATTGGTTCCCATCGCGAAGATGACACGCAACAGTGAGCCATGATTGGCTGAATCCGGAGGAGTAAACTGTGTCAAAACCCGTAAATGAGGGAGACAAAATCCGGAAGTTTGAAAAGCTTTCTAAATAAAGTAAAATATATTTTCTAAAATTCTTATTTGGATTTAGATAAACATCATATTTACCTTTAAATAATGTATTTTTATTGATAAAAGTAAAACTTCACATGCTTTGCTACCTAAAATATTGAACTTTGATTCCACAGTGTCGCATATTAATAATTTACTTAACAGTTAAACTGAGTTCCTAAACTAAATTGTAATATTTAATAATAATAACGATGACTTTATTTTTATGGCACTTTTAAAAACAGAGGTTTACAAAATGAGACCGGAAGGACCAAAATAAAAACAAAAATTTTTATTTATTTTCGCAGTGAGAAACTATTATTTTAATTTAATTTAATTTCTTCCATTGTGGCTTTTTTCTCTTTTTTTTTACCTGCACCATTTATTTTTTTATTTGCAGCGGGCTTCGGTGTCTTTATTTATTTATTTTTTTTGCATCAGTAACTTCCAATATGTTTTTTTTTTTGTTGTTGTTGTTTTTGGATTCTTTTTTATTTGTAACAGTGGCGGTTCTCGGCCACCGTACACTGGTAATATGTGCTTTTATTTTGTAAGATCAAACCGGAAGTGTAGGTGTTACTGTGGCTGTCTTGTCAGTAGTGGACAGCTCTGTCCGGACTCCGTAAACCAGTTGAAATCGCTTCACTGGACCAGAGGGTTAGAGGGTCGACCACCTCTGCGGTTCAGCGTCTGAACATGGCGGGCTTTGGAGGCGAAGTGATGCGGTCATGGTCCGGGTCCGGATCTTTCAACACCACCGGGTCTCCATCTGTAGCTGTACCCGAGTCTGAGGAGCAGAAACCGAGGAAGCGGAGAAGGGCTTTCTGCCTGACCAGGATCAAGACCCGCAGCAGCAGCAGCAGCTCTGGAGGAAAGCCTCAGCAGCATCAGCCCGGAGCCGCCAACAACAACAACAACATGCCGTTCATGATCCACTGTCAGATCGGCAAAGAGATCAAACACATCTGCAGCAACTGTCGGGGAGCAGAACCGCAGCAGGACGGTGAGGAGACCCGGTTCGGTTTACTGCCACAGGGTCAGAGGAGGTGTTTGACTCCTCTGATTTTACTTTATCATTATTATTACTCTCATGTGTCGGTGACCGCTCCCTGTCTGTCTGTCAGCTTGGGGGAATCTGCTCCACAGCCCCGGGATCAGGTCCTGAAGGTCCGGTACACCAGATTCTGGTTTTATGAAGGTTTTTACTGAAGTCCGGAAGACAAAACCTACTGGATCCGGATCTGAATCTGCTTTAAATGTGCTGCTTATGATCATAGTTTTGAGCTGTGGTGAATAGACACCCTTTCCTTATTGATTTATGATAATTTTACCTCCTAAAAAGACTTTTATTTTTTATTTTTACAACAGTCAAAATTATTGTAATTTAAATTAAAAACCAAACTAAAAAGTATGTGGCGTTTTGTCCTCATGACATACATGATTTAAACCTTGAACACTATCACTAAAATTAGTCATTTTGATTTGATTTGATTTTTACACAAAATCCTTGTCATCAAAATATATCACAATAGGACAATACACAACAAATTAAAGTAGTTTTCTTTTATGTGTGTAATGTCCAAATGGAGGAGGGAAAAGTGCCATGAGGGGACCAAATTAGGCATTGATTGTGTGGATAAGTACGATGTATGTGGTTTGGGGGCAAAATAAAAATGATAATGAAGAAAAACTAATAAGCAACACGAGAGAAAATAAGATAAAATAATAATTGTAATAATATTAACAACGTGTATTTTGTATGTATATGTGTATCCGAATGTGTTTCCACTTTTAAAATTGGTTTCTAGTTTTTTAAATCGGTGACCTATTGCGGCCTCGTAACCGTTCCCACTGAGCCATGTTGATTGATAATCTATGACCCGGGCATTTGTTTGATTGATTTAATTAGAAAGTCCGTCAGGCTGTTTCCAACCACAGATCAATACAGTCATGTAGAAGATGGATGCTCTAAATCTGCTGCCTGGTCAACCTCAGACACGTAAATCTGATGCAGACATCTTTGTCACTGCTCCTTTAAATAGGATTAAAACCACAAGAATAACCGATCCAAACGGACCAGAACCCGGGTTAGTCATCTGATGGAGGGGGACGCTCGAGGCCTGGCAGCGGCGTCTCTGGTCCTGCTGTTTTGAGCTTGTTGTGGAGTGAGTCAGTTGAGGTAAACAGACCCTGAGGTCTGACTGAAAGAATGTCTCCCAGCAGTGCGAGTCTGATTCATCGGAGTCAGCGCTGCAGAGGCTGCACACCTGGATTCTGTTCACGACATATGAGGAGAAGTCGAGAAGGAGCGAGAAACGCCTGTCAGAGTTCAGGCTGACATGTTCAGACCAACCAAAGTTGACAGTGGTGCAAATACACAAGTTTTCTACTCGGCTTTCTGCAGTTCGAGCTGAAGTGACTCCTTGAATTGAGATTTAAAACACTAAAAAAAGTTTCCAGGGAGAAACTCTTCCTGTGTTTGTTCAGGTCTCAGGGATCTTCACACCAAGGTGTTACACACAGAAACCACAGAGTGAAGCTGCTGTTCACAGAGGAGGGGAGGTGGAGAGGGGTTAGAGATGTTGTTGTTGAAGGGGGGCCTCTCCATCGTAGCTGCTGAGCTGGTGTAGATCTGAACTGACATCTCTGTGGTAACAAGACCACCTCAACACTGACCCCTCCTCGTCTGGAACTGCTGACTGCTTTACATCGGTTGTTTTTCCCCTCCTCTCTTATGTCTTGTTTTTATTTGGGGGGTCCTCCTCTTCTTGGAAATTGTTGGTTTGAGACAATTTGGCTCAATGTAGGAACTTTATTTTGAAAGGACAAACTTTATATCTCAGGAAATGACAGCTGACAATCCTGGATGATGAGAGGGACCATTAAACTCATGTGGATCTCTGTGGTTTAAGTGGACCAGCTGTTGTAGTTGAGGCAGATGAGGCAGGGTGACTTGGTCTTGGGTCCAAAACTTCAAGCATGGATAAACCGGCTTTTTTATGTGCTCCATATCTTCTGTATGAAGCAGCTCGACTGCATCTGTGTACATCTCTTTCCAAACTTAATGCATTGAGAAGTTATCCTCCTTCTGTTTGCTGCTTTTTAGTGAGTGTTTGCGGTCTTGTGCATCTCTTAGTGAGACACATTTCCCCACTCAGCTGCAGGCCTCTGTTTGATATGTTAAAATGTAGATGTAGATGCTGTTGATCTAATTTTTAAGTTTTAGGTTGACTTTGTGGTCGTCAGCTTCCATCGGTTTGCAGGACAACCTCAAAAACAACCCTACAACTATCATAAAACCTCAATCAAGGACTAAGAGGAACATTTTTCTGTCTAAAGGATGTGGCTTGGATCTGAAATCTCTACCAGAAGCCAGAAAATCTTATTTTCTGAGATCATGTTGTAGATATTTATCCATTAAAGTGACAGGAAATGTGCCGGTTAGTGTAAGGCAGCTGCTCTCTGCTCATAACAAACTGAATTATAAGATTACAATCATGTTGCACAGCTTCGATCACCTGAAGTAAACTTGCTGCAGTTTTGATTTGAGCAACCGGACAGCACGTGTAATCTCTGAGTGCTTTCTAGTCCATGTTTTGTCACTAATCTGAGCACCTACTGCTGTTAAAGTACTGTATTTGTGTGTGTGTGTGTGTGTGTGTGTGACCCAAAGTGCTCTTTATGTACTGTATATAAAAATAATCAAATCCTCTTTATCACACTGGAGTGTTCCTCTCCGATCTGCCTGCTGCGGGTGTGTATTCCTGGACTCGTCTGTTGTGTGTCTGTGGGTTTGTTTTAGCGCTCCTCTGTGTTTACATCCTCTCCTCCTGCCTGCTGGAGCGTCTGCCTCCCCCTGTTTCTTATTCATCCCCTCTGCCTCGGGCCTCATGCCCTCGTTGTGTAGAGTCGATGTTGTGTGTAATGGGACAGGTGTAATTCCAAATGGAAAACCGGAGCTCGTTGTATAGAAACCGCCTCCAGCCAGAATCCTTTCAAACGACTCCCTGCGGGTTCACGACAAAACCTACAGCTCGGAGTCACACAGGATGGGAAAGGTGGAGGAGGGAAACTGGAAAAGTTGTTTATTCACCTCCTGTTTCTCCATCTTTCTCCCTCGCTGATGCTCCTCTCCGGAAGTTTTTTTTTTCTCCATCTTATGTAACTGAGATTAAATGCGATCCAAACAGACCCACCTGACTTGATTATGCACAGCCCTCTGGGAGTTTGTGTCCCCTGACATTTGAGTCACACACCAGTGATCATCTGTTTTTCTAAACTGTTGGTTGAAGACGGCCAGTATCTCAGTAAACATGCAGCATGAGCAGCAGAGAGTCAAAAAGGAGAACAAAATACAACCAGAGAGGTTTATTACTCTATGCACATGAATATAATCATCATTGATTATTATTATTATTATTATTACTATTGAATTTCCCTTCAGGGATCAATAAAGTTCTTCTTCTTATAGTCTTGTGTTTAACCTGTGGATTTATGTAAAATGTCTTCACATGTTGGTCTGGTTTACAGCATCTCTGACATTAAGGGCCTCACAGGTGAATTTATGATTGATTTCATGTGAAAACTGTGTAAATAATAGTAAAGTATATAAACACAGAATGCTCCTATATGGTAAAATGCATGATGAGTGTCATTAGCACCGCCCTGCAGGGTTGTGATACTGCAGGGAAATGAGGTAAGATTATTTAAGTTAAAATATTAACGATATATTTTCTCCTACCTTTTTTTAAGAAGGTGTAAAACATCAAATATTCAAGTTTCAGAAGCTGCAAACAGAAACTCCTGTATGTAAAGCAGCGAGGAAAGTCTTTTCTTGAGTCTTGACCTTCTGTTTGGGCTGTACAGTGAAGGGGATTTTAGAGCTGGAAAGACTCTTATTTTGTAGATGTTACACTGAAATACTAAACCATATGGAAGAGGATGGTTTTGTACACACATTACTTTGTTTAACAATGTGCAGTAATTCCTTTTCTGCATCTGCACAAGTCCTGAATTACTACAAAAATTTTCTCTTCTGCATTTTACATACCGTCAGTTAAAAGTTTGCACAGTGATGCACCGACTGATACTGTATGTAAGTGCCGATTTTTCTGTGACAAATTCATATCCACAAAAATGAATATCAACTCAAATGTGCAGATGGCTGAGCGGGTTAGTGCGCCTCATACATGTGGACCATGGTCCTCATGGTGGTCGTGGGTTCAAGTCCAGCCTTGACCATTTACTGCATGTCCTCCCCCCTCTCTCTGGATCTCCCACAAATCACCCCCCAAAAATGAACATGAACCAGAGCTGAATGTTTGCACAGTAAAAGACAACAGCTCCTTTTCAACCTGCACTGCACTTCTGAAAATTTCTGAAGATCATTTACAGCGAGCAAGGATCCACGGTGATGAAGTTGGTGAGGATGTTGTGAAAAGTTTCATCTCAGCGGCCAGTTTGTTTGAAAACGAGGAAGAAAGAGACGCGTTTTATTATTTTGAAGAGGAAATTCAGTGTATGCACTTTGATATTTACCATGAAACACACAAATAATGTTTGAGGGACTTTCTGATTCGACGTGGAAGTTCCTGAGAATACCAGGGCCTGAAAGTCCCTGAAGGACCTGGTTAAATCAGGACTACATGTTTCAGAGGGTTTTAGAGGATAAGCAGCTGATCAAACTGGTGCTGACTGATTTTTGATTGATTATGTGATCAGTTTATTATCACAGCTGTAAGCAGTCATGTACTTTGTTACTCTGCTGATGTCGTGTCAGAGGTAAAACGAGAAGTGCATCACAGACATCGCAGACCTTTTTTGTTTACCTGCCTGCTAATGAGCTTCTTCTTCTTCTTCTTCTTCTTCTTCTTCTTCTTCTTCTTTTCCAGCTGAGGAAGTGGAGAGGTTGGCAGCGATGCGCTCCGATTCGCTGGTTCCAGGCACACACACGCCTCCCATACGGCGGCGGAGCAAATTCGCCACCCTGGGACGACTGTTCAAACCCTGGAAGTGGAGGAAGAAGAAGAGCGAGAAGTTCAAACAGACCTCAGCTGGTGAGAACAGAGAACATTACCCCCGTTATCAGGCCTCCTCTGCTCCTCTCACCTCCCTGACACACAGGTGATAAATGTCAGGGCGGTTATGAACGGCTGCTCAGAGCTGCAGGTTGATGTAGAGCTGCAGCAGACATCGACAGAGTATGACTGTGATTATGTAAGGCTGCTGAAACACCAGGAGGCTGCAGGTCAGCTGCTCCTGCTTCACTAACAGGGTGTAGCTCTGAGAAATCTGCTCCTGACCGCACACTTTGGTTTTATGGAGCTGCAGAGCGATTCAGATGAACGTGATGAAAGCTCATAAATCATGATTAATGCTCAGCTGCAAATCAAAATAACTGACAGGATCGTGTCGACTAATGAAAGTCTCTGTTAAAGCATGAAGCCTCAGGAGTAAAAAAACAATTAAAGTTGATATTGTTGGAGAAAAAGGAGATAAAAATGGAGATTTTCTGACATGAATCTGTGGAAACCTTCATTCTCATCACTCCTGTCCGATTTATTTAACCTGCTGAAACTGACGGAGTGATGAGATGATATCCTCAACCCTCTTTAAATGGAGCCTGTAAAGTTCCAGAGATGTTGCAGCTTAAACCGACTTCCAAATTTGGAGGATGTGATCATCAGATGACTGTGAGAATGAAGCTTGACGAATGTGAAACTCACTTTAATCGAGAAATTTAATAAGATTATATTTTTTTAGATTTATTCTCGAGCCAGAAAGTCTTTTCAGAGTGATTCGACCAGCGGGTTTTTCTTGGAGGACTGTGAATAAAAGAGGAATAAAGAGTCACCTTCTGCTTCTTATACCTGCCTCAGACATTTAACGGCTGTTAATTACTGCATCCACCAGAGACACAAACACAGCAGCTGTAAAGAAGGTGATAATAAAGGTTAACTACAGCGACAAATTAGCTTTAAACCACGACTATAAATGAATGAACTTTTCCCTCCGGAGTGATGTTAGCCTCGTATCATCACACTAGTTGGTTTAAGCACATATGACTCTCAGAAGCAATATGTTCAGCGCAGAGAGCCGCGAGATCGAGGGGAGCGTCTAATCCGTGAGCTGTTGTTGTTTCTCAGCTGGGTCTGACATCCTGTTCTCAGCGAGAGACGCAGCAGAGAGGCGACGAGAGGCTTCCTACAGTCAAGCTGTTCTCCCAGCTGTCCCAGCGGGTCACTCAAACCTGCTTCCTGTCTCTGTATGCAAATAAAACACAGAATACAGTGTACAGTCGGCTCCTGCACACAGGTAGATACACGCTGAGAGCGCCATGTGTCACTGCTGGACTCCTGCCACCGCTCTGTCCAGGAGGATTAAATCACTCATCGGGGTCTTAAACCATGAAGCAGTCCCTCCTTATCGAGGAAATACTGTCTTTGATTCAGGAGTAAGAAAGAGCAGATCTTCACTGTTTATATCCTCCATGAGGGCGAGTCTCAGATCTGTTATTTTACATCTGTTGTTTCCACGCTGACCTGCTTTTATTTCCTCCCTTCATTGTTGATTCAGAGTAACAGGAACTTAACGCTTTATTCCCAGAATGCCTCACATTATTCTCCCACCTGTTCCTTTAACTGGAGCATTAATCATCTCCAGTTATCGGCTTATTGTCCCGGGTATCAAAATGGATCATCTCCAGTTTAATCAACTTTACAGAAAGTCCTTCAGGCCAAGGAAACTGTCTCAACAGTCAAATTATGATCATATCTTTCAGTTTTTCATAGTAATAGTAATTAATCACATTCGTTAGTGTTTAAGTCTTTATTTCAATGCCTGATATGATTGACGTAATGTTTGAATCAGCAGATATATGGATATCTGTTGGTATGTACCTCTGCTGATAACATCATGTGAGGCGACTTCAACATGTCGGCGATAAGGGCAGAAAAACAGCTGATTATGATTTGTAAAGTTAAGATGAGGAAGAGCGAAACAGCCCTCCCATAGACTGTATTTACAAAACGGACGCAGTCTGCCTCCTCGCTGCGTGAAGCCACCGCGAGAACAGCACCCTCTGGTGACGGGCTGCAGTATAGGTCATGAATCCCGCCTCCTCCAGCAATCCTTATGGAGCAGTTTCTCAGGCAGCGCAGTGGTGTAGTGGTCAGCACCGTCTCCTCATAGTAAGAAGGTTGTAGGTTCGAATCCTGGTCAGGGTGTTTCTGTGTGGAGTTTGCATGTTCTCCCCGTGTCTGTGTGGGTTTACTCCAGTTTCCTCTCACATCCCAAAAACATGCAGAAGTGGGGTTCGGTTAATGGTGATGTGGATGTGGATGGTTGTTTGTCTCTATAAGTTAGCCCTCAAAGTTGTTTTCTGAGCAGTCAGGGAGTTATTTAAAAAGCGTTGGTGTTATTTTCCATCATTATCGATGATCTGCTTCAAGCACTGCCTCAGACTCAAAATCTGAAGTTAGAAAAAGTGGAAAAATCAAAAATAGGAGCTTGTTTTACACTTTATATTGATATATTGATATAAGCAGACTGCAAACGTCTCGCCTCTCAGTCAGTCAGTCAGTCGGCAGTGGAGCCTCTTCAAAGCTCTGAGGTTCAGTCATGAGATCATTACAGGGCGGCGACGATGACAGAGGCGGTGAGCGGCGAGTGACACACGCCTCAGAACCTACCGGTAAATGTCCCTGTAATTACACAGCAGCAGTCAAGAGACCTGACAGTTTTCCTGTTTGATTATTTTAACGCCATGTCATCTCTGCCCCCTCAGTGCTGGAGAGGAAAATGTCCACGCGTCAGAGCAGAGAGGAGCTCATCAAGAAGGGGGTGCTGAAGGAGGTGTACGAGAAAGGTGAGGGTGGAGGAAACAAAGGAGGACATCTTTGAACCTGGTGAAACTCACAGTCGAGTTTTGATGAAACCTTTCAGGCCGTGATTTAACCTCCTCCATCTCAAATGAATCCCTTCATGTCTTAAAAACGTCTCAGCTGCAGCTCTTCAACCTTAATTTCATTTAGTGTGAGCAGATCCAAGAATCACCTCGTCTTATTCCACCCCCGCTCACCTGCTCAGCCTGTTCTGCTCTCAGAAACATTCAGACAGAAGTATTTCAGCCCCTGGATGAACTTTGTGTTCCTAAGTTTTAAAGACGTTCACCTCGACATGTCGATCTCATCTTTTCCTGCTCTCTGTCCGCACAGACGGCTCTTGCTCGGCCGTACGAGAGGAGGTGAAGATGGAGAACGGGCGCTCTCCGGTCCTGGGCTCCAGCCTGTCAGAGTGCGAGGGCGCTGAGCTGATGGAGGGAGCGGCTGCAGCTGGAGGTGAGCAGCAGAGCCGAGTCGCTGATGTTTCCTCATCTCTGACCTTCAATCGCAGAATCTGAGGGTTTGATTCCTGCCTCTTCTTCTCTTCTCTTCTCAGGCTCTCTGGAGTTTCACATGTCCAGTGAGGCGGCGTGTCAACAGGACCACACCCAAAGATCCATCCAGGCCCCGCCCACAAAGAAGTCAACAGTTTACCCCTCTGAGGGCGCTGAGTCACCGCACAGACCTCCCACGCTACACAAACAACCTCCAGCGCTGCCGCCCAAACCCTTCAACAGGCTACCTAATCACATCACAGGTATGTTTGTGCACGTGCACGCTCGCTTCTGCGTCCACGGCTGAGTGTGTGCACGTCTAATCCGCTATCTAACACACACCCCTCCATGCAGACGGAGCCCCGGTGAAGCTGCCGTGTATGTCGGTGAAGTTGTCTCCTCCTCTACCTCCAAAGAAGCTCCTGATCTCCGTACCTGCAGGGAGCATGGAGCCCTCTCCGCTCGCCTTCCAGAAGTGCCCCGCCCCCCCCAGCCACGCTCCGATGGGCGGGCACTCCCTGCCGTACGGGACGCTGCCGGTTCCCCTCCACCCTCCCAGCCGGATTATAGAGGAGCTCAACAAGACCCTGGCCCTCACCATGCAGAGGTTTGAGAGGTGAGGAGCTGAGATCTCATTTACAGCCGTGTGTCATTTCTGCTTTTCTTGGATCATTTAATCCTTCAGTTATTATTAAAAATGTACAATCAACACGTTTGACAATTTGACGACAGGCTGGATGAAAGCTCTTCACATTTTAGCCGAACTGACGGCATTAAGGAGAAAACTGCTGTCGCCGTGGAGATGAAACAAACGGAGGAGTGTTTTTATCACTCGCCTCTTTTATTAACTGCAGCTTACACGCTCCGTCCTCTCTCCTCCACATCCATCAATGTGATTGGTTGCCTGTCTGCGCACATATTTTCCACAAGCCAGGCCCTGCTTACTGATGTGCCTCTTGGGTGTACGCCCATCTTTATATCCTGTATATTTTCACAAATGGGACTTTATCTGCAGAGTATTTCTGAGAGAAATCACTTCATTTCAATCCTCATCTTCTCACTGTCTTCCACATCGTTCCTCTCATGCACTCCTGAACTCTCTCACCTCCATCCTGCAGCTCCATGATGCACACCGTTCCCACGGTGATGATCGAGTGCGACGACGACAAAGAGAACCTGCCCGGCGAGGCGGACTACGAGGACCTGCCCGGTATGTACAAGGACGAGGAAGAGGAGGAGGAGGAAGAGGAAGAGGAAGATGATGAGGAGGAAGAGGAGGATGAGGAAGAGGATGAGGATGATACGTTTTTTACAAGTAGGTGCTCTCGCTCTCTGACTGAATAGTGCGTCAGTTCAGTGGAGTGTCAGTTACTGTCGTCTGTGTGAAGAGTGTCTGTGTTCATGCTTTAATATTCACAGTGACATGCTGCAGCGTGGACGCGCAGGACCTCTCACCGAGGTGTTTGTTTATGGTTTATTTACTGCACACACCGTACATTAAACCTCAGAGGAGGAAAACAGGGAATTTATGCTGGTGACAGAAAATGAACCAACACAAGCGAGATGGTTCTTAAATGTTGGGAGTCATTTCTTCTCTCTGTTTCATGTGGGTTTCTCAAACACAAACAAGATTTTAAAAAACAAAAACGTTTGACGACAAAGAACGAAGAAGTAGAACAAAGGAGCCAAGGAAACAGGAACAAGGGACTGAGGCAGCGAGGAAACACGAGTATGAGCTCGTGATAAGGAAACACTGGAGGTTTAATAAGGACATTAAAACTCGAGATAGAAAGTAAACAAAAAACAACAATAAAGAGGTTAAATGTAAAGATATAGAGGAATCAGAAATGTTATAAACCAATAAAGAGAAATAAACAGACGCAACTAGAGAAGAGATAACACCATTTCATAAGAGAGGAGAGTTTAAAACAATAATAATAAATGAATAATAAAACTAGATTAGAATAAATAAGTAAACAGATTCATAAATGAGGTTAGTTAAGACTAAATTGGAAGGTCATGAGTGTTAGGGTTTCATATCCTCTTATCAACAGCCCTACTGTGGCTTTTTTCAGACAGATGTATCAGGGTATTAGTTGATGCAGGACATGGATGTCTCTCAACCAACCAATCACAGCTCTTCCTTTCAGCCAGGAGGCCCATTTAAACTCACCTCCCCCATACTAACTACCTCCTGAGCTACTGCAGCCCTATAACGGAGTATAGAGCGGTCGTCCAATTACTGGAAGGTTGGCATTTCAATTCCCCTCTTTCCCAAGTCTATCTGCTGTATCCTTGGTCAAGACCGAAAGAATCGTAATTAACTTAATGCCATTAGATATGTACAGCTGATATAAGTATCCCTGCAGTTTGTCTTAACTCTGTTGTGATTGTGAGGAGTTATTATATATATATTATAATTGTAGGCACACTGGCCATGAAGGTTTTACGGAAGGACTCTCTGGCCATCAAGCTGAGTAACCGCCCGTCCAAAAGAGAACTGGAGGAAAAAAACATCCTGCAGCTGCAGTCGGACCAGGAGAGACTCGAGTCCCGGCAGCAAACGGCCACCAAACTGACCAGGTGAGGCGCACCATCAGATATTACACAGATCACACACATGTGCAGACACACACCTCTACATGCAGACCGGGTCACATGTAAAGTGTTTCAGCTCTCATATTAGCTGTGATTGATTTGACCTGGCTGCTAACGGGAGCAGATGATGGATGATGAGTCATAATGGAGTGAGGAGGAGAGAGATTAAAGCTGAGGAGCTGCTGCATGAGGAGGAGACGTGAGGGAAATAGAAAGTGGGGTACAGAGTGTGGTGTAAGTGAAAGGTGCAGCAGGCGTGTGCAGGTGCAGAAGTAATGCACAAAGTAAATTTCATATAAGAATAATCAGAGAGACTGCAGGTCTTAGTGTTTGAATATGATTGAATGACAGCAAGTTTAATTTTGATGAAGAGAAACCTTGCATTGGATTTTATGTTGATGATTTTTACCTCTTTTTAACCCTTGTCAATTTAATATAGCAGTAAATTGTGTCTTTTACCTGCATGCATGAATCAAACATAGAAAACACTGTTTCCTGAAATAGAGGTGTCACTATCTTTCAGGCGGTTGAGTCAGCGGCCTACAGCAGAGGAGTTGGAGCAGAGGAACATACTTAAACGTGAGAAACGCACTAAAATAATGATAATAATAATGAAAATTATGAGTTCCTCGGGTTTGACTGTGGTTGTCTTCTTCTGCCAGCTCGAAACGATCTGGAGGAGCAGGAGGAGAAGAGGGAGATCAAGAGACATCTATCCAAAAAGGTAAGATTCGCAGGTGGAGGCTTTGATGGTTTTTCACAGCCCCCACTGTAAAGGGAACATGGTTGCCATGGTGACTAAACTGCCACCCTCCAGAAAGGTTGATTGTATCATCTGTTACATCACCCCCTCACTCTGTTCGGTGTGTAAGGAAAATCTCCTTCATGATGATGTTCATGACAGATAACTTCATATTGTGTTCAAATTTTTTTTTACTCTTATCTATAACTGCAAACACTTATTTGTTTTGTTAGTAAACACGAGCTGTGGAAATGAGTTAAGTGGGATTTTAACTCCAAAATATTGAAACAGTTGTAAAGCAAAATTTTAAGGAAAATAGAGATGATAGTATAGTATGGTAAAAATTGTCATAGTATACTATGCTAAAAATTGTGATAGTTTAGTATGCCAAAAAATGTCATAGTATAGCATGTTAGAAATTGTCATAGTATAGCATGTTAAAAATTGTCATAGTATAGTATGATAAAAAATGTCATAGTATAGCATGTTAAAAATGTCATAGTATAGTGTGATAAAAAATGTCATAGTATAGCATGTTAAAAATTGTCATAGTATAGTATGATAAAAAATGTCATAGTATAGCATGTTAAAAATTGTCATAGTATAGTATGATAAAAAATGTCATAGTATAGTATGTAAAAAAATGTCATACTATAGTATGATAAAAAATGTCATAGTATAGCATGTAAAAAAATGTCAAAGTATAGTATGTTAAAAATTGTCATAGTATAGTATGATAAAAAATGTCATAGTATAGTATGTGCAAAAAAAATGTCATAGTATAGTATGTTTGAAATTGTCATAGTATAGCATGTTAAAAATTGCCATAGTATAGTATGATTAAAAATGTCAGTATAGTATGTTAAAAATTTCATAGTTAGGTATGTTAAAAAGTGTCATAGTATAGTATGATAAAAAATGTCATAGTATAGCATGTTAAAAATGTCATAGTATAGTGTGATAAAAAATGTCATAGTATAGTATGTTAGAAACCAACTTTAGAGAGTGTGTCAAAAAATTGTCATAGTATACTTTGCTAAAAAAATGTGATAGATCAGTATGCTAAAAAATGTCATAGTATAGCATGTTAGAAATTGTCATAGAATAGCATATTAAAAATTGTCATAGTATAGTATGATAAAAAATGTCATAGTATAGTATGTGCAAAAAAAATGTCATAGTATAGTATGTTAAAGATTGTCATACTATAGTATGTGCAAAAAAAATGTCATAGTATAGTATGTTTGAAATTGTCATAGTATAGCATGTTAAAAATTGCCATAGTATAGTATGATTAAAAATGTCAGTATAGTATGTTAAAAATTTCATAGTTAGGTATGTTAATAAGTGTCATAGTATAGTATGCTAAAAAATGTCAAAGTATAGTATGTTGCAAAGATAAAACTATAATAAAAAATGTCATAGTATAGTATGTTAGAAACCAACTTTAGAGAGTGTGTCAAAAAATTGTCATAGTATACTTTGCTAAAAAAATGTGATAGATCAGTATGCTAAAAAATGTCATAGTATAGCATGTTAGAAATTGTCATAGAATAGCATATTAAAAATTGTCATAGTATAGTATGTTTGAAATTGTCATAGTATAGTATGTGCAAAAAAAGTCATAGTATGGCATGTTAAAAAAGGCATAGTTTAGTATGATAAAAAATGTCATAGTATAGTATGATAAAAAATGTCATAGTATAGCATGTTAAAAAATGTCATAGTATAGTATGATAAAAAATATAGTATAGCATGTGCAAAAAATATGTCATAGTATAGTATGATAAAAAATGTCATGGTATAGTATGATAAAAAATGCCATAGTATAGCATGTTAAAAAATGTCATAGTATAGTATGATAAAAAATGTCATAGTATAGTATGTTAAAAATTGTCATAGTATAGTATGATAAAAAATGTCATAGTATAGTATGTTAAAAATGGTCATAGTATAGCATGTTAAAAATTGTTATAGTACAGTATGTTAAAAATTGTCAAAGTAAAGTATGATCAAAAATGTCGTAGTATAGTATGTTAAAAATTGTCATAGTATAGTATGTTAAAAAATGTCATAGTATAGTATGTTAAAAATTGTCATAGTATAGTATGATAAAAAATGTCATAGTATAGTATGTTAAAAATGGTCATAGTATAGTATGTTAAAAATTGTCATAGTAAAGTATGTTAAAAATTGTCAAAGTAAAGTATGATCAAAAATGTCGTAGTATAGTATGTTAAAAATTGTCATAGTATAGTATGATAAAAAATGTCATGGTATAGTATGTTAAAAATTGTCATAGTATATTATGATAAAAATTTCATAGTATGGTATGTTAAAAAATGTCATAGTATAGTATGATAAAAAATGTCATGGTATAGTATGTTAAAAATTGTCATAGTGTAGTATGATAAAAAATGTCATAGTATAGTATGTTAAAAATGGTCATAGTACAGCATGTTAAAAATTGTTATAGTACAGTATGTTAAAAATTGTCAAAGTAAAGTATGATCAAAAATGTCGTAGTATAGTATGTTAAAAATTGTCATAGTATAGTATGATAAAAAATGTCATGGTATAGTATGTTAAAAATTGTCATAGTATATTATGATAAAAATTTCATAGTATGGTATGTTAAAAAATGTCATAGTATAGTATGATAAAAAATGTCATGGTATAGTATGTTAAAAATTGTCATAGTATAGAATGATAAAAAATGTCGTAGTATAGTATGTTAAAAATTGTCATAGTATAGTATGATAAAAAATGTCATGGTATAGTATGTTAAAAATTGTCATAGTATATTATGATAAAAAATTTCATAGTATAGTATGTTAAAAAATGTCATAGTATAGTATGATAAAAAATGTCATGGTATAGTATGTTAAAAATTGTCATAGTGTAGTATGATAAAAAATGTCATAGTATAGTATGTTAAAAATGGTCATAGTACAGCATGTTAAAAATTGTTATAGTACAGTATGTTAAAAATTGTCAAAGTAAAGTATGATCAAAAATGTCGTAGTATAGTATGTTAAAAAATGTCATAGTATAGTATGATAAAAAATGTCATGGTATAGTATGTTAAAAATTGTCATAGTATAGTATGATAAAAATTTTATAGTATGGTATGTTAAAAAATGTCATAGTATAGTATGATAAAAAATGTCATGGTATAGTATGTTAAAAATTGTCATAGTATAGAATGATAAAAAATGTCATAGTATAGTATGTTAAAAATTGTCATAGTATAGAATGATAAAAAATGTCATAGTATAGTATGTTAAAAATTGTCATAGTATAGTATGATAAAAAATGTCATAGTATAGTATGTTAAAAATTGTCAAAGTAAAGTATGATCAAAAATGTCGTAGTATAGTATGCTAAAAAATGTGATAGTTTATTATGCCAAAAAATGTCACTGTATAGCATGTTAGAAATTGTCATAGTATAGTATGATTAAAAATGTCATAGTATAGTATGTTTAAAATTTCATATATTATATGATAAAAAAATCTCGTAGTATATTACAAAGCATGTCATAGTAAAACATGTCATAGTATTGTATGATAAAAATTTTGATAAAAAGGAAGATAGAGATGATCAACCTTTCCCGTATTTTATGAATGAGGACACATTCATGAACCCACCTTTCTGATACCTCCAGCTCAGTCAGAGACCCACGGTGGAGGAGCTGCGTGAGGCCAAGATCCTGATCCGCTTCAGCGACTACGTGGAGGTAGCCGAGGCTCAGGACTACGACAGGCGAGCGGACAAGCCATGGACTCGACTAACAGCTGCTGATAAGGTCAGCTGGACTCGCTGGTGTCTTTACTAACAGAGGCAGTCTGTGAGTTTGTCGTTTGTGTGTGTGTCTTTGAACAGTTGTTATTTGTGTGTTTTTCAGGCTGCCATCAGGAAGGAGTTGAACGAGTTTAAAAGCACAGAGATGGAGGTGCACGAGTCCAGTCGGCATCTGACCAGGTAAGACCAAAACATACATAACTATTGTAGGAAATAAAGTAACACCAGGCAAGTTTGAAGCATCAAACCAACTGTTTACCAAGAATGAAAGTAAGATAGGTGATGCAAAATATATCTGTGTCCACTAAGTGAAACAATAATGGACACAAGCCTAAACTTCCCCACCGCAGCTTTAATTCAGCTGAAGATTTGAAGCTTTGAACGTCACTTGGGCTTCAAAATCTCTTCATTCAGCTTGACAGTTTAGAAATTTGTGTGTGTAATCTGTGCTGTTATTAAAAGTAAGAGAAAAAAACAACCAAATGTTTGTACTGTACCTTTATTTTTTTATCTGCAAATGTAAGAAAGAAAAGTTTGATTTCTTGCAGAGTTTTACACCACCAGATATAACTACTGAACACAAATGATGACCTTTTTGTGATGATAGAGGTCCTGAGTGACGTGTGAATTCTCATCCGTTAAGTTTGGGCAGATGAGCTGGTAGTTTTACTTCATAACACTCTTAATTTGTAAAATGAGAGCAGGTGCTTCAGTCTGTCATTAAATTAGCTGCTTTGAGTGTGCCTGACCACCAGGTGTCACTGTGTTTGCTGAGTTTGAAACAGGCCCTAAAGCTTCACAGTGTACCCTGAACAACCATCCAGATCTTGGTTGAAATATTCATCCTCTCTTCCCTGTCTCGGTGTCTCCCTGCAGGTTTCATCGGCCATAAAACGGTCCGGTCAGACCTCGGACTCGCTTTTATCCTCCCACGCCAAGCCTCAAGTGTTCAGATCGCTACCTGCTGCCCTCGTGCTGACTGCTCCTCTCTCCAGCGTCGACTCTGAATCGACAGACCTGACGTGAACTCGACCCGAGCGCTGCAGCCTTCAAGGGAAAGAGGAGCAAACACACGGAGGAGAACTCACAGACTCCTTGATATTCAAAAGCTTTTCATTTTGTATGACGACGACGAAGCTGAAGGTGATTTGTTTACTTTGCAGCACTTTTTGGACAGAATCTGTGCCAATTCCAAGGAGTGGATATGTCAAAGCTGAAGAGGGGACTTCATTTTCTTTCCTTTTTTTGTACAAAGGGATGATTTTGTTGCCTTTCACCAGGTTCTCACTCCTTCTCCATCTTTTCTGAGGGGTTTGCTTGTGTTGGCACAGATGACGTTCTCATTGTCTCATTACCTGAGGACTTTAAAGCACTCGCAGCAGATCATGGCTGTTGTAGGCAGCTGACTCGAAAGCCAAACTCTCCATAAATCCGAATCAAACTCCCTTAAACTTTTCCGCGTTAACAGGTTAAGATCTCCGGACACAAACACACCAATCAACAGCAATAATTTCAGATTTCCTCCACTTCTTCATCTCCTTTACGGGCTGCATTCACGAGTCCAACACGTCCAGATCCCCGTTTTCAAACCAAAGCAACTTGACTTGCTGTGGAAGTTGTGATCTTGAATGCATCTCAGAGTTCAGTAACGCACTGTGTCGCTGTGCCTACAGTATTGTTTACAGGGATTTAAAAATTGCCAAATTAACTCATTTCATTTGATACAGACTATTTATCTGTAGACACGGTCAAATGTTGCTGAACTCTCTGGAACTTTTGTTTTGGTGATTCACTTTTTATTATGAACTTTCTTGATACAAAACCTGAGAACTCTGCCATCTTACTTTTCATGTTTTTATCGTTTACAGTCCATGTTAGGCTCATGAAATGAAAAGTCTGGAGAACTGGTGTTTGTGTGTGTGTGTGTGTGTGTGTGTGTGTGTACGAGAGCCAGAAATATCACTGTCTCCTGTCTGTGGAAAAGCTGTTTTGAGAGACTCTCAGAATTATAAATCTTGTACATAACAAAGGAAGAAAGTGAGACTTTTCAGATGTTTTTGTAAAGCAGAAAACTGCATGTGAGTATTAATTTATTGTGAGTCTTCTATGATGTATGCAGTTTCTTAATGAAGGAAACTTATTAAAAAAATAAGTTTATGATTCCTCGCCTCTTTCCACGCAGGTTTTGTGCGTTCACCTTCATCGGCTTCTTTGTTTTCTGAGGTCATTCATTCATGCTTTCATTCAAGTCTCGTTTTTGTTTATCGTCCTCGGAGGAAGCTGGGAATTACTGCATCCTGACTCCCAACTCCTCCGGCTCATTAAAAGTAGTTCGTGATGAGTTTTCGGTTCATTCATGCGAGTCCCTCAGTGGAGGTCAAAGCAGGTCCTGGTGCATCCTGGGAGGTTACACGGCGTGCATCGGGGTGCCGCAGTATTTGTGCCACAAGTCGATGGCTTTTGTCACGATGGCGTCCGTGTTCTCTTGTGGTATCTAAAACCAAAAAAAGAAACTTAATTGTGATTCGGTGGACAGTAACGATAATAAACGGCGCTGGATCCGTCGCTCACATTGCACAGAAACTTGACGATGCCTTCAGGTCTGTTGATCCCCATCAGCATGATCTTGTAGCTCAGCAGGATCTCCAGAGCCACAAAGACCAGGATCTTACAGGAGCCGCTGATCACTTTGTCCCACACCCTGAAAATGATCACAGAGTTTAGAGAACGGAGCAGTTCAGAGAATCTGTGAAGTACGGGCTCCACAAATACACACATTTACCTGCTAAGTGTTCGACAAATCAGACAAATGTAGGAACAGCGGTAGTTTTGGTCATGACACAGAGACGTGGCAAACAGAAATACAGCAGACTGTTGGTTTATATGCTGCTAATCTCATATTTCATCTGCAGTTTGATAGCAGTTTGTAAACATCATGATTGGTCCTGATTTGATTTCTCTCTTTTACAGTTTAGTGGTGAATCCAACAACAACAACAAAAACCCATCTTGAAAGCCTCACACATAGAGCTCTAGTTTTGGTAAATCTGAAGGAGTCTCGCTTAAAAAGAAATAAAAGTAAAATAGGAAAGTAACTGCAAATCATCCCACAAGATTGGTTTCTGATCAAACAGTTTCTCTTTCTTTATAGCAGAAATCTCAATAACTGTAGGAGTTAATAATAGAACATGCAGTGTACCGTATTTTTCGCACTATAAGGCGCACTTAAATCCTTCTGGCTTGTAGGAGCACTGCAGCCACTGTAGCCTCGCGGAGTTATTAAATGAGTTAAATAAAGTTTGACTTATCTGACTGTTTTGTTTGGCTTAATGCGCTTTATAATCCGTTGCGCCTTATGTATGAAAATAGACGCGAATAGATGCGTTCATTGATGGTGCGCCTTATAATCAGGTGCACCTTATGGTGCGAAAAATACAGTAAGTTGAGAATGCTTTATTTGGCACATTGCCTCCTAAGGATTACTTAGAAGTTATTTGAATACTTGGTAAAACTATCTTTAAAATACTGGAACAACCCTTAGAGATATTGTCACTGTGTGTTAGTTGATAAAGAGAGATCTGATACTCATATTTCTATGTGGTAGTCTGATCTCAGAGATTTAGAGAGCAAAGTGGTTTAAAGATCTTAAAAAAGCTTTACGGTTATATTCAAGGATTAAAATATGAAATCTCAGGTTTATGAGAACAAGTGAATCTTTGTTCTGTGTCGGTTTTATAAAGATGTGACACTCTGGTGATTGAGTTTGTTCCATTATCTGCAGACTGACCTCTGCAGGCTGGATTCAGGGAGGCAGCCGGCGAAGCAGCGTCTGAACCAGAGGCTGTAGGGCAGCTGGGCGAGCGCTCCGCTGTTCTTCAGGTGGTTCAGGAGTCGAGGTTCCTCCTGACTCAGATAATGCTCCAGACTCTTTGGCTGCAACAAGACGGAACAGCAGAAACGATTCTTTAATTCACTGCGACATAAATAAAACCACTGAAAGATCGACTCTCATTACTGTGAGGGCTTTTATTTATTTATTGAACACTTTCAGGGAGTTTTGAATTTTTGCAGCTGATGAAGAACTCGAGATGAGACTGAAGGCTCTGAAAAACTACTCCTAAAAGTTTGCACATATATTTTGTGTGACAGATTTGAAGGAGGGGAGCGAGACGATCAAAAAGTGCAAAACTCCTGCACACAGTCTGTCGGATAAAGATCTAGAACTGAAATGCAGCAAGAGTATTTTCTGCAAGTTTTGCATTGGAATAAAGTAGCATGGAACTAACTTAACAACTATTGCAGATCTATATTATTGAGTTCTATGTTTAAGGACATATTTTTTGTGAAATTGGGACAAGGTTCTTGGTTTTAATCCTTTAAAAGATATCAAGGTGCTGGATAATAATAGAACAACACCACAAGCCCATTTGTTTTTGTAATAAATATTACACAAGAGAATAAATGTACACTATTGCAGCCTAGAAGAGAATGATGTGATGCTTATTGCAGAGTGTGACTCACCAGGTGAGGAACTGAGTCTCCAAACTTCGTGTGGAACTGATTGACGAAACATTTAATCAGCCAATAGCAGTCGATAGGATCGTCTACGATCTCCTCCATGGCTCGGCTGATGGAGAGAAAATCCTCGTTCTCTTCATCCTGAAACAACAGACTCCCATCAGGACATCTAACAAGACTAAAATATGAACCAAGTTAAGTTCAAGAACCATCAGTCTGGATCAGATCAGTTAGTGTGAGCAGAGTTCATGTTTCTAATAACTGATAAATCAACTTTTGGATCATGATACAAGAGTACAGTCTCTGCTACAATCTTGCTCGTACTTAAAACCAGGAGTTTTTAGTTGAACAAAAACACTGATTCACAAAAAAAATGTGATCATTTTACCAAAAGAAGTGCGACTAAATACATCTGAAAAGGTCAGTGGACTCCATTCAAGTGACTAAATTCACACAAAAAAAGCTCAAGATTCTGGTCTGATGGTCCTGCTGTGATGGTCTTTCTGTGATGGCAGTGCTTCTCACCGGGGCAGAGATCTCAGAGCACCGTGGCAGCACCTGGCTCTCCAGCTGGAACATGCGCAGGTAGATGTGGGTGGAGGGAGTGGAAGAGCTGATGTACCGCATCACCTCCAGAGCCTCCACGATGTCCTGGTACTGCTCCTTCCTGTAGCCTCCAACCAGAGTGTGAGAGTCACTGTGGGGAGGAAGGATACCTGCGGGGACGAGAAGGGAGAGCTTGTTTGATCACTTTAATGAGACAGCAGGCTTTGACTCTTCATACACACAGTTTTGACCATCACTAAGATATGTCTGTGTGTATTTCTGCAACAATTAACCCATTAATTGGTTAGTTCCAATCAATAGAAAGTCAGATTTATTATTGCAGGAACTTTCCAGCACAACTTTCATAAGGATTTGCATCTTTTACAGAACATCACAGCTCTTATTTAATTTGTTAGGAGTGATTTCTTACCCAATAACACCTTCCACACATGGATCCTGTACATGGATGGGAGAGGGAACCTCTGACTGAAGGTGCTCAGTTTTTCCAGATCTGAATTAATGAGAAAAAGGAAAATATTCACACCAGCATCCATCGAAACTCATGTGGTCCTCCTAAAATTACATGTTTATGACTTTAGCTAACATGCTATTGATTTCATACAACCTATTTTCATCTTAATGTTGTAAGCCACATACCCAGAGGATTATCTTTGAGCAGTATTTCCAGAGATTTCTTCTCCTCCACTCCTCTGAAACCCACTTTCTCATAGTATGCGGAGCGGAAGTTCCTCTGAGGGTCGTCAGCCATCCTGATGTAAAAACAGATGACTGAAAAACAGAAATTTACGTCGTTTTACCTGACATTAGCTGTCAAAGACGACATAACTACAACATTCAATATCAAAAACACTGAACTAACTACTGCACCGTAAAATGTAGCGTTTGGAAGGAATGACAACTTAGAGAGAAATGTAAAAGTTACCTTTAAAGGAGCTTCATCCAGGAACGGTGATACCTGTACAGCTACAAGCTAAAGCTAGTTAGCACATAAACTACATAGCATTAATGTAACTTAAGGGGGTTGTAATGTGTAAACATGATTTCAGCAGTTTAATTAACATGACAAAGCAGAGTTTTAACCAACATTAAAGCCCGACAGACTGGTCTGAACACATTGACTTGGTGAAAAAGCCGACCCAGTCTGCTAAATGCTAACTCTGTTGTTGTTGTTGTGTAAACGCTTCCGGTTGGCGCTTTCAAATTAAGGTACCCAGACAAAAATAACAGGCGAGATTCCGCGAAGTTGCCAATATTTTACGCAAAAAAATCATCAGGTAAAAGCGCAAAAATATTCGGCCAATTATTTTTTTTAAATGTTAGTCCACTCTAAGGATCCTCTAATCTTTCTTTGGCCTTTAGTCTTTTTTTTTTTGTTTGTTTTAATGGATGAAAACAGTTTGTTGAGTTTCTCTGCTTTCAAGTGTTTATTGAGATTTGTGTCAAGTTTAAAGAAACTATAGAATGAATTAATCAAGAATCTTGCACCCCTTTTTTTCACAAAACTTTAAGACTTCAGATAAACTTAAGTATGCTTTTATTTTGAAGACAACTTTGGAGGCAAGAAGATATACTTCCGGTATCATTTAATTTAAAATAACTGATGTAGAACGAATATACATCTATGTACGTAACATGTCTTCGGAAGAGGCGGTATATTATCCAGCCCCGAAAACGCAGTTACATGTATTATAGTTTCTTTCTACTTGTTTTATTTATTTATTTACTTTTTGCTCCTTTAACTGACACTGCAAAATAAATGACAAAATTACGTATTATAAAGCAGCAGAGCCTGCCAAGGAAGACATCTATAAGGTTTAAGGTAGGGTTAACATTTGTGCTAAATATCTGAGATATCTAACTCACATTATAACAAATTTAATTGAGTATTTCATGGATGAAATCAATGAAAACATGAACATGATGTTTCATTTAGCAAACTTAGCTTTTATGTGATGTAGCTCTTCTTGGAAATATCTACAGCATATTGTCCTTCCTTATCAAATATAACCATGATATTGGACCCGAATATGAAGACTTTTATTCTCTTAAAGTCTTTTCTTTTGCATTTGTTAATAAATTAAATAAGTTTGAGGAAGAAAATAGGTTCAAGAGTCAAGGCCAATGTTTGGACCTGCAGCCATTGCATTAACGACTGTAATCTTTGAGTATCAGGCACATTTGTTACTGAATATTATAGAACCAGTGCCAAAAAATACTCACACTAAACCAAAAATGACACAAAACTAAGTATATTTAACCATTACAGTTTGGCAAACCATATGACTTTTTATGATTCCTCATTGTGACACTGGTGATCCTGTTCCTTACTTTTGTAGTCTTTATAAGATATTATGATGTATGATTACATTTGGGTGTAATGTTATATTATAGAAAAATTATGCACCACTCCACAAACTGTATACAATAACATTAACAGACTACAAACTAGAGGATATTTTATTTTTTACATATAGTTATTAAAAGTGTCATTTTCAAGCTATAAATAAGAACCAACATGAATCATGATGAGTAAAAGACTCTTTTATTTTGATATGTTAGGAAACTGGTACAAAACCTGAAGATTTTTTTTTTTTTTTCAGCAAGAAACCATTGATTATGATAGATGCAGTAAAAATTAGTACAACATTTGTAACCCCACTTTGTGTTCCCTTTCCCTGACAGAACAGGCATTTCAGATGTCAAATAAAACAGTTGTAATACCATTGCAAAGCTTAAACAGAAATTACATTCAAAGAAGATATGAAATACATCATTAGTGCATGCAAAAATGTGGTAATCCTAAGCCTTTTTGGGGGGACCCATCAGACACTTTATTTTTGAGCCAAATACCTTAAAAAAGATGTAATTTATACTTAAATCCAATTTATCAAATATGTATTGGCAGTATTAACAGGGATGATCATTGCAGTATACATTGTAAGACCATAGCGACACCAAAGCTTCATTCTAAAACTATGCAAAAAGTTGAAGGAATCATATTTGAACTTTTTTTGATATGCAACAAACACATTTTCAGTGCTGTTATCTGACAAATCATAATACTCATTATTCGGTGGTGCTGCTGAAGGAGGTGGAGGTGAAGCTGTAGCGACTAGATGTCGTGACAGGGGAGCCTAAGTCCAGACTGCTCCTGCGGGAGCTTCTTCGGGAGCCACTTCTTGAACCAGTAGTGGATCCAGGTGCAGAGGAGACATTGTAAGGACTGCTGATCCCTGTGGAAGACATTGATGAAGCAGGAAGCATTCGCACTCCAGTGCTTTCCTCCGACATGCAGTTATCTAAAGCATCTTTGTATGAGATTTTAAGTTTGGTCTTGGGGCATGTCAGGTTCTTTGAGTGACTTTTCAAGTCTTGGAGCCTTTGGGCAGCTCTCGCATCCAGCCAGCCCATGCTCAAAGCATCTTGTATAGATCTCCTACAATCATTTTCTGGGTCCTGAAACCCCCCTGTTATATACTGGAACTCGAGGAACCTGTGCCCAGCCTCATATGGCAGCCACTTCTCCTTCATGGCCTCAGCAGCAGACATCTTCCTTTTGGTTTTTAAATCCTCGAAGCCTACATAAGCTTTCTGGGCAGGCTTGAGTTTAGAGGCCATGTCCTCATCTATTAAGCCCTGACGTGTGGCCTCTTGAATGCCAAGCCTTTGGCCATTGGCAGGGTTGACGATACCACCCGTGCATGCCTGGGCCTCCAGCAGTCTTTGGGCAGTGATGGTATCCACGATGCCCCGGTCCAAAGCCTCTGTGATTGAAATCTTCTCTAAAGTTTCTGTGTCAAAAATGGCACCTACAGGTGCCTGTTCTCCCATCGTCATGACAGGGGAGGCCAGAGAGATAGATACACTGGATATATTTCTGACTGTGTCAGGCGAGTCCCGGGAAACACTGCTTGATGTGGAACTTTGCTCTGAGTAAGAGCTTCGCTCTGAGTAAGAGCTTCGCTCTGTGACAGTCGTTCTTGTTGTGGTCAACTTGGTGAGGGTTGGTGACATGGGTCTGGTCTGGGCTGATGATGAAGATGATGAAGATGTCATAGACGATTGACCTGAGGTCCCTGATGTTCTCGTAGTTGATGATGGACCTGAGGTCCCTGATGTTCTCGTAGTTGATGATGGACCTGAGGTCCCTGATGTTCTCGTAGTTGTTGATGAAGTTACAGATGACATGACTGGGACAGCTGAAGTTTTAGAAGAAGATGATGAAGATGTCATAGATGAGGAACCTGAGGTCCCTGATGTTCTCATAGTTGATGATGAAGTTACAGACGACGTGACCGGGGCAGCTGAAGTTCTAGAAGAAGAAGATGATGATATTGTCACTGAGGATGAACCTGCTGGAGAAGCTGCTGCTCTAGAGGAGGATGATGAGGATGACGTAGACGTCACTGAGGAATTACCTGAAGCTGCTGAGGATCTTGAAGTCGACGATGATCCCTGTTTGGTCTTTTTTGTTATGATATCTGCAAACTGGGTGAGGGTAATGGTACGCGATTTGTACTGACTTAGTTCTGACTGACTAATTACACCTTGTTCGAGCAGCTCAGTTATATCATATTCTCTTCCCGTCTTCCTGTCAACTATTTGAAATGATGTGGAACCATCCGGAGCAGTGATAGTGATCTCCTCCCACTCACACTCCTGCTGAGACAGCTCAATGAATGTGTCATAGTCAATCAATCCTTTGTCATATGCTTCACGTACTGTCATCTCTTTATTTGTCTCTGGGTCGACAATAATCACCCTCCTCTTTCTCAGAGTCGACTCTTGTTTGGACTTGTCATGGATAGGCAAAACGAGGAGGCCGGTTTTCTTGTCTGTGATACAGCGTTTCTTAAGCTCTTTGTATGTAAGGTTTTCCTCTGTGTTAGGGTCAAAGAAACCCTTGGTATCAGCAGTTGGATTAGTCAGGATCTTGTTCATTTTCTCATCAAAGTAACCTTTCTGATAGGCTACGTCTGTGTCAATGCGATGGCTGTGCTCAGGGTCAATTATGCCACCACTGGCAATCTGTGCTTCAAGCAGACGGATACCATGACCCTTCTCCACCAGACCTCTCTCTATAGCCTGAAAGAGGGAGATGGTCTTGTCTGTACCAGGCAGTTTGAAACCAGTCACAGCCCTCTCTGCGGACAACAGGTTGTCCTTGTACTCTGGCCCAAAGAGCCTTTTGCTGTAGGCATCACCAACACTCAGGTAAAGGTTGTTGATCGGATCAACTATAAAACCAGAGGCAGCTTGGGCTTCAAGCAGTTCCAGAGTGGTCCCAGGTCGCAACAGCCCTTCTTTCATGGCCTGATAGACGGGCAACACCTTGTCATTGGCCTCATCATAAATCCCTGCTATACAGGTAGAACCGCTTAGGTAAGGGCTCAGACGGTCTTCAATGTCCCTGCTTGTCAATCTGCCTGTCTTCAGTTGGTCCATATCAGAACGTTTCAGCAGATTTGCATCCACTAAATCCATGACAGATACCTGGTCTCTGAGACCCTGGACAGTTACTGGCTTTTTGGGTTCAGGTAGAAGCAATAGCCCTGTGCTTGGTTCTACTTTGCATTTTTTCTTCAGCGATAAATAGGAAGTTGGTTCCTGGGTGTCTGGGTCAATGTAACACTCAGGCTTCTTGTTTAGAGCGTGAGAGAGGTCCTCATCCAAGAGGTTACGCTCGATAGCTGTTTCTTTTGGGAGGAACACACTGAGGTTTGGATCTAAAATGCCACCTGCACACTCCTGGGCCTGCAGCAGACGTAACCCAGTCTTCTGGTCAACTAATCCCTTCTTCATTGCTCCAAACAGTGATAGAGGCTGAGGTGCACTGAAATCCCTGAAGCCAACAGCAGCAGCTTCTGCTGTTAAGAGTCTATCTCCATCCTTGCTATCCACCACTCCATTGGCACATGCTTCATCTACTGTAAGCTTTTCATTGGTTACTGGGTCAATGATGTGACCTGTGGCTGCCTGAGCATCTAGAAACAAATCTGCAATTTCTACAGGCATGAGTTTCTGCTTCTTGGCCTCTGAAAAAGACATCTTGCCAACAGGTCCAGCTGCCACACCAGCAATTGATCCAGTCCCCTTTAGATAGACTTTCTTATCCAAAGCCACTTCTGGGATAGATTTCTTCCCCTTTTCTAGATCTTTAAAAGTTGGCTTGTCCAGCACACCACAATCAACCAGCTGCTTAGCTGTGACAGGTTTACGAACACCATCAAAGACCAGTTTGGATGAATCTACCCTCTCGGGGACAGGAAGAAGCAGAAGGCCAGTGTTCAGCTCTACCTTACATCTCCTCTTCAGTGACATGTAGGTCACACCCTCCTCACTTTCTGGGTCCAGGTAGAGCTCAGGCTTCTGATTCAGAGCACGGTATATGTTATCATCGATTAGATTACGCTCAATGGCTGTGTCCTTGGGAAGGAACACACTCAGTTCTGGATCTAGGATGCCCCCAACAGACTCCTGAGCCTGAAGCAGGCGCAGGGCTGTGTTCTTGTCAATGAGCCCTTTCTTCATGGCCTCAAATGTTGAAAGGGGTTTGCTTGCAGAAGGACTGCTAAAACCCACAGCTGCAGCTTCTGCTGCCAACAGCCTCTTTCTGTCCTTTTCATCAACCACACCTTGATCACACGCCTCTTCAACTGTGTATTTCTCATTAGTTCTGGGGTCAATGATGTGACCTGTGGCAGCCTGAGCATCAAGAAGCAGATCAACACTATCCGGTGGCAAAAGATCATCTTTCTTTGCTTCGTCAAATGTCATCTTGAATTGGAGACCATTTCCAGACCCTGGACCTTTCTGACCTTCAACTACCACCCCAGCTATAGGTCCTGTACCTTTCAGGTTGATTTTTTTGTCAGCAGCCACCTCGGGGACAGTCTTGTGCCCCTTTGCGAGCTGGCTAAATGTTGGTTTGTCCAAAACACCGCAGTCAAGTAACTGGTCTGCAGTGACTTTCTTGCGGACTCCATCAAAAATCACACTGGAGGCATCCAAGGCTGGAGCCTCTTTAGCTTTCTTCAGCTCAGCCTCCATGCTTAGCCTGAGAGATGTCATCTCTTTTAGTTCTTTCTGGATTGCTGCCAGCTTACCTTTGTACATTTCTTCAAGCTCCCTGAGTTCTCTCATCAGCCTTTCTATCTCGCTTTTCAGTGAATTCTTTTCTCTCTCCAGACGGTCCTTGTCTGTGTCATATTGCTTGATCAGGTCCTGCTTACTTTCAAACTGGTCTTTCCAGTGAGCTAAATCCCTCTTCAACCTCTCAATCTCTTCCTGCAGGCGTTGCTTATTGCGAAGCTCGGACTCTAGTGAGAGCTTAATGCGATTGAGTTCTTCCTCTAGCCTTTTGATGCGGTCTTTGTCATTTTCTGACATTTGCAGTCTCCGCAACAGATCATCTCTCTCAGACACAACGTCGTTGTACTTGGATTGGATTGATTGCATGTTGGCTGTTATCTGCAGAAAAAAGAGGGAGAAGAGTGGAGAGAGAGCATAGATAACAAAAAGTTAGTTTACTCAAAAATAAGTTGAGAAATCTTGTAAAATTAGACCAAAGCAGTTACAAAATTCACATATGAAAAGAAACAGACATGTTATAATTAAGATCAACTGCATCTGTTGAACAATATATTACAAACGACTTCAGAAAAACATAAAATCAACATGTCTTACAAGACTGGGAAGTAAAAGTAAATAGGTAAAACACCAGAGACTACAGGGAGAAAGATTGATGGCATTTTGAAATTTGCCGACACTTGTGCTCCCATTGTATCACAAATAATGTCTGCAGACACTGCAGGCAGCCTTCAGTGAGCAATCCTAGCCACCCTTCCACCCATTCCACTATCTGAGACTTTACCTATAAAGTTTAATTGTCGGAAATGTATCAGTGTTGGATTTCAGAGATGTTACCTGAGCAACATTGGTATGACTTAATACCCTTCCTGGAGCTTTAACTGTCTCCACACACCAAGCGCGAGTAAAATCATTCGTGTGACTCAGGAGGTGCAAATGGCGCGAAATTGGACAGAAGCTGAAAATGTCTCAAATTGCATCACGATGACCAATCAGCACGAAGGTTGCCGGGTGACGTGTGAAAACAGACGGTTGTTCACAGGTGTCTAAAATGGAGGACAAACTGGTCGAGTCGGTGTGTGGGTGCCCCGAATTGTAAGATACCTTTTCTTCAATCACAGAATCTGGAGGAAATTGAGTGAGGAAGCCGGATTACCTGGTAAATTGTAAAAAACCCTTTGTCTATCACTTCATCCCACCGGTTAAATTGGCAGGGATTACCGTTGAAATGACTGTTAACGCGCAAATGAGTAAATATTATTCATTCACGCATCTAGATTTGCACTAATCAAGCGAGTAGATGATTTTATTCGTGCTTGGTGTGAGTACCCCATTAAACTTTATTACATTTTTCTCTTGGACCCCTTTTAATAGCCTTTACTGTTACCTGTCTTGATTTCAATAGTTCTTTTGTGTGTTACGTGAGCTAGTTTTACTTAAAACCACTAAAAGGCTGTTGATGTTTATTGTGAATTCAACCTTCCCAATCCTGCAGACAGACAAACCTTCCAGACGCTACACTGTCAACAGTCACTACAACTAAAACCAACTAGTTTCACTAGTTTCGTCACCTTAAAAAGTTTTTATCTATATTCTGCAAATATGGGAAACAGCACAAATATCCGATGCCCAATGGTAAATGCCGATCACAACAGAAGGGTTTTAAACTGCATCGAAGACTTGAGCGATGAAGATTTTGGCAGTCGTCTTTTCAGGCCTGCATTCATGCTGTATTCACATGTTTGCAAAATATATTTTACAGACAACTATGATAGAACTAAAACGTGACAAACAATAATCAAACAACATCATTGGCATTCAAAATCATTCAGAGCTAAAGAAAACAGCAAAAAAAAATCATGCAAACAGCACAGCTTAAGCGAGACGGCGAGCAGAGAGGCATTTGCGTGCAGGTCTATTTAAACACATACACAGGTATGTGTTCAAATCAGAGTTTCCAAGTGGAAGACTTCTACAAGAAGTGTTCCAGCATGCAAGCATGTGTTTGCCTACAGACAGTGATAGCTACTTGATTGATCCAACTTAGGACTCTGATTTGGAAAGATGAGACCATTCCAGGACTAAGAGCCAAACTTCCATGTACCTCTGTAACCTGCTTTTGTATTTGCTCGGCCTCCAGCTTGAGTTTCTCCCTCTCCGAGGAGAGCTCTGAGACCAGGTTGCGGTAATCTAAATTACTGCGTTCACTGGTCTGGAGCTGCAGCTGAAGGGAAGTGATCTGGGAGGAGAGCTCTTCATCGTGCCCCTGTTTGGATCTCAGGAGTTCCTCTTTGTCATGTTTGGCTGTCCTCATCTCCTCCTCCAGCCTCAGCCTCTCTTTGGTCTGGCTTTCTGTCAGCTCTTTCAGTCTTTGGAGCTCAACAGAGCTCTCATTCAGCACCTTATTCCTCTCCTCTATGGTTTTATAGAGACTCTCGTTCTTGAGGTTAGCCTCTTTGACTCTGGCCTGCTCCTGGAGGAGTTGTTGCTGCAGGGCCTTCAGCTCGGCACTAAGCTGTGTCATACGCTCTTCGGAGGTCTTGTTCTGTTTCAAGCTTTCCTCCAGCTCTCCTTGTAAACGAAGACGGTCTTCTTCAACTTTCTTCCCTGACAAGCTGGCGTTTTCTTGGCTCTGGCGTAGCGTGTTGATGGTGCGGTTGTACTCAGTCATCGTTGTGGTGGTCGTCTCAAGCTCTGTTTCTAACTGCTTTCTTCTGGCAACTTCCTCTTGGTTAGCCTCCCTCAGGCCCTCCAACTGGCTCTCGAGCCCATCTCTCACACCTTGCAGGTCCTTCATACGTCCCTGCAGCCTGCTCATGTTCTGCTCTACTCTGCTCCTCTCTCTGCTTTCCCTCTCTAACTCCAAACGCAACTTCTCAAGCTCATCCTTGCTCTCACGAAGCTGAGTCATGGTCATCGATGCATTGCCTAGCTTTGAATGCATCTGGGACAAGGACTGTTCAAGAACAGCCTGTCCTTCCTCTATAGTCTTCCTCCTGCGTGTCTCCTCTTCCAGACTGTGTGAGACATAAGCCAGCTCTTCAGTCTTGTCTTGCAGGCGTTTCATGGCTTCAGCCAGCTCACTCTCAAACTGGCTGCTCTCATCGTCTCTCTGCCTCATCAGCGCCTCCACCTTACTCTCCAGCTCTCTCCTCCTGCGTCCATCCTCTGTAATGACGGCTCGCTGACTCTGAGCTTCTTCCTCTGCCCTCTTCCTTTGCTCCTCAGCTTGGTTCAGGGACAGCCTCAGCCTCCTCAGCTCATCCTCCAGTTCCCTCCTCTCTGCCTCAACTTTGTCATACTGCAGTTGGAGCTCGGCTGAATTCTCATCCTTCTGGGCTGCCAGCCTCTGCACGTCTGTCCGGCTAACTTGGATCTGGGATTCGAAGTTGAGTTTTAAGTTATTGATCTCCGTACTGCATTGGCTCCTTACCTTTGAAATCTCCCTCTGTAGCTCCTTCACTCTCGCTGCCTCATCAGCCAGCTGCCGCCGCAACTGTTCAATCTCCTGCTCCTTATTTGCAACACTCTTCTCTAACTCCACCTTGGTCCAGCTAACCGTCTCCAGCTCTTTCTGCCTCTTCCTCAGCACAGACTCGTACTCCTCTTGCTGCTGGGTGTAGCGTTCCTCTGCCAGCCTCTTCTTCCTCTTTTCTTCCTCCAGCAGGTAGGTGAGACGATCCACCTGTTCGGTGAGGTCTGCCAGCTTGCCCTGGGTGTTGCCCAGGCTATCCTTGCTGGCAGACACCTGGAGCGCTGCAACTGCTTTCACCTCTTCCATAGATGCTAGCTGATCTTTAGAGTCAGACAGCTCAAGCTGCATGCGACCGAGGGCTTCCTGCAAAGATTTGTTCTTGGCATTTTGATCTTGCATGTCGTCTTTCAGCAGACGGAGCTCTTCTTCTAACAGGTCAATCCTGGTGTTACGCATCTGTGTTTACAAGAAGACAAAGCAATGATCAGTATAGAGGAAGTGCAACTTATTTCGGGGGACACTTTTGTCATCTGAATTTGCATTTGCAGTGCAACCAATATACCGATATAAAAATGCAAAAAAGGAGAGATAAAGAGACCAATCTACTCCAAAGACATGCTGAAGACGTGGTGAGGAAGGCAAGTCTGGCAGCAGCACTTTTGTGTTTGTAAATTACAATTTCTGACTAGTGCCATTATTTAGAGAGGATAGGAACGTGGGTAGAGCAAGAAACCAGAGGGAGAGAAAGTGGGGAGTGGCTTTGGGAAAGGGGCCACAGATTGGAATCAAACCAGGGCCCCACTTGATGACTATAGCCTTTGTACAGGCCATGCAATTTTATTTTCCCGTGGGGCTTTGTTACCTGGGACTGTGGATAAAGCAGAGAACTGGGAGAGAGACTGGGTAATGATGGTAAAAGGCCACAGCTTGGGTTCAAACCCTGACCACCTGCCTAGTATGAGGAATATAACCTGTGCACAAAGGCCATAGTCATCCACTAAGTGAAACTGGCACCTGCTACGCTGCTTTTTGACAGCTTTTATCCCTTAAGGCTTATTTATGCTCGCCATACGTCATAACCGTTTCAAACAATGGTTTCATTCCTGCCCATGTACTTCCATAAGTCTTTATGGAATGGAGGTTAACCATTACCTCCACCATGGGGGCAGGCGGGATGCAGGAGTTCAGTTTAAAGCTTTATTCCTTTGGTGAGCCCCATAACTCGTATTTCAGATCTAGTAAAAACTTGTTTTTAGAGCAAAAGTCAGAATTCCAATAAATATCACAAAAACTATGAATGTAATGACTCTCAGCTCTCATGGGCAGAACCATCATAGATGTCAAACACCAAAAATACAGGATCGGTACCTTGAGATCCTCCATGTTTTTGAGCAGTTCTCCCAGGAATTTGTAGTAGTCAGCAGACTGAGTTAGCAGCTCCATGTAACGCGTCTGCAGCTGTGTCGCCTGAAAGATAAAAACAGCACCGTCATGATTTACTCAGGATAACTTCACTTAACGTCACTGAATCTCAGATGTTTCCCTGATCAATCTTGTCCTTAAGGTTAAGAAATAAAATTAGAATAAAAACGAAGAATCAAGACATCACCTCCAGATTGAGATCCATGGTTGGCGACTTCAACATTGTCCTCTTGATCGGGATGTTAAGCAGAGTCTCCAAACCAGAGGTGTAGGAGTTCAGGTCTGTTTCGTAATCCTGTAAAACAATAAAAAAAATTATAATCCATAAAAAAACATTGTTTTTTTTGTAGGTTTGGAGTCTGTAAAATCACTGTGGGTCTCCTTACCCTGATAGAAACCACACAGGCATCATTGTCCTTCAGCACGCTGTCCACAGTCCCTCTCTTGGATTTGATTTCTCCGTTCAGAGCCTTAAAAACACATAGAGATATAAGGTCAGGTAACATCAGGGCTCTGATGGTTGAACACATGGACACGGTCTCCAAACAAGCACCCAGGGTGGGTTAGATGATGTCACAGTAAAGGGCGGAGCATGAGACCTTCACGTTGTTGAGTTGGTCCTGCAGAACTTGGACGTTCTCTATCTTGGTGGCCTGCAGGGTGTCTTGTTTTCTCTTTGTTGCATCAATCCAGTCGCTCAGGGAGGTGCTGGTTTGTGTGTAGTGGTTCAGCTGAGGTTGGTACATCTGCAGATCTTGGACCCTGAGAAGGGAAGAATGGAGCAACTCTCCTAAGCATCACTTTTATGGATATGCACTGAAATTTTCGGCCTCATGAAATGTAACTCTAGGTGGATCTCCCCCTCGACAACAAATGGCAGTAGATTGCAATTCACCCATTAAATGTGCAAAATATAAATGTAGCCTCACGAGAATCACCCAGAAACGTCTAAGGCCGGGTTGAGCCTGTTTGAGACCAAAACTGTATTTTGAACCAAGTCGTAAACATGTTTATTTTTGCTGAAAAGATCGGCCCGTATGAATGAGTGTGTATGTGACTCCAATAGCTTTTGCTGCCGGCCTCAAGTGGACACTAGAGGAACTGCAGTTTTAAGAATTACCTCGCCGGCATAGATAGAGGGTCATACCTGGTGTCAATCTGTCCAAGGATTCGTCTCCAGCGGTCCGACAGCAGGTTCACCTGCTCGGTGTATTTGGACAGCATCATGTCGCACCTGTGGAAGGGCGCCCCCACCTGGCCGTTCCAGTGACTTGCCTTGGACAGCTCCGACTCCATGGCACTCAGAACATCTTTCTTCATGTCCAGGTCTGATTTCATGTTCTATAAATCAGACACACAAAGAAAATACGGCTCGAATGAAAAGGACAGTTAAAGAGACGATGGACTCAGAATCTTATGAGGCTTTTTATTCCAGAAACACATGTCAAGGATTTTTCTGCAGATGAAGAACAGTAAAAAAATACCCTCAGGGCCAGAATATACTCCTCCACTTCACTGGGAGTCAGAGAGGTGGTCTCTTTCTCTGTAAGTCTCGCCTCATAAACTTTCACAATGTCTTCAGCTCGAGCCACGCTCTCCAGCATGTCCCTTAGAGCCCGCAGCCTGACAGAAAGAGGAGATCAATACATTTATGTTAACAGTGATTTCAGTTTGTCACATTGGTTTGCTCCGTTTAAAGTTAAACTAAGAAAGAAATTTGTCTAATGTGGAAATCAATTCAAAAATAAACATTGATTATTGGCGCCCTTAAAGAGTTTTCAATTACAAACTGACATGAAGCTTCCAGTCAGTTTCACCTTCATATTTGTTTTTAAAGATTTTTTTTAAAAGAGTGTTTTTTTTGCGGCACACATACCGCTGTAGATAAGCTGAGGAGCTGCTCTCCAGACCTCCCAGTCTTTGGTTGATGACTCCAATCTCACTGCGGAGGAACTGGGCCTTATCGGAATCATTCATGCCCTCCAGCTCCTTCGTGATTCGATCTCTGAGACGCAAGAACTCCTCGCGCATCGAGTCCACCTCCCTCTGCACCGTCTGAAGGAATCATGGACACACATGGTTATTGTGGTTTATAACTGTGTTTTTTAAAGATGTGTTTTTATGTCTGGGTTCTTGCGTCTACCTCCAGCTGTGAGATCTTGAGGCCGCAGTCATGCACCCCCTCGTCTCCCAGGCAGATATGCACATGCTGACTCAGCGTGTCCTCAGCACCGTCAAGCCTCAGTCTGAGCGCGTGCAGGTCAGACAAGCTGTGGGAAGATGACACAGTGGTCTGCGTCACCACCTTCTTCTTCCCCGGCAGTGCCGATACCCCCTTCGCAGACTCCTTCCTAATCGTCTGCTCTTTCCTAGACGCCTCTTTCTTTGCGGCCTCTCTCCTCGCCGCCTCTGCTCTCTTCTCTTCCTGTCTTTTCAGCTCTGCTAAACGCCGTTCTTCCTCCAGCCTCCTGGCCTCCTCCTCCCGCCTCCTGGCCTCCGCTTCCGCTTCTTGCTGTCGTAGTAAAAGCAGCTCCTGTTGGCGCAGCAGCTCCTGTTGGCGCATCATCTCCTGTTGCTGGAGCAGCTCTTGTTGCTGCAGATCGACTGCCTGAGCGGATCCTGCTGAATCCTCCTGAATAACTGAGAGTGGAAGAGTGAAGAAAATGTGTCATGAAGAAAACCCTTTGGCTCTACATGTCCAGAGCCCTGTGTTGGTTGAGGTTATTTTCATGCAAACACAACAAAAAGGAATACTGACTGTACGTCGGCAGCTGCACCACCAGGGTCTCATAGTGGTTCTGGGCTCCGTTGAATTGTTCCTCCATGTTCCTCTTGTCCTCGTCTCCAAACATCTGGGAGCCTACGCAGCTCACCTTGAACTCCTCAAAGTGAGTCTCCAGACTCTTGATGAGCTGGCGGTACTCCTCAGGACGCATCTTGGCCAACTGGACACAGAAACACACACACACATCATCTATCAAAGAGCTCAGAGAGCAGACAAGACTCAGTCCAAACATTTCACTTCGATATGTGGGCTCTCCAGTGTCAGAGCAGCTGTTATCTGCAGAATGATGTTGTGTAAAACAGAAAGGATTACTTTTGGTGCGTTCCATTTACCTCGGAAGTCGGAAGTGGAAATGACGTCACACAAAAGTTATCAGCGTTTCAGTTACAAAGTCGGAAAACAGTAGCCAACGGCCAAAAACGGAAGTAGAACCAAGATGGCTCAATCTACAAAATATTCTCCTTGTCTGATATGAACAACCTCTGGACAAATATGCCGTCCTTCTGCAACCTGCAAACATGGTGGATGAAGAGGAAACGCAAAGGCGAGGAAGGTAGCTGTTTACAACCAGCACCGCCAAGCCGGAAATGTGGCCTTGGGAGTCGTTCCGATTGAAAGTTCTGACCCAGAGCTCAGAAATCCCGACTTTCAAGTACAACTGGAACACACCATTTGGCTATAGCTAAAAGTTCCTCACAGGAGCTTTCTCGGAAGTGAGATGTCGGAGCTGAAAATGACGTGCGGTTTCTGTTACCAAGTCGGAAAAAGGCAAAATCAGAGGCGGAAACAAGATGGCTACATCTACGAAAATTATTTTAGTGCTTGCCTTATATTCAGACAGGGCAAGCGCTAAAATGACTTTCGGTACTTGGTAACTGAATTGCTGGGAACTCAGGTGTGACGTCATTTTCAGCTCCAACATCTGACTTCTGAGGTAACTTGAACGCAGCATTATTTTGAAATTTAGGGTTACCATGGAGATGGTGAGGGAGTTGATGTGCTTGATATCCAGGAGACAGTACTGCCAGGCGACCAGACTCTTGACGTTGATGTAGAGCTGATTCCAGATGGACAGGATGGCCTCGTAGTACTGCTCGTTCCTTTAAATCACACATAGACAACTCTTTAAAACATATCAAACATATTGATCGTCTTTTTATATCGTCTTGGTGTTTTCTTACTTGTTGGCCAAACTGACGCTGATCGGATTTGGAGGAGGTACGATGAGGCACACAGAGGGAACCATCATGTCCAGTCCTCCAGGGCCGGTGACGTTCCACTTACTGCGCTGACTGTTGTCCTTCAGGATCGCCTCGTCCCCCTTACAGATTATTTTCTGTGGAGCCAGACGGAAGTGAGTTTATCAATCAATCAATCAATCCTGAATTTGCACTCATTTAATTGCAGATGTCTGCACATGTAAGAGTCAGCTGTGTTTTATTTACGAGGCTGAATGAAGGTCATCAGAAGTCCTACCTGGTCTTGTTTGAAGTCACACAGCGCCTTGACGATGACCGGGCTGCTGCTCTTCTCTTCAGAGTTTCTGGGTTTCAGCCTCACGATGCTCTTTGACCTGCTGACCAGATGCTGAACCTGCCTCTTGTTTTCCATGATCTTCTCCCTCTCCCTCTGACGTTGGACAAAACAGCAAAATTACCAATGTAGACAATTATTACATATAAAGATCTAACCTAACAAATAATAATAACAGGCTGAAGGTTTAAGCCTCGCCGTAAGAAGCTGATGTACCTCGAGTCCCCTGAGGAGCTCCAGCAGGTCCTCCAGAGACGTGTCCTTGTCACAGATGAACTTCTTACGCACCGTCTCGTGCTCCTTCTGCAGGGCGTTGTACGTGTCATTGGCCTCTTTGAAGAACTGTCGACAGATGTTTCATGTTTTGGATGAAGTCTTGGAGACACAGAGTTTGGACTGTACTTTGGAGATTATATTTGGATGATCTGAGAAGCTCCTGTTACCTGGCTGAAAGCCGCGTTCTCCTTCAGGTGAGTGTCGATGCATTTGGTGATTTGAAGGAGCCAGCTCCACTGAGTCTGCAGAGTGTCCTTGTAGGCCTGAAATCACACACACACAGATTCACACACAGGTCTGACCCTCAAAACACACTTATAATGATACTTCGGCGTGATGATTGGATGAACCCGCACCTCGATCTTGTCTGCAGCTGGATGGTTGTTCTTCAGGAGGGTGTCCACTTTGCCCTTCAGTTTGTTCAGGTCCTTCTCTTTGTCCTCCAGGGCGCTCATCAGTTTCTGTCGGAGAGGAAGAAGAGGTTCAGAAAGAGGAGCTCTGCAGCTTCGCTTTCAGAGGATGAGTGACTGCAGCTGCCAAAATCAAATCTATCACGGATGATTACTCCCGGATGAGATGCAGATTAACTTCACAAAGAGGAATCAGAGTAATTTAGACTCACAGGATTGCCAAGAATGATAATCAGCACGAATCAAACTCCAAAATATTATAATCAGATCAGATTTATGGAGCATTCACTGACCGAGTAGCTCTCCTGCTTCTTGGGGATGTACGTGTCGATGTTTTTCTCTCCCCAATCGAACACCAGCTCCTCCTCCTCTCTGTCGTTCACCCACATGATCTCTCTGGACATCTCCTGGATGATCTGCTGCAGGTCCTGCAGCTGCTGGGTCCGCCCGAATGACAATTTCTAACACGGGGAACAAAAACAGGAAATTTAAGTACATGGGAAGTAAAATATCATGGAGGTAAAGTTCAGTTTTTATCTCTTTGCGTACCTGGAGACTGTCCCATTCTTGGTCCAGAGCGTGGAGATTCCCTTTGTCGCCTTTTTTCATCTGCGGGACAAAAACAGGAAGCTCAAATATCCTGAAATGTTTGCTCGAGTGGTTGTGAATTTTCCCATCAGTGTGTGTTATCAACCCACCAGGTCATCTCTGGCCCGGTCCACCTCAGGGCTCCTCTGGATGGAGCTGTGAAACCTCTGGTGGCTGATGAGCTGCTGATCGATGGCTGCAGGATCGTCGCCCCAGGACGCGGTTTCAATCAGGCGCTGAAACACCGAACAGACACACAGGAGTGAGTTTTAATCTTAAAACACTCGGAGCAGCTGTAGAGGAGACGAGGATCAGGTTTGCACCAGCAGGTGGAGGCAGAGCAACAAGTCGACGGAGGAAACTTGCAGAAAACATCTCAGGAATCTACCGCAAGAAAATGACGCTGAGAACTAAAGACGAACCGAGCCCTCTTTTACTGTTTCCTCTCAGTCCTGTTTGTGTCTTCTTGTGTGTTCTCCTTTTAATTTCTGGTTCATTGTCCCTAATGTCAGAGATAATAGCAGTGATTTCTACCAGAGTCCCTGACAGCTCACAGCAGAGGAATGCTTTCATGCCTGAACTTCACTTTGTGGGCACAGAGTTCAGCTCTAATGAGATCCGTCAGTCTCTTCACTTACAGTTTAATCCTTTCTCTGAATCGAAAAGGCCAACTTTAATGAAGCTTTTGGGTTGAATGACATTTAAAAATGGCCTCACAAAGGGCTTTATAGAGCAGGAAACATAAAAAATTCACATCTTTGTACTCATGCACGTTTCTGTTTTTCAGAAAACTGATGCAAAAATAAAATCAGAGACATGAGAGTAAAATCAAGCTGTAAAACATTTATGATTTAGGGATTAAAATAGTCATTCCTGCACTGAAGTCTGATCTAAACATCCTCACTCTTAAAGGGAATTGCTGCATATTAGGACGATGAGGCTCTTCTGACTCTACTGAAGGAGAAACTCACCAGATTTACAGATTTGGAGAAAACTATTTTTGCACCATGCACTCAGGCTAACAGATTTGTCTTTGTGCAACTATTTGGCATCACTAACAAACATGCATGGTACGATAACAGCAGAAAGGGTGTGAATCTATTCTTTCAAATGTCTCATATTGTATAAATCTACCGCTTTGTTTCTTCTTGATACAGTGAGATTAAAATGTCCTTATATTCAGGACCCCTTTTAAATCAAATCCTAAAATAAAAACACACAAAAAAAATCTATATTATTTAAGTTTAATTGACGTTTACATCTGCTGTGTATCAGCGATGGTGACAGGATCCCGATGGAGGTAAAAGATGAAGATTTGAATCACACCGACTCTCGAGATTTTTCTGAGGACTTCATAAACCCTGCAGCTCTGCATAACCCTGCAAGAAGAAGCACTGCAGAGCTCTCCAAGTGTGTGTTTGTGTGTGTGTGTGTGTGTGTGTGTGTGTGTGTTGGCCTCGAACCTTTTGTTGTGAAATCCAGCCCATGGCGTCCTGGAAGCTCCTCGAAGGCTCCTCCCAGCCACTAGCGCTCCCTCTGTTGCTCCTCCTCCTGGTCATGGTGCCTGAGATGGCCATGTGGACGCCCTTCAGCTGGTCTTTGCACATCTCCAGACTGAGGAGGGTACGGGAAGAGAAAGAGGACATTTTCAAACTCTATTCTGTATGTCAACGAATGTAAAATGTAGAAGTTGTAAACGGTGAGAGGGGTCTTCCTTACGTCCTGACCACGTTGTCGTTGGGTTGTCCCATCTGCCTCAGGTCGAAGGCGCAGCTCTTCAGCTGCTCAATGGTCTCCTTGGCCATCGCCATGTAGCGCTCCGCGTCACCTGCGTTACCGCCCTGCTGCACGAACACAACATCCGCAAAGATTACAAAAGAAGCTCTAAAAGTTTAAAGTTTTAAATCTTGAAACTGGAGGTGGTAAGGATTTCCTCTGCATGTTTTTTCACGTGGTTAAAAACACTCTGGGTTTTTCTGTCGAACTGACTCTAAAGTAGATTTGTCTTGACATGCAGAAAACCTCCAGATCCCGGGAAAAAGGAGGTCACAGAGAAGACATTTAGCATTTCAAAACTGTCGTGAGGTTGGGTCGCTGGTAAACAAACTAATAAATCACACAGACGACATTCCAGCATAAAAAAAAAATGATGGCCTGTTTTTTTGCTCTCGTGTCAAACTGTACAGCAAACATGTAATTCACTAGTCGTTGCTCAACAAAACGCTGAGGAGATGCATGTGTGCGATGTTATGTAAATGTTTGCAGAGCTCACTCTAACGACGTGCAGCCGTCGCTGGATTCATTTAGAGTTAAAATACGACTCAAAAAAATCCAGCTCCAACAGAGAGGTAAAGAAATACTTTGTCAGCCTGAATCACATAAGAGCGAACTCCTCCACTTACTCAGTTTTCATCTGTAATTTTTCTGAAGCTGGATGAGTTTTTGTTTTGCAGAACGAACTCTGACACTCAGGCCTTTATTTGCACACCTCTCCAGGAAACATGAGTCAATAAGCAGAGCGACCAAACAGACTGTGACTCCTTACCTGGAGGGCAAACTCAGCTCTCTTCAGGTAGTCCTGGCACTGACCCTGCAGGATCATGGCTCTCTGGTGGATGGAGCCGAGGTTGGAGGCACTGCAGGGGGCAGCAGAGGAAACTCATCAACTTAAAGCTCTTTGTTACGACTCTGAGCTGCATCAATTTAGAAAGGTGTGTCCAGGGAAATATTACAGGTATGCTGGTTGTTTTTGTTCTCTATCTGCTCACCGAATAAACTTTTAAATCCTTAAGTATCACAACATCAAACTCCTAAAGTTTGTTTTGATTGAGGGCTGTGAGAAACATCCTAGGTTTGATTTTGAAGCTGAAAACTTCTTATCTAAGGTTTTTCAGATGAATAAAAACAGACATGGCAGAGTTTATTTTGTGTCTCAGAAGGTGATAAAATGATGCAAAATCTAGAATTGTGAGCGGTTGTTTAATTTTTATTTAAATTTGACTTGCAAAGGATTTTATTTTTGCAAACTTGGCCCCACAAACATGAAAAGGAGGCTCTGAGCCGGTCTTAACTTTGGTTTCTATTGTGAGATAATTGGTTTTGTTATTTTCATGTGTGTCTGCAGGCATAAAAACAAGACATTTAAGAATTTCAGTGTTGTTATTGATTCATATTTGTGTTTTTTTAAGGTGTAGTTTCTTGCAAAGTGCATTTGTGAGCTGACTTTGAATAAATTCAGAATCTGGTTGTAGTAAAATAACAGAAGTCCTTTCTTTAGTTCCCATATGTGTGTTCGCTGGTTCCAGTGAAGCGCTTTAAACAGCTCTAACAAAGGGATCATTGATAAAGAGGGTTTTGTATCTTGGACCAATCAGAACGTGAGAACGAGGCGGTTAGGTTAGACGGTCAAACAGATGTGATTCATGCATAAAGAACCCATTTTGATGCATGAAGCTTCAAAAGTCTCTTCACAGCTGATACGAACAAAACTGGAGAGAAAGTAAAAGTGAGATCGACGTGCCAGCCCGTGACTCTATCTGTAAATAAACACGATATTTTTGATGAATGGTTTTCACTTGACAAGCGAACAATAAAGACGCTGTTTCTTCACAAAGCGCTTCATGCCTTCAGGCGTAACTCTTGTCACTAATCACTTCAGATACAGTATGTGCAGAATGTGTCTTATAATAACCTTCTTTAAAACTAACACACCTCAACTGAGAGAGGGGGAAAAGTGCAGCGATTTACCTCTGCGCCAGTTTTACTGTCCAAGATTTGGAATAAGAACAAAGTGGAGGGTAACAGCATGTTTGTAATGAGTAGAGAGAGCGGACGATTTGGGTTTTTTAAGACTAAATCGAGATCCATTCTGTCAATGAATCTCATGTAGTTGCATAGTCTTGCAGGCCCAGAGTCTGCAGATTCAAGACCTCATTTCTGGGATTAGCGAGGGCTGCATTTGTCGTATTTATCAGTCACAGTTTTAGTATTCAGCAGGTCAAACCCTGACGACTTGGTGACCAACAGCTTGTTTTTAAGGTCCAACAGTGACCTTTTCTAGGGTCTTAAATTAACTATATTTTACGTCTAACCATGTGTAGATGTGGGCCCAGAATTGCAGTCCTGAAACTGCAGTCTCTCTCTCTGTAGGTGCATGGTTTTGACATAAATTGGAGACAGTGCTGAAAGTGCTGCACACTTTAAATCTGGAGCGCCCCCTGCTGGGTTTATTGGCACTATTTCGCATCTCAAAGTGAGCTGCATAGTTTGCATTTACCTGATGAAGGTCACATCAGCTGGCTATAAGTGAAGGGCGTCTTTTCAAGCATCTAGAATTGGCTTTCTCTTTAAAAACCGCCACAGTTTGGTTGTTTTGGTGAAACTCAGAATTAAACCATCACCTTTGACCTCATATAAAGTATGTAGGAGTCCATATCAGGCCCCTCTGTCCCCACAGCGACATGTTTCTCCTGTGGGTGACAGTGTGGATGGTCTAAAAATGACACACAGACGTTTCTGGGGTTACTGTGTGTTAAACTGTTGCAGCAGAGGGAACTTAACAGTTCAGTGTGAGCGATAAATCACACTCGGTGTTTCTCTCCAGGGAGGGAAGCTGCTGTGAAACACCAGAAACAGACACAGCAGCAGCTTCAATTCAACACTGAGACACATCTAAGAGTGTAATCCTCCTCTATTGTCACTGCCACTTCTTAATTATGTAACATTAGAGTCAGATAATGAGGTTACTCCCTTGGCAAACACACACCAGGTCTGTTTTAAGTAAACTGAAGACATGGAGAGAGGAGTTAAGAGAGAACAACAAGAGTAAAGTCCAACTTTAAAGTCTAGAGTTTGAGGAGGAGGATTATTTTTCTGTAATTATGCTTCCTGGAAATATTTATTTTAGCAAATTATCTGTTTGAACTGCAAATGTCAGATCTGTGTGTGTGTGCTCAGGGTGTGCAGGAGGAGCGAGTGAATGCTGGGATATGATCATCTGTCAGGATTAATATTTCATGACAAGAAGTTCCTGGATCGACTGTAGAGAGGTAACAGGTGTCAGCCAGAGGGGTCAAAGGTTAAATAGGTGTAACGATCATGGAGTCGTACCTCATTCCGCCTCCACCGCTCATCATGCCGCCTCCGCCGCTCATCATCATCGCGCCTCCGCCGCCTCCACCGCCGCTCATCATCATACCGCCTCCACCACCGCCGCCGCCGCCGCCGCTCATCACCATACCGCCACCGCCGCTTCCCATGCCGCCCATGGAGGACTTGGAGAAGGTGTAGGTGTTGTATCCTTCCATGTAGGGATCGAATCCATTACCGCTTCCGCGTATGACCTCGCTCCGCGCGTACTGCTGGGTCATGCCTCCGGTTAGGTCGCCTCTGGACCCGGACCTGATGACAGTCCCGCTCATGTTGAGAGCCTTCTGAGACCCGTACAGACTCATCCTGACGCGGAAACGGCAGCCACAGCAACACCGTGGGAAACTACCGGGAGAAAGTCAGCGGCGCGGAAGAGAGGCGCAGCAGCATGCAAACTCGTCCGTCAGTGTCCACCTGAGCGCCCCGGACCCTCCGACCCTCTTCTGCAGACTGCCACCAGACTGCAGGGGAGGATCGGTTTTGGAGAAGGGAGACCACACCTCTCTGTCTCTCCCTGAACCTGCTGAGCCAAAAGTTTTCTCTCTCTCTGTCAGTGACACTCCCCTCCAAACTCAGCTGAGGGCAGAGTGAGTGTGTGTGTGCGCTTGTTCTTCTATCTTTATGAGGACTACATGCAAACTAGTGTGGAGTCTGAGGACACCATGCAATATGAGGACATTTAACACAGTGGGGACCTGGTTGATAGCATGGAAAAGTGTTGTTTATTCAGGGTATCATGGGGACATTCAGAGCCAGCCCAACCCTCAATGGGGCCCTAAGCAAAATTAGATTTTGGGGCCCTCTATTTCTGCCAATAATATTGATTGTTGATCATTCACACGCCTCCACAAATCTCTTTGATTAACAGTCCATGACATGCAAACATACCTTTATCTTGGCGTTTTTTTCTCTTCTTCCCCTTTGTCCTCTTTCTTTTCTCTGCTCCTGAAGGATATGTCCTTTTTTGCGACAATGTTTTGCTCCACAACTACCTGCGCTTTGAATGCTCAGTGCACTTTGCACAGCAGCACTGAAATGTTTTTACTTTATTTTATTTTTACAATAATATATATTTGATCAGACAGAAAGCATCACTCATACATGCAAAAAATAAACTTTATCTTGGTCTACTACATATTTAAGTTATGTCTATTGAAAAATTCTCATCCTGCTCACTTTTGAAGCACAAATCTATCATTTGGTATGAATATCTCATCTGGAAATTATACAAACAGCTGTTTCTTGAGCTTCTCAGCTTGACACCTACCCCCTCATGCCAGTTTCGGGTATTAAAAACAACCAAATGCAAATGTCCGATCTTGATCCTGGTGGCCTTGTTTGCTTTTGGATATCATAAAAAAGCACCAGGATGAATTTTATTCTATTTTGAAAATGTCAAAACCTCCTCTGTGGACAATTTGCAAAATTTGTTTGCTTTTGCAAGATGCTTATCGATGCAGTTTTTGCTTCTCTTTCTTTACTCGTGTACCATCTGCAGCCTGCATCACTAACTGCCCTCAGAAATAACAGATTTAAATGTGAAAGAGCTCGGAGACTGAAAGAAAAATTGTTTGTGTATGCTATCACATGTATTTTATCATTATATAAGTATGTGAATCATCATTTATTGATAATCACTTGGTGTGAATGCTTACAGGATAATATCTGTTTCTTTTTAATGAGCATGGGAGAAGAGAAATATGTCCTTGGAGTTGGGACTGATACTTTTCCGCTGAAGCCATGCAACTAGATAAAGACCACACTCTCTGTCGTTCTTCTCAGCTGGCTGTGTGTCAGATTCAGTATTAATTTTCTGACAGAGACAAACTGCTGCTGTTGATGCATCTCAGTGGAAGAATTAAACAAAACCCAGCAGAGGTGCATCTTTTGAAACTCCAACCTTGACCCAACTTGCCCTTCCCATTCACCATCTCCTCTGTGAAGAAAACACACACACACACACACATACACACACATGTATACACACACTTCTTAAACCCTCGCCTCCAGCCAAAGGGTGTGACTCACAGGAAAAACCGGTCTGACAGGTGTTCTTAAATGACAAGAGCTCAGAAATCGATGATCGCTGTTTGAAAACACTTCAAATAGGATAAATGGAAAATAAACGTCGAGGAACAACACCGACTGATAACTGATTTATGTTTTATGCAGACACATCCCAGTTGTGTTTGCGCTTAATGTTTATTGTAGACTGAGCTTTATGTTTTATTCCAGGAGTAGTATTAAAATAACAGAGGTGTCTTTGCAGCGTGTTCTGGATTAGAGTGTAATTCATCACCCTGAATTTGACGCTTATTCATTAAAAAGTGTCGTTGTATGGACTAGTGAGGAGTCACGCCTCCATAAATACAACCTGAGAGACGTTCACCTGATAGGTAATATGAGTGCAATCATAGTAAGCGGTACTACATCAGTGCAGCCATACTAAGATACATGATAATGGGCGTAGCTCTGCCAATTGCTCTTGTGACGACTTAATAATGCATGCATTAATGTGTATGAATGTGAAAAGGTAAAGCTAAAGTAGCAAAACCACCAAGTAAAAATAGGCATTTCCAAAAAAAAACACATTCAAATTTAGTCTAAACAGATCATTTAAAAATAAGTATCATAAAATAATGGATTTAAGTCATGACTTAAGTATATTTTGAAGTGATAATAATGTTAATAAAAGTAGCAGTGTAGTTGTAGGCAGGCCTAGGTGGGACTTGACACGCCCACTCTGGTTTCATACCGAATCAGAAGACCTCCTGATGGAGCATGTGGCGGAAAAATGAGCTTCCAAGTCAAGAAAGATCAAAGTTGGACAAAAAACGCAAAAATTTGGTGTCTGACTTGTTTTATTCCAAGATATTTTATGATCTTGAATTTTGCGCAATATAATTTTTCATGTGGTATTTCTATTAACTGTTGTCCACATAATTTAACCTAGACTGTTTAGAAATGTCATTTACCATGGGGAGGGGCTACAGTGGAACACATGAATTCTTCACTGACACTAGATTTCTAATAATCACAGCAGTCTTTTCTTGCCCACAGCTAATCTGACTCTTTACAGCAGCTTTAAAGCAGCAGGCGCAGAGAAAAATCTCACACAGACAGCTGAGAAATTCACCGAGTCGTCACGTATGAAACCATCTCAGACATCAGAATCAAACGAGGAGTGTGAACTATGAGACGCACACAAGCTCTGCCCTCAATCCTCCTGTCATCACATGCAAATATCCTTTTAGTTTCATTTAGTTTATGACTGAATACCTGCCTCCATGATGACATTTCATCATCTTCAATAAAAGGCTAATTAGCTAGTAAGAACTTGATTACATAAACAATCCCTATACTTCTGTCTACATCTTTTAAAATGACTGATTTTGCAGATTTCATCACTACTGCGCTTGTCTGACGCTTATGTTCTGTTGACCAATATTGTTTTTTCTGCACTGAAGTCAACAGTTAACCAATCTAGCCAATCAGATAATGATGGTGATGCAAAGTGAAGTTAAAAACAGAACTAGAAGAAAAGAGACACTTGTCAAAGAGCTGAAACAGTTTGATATTTAATTGATGAACTTTGTCAGCCATCTTTAAAATAAAGGCTGAAATAGATAGTCGACTAAACACCCTGATAACCGTTCAGAGCAGATCATTTGTCTACCCTGGATGAGACATGCAAATTTAACAGAACGTTAGCCTGAACTTTGACCCTAATGCTGATACATCAATTACAGTATTATTCTGTAAGAGTATTTAAAAAAAAACAGTATCTGAAGGAAACAGCTACCATTGCCAAACTTAATGAGCTGATGTTCAACTTTGTGACCCTGTTGATATGTGAATTTTAATTATCAGTTTTTTATTTATTATGGAAAAATTACCCAACGGTCCTTTCTGCTGTACTCGGTATGCATGCTGCGTTATTATTCATCAAAACCATCCAGGTATTTTTGCACACACCTGTCAGGACATATCTTCAGGGACATGAAGGAGAAACAATAAAACAGGCTTTTCTCTTTTGCATGCTCTTATAAGTACAAAGATTACAGATCAGTGTATTTTTTCCGTATTGCGCCAATCCAAACTATGAAACGCACGCACCTGTGGGAAAGGTTAGTCGCACCTTTTATTAGATTGGCATCAGATAAAAAGATATTAAATCAGTTTTACAGCGCAGGCACTGTTTTCTTAAAAAACACGACTCACGGAGGAAGAGTTGAAAGAATTCCTACGGTCAAGGGACGTCCTGAATGAGGACATTTTTTGCATGCAAAGGGACAAGGTGGACAGAAAATGAGTTCAAAATAGAATTCAGTGAACCTTTCCCACAGGTGCGTACATTTCAATATTTTTATTGAACTGACATGAGAGTAATACACAGACCAATAACTCCAGAGACAACTTTTTTTTCTTCATCCATGTCTCTTCAGGTTTTCCGCACATATCAAATGTTTCGCCGGTATAATTAAAGCTTTTGCGGCATGTTAGCTTTTTGCTCAATCTGTTGCTATGCCAACATGGAGCCCCACAGAGCTGCCTGATTAGCCTCAGGCTGTTGTCTTGTGTTTTTTTTTTCAACCACAATGGTTTCGTGCTGATATGCCGCTGACCACTCAAAGCGCTAACAATAGTTGCTGATTTCAAGTTCACTGTTTTACTCGAGGATGCGAGTACAGAAGTGGGATCGAACCGCCAACTTTCTGACTGGGAGAAGATCTTCTCCAACAGCGGCCTCCTCTCCCTGCAAAGAAAGAAGAGCGAGGATTGGAGGATTGGAGGAGAGACAGAAAAAAGTTGACAGAAATGTTGAACTGACTGCGTTTGAGTCAAGACTGATCATGTCTCACACTTTACAAGTTTGACTTGGCTCACCCACACTTTGCAATCAGCCAGGATTTCATTCTGACCTCGTCTGAAGAAGCTTACATAATCACATCAACGCACAGCAGAAATCACATACTGTAGTTTACCATTTCTAACCCTTCAGCGTAAGGACACTCTCTCTCTTCTTTGTCACCAATAAAACTCTGCAGCTCCTGAGGAATTTCACGTTCGTCTGCGAGTGTGTGAGATTGTGAGTTATGTGTATGAGCATGTAGGACTCCGAGAACAAGACGGAGAAGCAGCACTGAGAGTATGAATCAGTGTTTGTTTGCTGTATGTGATTTATGACGGCATGGACAGCTGTTTTCCATTTAGAGCGAGCGTAATTGCAGACTTGGTGTAAATGAGTGGGTGTGAAAGAATCTTGATCCGTATTTCGGGGGTATGACCGGGGGGACGCAGCAGCTCCACTCACTGTTTCTGCCGTTTTTGTATCGAGTCAGTCTTAATGCTTCAAACCAGCGAATGATTCATCAGAGATTTTCTCTCAGGAGAAAAAAAAGTCCCTCCTTGAGTTGCCATCATGTTATTCCCCGTGGCGAACGACATTCACGAACACGCCTTTGCCTGCACATCACCTCGCAGGATAACACACCTATGGCCAAAACAGCATTCCTGCGCCGCTCTTCTTCTTTTTTAAAAGCTGCACTTTGCCGTGTCCTAGTTTGCAGCGCTGGTGTCAGGAAATGATGGAGCGCTAAACTTGACCTCTGACCTAAACTCTGCAGGAGCGTGGTCTGAGGTTAAATATGCTTTAAATGCACACATGCAGGACACTTTACTCTGTCAGTGCTTCATCTTTGCATTGAACACGTTTACGGTTTGAACATGTACGACATCTTTGTCCTCCGCCTGCATGAATGAGATGGATAATTTCAGGGTGTGTATGCGGGGCGTAGTCCTGGAGTTCCCACCCTTTCTCATCTCCTTTCATTCCTGATACTGGAAGCATGATAAGACTTGCACTTTTTAATGGCTTTTGAAGTTTAACATCTACAAGGAGTCTGACAGCTTGTATGTGCAGAGGCTGTATTTATGTATACTCGAGTAAAACAACAGGGAAACTGTCCAAAACTCCTCAGATGGTGTTTTTATTGGCTCTGAAACAACAAAAACAGTAAATGAGGTTCTCTAATTATCACTTCAGCTCCTGACACCGACCTGTTTTTGAGCCGTTTTACTTTCTTTTCATTGTGTGTTTCCAAAAGTCTGCAGACAGAACTCTGCAGCAGCAAGAGAACGCATTAAAAAAAGTTAACTCTAACTCCTCGAACCCTCAGTAGTCCTTCAGATTAGACAATCTGAGTAGCAAAGAAAGAGGCCATCACTCATGGCTGCGTGCTTAAAAGGCATGTGGTCCGACCGCATTATCCCTGTTATAGAAAAGGTGCAAAAATACACTTAAATATCGTCCCGAGAAAGTCTCTCCTTACTCCTAAGGCACTCGTGCAGAACAATTAGTACCTATTTTCTGGGTTGATTTGTCCCGTAGGTGTGTAAGATGAGTGTTTTAACACACAGATGTAGCATAAATGAATAAATCAGTGAATAAATCTGCCCCTGCAGCAGCAGTTTGAGACATGAAATATAACTCTGCAGTCGTCTCTTTAAAGTCACACGCGATGAATCTGAGTCATTGTTTTTCTTTCTGTGGATTATTGGAGTTTTTTTTTCTGGTAAGTTTCATTATCATTTAAATAAACAGTTAAATACAAGGTGAGGCTGTAAGCATGTGATGCTTCCTGGAGATAGAGCTGCAAATATGATCCTCTTAAAAAGTCTTACTAAAGTGAATTTAACGGCTTTGGAAGAAAACAGAAAATCAAGGAACATAAACGATCAGTCATATCCTCCTAATCTGATAGCGTCATTCAATATATATAATCATTGAACCTAGGCAAGGATCTGAACTTGTACCCCAAAGCTACCAGCTCAATAACACACTTATGCCCACCAGGCCTCGAACAGATGGCCCTCCGGTTCTCACCGAGCTCCTGCCACACTCACTTTGGATCGACCGCAGCATCTCTACTGTGTAAAAAGTCTCAAAACTGATTATTCACAAAATGTGATTTTTGGAGCCAAAGTTCTTCAAATTTAACTTAAACTTTTCAACACTGAATAGTTTCTACAGAACAGAAGTGGCAGCAGTTCACATGGAGCCTCATGGAGATCAGTTAAGGTCTCCTTCACAGCTGTTCACATGCACAACTGTTTTTCAGAGTGTCTGTTCAGGTCGGGTAAAGTGTGAAAAACACCTGCAGCTGTTGTTGTGATCTCTGTGTTCAACATACCTGTGTATTTTTTCATTATCTGGATCCACTCACTTTGTACCTAACAGTCCCATGAAGCTCATTTACAGACCGATAAACTGACCAATCACAGACATGATTATCAGCAGGGCGTCATGTCTTACCAAGTTAGAACAGTTAATGATAGAGGAAGGTTGTGAAGAGGTTGAACTAATAATTTAGACTGAAAGAAACAAGCTCATGGATCATCAGGACTACATTTACACGTGCCTGAAAGAAACCCCTGCGTACAGACCACTATGTTTTCAGAAAAGTTTTCGTTTACACTAACCTGTGTATAAATACCGTCAAGAGCATATCAAACCTGTAGGTGGCAGTGTAGCGAGAAGCTCAAGCCCATGTTGGCCAATCAGAATTTCACTTCCTTCTTTCTGGAGCAAAATCTGCCATCGGCTACCCAAATCTCTGTTTACCTCTGTTTACATGCGAACTTGCAAACAGAGTTTTCCAAAATCTACTCTCTGGTTGGAGTTTATAGAAAGCATCATGTCAGGGGCGAATTCTCCATTTGCGTCTAAACTATGGGTACAAACGATGGTTTATGTCTCAGCTTTAAAAAATAACAGGGTTCATATAAACGGGGTCTGGATCTGACTGGAAGAGCTTTAGTTTGCTCTCCTTATTGGTCTGATTTATTCCTGTAGCATTTTGGACATTTAAAGGTTCAATACTCCAGCTGCAGTCCTGCAATAATTATAATAATAATTCAAAGCATTAGGCCAAAAAAAAAACTTCATATCGAATCAACAGGCCTCAACAACTTTTCTTTCTGATATTGAACTACCTTGATGGGCGGCAGTAGCTCAGGAGGTAGAGTGGTTGTCCAATAACTGGAAGGTTGGCGGTTCAAATCACCCCTATCCCAAGTCTGTCCGTTGTGTCCTTGGGCAAGACACTTAACCCACCTCCCTCCCAGTGTGTGTCCTCAACTTGTGTATGACTGTGGGTGTTGTGTGGTGGTGGTGGTCGGAGAGGCCGTAGGCGCAGAATGGCAGCCACTTTTCCGTCAGTCCGCCCCAGCTGTGACTACTGAGGTAGTTTACCACCACCAAAGTGTGACTGTGTGAGCGAATGAATGATGTATCCGATGTAAAGCGCTTTGAGGGTCTCTGATAAAGCGCTCTATGAAATCTGATGCATTATTATTATTATGATTCAACCCTGTAAGAAGTGAACTAAGAGTTAACCTCAAACTGATCTCCACAGTCGCTGATCCTGCTTCTAGTCGAACCCCTGATGCATACCAAATGTTGAACTCATGTCTGCTTGACACCTGATCATGAACAGAGATAAACAGTCACAGTTAATGCAATGATTGTTGAAGAAGCAGAAACTATGTAGGTTGATTAATGGGACGGGTTCGACTCAGTGTGCCAACTGTGATAATATAGTCAAGTCTCTGTTATGAATCAGGTGATCATGACACCTTTACTGGGATATTCCTGCATCTTTGCAAACAGACACACTTTGAACCGTTTTAGCTGCAAGCTTGCAATGCATCCTGGTACATGTAGGCGATGCTTCATTAGCTGTGACTGTAAATCCACATGAAAGAATCAAAGGATCTGCAGGAAAAAAGTACAAAATGTAACATGTACTTGTCTTTGAGCCGTTCAGAGTTTAACTCGACGCCCTGCAGTCACCTGGCTCTGCCCCACAGGTGAGCCGAGGGAACCTCCTCGCTCCACACCCCGAACACACCTTTCATTTGCTGGAATGAAGGGAGGAGTGCTGTGTGTTTTTTTTCTATTAATCCTACTATCAAGTGAAACCCCCTCCCTCACACACACACACACAGACGGGTGTATAAGAGTGTTATGCTGACTCAGACCACATGAGCGTGTACAGGCAGCTCATCTGCTTTGGCTCCGACAAGAGGAGGAGGAGGAGGAGGAGGAGGAGGATGAGGAGGAGGAGGAGGAGGACGAGGAGGAGGAGGAGGAGGAGGAGGAGGAGGAGGAGGAGGAGGAGTGTTTTTAATTGTTTTGCTTACTTCTTCCTCGTCTGAAGGTTGTCTCATCTTGTCAGATCTTTGGCATCGTCACTGTGAATACAGGTGTGTGTGTTTGTGTTTGTGTGAGTGAGTGTGTGTGTGTGTGTGTGTGAGGGGAAAGTTTTCAGGGAAAGTATTCATATGTGAAGCGGATGATAATTACTGTAAATTTAGGGCGTGTCTGCTCGCCCTGGCATTGTTCTCTGTATCCAAGGGTAACACAGAAAACCAAGCACTAAAAAAATCACCTTATTTAAATCAGTCTCATCTGTGAAGGTCATTTTTTTTCTCTCGAGTGATGAGTGACGACTCCTGCAGACAAGAAGACCAAAACCCCAGACATAGCTGTTATAGTTCACACGCTCACTCTGTCAATCTTCTTACTACAAACTTGATGGAAGATTTCACACAGTTAAAGGAAAAGCTGAGCCGGTTATGCATTAGGGAAAAGGGCGCGGCCCCCGCGGTGTCATCTCTGCACTCAGTGCCCTCGAGGCTGTTGGCATGTGGACCAAACATCCATGCCTACACCTGCAGAGAAGAGGAACGTCAAAGCAAGTCACAGATGTCAAGGTAATTATGTCCATAAATAAAAAGAAAAACATGGATTGACAGGTGATTTACTTTGAAGTATTGTCTGATTGATGATTATGAAGCTGAGCTGACCACAAACGTGCACGCCAATAAAGGAAAAAGGACGATTGAAACTAAATTAGAGATCTGTACTGAATCTGCCCGTATAATTAGCTCCTTCTTAGTTCATTGTACACCCTTTTAATCGGTCCCATTAAAATCTCGCCAGCTTTACCTAAGACCGCGTCACCGCCTAACCGGCTCGGGTAATGATGATACAGCAGTTAATGGCGGGAATCTGGCGAATCCCAGAAGTTTTGAAGTAAATCAGGGATCAGAGAGAGAGTAACTCATCCTCGACTGTTAAAAGAGACGCGCTGTCACACCCCTTTAGCCTCGTACTCACAAACGTTAGCGTCTTCCAGGAGTAGGACAAAACGACAGCCTAACATCCAATTTTATTTTTACGAGGGACTCCGATTCTAGGCGTGTGATTTTTTTATTAAGATGCTGCAAATGTTAAATGACTTATATAAGGCTTTCCTGGACTTCTGACTTCTCGAGACTCTTTTACAACATGCATCCACACACACACATTCATGCACTGATAATAGAGGATGCTAAAGTATCTATTAGTGTTAACTAACCCCATTCATATACATTCATTCACACACTTCTGGCAGGAGGCAGTTTGAGTATCAGTATCTTGCCCAAGGACACTTCTATATGTGGACTTTGGGAGCTGGAATAAACTCCAAACCCACCGTTTAAAGACCTACTCCAATGAAAATCATGTTTTTCTTGTTGTCTACATGTTCATATGTTCATTTTTCTGATGCTAGAGGACAAATCATTAAAAAAATAGGTGCAAACTTGTATTTTTACATTCAAATCGCTGTGAATCTCTGATTTCCTACATCACAAATCCAAGCTCCACCCCCAGAGTCCCACTAAGCAGGCCAGACTCGGAGAAGTAGAGAGGACGATCGTGGAACATGCACGTGCGGATTGCAACACTCGTCAGAAAGCTAATTATGATATTAACTCTCATCATGTCCCCAAAGATATTAGTGTCCCAGAGCTGAATAACTCCTATGTTACCTGCTAATTCTACTACACAGACAATGTTAGGCTACAAGCTAACATGAAGAGGAGTGTGCAGAGCAGCGCTGTCTCCGCCCACGACTCAGAGGTGAATTGCTAATGAGCTACTGGAGCTCTGCAGAAGAAAAGTCCTTGAAAATAACACAGGTAACGTGATTCTGGTGAAAAACTTCATAATCACAATTTAAGACCACTGAGAAGACTTCACAAATAATCAGAGTGGGACTCTAAAGGATGACCATAAACTCGATGACACAAAGATGTTGTCTCAGTGAAGTGGCCCTGAGGTTTCTGAAGAGGCGACTGATCGCAGCCGCCAGACTAGATAGGTTTATGCAACCAAGTAATGGACAAAGATTTGGAGTCGAGGTGAGCTTTAAACTTCCAGCAGCTAGAGCTCGTGAGGTCTGTGGTAAGGGTCCAGACCAAGAGAGGCAAGGAGGCACAAGAGTCACCTTGCTCTGAGCCCCACTTTAAAAGAGCTGAACGTCAAGTGTGTGGTGGCAGTGCGGGTCCATGTTGGCGGTTCAGGTTTAGCGCAAAATAACATCATAGATGAGCCAACATGTGGGTCCACCACCTGCAGGGACTGGCATGGGGGTTGGGTGTGTCTGAAGTTTATTTTGGGTCGTGCCACTTTAACCTTTTTATTTAGTCTTAATTTTTACATCTTTTTCGACTTCTTGAACACCTCACCTTACTTCTCTGCTGCCGTCTCGAATCAGCTCACCCTGACTCTGTGCAGATGTTCTCCTCAAGTGATGGCAGGATAAAGAACCTGAGAAATCCAGGTGAAAGTTTTACAGAAATTTGGAAATCTGGAAATTTGATTGCACCCATGAATACAGCATCAAACCCTGATGTTAGGACAAAGTTGTTTTGTTTTTGCTGATCCATTTCTCTCACAGGAACTAAAATAAATGTTTATTTCACTTTTAATAAATAAAAAGAGGAGAACGTACTAAATAATCAATAAGACCCTCGGATTAGGAAAGACACTGAGCATCCTCCACCGGCAGGTTAGTCATGACTGACTCATTTATGTCGTTTAATATCTTATATAAGTGTGGGGAACGTCATTTGGATTTGTTTTCTTTATACAGACATTATTTGCACACGCTTTAAATGTTCTGATAGTCGGCGGTGGAGGTTTGGGTGGAGCCGAGTATGAAGCAACCAGAAACCAAAAAACACACACCAGCAAACACACACACACACACACATATATACGGTCACAGAGAGGGACGGGTCAGGACTTTAATCCGAGCAGGTTCAACAGCTGTGAATTTTGAAGAGTAGACAGTGAATCAGAGAGGAGGAGAGAGTGTAACTGTTGTCTTTACACCTGAGCAGGTGTGTGTGTGTGTGTGTGTGTGTGTGAGTGTAAAAGGGAGGATAAGAGAGACTCACAGGGTTCAGTCCTCGCCTGAGGGGTTTTGCATCAAAGGTGAAAGAGGTGACTGTGCAGAGACAGAGAGACTCAGAGGAGCGCTGCCATGAGTTTGCATCTCCATGTTCTCGTCTGTTATGTTGTATAAGTGTTTTTGAGCGAGCTGCACCTAAACAGTTCATGTAAGAACGCGTTTATTTATAGGAGCCGGAGAAGAAAGCAGACGGATAGCTGCAGCTCCCTGATCCTGTGACAGAGGTGTACCTGTGCAGCAGGGTGACACTGATATGCCTCCAGGGGGGTGAGGAGACAGAGCCAGGTAGGGGAGGAGGGGTAAACGGAAGGGAGGGAGGGGAGGGGCTGTAACAGAGCTGTCACATGACACCTGAGCGAATGTGGGTCACTGGACTCACATAATGATGCCGCTCCACCTCCTCCTCCTCCTCTTTTACAGAGGAATCTTTTACTCCAGGCCTGTCAGCGGAGCAGGTATCAGTCCTAAAGGACTCGTCTGTGATGTAACTGAGTTTGTGAGTCTCTGAGCAGCTGAACGGGGTTGTAACAGCATGTCGGTGGAAACACACAAAACAGGTTCTTTAAAACCGTTAACGATTCTGTTTGAGTGTTTTATGACACTAAATACGGCGTTCCTCAGGGTAGTTTTCTGAGACCGTTTTACTTCTCTCTTTATCTGCTCCTATATCACTTTCAGTCCCTCTCATTGTCCTACAAACCAACAAAATGAAGATCTCTGCACTTGAATAAGGTGATCCACAAGTTTTCAACCTCAGAGGATTTCAGAATCCAGATACCGGGACATGAACTTTTATTTTTTTTTTAAATTTGCACATGCAATTTAGTATCTCACACTTGCGTTTTATCATATTGCTCATGCGATTTAGTACCTCCAACGTGTGTTTTATTTGTATTTTGCACATACATTTTTGTAAATAATCCTCTGTGTGCCTCATTTGTGAGAGAAGAAGGACAGTGTCATGGACAGAGAGCATATTATCAACATTTTCCTTCATTTAGGTTTGACTCACAAAGAGATATTTTAAAGTTTAGCCACATTTGGTATTGTTTTGAGTAGGAGACGCCTCATCAGGATCCTTAACTCTTTATTAACTTTTGTATCATATTTGATAGATACTTTTATATACTCCTATCAAATCAATACGATCAACAAATTACTAAAAAAAAAACACCTGAATACAGTCTGATAAATGATAAATATCCTCTTGTAGTTTATCAGTTTCCAAAAACATCTAAAGTATCAAACAAGATACATAAATATGTTTGTTAAATTTTAAGGACATTTAGATTTTTTTGGTTTTCAGTAGTAAATAAAATCAACATTTCAGCTCCAAAAAATTGAATTCTCTGGCCATAATTTGTGGTTTTAGGCATTAAAGGGCTACAGCACAGTGACTTTACGGTTGGCAAGACTTGCAGAAGGTGATTTTGTTTATTAAGAACGGTTAAATCGCACCTGTAATAAAGTTAATGTCACCTCCTGGGCTCCGTAGATTCCTCCTTGACTAAAAAACAACATTTCTGGAGTTAGTTAAAACTGGAATTATGCACTAAAGTTGATCCAGCACTATTTTAGAAAGCTACTCCAACCGATTCTGTGATTTAAGTTGGTAATTTGATACCATCCAGTCTCTAATTTAGATTGAACAGATAAGTGTCTCATTGTGTCAGTGGAAAAACATGTCAGGTGACATATCGAGAGGTCAGGACGGTCACTGTGGAAGAACAGGTTGCATGAATGCAGGACTTTCCCCGGGGGACGGCTGCAAAGACAAGAGTCTTAACCCGAGGTCAGGGACACGTTAGGAATCCTAATCCTGTTCAGGTTTTAGTGCATTAACAAAAACACTTATAAAGAGGACACGCACACATAGACGCACACACAGAGGATGTCCTTTTAATCTGCATCCTTTGCCTCTTCACAGGAGTTGCCCCTTCCTCTTAACTGCACTGACCTATTAGTCTGAAATGAATCCTGCTTGCTGCACTTTACCTTTTCTAAAAATGTCAAACACGTGACATTTAGCTCAATCTGAGCTTCAATACTGAATGTAACCTGCTGAAAATAGACGTGCAGGTAAAAAAAGAGGAAGGAGAAGTGAATGAAAGCTCTTTAATAATGTCGATAAACGAGAAAGAGACTTTTTTTTTTGGGTCTTTCTCAACTGTTGGTCTATACGAGGTGTGCGTACATGTCTGTCTGTGTGTGTGTAGGTGTGTGTCGGGGGGTTGTGGGAAGGTATTCTGTGCCTCAGCTAGCTCTGGTATGTCTTATAAGTTGGGTGTGGTTGGCAGACAGTAACAGATGACACACAGACACACACTCACACGGCCTCCTCCCTGATGTTAAACCTTAATAAGTCTCTCAGGAGGAGGAGGAAGAGGAGGAGGAGCAGCAGGGTGGGGTGAGGAAGAGGAAGGTGAGACATGAGCGCAAGCTGTCACCTCCCTGTTACACCATCAGCCGCACCCTGAATACCAGCCGTGTACCAGTCAGTCAGAGCAAAACTGTTAGGCTGATATCAGGTGTTTAAATACACACACACACACACACTCACACACACACACACACACACACACACACACACACACACACACACACACTCATGCCTCGGCTGCAGTGGGCCTCTGTGCCGCTGAGGGAAAATCTGTCACTCACTTGAATCTCAAGGTCACTCACACTCTGAGATCAGCTGCACACACATCAACACCTCCAACATGTGTGTGTGAGTGTGTGTGTGTGTGTGTGTGTGTGTGTGTTTATCTCCACCTCACCCCCACCCCCTGATGGAGCAGCAGCATGTGTGTAAACTCTTGTTTACGCTCCGTGTTATCATTATGGAGATAATGTAGTTAAATATGTCACAGCGCTCCAAGGACGCGTACAGTGAGCGTTTGACGCCCCCTCGCGGCTGGTTGACAGGCTGCACATCATCCCAAATCTCTGACGTCCTTCTATTGTCTGCTCTCAGAGCGGCGGAAACTCATACAGCCTATTTATATGAAGGCTATGAAAAAAAAAACGCATGACGCAAAACAGCCTCCGTGGGACGTTCACGCAAACGCACCAACGAGCTGAGAGGAGAGAGAAAAAACAACCTGGAGGAGAGACTTACTCTTTATCTCTCCATCATAAATCAACTCAAACCGATGAAAACGTGAGTGGATGAATAATAACAGGGTTAACATTCAGTGTGGAGGGCAGAGGCTGCACAAAGGGGATCATTGTTGCCTGCAGATGCCCGTCAGTGGTGCAGTCGTCCTTTGAAGAACCTCCAATCGCAGCGCATAGCGCGACCGAGGGAGGGCGGGGCTTGGTCTCCCCCCCATCTCTGCTCCAAGCCCCGCTTTGGCACCGTGTCCCATTGACTAGACGGCGACACACCGAGCAGCGTTTTCCACCTCGTCTCCGAACCAAACACCACCAGCAAAGTGGACCAGGATGAGAGGGAGCGCTCAGGTGCGCCGGGTTTGAGGAGCGGAGTGATGCGCACCTCCAGGAGGTCACGGTCTGTACAGGTATGAGACCTGTGGCGCTCGTGGATGAAGGACCAGCAGATGTTTAGAGGATCCTTGTGTGGATGCGGCTCCTTCTCGCGCTCGTACAGCACCAGCAGGCCTGGCCCAGTTCAGCTCCACATGGATGGATCCCGCTGTAGGAGCTGAACTCATGGAATACAAACCTCATGTTGGTGAGCATGTCTGCCTGTCCGAGTCCGCCACCACCACCACCACCTCCACCAGCAGCAGCAGCAGCAGCCCCCGGGAGCCTCTCCTCCTGACACAGCCCCCCTCCTCGGACATCCCCTGGTCGCTTCGAGCCCCCTCGCTATGAGGACGTCTGCTCGGTGATTCGGTGCCTCTGCGCGCTCGCTGCACGGAGTGGAGACCGCTTATTTTTGGATCGGGCTTTTGTTGGGTACACACGCAGGATTTATCTGCGCCGTGGGCTTTCTTTGTGTCAGAGGGCTTAACGCAGAGCTCGCGGACGGCAACAGAGCGGGGGCTTTGCTTCACCCGCTGTTGCGCCCAGCTGCTCTCTTTGTGGCCGGGCCGTGATGGCAGGCGGCCGGCCGGAGGCGCAGGACCACCCGCCCGAGAACGGCTTCACCCCGCTGGAGCACCCGGTGCCCCGGCTGCTACCGCACATCGACGGCTCGGTTCTGCCGTCTCTGGGGGGCTTCGGGAGACATCAGAAGCAGCTCGTGGTTCTGACCTGGATACCGGCATTGTTCATCGGCTTCAGCCAGTTTTCGGATTATTTCCTCCTGGCGCAGCCAAATGGCACGTGCGTGCAACCTCTGGCGAATCACAGCAACTGGACCGTCACGTCCCTGCCGGTCACCGTCACCGCGCTGCAGCAGCCCGCCGACAACAGCACCGGCGGGGAGGGATACGGCGACGGCAGCGGTCTGCTGTGCGCCTGTAAGGAGTGGAGGCTCGAGCTGCTGACGGGACTTAGTCAGAATGTGGTTACCAAGGTAACGAGTGAGCTCCAGAAAGAGCCACAGTGTTATATCTCTCTGTTTATTCATCATCACCATCATCACCATCGTCCTCCTCACCAGCCCGCATCTTCTTCATCATCATCATCATCACTGCCAGAGCCTCATACTCCAACACAGCTGATTGACAAGTTACCCACTGACCTCGATATGCGTGTGTGTGTGTTTGTGTAGCAGCAGATGACTAAACCTCTGCAGCTGTAGGATGTGCAGTCTGTGTGCATATGTCTGTGTGTAATTCAGCTTTTTATGCGTCTCCATGTCAGAGAATCACACACTGACTCAAACTGAGTAAACTCTCATGGTTACACACCGACACACAAAGAGAAATAAGAATTCGATATCGACAAAGACAATATTTTCAGAGCAGATCGATCATTTTCCGACTATACGTGGCCGTGGAAAGGGGAAAAGGTGAAGGTCGAGCAGCGTACTCTGACCGAGGTCCGTGGACGAGAACCAAAAGAGACACAAGTTTAGTCCTGAGTTTGAGTCCTGCAGAAAACCAGGAGTTTCACTGAGTTATCTAACATCTCTTACAACACGAATGTGCTCTGACCTACATATGTGATGTACAAATTTAACCCAAACGCAGGCTTTGAAAAAGTGGTATTATTTCAACTAAAAGAACAAGGACTAATTTAGATCCAGGAACTCCCGTTATCAGACTCATTAAGAGTCTACAGATCAGGACAACGACACAGAGACAGTAGTTTGGTAAATGTCCAAATTCAACACCTGAGAGCATCTCCTGATATACAAAAAACTCCTCTAAACTGAGTTAGAACTATGAATAATGCATCAGATTTCATATAGCGCTTTACTTTACAGTCACACCTTGGTGGTGGTGAACTACCTTAGTAGTCACAGCTGAGTGACTGAAACGTGGCTGCCAGTTTGTGGCAGGTGGCCTCTCCGACCACCACCACACAACACTCACAGTCATACACCAGTGGAGGACACACACTGGGAGCAAAGTGGGTTAAGTGTCTTGCCCAAGGACACAACAAACAGACTCGGATAGGGGGGGATTGAACCAGCAACCCTCTAGTTACTGGATGACCGCTCTACCTCCTGAGCTGCTGTCGCCCATGAGTTATAGTAAAGTAACATCAGGTGATGCAGACTGATCATGAACGGTCCATCCTCCTCTCTACTGTGTGTAAATGTGTATTTGCACACATGCACTTGTATTGTGTATGTAAAGTAAGGACCTGTTTTAATGCAAATGACTTCGCCTCAGGTCCCTAAAGATTCCCTCTGAACAGGGACTCTGAAGAAGGTCGATCTGCTGTCCTTGGACCGTATTTAGACCCTTGTTCCTGCAGTGTTCATGGGCAAAGTTCCTAAATCTTAATCCTGCCATTTGAAGGTAAAAAATTGGACTATTTTGGTAAAAATCTCTCAAACAAAAACAGTTGTATGTCAAATCTGCCCACCTGTGTGTCTCGTGGTTAAACGCCCTGAAAACTCGGCCTCTTGTGCATGACTGATATTGGTTTTCTCAGTGCTAATAGCCCATACATAATAAACGCACTCTGACCGAGTTCTCCAGCCGTTTAATAACCAAAGCCATCATTCATGCCCAATAATCACCTCCTCTCTGCTCTTCTGCACAGTCTGTACCTCTGCAGGGACTTCTCTAAATCACGCTTAAACACAACACTTCTCTTAATCTCACCCTGAATCGCTCTGCTGAGCTCGAGTGGACGAATCTCGGGGTTGTGTGCACGAGTGTGGAGTATACACACACACAGCGCCTCCACATGTGTCCTTGGCTTACTTTCAGAAGCTGAGAGCTGCAGCGGTGTGTTCACTGACCCGTGTGCTCGGAGGAAAGAGTGGAAAGCTATTGATTTCTGTTATTATAGACACACCCCCACATTCACACTCACTCACGCGCTGCTCTTTTCCTCTCACGCACACGCCTGCACATTTGAATATTTCAGAAGCGTCGGTGGCATGTTTGCACACTCATCAACCTTCATGAATTATCAAAAACCATGAGTCAGAGGGTGGAAGACTTTGACGGGCTTGTTTCTGCTCAGCTGCTGCTGCTGCTGCTGTTTGTTTCTGATTTATCTCACCTCTCTGAAAACTTTCTCAATGGTTTCCCTCGCTCTCTTTGTGTCTCTTTTTAGTGGAACCTGGTGTGTGATTCAGCCTGGAAGGTGCACATCGCCAAGTTTTCTCTGCTTGTGGGCTCCATATTCGGCTACCTGGTGATGGGTGTCATGGCTGACTGGTAAGCTGCCTCTGTTGTCTCTTAATCATGAATGCATAAAAAACCATCAGATTTTCTCTGATCGGTGTAAAATTAATGATGCAAACAGATGAAGTTTGATTTTGAAGGTTTTCAGATCTCATTTTCTTCAGATTGGTGCGTCCAACATTTAACTAAACTCAGGCAGCACGATTTTGGCAAAACATCAGGCGTCGAAGAGACGTGCAGATCAAGTCAGTATTGGGTCGGTCCGTCAAAGACCACATCGAGGCGTCAGTGCGTCCAAATTGGACCCTTTTTTAAACGTCACTCTGACGTTTAGAATTTGGACGTCATCTGAAGACCAACTCTAGACGACGGAAAATGTGCAAAATGTATCCAAGATTTAGACGTCATTATTGGACCTCTTTTAGACGTTAAAAATGACGTCCACATTTATATATGTAACGATGCACAGGAAATGCACAAAAGAGTACAGAGCTTGCGTATAAAGGTTGTTTCGGTCGGACACACACGAAGGCGCCATAAAAGAGTTACGCTGTGTGTCACATGATCATTTCCTGACATCCACACAGAGATGAAATGGTCGTTGTTTTATTTATTCACTCTCTGACCTGTTTTCAAAAAGTACCGTTTACAGTCACCCAAAACGCTGATACAACAAAAAAACCTAAGCGTTTCCTCCTGAATTTGTTTCCATGGTGACGGGTTGATACCGCCTTCAGACAGACTTTACAGCAGGGAGTGGTTTACTCTTCATCTGAAACTGTGAAGTCGTACCAATTCAACACGACTGACTCGCTCTTGTCCTATTTAACCACGAAATTATCGCCTTCTTTTACAAACGCCATGTTTGTTTACACCGGTGTGTGTGGAAACTAAATAATCTGATTTAAAATCAATTAATCGTGCAGCCCTAAAGAGATAATTCAAGTAGTTTGCTTTTTAAACTAATTGTGCCAAGAAAACTTCACATTTATTTCTGTTCCTCTTGTTGAATTTGTAAATGAAGGAAAAGTTCACCTGAAACAAAACGAGTTCTTCTCAACTAAAGTGCAAAAATACAAAAACCTGCAGCTCCAAATTCTTGCTGCACCAAACTTTTAACTGATCAGAAACCTAAATGTTTTATTTGATTTGAACTAAATGTGTTGTTGTCAGACGTCACCATCAAACTGAAGGAGCGTTCAGCAGTCATGTTAGATGGAGTCAGTTTTACAGGAACTATTAATAGCACAGACGTCAACATCAGGCCATCAGAGCTGATCAGTGACGGATATGAAGAGGGAACAGCTGAACATCAGGTTTGATGCTTAAAAGCAAAATAATCTGATGACTGAGGAGAGAAGAGGAAAAAAAAGAAGATGAACTCCATCACCGAGAGCTGAAAATCCACAAACATACAAGTAGTGCCTGGATTCGTCATGGACATTTTCCTCTCTGGTCCAATCAGAAGTGTCCCTCGGTGATCAGGACCTTAAAAAGTTCCTGTCTAATCGATCAAGTCACACTTTTGATATCTCAAATCAAACCCAGTCTAATTGATTTGCTGATTTGGATAATATTGTTCGATCTAATTGGGTGAACTGACCCTTTAAAACACACCGCTGACCGTTACATTCGCTGCGGTCACGCCACCTGAGCAGCAGCGGCGGCGGCAGCGTGGGAAAATAGCACCCTGCATTGTGTTTGAGATCTGTAACCATGACAACAATGTAAAGAAATTCATGGCCTGTGCATGCTGCAGCTCTGACCTGACCTACTGACCCACAAACACCCCCCCTTCTCTTAGAAGACCAGGAAGTCCACAGAGTCAGGGGGGGACATAAAGACCGTGACGACATCTTTCATTCGTCCGCTCATCCAAAGCTTCACTCCTCAGTTTGACACTCTCTCTCTCTCTCTCTCTCTCTCTCTCTCTCTCTCTTTGCTTGTCTCTCTGCCTCGAAGGTTTGGTCGGCACCCGGTCTTGATTCTGTCGGTTCTGTTCATGCTGGTGTTTGGTCTGAGTGTTGCCTTCTCTGTAAACGTCACCATGTTCAGCACCTTGCGCTTCTTTGAGGGTTTCTGCTTGGCGGGCCTCGCTCTCTCCCTCTACGTGCTCAGTAAGTACACGCTTCCACCTGACCTCATACGCATGTTTGCTTTTTGCTCCTCCTGCTGCTGCTGATTCCCCATTCTTGGCTTTGTTTTCTCTCCTCTGTTGTGTTGATTTAAAACCATTCACAATTACTATCACAGTTTCAAGCTATGAACCTCCTGATTGCCTCCAAATTAAAGAAACGCTCATAATATAATCAGAGTTTTCAGAGCCCATAGTTAAAATTAAAGTGTTTTAGCGTTTTCTGTTGCAGGATAGTGTTGAGATAACAGACCCCCACCCTGATGAAGATGCCCTCACTGTTTGCATAATCGCATAAGCGTGCGTGTGCATGAAAAGTGTACAGATGCTGGTTTTAGGGGGTTTTAAAATGTGGTCACGCTGCTGACCTACTTTTGTGTTTCCTCACAAAACTTTTGAGTCATATTTTTGTCTCCATCCCAACACAAGCAAACGTTTATCACTCGAAATCCCCAAATCCCAAACTATTTTTGGTTTTTCTGAGGTTATTTTGGTGGAAATGTCTCTCAGCAAAGAGCCGCAAGTCGAGCTTTTGGGTAAAACTGTTAAAGTGACTTCATCTTTCTGAACTTTCTATCATGAAATCTAAACCTGAAGAGGGAAGTTTTTGAGATCAAATGTCTCAAAGTCTCTTAGTTTGGACAGGATGAGCAAAAAGTTTAAGGTTCAGCAGGTAAAAATGAGAATATTTGGTGATATCTTACAGTCTAGATCGAAATGCTCCTTTGCTCACCCCTCCTATCTGTAAAAGGATGGTGGCCTCCGAGGACAAAAAGCTCCTGAGATGACCCTGATAAGTTTTGACCCCGTCAACAACTCCCTCTCTCTTCCTCATGTCTCGTCTGTAAGCCTGAAAAACAGCCCAGAGCAGAGGTGGTCCTCAGATCGCTAAGCTATCGTACTTTCCCAAGATCGCCCTCACCCTCTCCTGCATTCCTCCGTCCCCCCTCTCTTCCTCTCTTTCAGCAGATTAGTCCTAACATTAAGCGTGAACCGAGGGCAGACTCGGAGCTGGGGGTTTTTGTCCCTCTCAGCGGGGGGCCTCCTGATAAATCTCTGATGAACTGCTTCTAAAAACAAACAAACAAAATGGACGCCTCTGAGCCGTCTGCCGAGAGAGGATTTAAAGTGTGATTTATGCGAGGGCAAACAGAACACAGATAGAGATGTGATTTGTGGTTATTTAAATCCTGGGAGGTTGTAAATGTGAGAGTGGGATGGGATTTATAACCGTCTTAGATCACGGGTACAGAGAGCAGACAGAGCTGTTAACGGGAGAATAGATGGAGATTAACACACTGAATTAAACTGCTTCTACAGCATCTTATTAAGCAGTTTGATGATAAATATCATAAATTATACAAGTAATCAAACTCTTTTCTCTGAGTTTATCTGATTTTAATTTGTTTTATCGAGGATAAATCAACATTTAGGTGAATGACACCAGAAAAAGGTCTCTATTTGTTTGTCTTAATCCTGTGATAGGTCAACATGTTTACTCTAAATACTTCTTTATCTTGTTTTCATGATAATCCAAGTCATCTGTGAGGAGACTCTCTCACTTCAGCTGTACAGTATCTTTAGTTTGTAGGTGGTAGGATAGGGCTGGGCGATAAACCAAAAATTTACAGAGACCGAAATTTACGACAATAACCGAAGTCGAGCTTTTGGGTAAAACTGGTAATGTGAATATGAAACTTCAATGAAAATAACTCAGTTATTTAAAATCCAGACCTTCATCTTTCTGAACTTTATATTAGGGCTGAGTGATAAACCGAAAATTTACTGATACAGAAATTTACGACAATATCTGATGTCATTTTGTCCATATTGGTACATTTTGTTTCAAAATCAATAAATCAAAGTTGGTTTTGGATGTGTGTAGGTCGGCTATGGTCTCATGTCCCTTTGAGATGCTGTCCTACGTCAGAGACGGGTGAGAAGATGGAGGACGGAGAGAAAGTTGTAGCGGCTGAAGTAGACGAAGTTAATGTGGGAGGGGGTGAGCAGCTTGTGGAGGAGTTATTGTCCATTTATCATTATCGAGGTGAACTGATCAATATATCGTGATATTGATTTGAGGACATATCGCCCAGCCCTAGTAGTAGCTCAAACTTTAAGTGTTTTTGTGATATTTTAATGACGTTTAACATAAAATGCATCTTACCTGTTGGTTGGCTTGTCAGTGGAGCCGTCTGGGAGTGGGAATGTGGTGTTCGAAAGCACGACGACGCTGCAGAGAGCAGGAGGACACTGGCGGCTTGACAACAGTCGGTGCGCCTAAACGAACGAAAAAACATGCAATTTAAAAAAGCTCCATGACTGCACCAAAATTAAGCCGCTGACAGCGACAGAAACGCACATTACTGCTAAAAAGACTATGCATTAGTTGCAGAATAACACTTAAACATAGCGAATGTCCGCAAACAAATCAAACAGACCCGTCTGCTACCTCGAAAGATGAGTTTATCGAACACAAAGTGACCCGGTAATTTAATTATTTGGAGGGTTGCACATCTACTTGTTACTTGTTACGTTAATTTGATGTTTAATAAAGACTAAATCGGTTTTATTAAGCAGCATTTCAGGCATATCAGATCAAATTACAGGTCTTTAGTTTTCATCTAAAGTCCACATACTTCCCTCCATATTAATCTTACTTCTACACTCTCATGACTCCGGCGAACAGTTCCCTCGTTTGTTTATTCCTGTCACACACAGAAACCGTCTCGCTCGCACACTTCCTGTTATTACGGCCTGTTTGCCGAAGAAAAATACCGGCAGTCGGAGCCCGTTTTGATTCATTTCTCCAGCTTGTGTGCTCAGTGTTTTGGCACTGATGGGATAAGTGGCGCTCTGCGTGTGTATGTTGTGTGGTTTGTGTTTTGTGTGAACAGATTGTGTGCCTGCACTTTGAAGTGCAACAAAAAGGTGTCGAGTGTGAGTCTGTGCGGATGAATACAGTCGGAGGAACAGGCGGCTCGCTGCTACACAACGACCAGCTTTGAACTGAACTCTCACGTTATTACAGCAGATAATAGACGACCCATTCATAACAATAAAACACCAACATGAACGCCGAGACTCTCTCGAAGGTGCAGCTGAGAGGAAACGCACAGATCGGACTTTCACGATTGTACCTGCTTTCTTTGGGTTTGTGAGTATTTTGGCAGAGGTGCCTTTTGTTGCGTCTGTAGTGGATGCACAATGGATTCAAAATGAAAATGAAAAAAACAGTCGACCTGCAGATTTAATTTGTTGCGAGGAAGCTGGTGTCACTATTTTCAATCTGCCAATATTAAAAACTACGTAGAGATCCTAAGAGACCAAGAAAGGGAACCAAGAGTGATTTTATTTCATATTTCACGGACGACGGTTTCTGCTTTTTCAGTTCAAATCTAGGAGGTACATCCATTAAGCCATCTTCTTAGACTTCAATTAAGTGTGTGTGAGTTTGCAAAGACACTTTATCCTCATTTTACACACAGTCTGAGAACTTAAGTCTCACAGCTGGTCTTATTCATGAAAGGTGGGCAGAACAAATTTGAGGAAATCGGTGCATACTCTGGTGTTCATCGATATTCTAGCAGCTCTGATCTTTTATCAGGTTATAACGAAATCTTCTCCTGCTTCTGACTGACGTAGTTGTGGTGTAAATAAGTGTTTAATACACATAAATATGAAGTCTCAGTTTTAATTCATATTATTACTTTATTTATGAAACACATGATTTAAACGTAATTAGGGTTATGAATTTAAGGTGGGATGTTTCAAACAGCTTCATATCGGCTCGGGGCCCAGCGTCTATTGAAGATGTCACACTACGGCAAGTCCACACAGACAAACTACATTGCGCTCCATTGAATAAGTCAAATGTGCTCGGTTAAAAAGCCCTCACCATTTTCTTTATTTCTGTTTGTTCATTCAATTGACCTTGAAATTTTCTCTCCATATAAAACAGAGAATTACAAATTACTTAACTATAATTTTTAGATGGTTTTAATTGTGTATGTTAACTTTTCCGAGGAAAAAGACAAAAAGAAGTATGCAGGATCTCCGTTTATCAACAGATAGTTTTGCTTTTATTCCACATTTCCTTTGGCGACCTTAAGGAGGTGGTAGTTGAGCTATCGTTAGTCCCCTTAGATTGCTTCGTAAAATTCGTCCATGTTTTCTCCAAAAGACCACTATCCCATGAAACCTGATCCAGTAAAAACCACTTCCGTAATGTCTGGACTAACCACAATCTTCTACGTCATCCAAACCAACTTCCCGCCAATCGTATTGCGTGACGTCATCAATAGGCACCGGCCCCGAGCCCATCTGTTAGCCCGAACACATCTGGTAGCTACAATCATAGACATTATATGCGTAGACGCCTCATTATGTGCTGGGGCGTAATCCAGTGTGCCCACCATATTGGATGGGTCTCCCCACTCGCTCAAGAGCCAAACGGGGTCAGTGGAGAACGAGCAACAACGCCCGTGTTATTGCTCTCTATGGTTAAAAAAACCAACGCAGTATTGAAACTAGATCACGTAGGATTACATTTCACAAATAGGATTTTAAAATAGTTTGGTTTGTTTCTGAATGTGTGACAGTTTCCTGTATTATGGCGACATCCCCGCCTTCGTAACAAACCAAACAGTGTGAAAATCAGGCAGAGATTCAGAGAGTTATTATCAATATGGTTGGGCATTCCTACCTGCGCTGACATGTGAGCTCCAATAGTCAGCATCAGGCTTTGAGGCGTCTACGTATATCATGTCTATGTCAACACTGGCGTTCGTTTGGAGGTCACATCACAATCTGTTCAAACAGATGTGAGTGTCGCTGCTTCTCCATGAGCGCTCTGCTGTCATCCATCACACACCGTGGTAGCTAGGTTAAAATGAAGCTCACGCAGCGACTCGGACTGGTACAGAGAGCAGCAGAAGTACACCACAGATTTACTGACGTTTCCTGAATGAGATCCAGTGAGAGCGCATGAATCAAGAGCGTTGGCTGCGCTTCAGTAACAGTTTAGTCGTAAAGTTGAAGTTCACTCTCCACTGACATTTATAAGACCAGGAAATGACCGTTCTCTGCACTCCTCGATATTTTTCTTGCCCTGTCAGTGTTTGTCGTGTTCGTACTTCACCAGCTTGTTTCATCTTCAGCGGACAGAAACACACCATCCTCCTCAACGCTGTGAGAAATCCTCATTATCCTGCTGTGTTACACTAAATCCAGACAACTAAGGCGGTGTTTTTACACCTTACAGTCATAATGGGAGCGCTGTAACATCAGGGTCATTGTCACACTTCAGCTCTAATGTGCAGAAAACTAAAATAATCAGCAGCCTGTCATGAAAGGTTTAAACACAGCAGAGGCATCATTACTGTGGGGTCTGCTGCAGCAGGGAGCCCATCAGACTGAACCTGCATCCTTCCTGCAACTCTAATGTATCATGGATGATTGCACAGTTAGTGTATATGTATATATATATGTGCTGTGGTTGGACTGCAGTGTCGTGCTTCTCCCCTCACAAAAACACTCTCTCTCTCTCTCTCTCCTCTCTCTCTCTCTCTCTCTCTCTCCCTCTCTCTCTCTCTCTCTCTCTCTCTCTCTCTCTCTCTCTCTCTCTCTCTCTCTCTCTCCCTCTCTGTCTCTCTCTCCCTCCCTCCCCCTCTCTCTCTCTCTCTCTCTCTCTTCCCTCTGTCTCTTTAAATGCAGCGCTGAATGTCTCTGCCCCATTCATCCCCTCCTCCTCCTCCTCCTCCTCCTCCTCTCTCCTTCTCTCTCTCTCTCTCTCCCTCTCTCTCTCTCTCTCTCTCTCTCTCTCTCTCTCTCTCTCTCTCTCTCTCTCTCTCTCTCTCTCTCTCTCTCTCTCTCTCTCTCTCTCTCTCTCTCTCTCTCTCTCTCTCTCTCTCTCTCTCTTCCCTCTGTCTCTTTAAATGCAGCGCTGAATGTCTGTTTCTAAATCCAGAGGCTCTCTGGCCTTTTCCATTTTCCCTCCACTCTCCTCTGCCCCATTCATCCCCTCCTCCTCCTCCTCCTCCTCCTCCTCTTTCCTTCTCTCTCTCTCTCTGTTTTTCTCACACGACCATTTTATTACCCTCACTTTCTCATTTTCTTGAGGCTCATTTAAAATCTCCCATCATTTGGTTATCTCTCTGCAGCACGCAGCGCATAATAAACTCCACTGGAGATGTCAGCAGAGGCTTTGCTTTGCTAATTTAAACGTCTTGATATGTGTGTTTGCACGTGTGTGTTGTGCACATATTTGCGATTCTGCACAGGCTTATTAGTTTGTAATGTAGTACCTCACTCGGGGCCGTCCTCCGGGAGCCGTAGAGGACCAGCTTCTCTTTCTTTCTCTGCAGCTTCCTTCTTGTTTTCTCTACAATCGAGGAAAATATACAGTCAGTGACGCTGCCTCCTCCTTCGCCTAAATCTGCTCTGAAAATGCGATCGTGTCGACATAATTCTTGTGCGGCCGTAAAAGTGCTGAAACACAAACCTTTGGAGTAGCCGGTCCGCCCCTCCTGTCGGCTCAGATTTACTGCAGTCAAAGTTAATGAATTCCAATGACAGCTCAAAGTCATGGCAGAAAAAGGAACTTCTTAAACCTCTGAAACTGCAGCATGATCCACTTCTCTGCTATTGATCCGTGAGCTCAATACTTCCTCAACAAATTACGCTCAGAACTGTATTAAACTCGGCGGTGGAGGAATTGCGTGTTTGGAGCTGTGAAGACATGAACTTTGACTTTACAGAAGAGGATTTGGTGTTCGGACTGAAAATAGCCCGCGGTTACAGGAACAAAAACAGCTCTTGTTGGTGAGATGGTGCTGTTTGAGAAACCTTCGCTGCCCGAGGAGGAAATCCAGTTTTAGTGTAAGAGACATATGAGTTTGAGGGCTTATTAAATAACTGCAGAAACCAGACACGGTCTTTGTAATCCTCAAGGCTGTCAAATTATACCGGGACTGACCATCTCTTAAAGGTGAAATATTGATAACCTGAAGAAAATAAGCATGTTTATCTGTCAAATTTTACCCGATTCATCATATAGTTCTTTGAAAGGCCCTCTTGTAACCTCACAGATGTATTTAACAAGTTTTGTTGTAACCTACAAGTTCACTAACCTTGTGGTAATTATTCGCCGAGCTAAAAGAGGTCAAGTTTCCACCAATCAGGGACCTGAAAGTCTAGACCGGTTTGAGTGGAGAAGGTTTTGGTTTGGAGTTCACAGCAACAGAAGCACTTTGGTGTCTTTGCAGAAGACGAGTCAGTAAGTTTACTCACACAGTTACGGCATAATTAGTCACTTTGACTGTCTGTTTGTACGTGTCCACTACAGTAGACGACGAGAGCGCTTTCAGGTCGTTACTGTTGGGGGATCTCCTGGATCATCCAGAGTGTTGCCAGATCTCCTCAGAGAAACGAGCAAGAACAGCGATACCTGCTTTCATGTCAAAGTCTCCAAACTCTAACTGATCTCTAACTCCGTAAGTCCACGTGACACAAGCTCTTCGTACAAACCCTGGACATTTGAAGGATTTTATAAACTCCCTCGGACAAGGCCGGACAGCCCCCCATAAAAGAGGACATGCTTGGGTAAAAGAGGACGTATGATCATCCTACACTGGGCACTTTTGAAAAGAAGTGGCTCAGCGGGGACTGAAAAGTCTCTAAATCTAGCGACAAAGTTGTTAAGTTGGCCACTCTGTTTCTCTGTCAGTCTCGGCTCTGGCGTACATGAGCGTGATGCGCCATGTGTGAGTGTGTTTGGGGGCGTGTCGAGAACTTGAGCAGGTGCGATTTAGGGAATGGTGGTCTGGAAAGGACTAACCACTTACTGCACTCGTATTTGTGGGGAGCTGTAAGACTTCTGAGAAAAACAACCATGCTCATCCATTACGTCATGCACCAAAACAACCGACAAACGGAGTAGTCAGTCAGAGTAGTTGAAAGTAATTCCTCGTTAGAATAAAACAACAACTGACTTGACTGGCCGGTGAACGTTTTAGTGATCTTGGTCGTTTCTTAGTAGAGCTCTGAATGTCCAAAAACTTGACCTGTGACATCAAAAGTCAGAAACATTCAAGACTCGAGTTTTTCCATCAGGAACATTTTGAACTTCAAGCTTCTGTGAACTTAATGGCCAAAAACTACCAAAAACTCAACCTGAAACTTACGAGATAAAACATTCAAGTCTGGACTTGTTTTTACTGACTTTTATTTTACTCATAATTCTCCTATAACTCGTTCCAGTCAGCTTTTATTGTTCACGCACATATTTGACTTGATTTCGACAGAAAAGACCGACTCCAGAGCAGTTTTTCGGGCTGGAACGGCGCACAGCGGGGGAGCGTATCATGCTGCGGGAGTTTTTCCAAAAAGTTGACACAAAAGTTTTTGTATTTTGGTTCCTGCAAATTGTGTCAACACTTGGATCCATTGTGCCTGGCGTGAATCCCAGCTGACTGGAGCTAAAAAGAGACACTTTTCAAGGCCTTCAGGGAGTTTGCTGTTGATACTCAAAAGACAGATTTTCAGAGAATGAAGTTTGCGTGGACCCTGAGGGATGAAGCTGCAGACAGCGGTAGTTTTACACCAAGGAGACGAGGTTAATATGGATACATTTCCTACTCTGTTTCTGTTCCGCTGAGACTCTGTGATAAAGAACGAAAGCAGCCAATATGAGTGTTTGAGTGTGTGTGTGTGTGTGTGTGTGTGTTTATGAGACGAGGGGATGACTCCTGCTGACTCAGCTGGAGGAAAAGTACTGCCCTGTCACGCTGTGCCCTTGTCAAGCGCTGTATCTGTTTTCCTCCCCCGCCTCTTTATGGAGTCATCCACCTAAAGCGGTCCGAACCTCAGAGGTATTCAGTTTACAGTATCGGACAGGGAGAGGCAGAAAGTCCTCACAGAGCCGCAGCAGTAATGTACGGCAGTTTATCAACGTTAGCTGAAAACTGTCCGTCCAAACGCAGAAGGAAACAAGAAAAAACAGAAGGATGATTCGCAGAAACACGAAGCTCTGACCGTCCTTTTCTCCGATAAGCTCGACTGACTGACTCTGAGCGTCCGCGGGTTTCTCTGGTGCTGATTTACTGTGATGGTACAGTAGTACAATTAACACCTCAGTTGGACCCAAACTAGCTTTGGCATCCACAGTTTTCACGCTGGGTTTGAAGTTGAACAGGATAAATGTGTGAAGGGAGGTTTGGTAAGAAGAAGGGAAGTGAGCAACAGGAAGTCATCATGTTTTATGACCTTAACAGGGTCCAAGAGAAACCTAATCTGCAGACGCATGTCAGGTCCATTGATTGAACAAAGAACCAAGTTACTCTTACTCTAGATGGGGGTTTATATCTCCATCCAAAGGAGGCAGGAATCAAACTTCCTCTGAGGTCTGCTTTTACACACATGTCGGCATGTTTTTAATGATTTTTGGCCTTTTATTCCCATAAAACAGTTTCAAGTCAATGAAAATAGATGCTTTTTATAACTTTGTTCTCGTGCACGGCAAAAACAAAAGTTATGCAAGACGTCATCCATGCGCACACAGCAATTGTTGTTTATAAGTATTGCACATGCACCAAGTTGGCGAGCTAATGACATACGGCTGCTCTGTATTCAGTTCAGTACATTTACAAACAGAGTGAAGTCGATTGAACTGGAAACAAGGAAAAAATCTAATAACTGACAGAAACATGTTCGCCTCCACTACAGCAGGTGGCGACATGCCCCACTGGATCATCTCTTATCGATCTATTGGGTATCAAAGTTATCTACAAAATGCGTCAGTAACAGGCTTACAGGATGTATGTTGCACGACAAAAGCATCATCGCTTTTACAGTTCTGTGTCTTTTTTTATGTCCTTTCTTTGTCTGTTGAGGTTTGTTTACTTCCTGTTTTCCTAGCGATGATATTTAACTTCCACCTCAAAGCCCGATGTGTAAACTCTGGAGCAAGCGCAGAACATTTAGGCCACAGAAAATCTAACCCCTGTTGCATTATCCTGACTATTAGGAGTTCAAATGATTTCAGTTGGACCAATACTAGGATGACCATATTCTGAATCCCAAAAAGAGGAAACTACTAGTGCGGAGTGGCACACAAAATTCTGAGGGTTTTCGGGTTGGGTCGAGTGTTTTTTACACACTTCTAACTCAGGTAGTCCACGCTACACAAACTTAAAACTTCAAAACAAAACCTCCGACATTTGAAGGTTTTTATAAACTCCCCCGGACAAGACCAGACAGCCCTCAAAAAGAGGACATGTCGGGGTTAAAGACCACGTATGGTCACCCTAGCTTAAAACGAGAATGGCAGTCCAGTCGAATGGACTAATCTTAACTGTTTGTGTTAATGTTCTGAATTAACTACTTCTCCTGAGCAGACACTGCAGAGCTGACCTGAGACTAGAAACTTTAAAGTTGTCTCTACGCTCCGTCAGAAACTTTCCATGACTTGGACAAACTTGTGACTCGATGCTGAAAAGGTTATGTGTAAAAAATCACCAAAACTAAATCTAAACCCAGTGTGTGTGTGTGTGTGTGTGTGTGTGTGTGTGTTTGGAAACAAGCGTTTCATTGTTCTATCGGAGTATCATGAGAGGACGCTCGGCCTGACTGGAAACCTCTTTGAGGTGGTGAGATATCTGCAGAGGGGTGTGAGTCAGGGCCTGAACTTCTCCCTGTGGATCTTTTATTTCCTTCTTCTCAATGATTAGTCATCATCAGTTTGACTGTCGGTGTGAGACGGTGAACATCAACAGTGACTGTGAACATATGAGCCGTTATTCCTGTGTGTAAATTTATCTCCTTTCATTATCAGTTACTTCAAAAAAACTGTTGATTTCTGAAAATGCTGCAAAACTTCCTCCAATCAAATTAGCTGTGAGACTTTGACTATAATGCAGATCAAACAGTCATGTAAAATTGGTGTAAGTTGATTTTTCTGCAGGTCTCATTGTTCCTGCGTGACGTTTTGTCCTCTCTGAAAACCTGGATCTGTCACATGGACCACCAGCTGCAGCCTCCCTGCACACGCCGCATGTCCAGACTGTAGTTCTGGCTCTGAACTCACGCTGTTAGAGATACGATCGTCTCTGCACTCTGCTCTCACGCCTCAGGCAAGGTTAGCAGGGGAGCAGCAGACAACAGAGCGAGTGTGTGGTGGTGGTGTCAGCCGTTTGTCATCAAAGATTACTCTGGTCATCAGATCAGCGGCGTTTTGTGGCTTTCTCTTTGTCTCCTCGTCCCTTTCTTCCATTATAGTTTTTGTTTTCTACTCTGCAACTGTCTTCAGCTTTCAGCTGTAAAGACGGCAGAGGACCAGGAGGAGGAGGAGGGTGGGGGATGGTGGCTTTACAAAGGGTGAGGGAGCCACTTCAGCCCTGATGAGCAGGGAGGGAAGAGTGGGCAGGAGGGGCGGAGGGGGGATCAGCCCACAGGGGGGCAGTGAGATAATCAGCACAAGGAGAGCCATTCTCCCACTCAGCTGGAACAAAAGGTCCCTGCCAGTGTGTGTGTGTGTGTGTGTGTGTGTGTGTGTGTGTGTGTGTGTGTGTGTGTGTGCGTGTGTGAGTGTGTGTGTCTGTGTGTGTGTCATCCCAGTAGAGTCAGTGGGATCAGAAACCTCCCAGGAGAGTTGGGGAGTGGTTTTTGTTTTTGTGAGGCAGCTTTAGAGAAGCATTACCAAAGCCAAGGTACAGTTGATTTATAAAGAGTGTACGGGTGTGTGTGTGTGTGTGTGTGTGTGTGTCTGACTGTGTCTAATCCATGCCTATTGACTGCTGCAGTGTAAATGGGTACCAAGGAAACTGTGCAGATTGCCAGATCAGACCCACAGGGAGGCAGCAGCAGTGGAAATGAACTAAAAACAGTAAATAAAGCTCCTTATACTGAGATCTACTGCACTTGAATAACAAGTTATCTTTGGCATTTACTCTGATTCAGTTACAACAGTCAGTCATTCAATAATATAGACATTAATGTTAGAAACAGGCTCTCTATGTCACATGAACACTCAATCAAAATCAAAAGAGATGGATGATTTTTGATGAAACATGTTTTTAAGAAGGTTTTAGTATAACTCTACCTCCTGCTCTAGATCTTCTCCTGCTGAGAAACCAAACAGACGGTTTAACTTTTCATAAACTGAATACAAGTCGAGCTGATGGTCAAACTGAGAGGATAATATGAGGCACATGAAGCTGGAGGTGAAAACGAGCCCGTGGACACGCAGAGTTCCTCTATCAACATTTCAGTTTTTTTATCCACTTTCTTTTTTATTCTGCACTAAAACAGTTCAGCTAAAAGATCTCTACAACTTTTAATACACTCAAGTGTTAAAATATGATAATCGATTATATCCAATAAAGGTTCTTTTCTCCACTCATGACTCAAAAGCACTTCTGTTTAGTTGGATTCAGCAGGATATGTGATAAAAACAGACGCACTGACACCGTCTGTACGCTCTCGAGCTTTTTTAGATTTAGGATGAATTTGTGGAGACGGTGCAGAACTCAAGTCCAAGACTAATTCGTATCATGTCGTATCGTTCCAGATAAGAATCTAGCCAAGGCCGTCCGACCGTCACGTGTGTGAATCTGTCGCCCTGCAGGTGTCAGGTCAAGGAAAAAGAAGAAGCCGTGTGCATGTGGAACATTAAATCTGTGCAGGTTTCTTGCAGAGGAATTGGTGATTTGCATGCATAGATAATAAATCCATATAGGGTATGACTTCTTATAGATCTGTAACTTGTGCACAGAGATTTGTGCATGCACCGATTTCAAATCTGCACCAACACGACATCTATTCTTTTAGTGGTACATCTATTGTCCGTCAACATGAGACTCCCAGTCCTCATCTATCTCCCATCTCAAACCCTCACAGACTCATGCCCTGCACACCTGAACCTATTAGAGTCCGTAAAGGTCCAGTGCTCAGGCTTTAGAGAGGACACTGGGGTCAGGCAGCGGTGCCAGATTCTGATTCTTCCTCCATCTTGGATTTCTAGTAACTATCACACCATTACGCTGTGATTTCTCAGTTCCTGCCTGTTTGACGGGGAACCAACAGATATATGACAGATATGAATGTGCAAGTAACTTTGAGACGGGTTCATCTGCCGTGTTGTCAGATTGTGACCAAAACAGAGCTCTGTCTCACTGTTGTGTTTCTGCTGTTAGTCCGCTCAAAGTCTCGATACGCTCTTCAGAGAGAAAGGCAGACAGGCAGGTTGAGGATTACAGGTCAGCGCAATTTCCTTTATCTGTCTTGGTTCCTGCAGGGAAGGTTTTAGGAGACATTAAGTGTAAAAGTGTCCGTCTGCTGCTGCAGAGATGGAGGGATTTCCACTAATACCTTCATTTTGTCTTTCTCAGCCGTGTGTGTACAAACCGAATCACTCTTATCTTTGTCATCCCTCTCTCTCTCTCTCTCTCTCTTTCTTTCTTTGCGTTCCCTCCGCCTTTCTCGGCCTCCTTCAGTATCTCTCCTGCGCTGATACCACGACTGAATGGAGGGGCTATTTTTTGTCCTCTAAGGGGGAAAGTAATTTGTATTCTGCCCATCTCCTCTTACTTTCCCCCCTCTCTCTCTCCTGATACCACATGAGGCCAGGTTTGTGAGTCTCCCCCTCCCTCCCTCCCTCCCTCTCCTGCTCCCTCCTCATCCCCCAACAATGGTCACCTTCAAAAAGACCTTGCCATATGGGCCAGGCCATCTGGACTGTACCACGTTTCAGGCTGTAGGGGAGGAAGCAGGAGCCCAGAAACTCTCGTCCGTCTCAAAAGCCTCGACATGCGGTCCGACCTAACTTCATAAAGACGTGTGTTGGTGTTAAACTCGCTGATCTCAGGGGGACGATCAGTAATAGAGGCCTCAATCATTCAGAGAGGGAACTGGACCACTAAACAAACACACACATCATTAGGGCGGCTGTAAAGTGTATGATGGTAATCACATCCACAGACGTGTCCACACACACACCGACATCCAGCTGATGCATAATTCACTCCGATCCATTTGTGATGCTGCTCTAACTCTCGCTCTCCTCTCTCTCTTCTCTGCGTCTTTATTCAGGGATCGAGCTTTGTTTGCCGGGCTGGCGTTTCTCCATGACCATGGTGGCCAGTTTTCTGACGGTGGGCGGGCAGCTTCTGATGCCAGGGGTGGCCGCCTTGTGCCGTAATTGGCCCGAGCGGGATGACTGGCAGGTCCTGCAGATCGTCATCATCAGCCCTTTCGTTCTGATGCTTCCTTACGTCTGGTGAGTCCCACCCTCGCAGGAATTCCACAGTGGGGGGAGTTTTGGAGAGGGGGCAGAGTCTTCCCGCGCTGAGCCAGGCGATGGCTTGTACTGTACGCACTGAACTCCACAGCTGAGCCTCCACTTACAAACAATAGAGCCTTTCTTCTTTTGTTCGTCTTTCCCCTCTTCTGTCTGTTTTCTTCTTGTTTTGACAAATCTTTTTACAATCTTTCTTTGTCTTCTCTCCACACATCCTTCCCTTCTTCTCCTTTCTCTCTCGCTCCCTGCAGGATTTTTCCCGAGTCGTTGCGCTGGTTGCTGGCCACCCAGCACTACAGGAGATCGAAAGCCATGATGCTGCGCATCGCCAGGAGGAACCAGGTTGACATGACAACAGAGCCGAGTGGAGTCCTCGCAGGTGACCATTTTAGGAGGGACATTAAACGTCTGAAATCTCGAAAATGCTCCTCCTTTCAGAATTAAATCCTCTTACCTGATTTGTTCAATTAATCTCACTCGCCCTCCATATATGAGCGTCAAACACAGTGACTAGGGACCGATCAATTTATTAGCGAGCCAATTACACCAGCCAATTTTAGCCCGTTTAAGACTCATCAGTAATAGGCCACAACTTCTCTCTTCTGTCGATTTTCGCAGATATTTTCAGAAATAAAATACAAAGAATAAGATTCGGTTTCACTTCGAAAGCGTTCCGCCATTTGAAAAGTTCCCCAACTTATCCAGTAGATGGCGCAGCGACCTCATGACAATCTTCATCCACTAAGTACCTCACAGCACAGCAGAGTGACGGATCTGAAGCAGGCAGGAGAGCGGTCCGCCTCAACGGGAAATAAACCAGTTTGAGAAATACACAATAAGTCAACAAGTTTCAGTTTTGGTCTCGGTCAGTTAACGGTGAAGCACCATGGGATATGAAGCTAAAGTTAGAGTTAGCCACCTGCTATTAGCTTTGCTACACTGTTAGCCGTGGCAGTAACGGTAGAATAAACAACAGTACACATTAGAGATCGAGATACTTCTCTGACTGAGGCAGCTGCATGTCTGCGACTGAGACCGGACCGGCGTAGTTCAAAACGCTTTTCTGGTCCGAGTTTGATCAGTTGGTCTTCCTTTTGGCATGAAGAGCAGTAGCCTACAGTATATCTACTGTATATAGTACACTGTAGATATCTACAGCATATATATATTTTTTTTATAACTTCATTAAAAAAATTAAAAATCGGCCGATTAATCGGTAACCTGATTTTTTCCCCCCTTCATAATCGGTATCGGCATCGCCCCCAAAAAATCCATATCGGTCGGGCCTAGTAGTGACCTTTATGCTGATGCAAATGCCACCCTGAAGTAAAGCTGTAACCTGAAACAAACATCAGGACATCATAAATACAGAGGATAGTTCTCACTGTTTTTAAAAGCCACGTAAACTTCAGCTCTCTCTGCAAAAACAAGTCGATCAAATCCTCCGATAGAAAGTGTTTTGATAAGAAAAGACTGAAGTGTAATAAAAATATCTGAGATTTGCTCTTGGCAGAACACTCTGTCTCTGTTTTATCAGCGCTGATGTTCTCTGCCTCCCTGAAAACTCTCCTGCTCTGAAGAACAGCAGGAGTGTTGTAGGGGGGGCTGCCGGTGTGCAACAGTGTGCAATAATGTGCAACTTCTCCCTAAGATCTGATTGGCTTCTGCGGTCATGTGACACAGGTGAAGTTCTCCACGCCACATGAAGACTTTTTAATCCTGTACGACACCTGACAGACGTGATTCTGTGGAGGTGAATAAAACAGCAGATGCTGCGACAGAGCGCAGGTGTGACACGACCTGGGATGAGAATCTGCTCCATCTGCTTCTCGCCATATGATGAAATGAACATGCAATGATCATGAAGGCGCTAATTCACACGCCAAGAGTCAAAGAGTTTGTTTTTTAACTCTCTCCACATGATGACATTCAATTGCAATCAGCTAAACGTCAGCCTTCAGTGTTCGGTTTTTACTTTTATGGTTTAGCTGTAGGGCTGCCAAAAAAAAACTCGATTTTTGACTTTTTATTCAGTGACAACTTCACCAAACTTCACTTTAAAAATAAGTTTTTCTATCAGCTCTCAAAACGAAACCACTGAAAACGATGTAGTGCATATGCCAAGTCAGTGAGTGGCGCTGTAACGCTGCCGAGTAAGTGCAAAAAAGACAGAAGAAGAGTACAGAGCATGTGTATAAAGGTTGTTTTGGTCGGACACGTGCAGGCGTCATCTTAGAGTTACGCTGTGTGTCACACCGCTTCGATAGATGCAGCCGTTTCCATGTAGATAAAACGCCGATACGACAAAAAACTTTTGAATTCGTTTCCGTGTGGACGGGTTGAAATCGCCTTCAGACAGACTATGCAGCATCATAACATCATCATAATCAAATAATACAATTATGATTTAAAATCAATGTATCGTGCAGCCCTAATCCTAACAGAGCCAAAGCATCATAAAGCAAAATATCATGTTTCCCTTTGCTTGTTTACCCGATAAAGAGGTTAGATTAAAATAAAAGATGAAAATTAACACCTTGAGGAGGTTTAATCTGATTTATCTTGGCAATAATGATTAAAACAGTTAAAAAGTTGATCTTTTACCGTCAGTCTTTATTTACGTGACAGTCTCCTTTCATCTGTGATTGATTCGTTGAGTCCCTGCCAGCGGCCGAACAGACGGATAAATGATGAGACCGGACAAAGGGATGTCCTCCGTCTATTTTTAGGCGCCATGGTACATTATCTTGTCAGAGCTAAAAGGTCCTTGAGCGGCCGGTCTCTCATTACCTCCTGAAAGGAAAGGTCCGAAGGTCTGTGCTCTTCGTGTTTCCTCGCAGAGCTGGAGCAGGAGCTGCACAAGAAACCCCAGAGGACCTGCATCGTGAAGATGATGAGCACCAGGAACCTGTGGAAGAACATCGTGGTGCTGTGCGTCAACTCGTAAGTGTGTCACCACGGTTGTTGATGGGCTCGTAAAGATCATTAGGTAATCAAAGCTGAGATTGTGTAAAGAGAGCATGAATAAGACATGAGGCGTCCCCAGAGAGGTATAAAGATGAGTATGTGAGTGTAAAGATGAGACACACACACACACACACACACACACACACAGGTACAACCTCCCTCATTACTCTCCTCGTTGCAGGCTGACCGGTTATGGGATCCACCACTGCTTCGCCCGCAGTATGATGGACCCCGAGGCCCAGCCCACCGCTATGTGCCACGCTGATTACTACACCATGGCTGGCATCGCCGTGGCGACCTGCCTGGCTCTTTGCCCCGCTGTGGGGTTGATGGGTCGGCGTGGAGGACTGCTCACCTTCATGATCATAACAGCTTTGGCGTCGCTGCTTCAGCTGGGACTCCTCAACTGTGAGTAACCAAAGCTTTGGACACCTCTCTGGAGTTCAACCTCGAAGTAAAAATAATAATTACTTTTATTTATAATAATATTAATAATAATAACTATTATTATTATTATTAAACTTTAAGTAATAAAAAGTGTAATGATTTACTATTACTTATTATAATAATTTTAATTATTATTAAACCTTTAAGCAATAATAACAATTTACTTTTATTTATTATTATAATTTTTTAAATGTTATTATTTAACATTAAAGTAATAATAAAAATAATTAACTATTTTTTGTTATTATTATTACTATTATTATTGAAACTTTAAGTAAAAAGTGTCAGAAACTCAGAATCGAGATTAAATGAGTCTGGATTTTGACCGTTTTTTTCTACCTCGCTATAAGGCATCTTTGTGCCACGCAACTGTGCTTTTATTTTGAAGGACTGTTTCTGCCAGATTTTAAGTAACCCCGAGAGGCACAGGCTCGAATGTTGTTTCTGGATTTACAATAAATCTCAAACTGCAGTTTCAAAACTACCAAATCATCTCTCAGAGGGCTGCTGCGGCCAACTCGCTAGCAGTCAGCTGCTTCTTCTTCCTCAATTCAGTTTTACAACTGAAGTAGACAAATGTGGGAGGGGGTGAGCAGCTTGTAGAGTAGTTATCGTACATTTATCGTTATCGAGGTGAACTGATCAATATATCGTGATATTGATTTGGGGCCATATCGCCCAGCCCTAAAACATACACATGAATGCTGTGAATTAAGTCCACTTGCATCCGAAGCATTTCAACAACTTACATATTTGAGGTATTTCGTAATCAAATCACCTTCAGTAGATCGTTTTCAGTCCTTTTCAGATGTGCACAGAGTTCCTGAAAATGTCCTGAAATTACCCCGTCATTGAGTTTATCACCTTGACTTTACCTGCAGTATTTCCTGTTAGCCCTCTCGTATCGTTCTGTGGTACAGTGCATGTAAGAATGCAGCAGCAAATCTTCCAGATGATTCCATGAGCAGCAGGAGTTTACTGACATTACTGTAAAGCTTACCTTATGTAACACTGTCACTTTTATTAGCGAGCAGAGCTTCATTACAAATGTAGGTATCAAGACAGTTCGCCAAGCATGCCAGCGTTCGCATCTCTGAGCTAAAAAAAGACACCGTGTCTGACATTACTGTTGTGCTCTTGCAGATTTGCAGCAAAATCACATTATTTGTTATTAAAAGGCGAGAAAACCCCAAAATCCGCTTATGTAACCTGCATATTAAGTCTCTGATCTGACAGACCTGCTGTGCAGAGATTTGACTGAACAAATACTTAAGATGAAACGTTCGTCAGAAGGTTATGAAATTCTCGTCCGAGCGTTACGAAAGAGAAGGTTGAAACTCGGCGGTGAATTGAGTCGCATTTGCACATTTCCCATGCCATCTCCGGTTCATTAAAACGGCACAGTCTGCAAGTCTCAGTCTGACAGCAGCTTCCCCCGTTCTCCCTCTTTTGACCTACATATGCAGCACAGAAGTCATTATTTCAGGCTTCAGTGATAAACGGCTCTGAGTTCTCCTCAAGGCTGTTTCTCATTCAGCCTGTCTTGAGTCAGCACTGTGCCACCCTTTGTGCTTACTAATGACATGTTCTCCTCTTTATGCTCCCCTGCTCGCTGATGGGATCCAGTGATTGGGAAGTACAGCCTTCGTCATGACACAGGTACAGATTCTTAAATGGTTTTAAATTATATGTTGTGTGATTTTTGAGACGTTTTCTAGTTTGCCCTTGGCTTTTTGTTAAATTAGCTGTTTGTGCTTTGTGGTGGGGGTTTCTGGTCCACTAACCTCCTCTCCTCCTCTCTTCCTCCTCCTCCTCTGCTCAGTCCTGCGGGACACTCTGAACAGGAAATTCTCAGTGGCTTTCTCCATCATCGGCATGTTCTCGTCTCATGCAGTGAGCCAGCTCAGCATCTTCTTTTGTGCTGAAATCACTCCTACTGTCATCAGGTGAGCCTGGATGGTCATAAACACACAGAACAACACTTAGGGGAGCTGTCACCCGTTTTATTACGCTCACACATGCAGCTGCTGATGAAGCACACAGAGGCAAAATCAACAACGACATGATTGTGTGCAGAAAAAGATACTACAGTCCATGTTGTGGGGTATTACAGCTGTTGGTCTCATGTTACTTTGGCACCCCCTTGTGGTGAAGTTTTGACTGTCATATAACTGTGAACCTAATCCCTGCAGAGGTCACAGTTTGCTTTGAAAGTCTGTTTTTACGACAAGCTTTGACTGAAGGTGTTAAAAAGGACAGTCTGCTGTTTGGGTGATGTTGGATTGATTGACTCTTCACTGTCAGACTCTCTGTCTTTAGAGGTGTTCACACAATAATGTCGCTGACAGAAGAGTTTACACCTGCTCGATCACTCAGCACAATGGACATGTTTTAAAAGTTCTCAGGTTTTAAAAGTTCGAGACGCAGCTGCCCGATTCTGAAATAAAAGAGGTGTACTATTTCAGTATCTCGATTTACTTCTCTTTAAAACGTGCTTTAGCAGGGTTTCAGAAATCAATTTTAAGAGTTTTTATGACCTTTTAAGAGAAGAAAAATTGTCACTTTTCTTCTAAATTAGCAAGATAATTATCTCAAAATTGTGAAAAATTTTCTGCAGGTTACAAATCGCTCTGTTTTTCTAAAAAAGATATTTTTCTTAAAAGATATATCCTTTTTTAATTGATTGATCAAAGTTTATTTTTGAACATGTAAAAAATAAAATGAAAAATAAAAAAGTAAAGAATACAATAACAAGTGATAAAAAGTTATCCATGTTTAAAAACGAGTGGGAAGAAGTCGAGACTGATCTAGTCCCACTCCTTCTCCTACACTAATGATTTACATGTATATCATAATATTATATAATAACTTTAATCATCATAATAATTAAAGCAATAAAAATAATGAAAAAATAATAATAATAATAATAAAACAATAAAAAAATCAGGTTTTCCGACTTTACAAGAAAATTATCTCAGAATTAAGAGAAAAATTCTGGATAAAAATTGTTTGTCCTGTTTTCTTGGGCAAAAAAAAAAATATTTCTAAGAAATTTTTCGTCATAATTCTGAGAAAATAAACTCATTAATTAAGAAAAGCAGCATAATTATTTTTCTTGAGTGGATGCAATAGGCTTCTGTGTTTTTTCAATACCCCCCAAACGATTAATTAGTTGAGTTTATGCATATAAATAAATGGCAATTAACACAGGTGTGGCATATTTTTACCCACAGTTTGAAAACTTGTTTGCTTATTTAACCTAATGATCTTTTTTTCCACTACCAAACAACCTTCATATTTTTTCATCTCTGAAGCCAAATATTCTTTCCTTTGTATAAAAGGTGCCATAAATGCTTTTAATTGTCATTTAAACAAACAAATCCACAAAAAGATTCATTTAAATATTACATAAAGATAACTAGATGGTGATGATCTACTCATGTCTGAGTCTAAAGTTTAAGCTCCCTCAAAGGGGGAAAAAAAGACACTTTTTAAAACCACGTATCGTTTAAAAAATCGAATTTAAGACTTTTAAGGATCAGTGTGAACTCACTCAGGAGCTCTTACCTTCTCTTACCTCTTTAGGGGAGGAGGTCTGGGTCTGGTGCTGGCCAGCGCTGGCTTCGGCATGCTCACTGCACCCATCATGGAGCTCCACAACCAGAAGGGCTACTTCCTGCACCATGTGATCTTCGCCTGCTGCACGCTGCTGTGCATCATCTGCCTGCTGCTGCTGCCCGAGCCGCGGGGACAGCCTCTGCCCGAGAGCCTGGCCGACGGGGAGACCTTCACCCGGCAGACCCTGCTGCATCCAGGAGAGCAGCACCTCCTTCTCGCCAAGACTGACGGGGACTACTCCCGAGTCCACGACACACCGTTACACCTCTCAGCCACTGGGGGCGCCACAGTGGCAGCAGCCACCGCTCTGGCAGCGGTACCTGCTTCGTACGCCCTCGCCACCGGAGGGGAGATAATTGGAAATCGTGCCATAGCCAATGGGGTGTGAGCATCTTAGCAATAGTCTACTACTGTGCTGTTAATTGCTCAAGTGTTAACATGACTGACTGGTTTTTGAACTTTTGGGGGAAAAAAAACCTTTAAAGGGAAAATGTTCGGATGAACCAAATGAACTCTTTGATGGTGACGGAAATAAATCTGTGTAGTTTTTAGTGACTATGATCCATTCAGGAGTTGCCAAAAAATATTGTACTGGACTTTGTCGAAGTCTGAAGTCGGTGTGCGTTCAGTAAAACGAAAGTGTTGGGTGGTGGTGATTGTCCTGCGCTGCAGTCCGCTCTGTCGAGAATGATTCACAGGAAAAGAGAAAGTGGAGATGCAAAGAGGAGCAGCTCTGAGCTGACCTTCGCTCTGTGAGTTTTCTGTCCGTAGTTTTGACTCGTTGAGGGAGGATTTCACCGCATCTTATAACTCTTTCTAAGTTATTTTGCACTAAATGTCAGAGACACAATCAAAGTGTTTGTGATTTTCAGCCAACACATTGGAGATGCAGGGATTGGCTAAACCACTACCACTCTCTCTTTTTTTTTGCATGAAAGGGCACAAACAGTTTTACATGTTTTTTCTCGTCAGTTGTGGTCCCTCTTTACTAGAAGTCCAATGTGGCACTTTATCCTCAGAGGAGAGGACTCTGATTTTTAAAGGGAGCATCACTGCTGTTGGCGCGGGTGTATGATGGTTGGTCTGATGTGGAGGAACAGCCGGAGACCTTGGCAGATAAATGTGTAGCCTATACAGACTGTGAGAGTAAATCTGAGAGTCGAACGGACATTAGAGTGTACCGCTGTATGTCTTATGACGCGTCTCAGCATTTTCAAGGCTTTATCACGATGGCTCTGTTCTTTTAACAAACAGAGAATGTAATTTAAGAAAACCAGTATTTATTTTGTCATGCTGCCAAGGGCAATTTTGTTGCTTGAAATACCTCCTTAATTAGCCAATATTTCCACTCCAACTTCTCACTCCTCGTCCTCTGTACTGTGGTAATGTCGTAAATCCTTCTCCTAGGATGTGTTAACTCTAGCCAGAAAGCACAATATTTTACAGTTTTTTGAAATAAACGTTTGTGAAGATTAGCGTAGAGCAGCGTCGTCTGCGTAGCCCTGGCCTAGTCGTGGTTAGTGTACATTTATACACTTTACTAAGTATCCTTTAGGACTGCAAAAAATATGTAAGGTGCGTATACATGTGCCATTCATTCATAACGTATGGAGTATACTTTTATAGGGTGTAAGCACATTGAATAGATAAACCATCCCATGAACCCCGATCCACCGATTCAGACGTCCTCCATGTTTAGTCCACTCAGCACGTATCTCAAACTCACTGTATGGTTTGCTAGTTTGTACGTTTTCAACAGTTAATCACTGAGAGACAAAAAAAGAAAGAAAAACTCAACCACTAATGCTGTTTTCTAAGTGTTATTTTTTTAATATGATGCATTTGTACAAAAAGCCATAGGCCTACATGTTTTGATAATAAACCACTTAATTTATTATGTCAATAAAACAACACTTGATGTGAGCGTGTGTGGTTCTTGTGTGGGAGTGCGGTTACAGTGTCTGAAAGTTACTTCTTAATAAAAAAACACACAAAATAAACATGTCAGAAGAGTTTAGAAGTGTTCAGGGTGAAGCTCCAACTCCTTCTTGATTCTGTTCTCCACCAGAAGACCGAGGTTCGAGTCTGTCATTGGAATACTGTAACTCACAAAAACCTGTTTTTTGGTCTTTTTTGCTGCAAAAGAGTAAAAAATGAATAAATTTAGACTTTAAATGTGAATAATTCTAATCCTTCTATATCATTATTAATTATCCTGGCCACGAAATATTACATTCATAGTATTATTGTTTTATTTTTGGAGGATTTAAAATGAAGCAGGGCAACACACTGAACCACATCATCCCATAAAATGAAAATTTCTGGCTTTATTTTGATATTTTCTGTCTTGCTCTATATGCTGTACTGTACAACTATGCTTTTATTTTGAAGTAATACAACTTCTAATAGATTGTAAGATATTGAGCTGAATGAAAACTGTTAAAAGAAAGGAAAGAAAATAAAAATATTTCATTTGTTAGAAACCTGGAGCTCTGAAAAATACATCTTGAAATGTCAGTTTTTAAAAGTGTCCAGTCATGTCTCAGGGGGCTGCTACAGTTATCTCACAGTCAGTATCACTGGTTGCTCTTTTTTAACATGATGTCAATAATCGTTATCATCTATACAAGTGAATTGAGGCAGCCTAAATTATACTTAAAAGCCCCTGTATTGAGTTTTTGTTGGTTATAAAACAAATTGAAATTAATGTCATTGCATATTTACGACCCATAAAAGCAACAAGACCATCTGTTACAGCGCTGCCACTTTTCCTGCTTTCTGTAAAGCGTCAAGACGCCTCTGGTTCTAATTAAATATGAGACATGAAGCTGCTATGATGCTGTGCTGAAATCTGAAACCTACCAAAGCGAGGATCATCAACACTTCTATTCCTGTAAAACTTGAGTTTTCACTTTGTGGCTCGTAAGGAGAGATTTAAAATCAATCTGTGGCTGCTACTGCGGACTCAAACAAAACAGAGAAACATTTCACTGTTTCTCTTGAGAATAAAATCACTGAAGTGAGCTGCCAGAGGCAAATCAGTGACAAAACATCATAAAATTAAAAGAAAACAGCAAGAAATTTTAGTTTTTTTAAGAGAATTTCTGATTAAAAAAAGGCAAAAATATTAAGATTGCAAAATATTACTGGCTTGATATGGGTATTGTCAGATAATAGCTTAAAAAGATAGTTATTAAAATGAGCCGATTGGAAAATTTGCAGATTTTCATGTTTATTTTTTAATGGGTTGGACGTTGTTTTAGAGAAGGAGGCAACTACAATTGCATTGTATGAAAGTACAACAACAATAAAAGCTTCCATCTTTAACTATCAGACAAAAAGTCAATGTATGAATTATGTGTACATGATACCGGCTTACAGGAGAAACTCAACAGTCTCTACAATTAAAAAACTAGGTGGGTATATATCAAATTGTTGACATGATGTGCCAAAATGAGTCTGAAAATGTGTCAAAGACCAATATACCAACAAAAACTAATGAATGCCGCTTGGATCTCTTCATTTTTTATTTAATACTCTACAAGCCTCAGTAATAAATCACATTATTTCATGCACACACTCACACACATCATTACCTAATCTCTGTGCCAGGGAGTTTGGAGCTGTGTTGGACGGGTCCCCCAAGACTAAAGTGGATAAAGGCATTGAATCCTGCAGACAGAAAGAGTTTAAGTGGAGCAGAGTCAGTCCGTCTGCAACAATAGCAGAGAAATCCAGAGTCATTTCTGACTTTCTTATCATCACTTAGCGAATATTCATCTTCTCTCATTATTATGCAGCCTCACAATCCATGACACGTTTGCTACAGCGGTTAACAGACTAGATTTTGAAGTTTTAATACTATCTGTAAACACTGTACATTACAGAACACAAGAAGGAGAGGATCAGGGATACAAAATAAAATACAAACTGCAAAACCTCATCCACCCACCCACCAAGCCCGCATTTAACAGGTATTTATACAGATCTTTGTCATTTATACAAATGGATTTTTTTTTTAAAGTCTCTAATTTGCATTGAAGGGGCAGGACTAGATGAGCTCTTTGCTCCATTCTGTTCCTGACATACATATGTTGTGTTATTTTATCTTTGTCATTTACAATTGTTTGGTGGACATATGTATTATTTTGTTTGGTGTTGTTGTTTCTAGTTGGTTTTTTGTTGTTCTTAAAGTTTGAGACAAAAAATAAAGACGGAAATGATCGTTATCCTTAAATTAATGTCTGTATATCAACATTTAAATAAAACACGATTTCCTTTGTGTACTTACATATTTGCTGCTCATCGAGACCGCCAGATTGGACAGAACCGGAGCCGAACCGACCCACAGGAAGAACCCTCCGCTCAGCTTCATGACGTGAAAGTGGACCACCTGTTCCAGAATCTTCTCGGAGAAGTTATGAACCGAAACTTGGTCAAATTCTGATCCGTTCTGAGTTTCTGTCATTTTGTTTTAATTCCGGTGACCGCCAACATGCAACCACCTGAGCTCGTGCTAGCTCACTGTAAACAGAAACGGCTACTTCCGTGTTCAGAGGAAGACCGAAGCAATCGATTGCAGATTTTCAGACGTGAGTGCGGCACAGGGAGGAACAATCGATCAGGACCGGAAACAGTTGAATCATCGCGACAAAAATGACTTTTATTTACTATTTTAAGTCCAACAAACTCGAAGTCTCTATTAAAATTGCATGTATAGCAGTGTGTTTGATTTTTTTTAATCATTTGTACGAAAGATTTGAGAGCAAAAGTTTAAAAGTATTGGCTTAAATTTTCAGGAAGACTTCATATCAAAAGTGGAAATGAAGGAAATGCAAAACTGAAATTCAGGATATTATATCAGAAGTTAACTAACTCTTTAATGTCTCCGCTGATAGAGGGGAGTTTAATCATCTTTTTATTCACCTTTAGCCTTGCTAAAATCTGTACACGACAACACTATTTTGCTGTTTCAGCACATTAACAAAGCTGACCATTTTCTCTTCTAAAAGTTTAATCACTGAAAAACAATGAAAATATTTTGCAATTATTGCTTATAAAGATGGAGCTCGACAAAAACAGAGGTTATATAACTGGCTAAATTACTTGTTAAAAAAATAGTGTTGATTTCTCCTGGTTACATTCTTCGTCTATCATGATCAGACATTGTTTCACAGTGTTTATAAATCACTCAGCTCTCCAGAAAGTCCTCCGCTAGTTTGTTGAATTCATCAGCGTACCTCAGGTGGAGGTTGTGTTTAGCCTCGGGCATCAGGTGGAGTCTAGATTTGGAGTCAAAATAAGACATTAAGGTTATTTCATAGTGTAAGGTAATTTAAATTGAGTATATTTGAGATGGTATGTGTGGCCTCACTTTGATCCTTTGACATGTTTGTTGATGAAGTGTGCGTGGAGGGTCGGCACTACAGGGTCTTTTTCTCCATGGATGATGAGGGTTGGACAGCTGATCAGAGGCAGATGCTCAATGCAGATACTCCCTGATGTCAAGAAATTAAAGAAATGGTTAAACTCTGGATGCACATCTCTTCTGATAATATTAAAGTGAGGTATATGACACGGCTATGGCCTCAACTCCACTGTGAGTTCTTTCATAAGTACAGAGATAAAGTCACATATTGACAATGTACCCTCTGGTTTTGCTGCAAACTGTGTGATCCCATCCACCCAGGCCCCCCAGTTTCTAGCAAATGCTTCTGCTCCGTACACCTCCTCCAGTGGCTTCCTCATCTTCACGCTCCACTTGGAGACATCTCGCACCCCTTTGCGCACACAAGGACTCAGAGTTACATGAGATTACACCACGCACTGACTGAAAAGTTCAAGATGTCACTGGCAGAAATCCATCAGAGGAGGAGTACCCTCATAAATGTCAAGGTCCTCCTGGGTGATAAAAGCATTTGCTCCCCAAACAACCAGCTTGTTGATCAGATTTGGGTGTTTTGCTGCTGCGATCAGAGCGGTTATCCCTCCATCACTCCAACCCAGCAGAGAGAACTTACTGAAACCCAGAGCCTGCAGATAAAAATGAAAATACCAAACGTCTCAGACACAAATAGTTGTTTAAAATGCACCAAACAGTGATGAACAGAGGTTAATTTCCTCGTTTTATCATGCAAAATTAGGAGATTAAAGCAGACAGTGGATTTCAAATCACAGTAAATGTACGAGATCATTTGTAACATACCTTCATTAGATCCACACCATCCTTCGCATCCCTCTCAAAAAAGTCCAGGGGGAAGTCTCTGTCCGGGGGGCGGGACCGGCCATAACCACGAGGATCCCAGCCAACCACAGTGAAGCGCTCCTTATCCAGAGACTTCAGCTGAGGGCCGAAATCAGTGCGGGTGCTTCCTGAGACAGAAGACAACAACAAAAGGTTCAAAAAGAGATTAAATAAAGTAAAGTGTGTGGGAGATCTTTGTCAGAGGTGTGTTTGAGTTATCTTTACCTATGGCACCTGGGAGCAGCAGGAGGGGATGTTTACCTCCACCTGTCCGCTCATAGTAAAGGTCCACTCCATTAGTGTGCTGCCGGCCTGAGGTCACTGAAGAGCTGCAGGGAGACACACAGACACTGATTAATAAAAATGCAACCATGACTGACTCTAAAATGACAGTGACAGCAAAACAAAGTCCACAACACTTAAACAACTGTGCTTCAAAATCAGATAATACCTATTTTTACATGCAATGCGCCTTTAAAAAAGTAAGTTATAAGCATTCTTGCATATATGGCTAATATTCTCGTAACAGCTCATAAAACATTACGACTACAAGGCCTACTAATATCCATACCACACATTTATGGTGCCGTTTGACTGCCTGCCTCTCAACTTTAACCACAGACTGCATGATTCAACAGGCTTCATTGTGCATTGTCTGGCATACTGCGCCATCTTATGGATTTGTGCAGAACTAACCTCCAGAAAAAGTTCATATCTCTAAACAGTAACTAAAGCGTGTCTAGAAGCGGTGCAGTCGAGTCCTACTTTGCAGCAGCATTAAGCGGTTGTTGTCTATATTTGTGCACACGAGCATGAAAACCTCCTATAGTTACCAGTACGGCTGGATCGCTGTCATGGCCGTCCCTAAGTAACTTCTGCATTTCAGGAATCGACTTCCGAGTAAGCACACCGCCATGCCTCAGACTTCACTCAGACTTTGCTTCCGTGTGTAGCCGGTTAAACAGTCAAGGAATCTAATCCAATCCTGCAGCGCTGCAAGGATCTCTGACGGCTTTAAGTCTCCTAAAATTTAAAGAGATAGCGCAAACTAACCCACTTACCAGGCAGTGCTGACCTCTCACATCCAGGACACAACCTGATCAAACTCCTCCACTCAGGTTGGTGTTATGGATCACTGTGGACTAAAACCAGTTTTTACTCTGATGAATCCTCCTAAGGTTCACAGAGACACAGAAAGGCTGCTATGACATCTACCCACGTGTGTCTATATATACATACTCCCTTACACATACATATAGGAGCAGAAAAATGATTCAGTTGTGCAGATCTACACCTGACCTAAATGCAGGTGGTGGTTCTAATCTGCAGTGATGCATTGATGTAAACAGTGGAGTCGAAGTGTAAATACTATGAGCCCAGTAAGGCTTGAGAGGGGGTTCAGAGTCCACTATATGCACTGCTGTGTTTTCCTGTTCTGCTCTGTGGAGCTCTTAAACCACACAGTGACACAGATGGTCAGGATGCTCTCAATGGCGCCTCGGTAAAGGGTGCACAGGAAGTAGAGGCACCGCACCATCAAGTAGAGTGATGTGCAGTTAGCTGTCCAGGAAAGGTTTTCACTCATGTGCACCACCACGAACTTGGTGCTGCTCACTCACTCCTCAGTGGGGGGTGTTCAGCGTGGCCTCCTCTGAAGTCCATGATAATTTTCTTTGTCTCTTCCACGTTTAAAACCTCCTTCCTGTGGTTTGTCTCATCGTTGTAGGAGTTGAGACCTGCCGACTTGTACTGACTGTGGCGTCTCGCTGAGAAAGTTGTTGAGTTGTGTTGAGTTCTTGGTCCAGTTTTCAGTCAATGTGGGATTTGAAACATGAATGACGGTTTCAGTAGAGAGATTGATGGCCGTAATCTAGATTTTTTTTCTTATGAAAGACGGCTGACTGATTGGAGAAGTTGATGTGGAAGGAGGGGGCGGAGCTAGTGATGACCCAGGTTGCAGATCTCAAAGGATAGGTGGATGATACATGATGAGGTAGAGCTGTGTGTCATCTGTGTAGGAGAGAGTGAGATTGTGTTGGCGGATGATCCGTCCTCTGGGGAACATGTAGATGACAAATGGGAGAAGTCCAAGTGCAGAGCCTTGAGGGACACCATGATGCTGTAACATTTAAATATGTGTTAAAGGGATATTCCGGCGCAAAATCAATTTAGGGTCAAACACCGTAACACCGAGTTAGACCCCCCCTCGAGAGACAAATGTTGCGGACCGCTTCATTCTCTAGTTATACCAACTTTAGTAACGACCGCAGGATAGCAATACACAGCGGTCTGAGGAGCCATAAACAAACCTCAACCAAAACGCCACTCTATAGCCACAAATAATGTTCAGAACAGCACCTAACTTCATCAACAGGACATATAGGGTCACAGACATAGTACTAGACACCAAACATCTTTTTAACTTTGACTCATTTCTTTAGTAAAGAGACTAAACACAACTCACCTACTCTCTTCCAGCAGACGCTTGTTTGTAGAGAGACCTCAGGCCAGTTCATTACGGACTACAGCGGGGTGCCGCAGCTCAAGGAAGAACATTTATGGACATTTCCTCATGGAAATACAATCAGACCGAGACGCTGAGACAGAAGAACTACCGCGTCTGCAGAGGAAATGATTAATATGGTGATTTTTATTTTAAGGAAATGATGAAGAAATGATCATAAATGTTCTTCCTTGAGCTGTGTCACCCCGCTGTAGTCTGTAATGGACTGGCCTGAGGTCTCCGTACAAACAAGCGTCTGCTGGAAGAGAGTAGGTGAGTTGTGTTTAGTCTCTTTGCTAAAGAAATTAGGCAAAGTTAAAAAGATGTTTGGTGTCTAGTACTATGTCTGTGACCCTATATGTCCTGTTGATGAAGTTAGGTGCTGTTCTGAGCATTATTTGTGGCTACAGAGTGGCGTTTTGGTTGAGTGTGAAGATGTAGACTGCTGTGTATTTCTATCCTGCGGTCGTTACTGAAGTTGGTATAACTAGAGAAGAAAGCGGTGAGCAACATTCATCTCTCGATATTCTGGCGTAAATAAATTTTAGTATCCCTTTAATTCCAGATGCAACACACTTGGTGTTTATAGCAAAAAGCTCATTTGTAATACTTGTCCACATGGAGGCTTTATAAATAAGTTAGAAATACGAAAACACCAAGAAAATACATTTATGATCATAGAGTTAACTGTAAATATGGAGATTTCTGATTTTAGCTCAAAAGAAACAAGAAAAAGAGACAAAATTTTTCTCTATTTTTGGGCATCCAGAAGAAATCTTTAAAAAAAGCTAAAGCCAAGAGAGTAACTTTGTAAGGTGAGGTTAACTTTGCCGGTGGGGAACAATCATTTTTACTTCAGGGGTCATGATATTTGAAGGTGGCAAAAAGAGTTTTACTTTGAAAGGTAAACAAACAACTTTAATATGAGCACACACCGCCCACACTCATTCCTCCCCCTCCCACACACTCACACTGTAAAGCTGTGGCAGAGGTGTTTTTTCTGCACCTTCAAACCCCAAAAGGCTCTTGTTTGTTAAGGTGTGATGCGCCTGTTTATGAATGGGTTTACCCGGGATGTGATGAGCTGTTCAGACCTAGTTCTCAGAGACAAGCAGCTTTTTGTAAACGCCTCCACAATCTTCTGCCTGTCAGAGCGTCTGAGCGATGCCACACTATGAACCGCACACAGGAACACAAGACAAGACAACAAAGACGCGCTAAAAATATCTCAGCCTCCCCAGAGCGGTGTTACAGATGAAGCAGAATTTACTGGAAATGCGGTGACTAAAGTAGATGGATGTCCACTGAGACACGACAACACATCATTTAAAATAAACGGGGGGGATTCTTCGGTCTTAGAAAGTAGCAGGTCATGATTAATGTTCGTTAAATTAAGCGTTTCTTCTAAAGTGAGCGGTTACGTTCCCCCGTTTTCTAAGAAATCAAATATCTTGATAGAAGAGACGGAGATATTTCAGGTCCAGATCTTTAAAGAACAGATAAAGCTGGTTCAGAAATTCATGCTTCCCAGAGGGCAGATCTTCTCTATTTAGTAGATTTCTTTTGTCTTTGTGGCACAGATATTCGTGGTTCCTAGAGGATTAAGGTGAATTATTTTGTGAGTAAAATTTTTGTTATGGAGAGACAGATATGAGTCAGTCATTCATGGTCCCCAGAAGCTAAATCCTACTGAACTTTGTGATTTCCTCTTAAAGTTTGTGGGGTCACATTTTAGTGGTGCAGTCTAACACTCTGCCATTTTATTTGGTATCTGGTTCACATGCTCATGGTCCCCAGAGGTAAATCTTACTTTCTTTAATGATCTCTGACATTTTCTTTGATAGTATATCAACTTTACCAACTCTAGTGACCCCCTGATGTTTGATTTAGCGTCCTTAACAGGTGAAACTTTGGAGAAAAACATTCCCAACCATCGAGTTGTAGCTGTAATAACTTGTAAAGAAAGAAATCCTGGTCCCCAGAGGATACACTTGACTAACGATGGTAGTTTTCTAACTTTTTCTTTAGCACAGAAACAGCTTTATATGTTTGTCACGAAACGAAATATTTAGTTGATTTCTTTGACATTTCAGTAAATCATTCATTGTCCCCAGAGGAGATATTTTACTGATCTTGGTCATCTCTTGTCTTTTTTGTCAGATTATTGAATCTGTTGACATTTCAGTCATGTAGCAACAAACAACAAGTTTTCATGAAAAACCTGATACACTGATAAAAACTGTTAAACCCATTCATGACTCCCAGAGGATAAACCTTCAGATTTCAGTGACCCACTCTGGCACGTCCCCTGAGAACCACTCGCAGGTTCATGTTGCATGAATTTCTGTGACTATTGTCAGGTTGATCACCATTAAATTGGGAAAAGATATTCATGCTTCCCTGAGGATGAACTCTGCTCGTTTTGGTTATCTCCTGACATTTCCTTCAGCTTTAGCAGCACTCTGAAAATCATCTTTAAGAGGTAAACACTGTGAATGAAAGTGTGTTGATACCGACAGATTCATGGTTCCCAGAAAATAAACCGGACTTTTCCTTAAATGCTTAAAATATTTAAAGTCAAATACTAAATTTAAGGTTTATTATAATACTGATTTATTGTTGAAGTCCATTGTCTCTGGTTGGTGTTTTAAAAGCGCTCCTTTTATGGTGTAATACCTCCACAGATAGTGATAGCCCGGCGTGCCTCACTGCAGGATCTGTTCTCCTCTGCCCTTTGCCCCCTCAACCATCTTTGTCTGGCTGGTATGTGCCTATCCACAGTCCCATGACCCACTCCAGGTCTAAATATAAATACCCAAGGAGTGTGTTCTACTGTTAAGGTCGCATTACATCATCCCAGGCTGCCTATTCTGAATGAAGCAGCACTAGGGACATGAGCTGTGAACGTGTCGATGGCTTTACGATACCTCAGGTTAGGTTGAAAATGATGGGTCGCTCTCACAGCCACTGACCGACTGTTTTCCTGAGGAGAAGGCTGAACACTTCTGGATAACACAAACTTTTGACTGTGCATCTAAAATTTGAAGAGGTTTCTTTAGACTCTCGGCTGACATGGGGAACGGAATCAACAAGGTAAAGTTCTGAACGTCTATATAAGAGGAACATTTAAAAACCTTACTTACATCTTTGTGACCTGGTTTTGAACTCTCTTAAGGTCCTGCCTGATCTGTATCTTGGGAACCTCAAAGGTAAGCTCTCCCGCCACCTGTAACCTAAGTAAAGGATTTATTTAATTTCAGGACAATAGTGATCATGTTTCGGTTCCTCATGCAGAGGGGGCATGTGGTGAGATGCTACACTGAGCTCAGTTTCTATAGAGAGGTCACAGCGTGGAGCAGAACTACTCAAGTACCGTATTCTGGAGTTAAAAAAAAGATTACTGTGTTTTTTTAATCCCTCTCAGGTCTGTGGAGGTTTCAGCAGCTGAAGGAAAGCTGCTGGGAGTATGTGAGGGTTTGTGTGGGAGGGGATGCCCCGCAGTGTGGGGGTGTCCCCAGTACGAACGACTATATTCCACTTATTTATCACTTTGCTGCAAATGCAAAAACTGGTGGCTTTGAAAAACATGTGCACGCGTGAAATCGTGGCAGCACAGAAAACGTCCTTGAGCTTCTCACATCCTGCACGCCCTCGAATCTGACGAAGCTTTTATTCGGGGAGAAAAAGTGTGAATTTGAGAAAAAAAAGAAAACTTTGATCTAAAAATGTCTCAGATTTCTCACAGGGTTAGTTTGAACCAGTTCATACATGAAATTTTATCTATTTAAACTATTTCTACACGTTTGATTGTATAATTTCAACATAACTGACAAGGTAACGATGACTACAACACTTTAACTCGTTCTAACTCAAAATTAATTATTTGATTTTATTTTATTTTGACCTGTGTAGTTTTTCCAGAAAGATATATGTAATGGACTTTAAAGCTCAGACTAAAAAATATTGTGTCATATTTTACGTAAAAGTGTTAGGGCCACATTAAGAAATAATAAAAAATAAAATTTAAAGAATAAATCTGTTCCTTCATGACGATAAATAACAGTAATAATAATAATGATCACTTTATTTTGAGAGCACTTTTAAAAACAGAAGTTTATGAAGACAAATAAGGACAAATAAATAAAGCTCAGTTAAATCAGAATTGAAGGTCAATTTCATTTGTCATAAGGAACCCAGAAAATACAAGAACCATGCAACATAAAATGAGACCATGAGGACCAAAATAAAAACATAAAACAGGTAAGAATAAGAAAAAAGATAAAGTCGATCTGCTAAAAGAAAAAAGCAGGTTTGTGATCAAGTTTGGTCACCTGATCAGCAGCCAATCCTGTGCCTTAAAACGAGGATGATGGTTCATCTTAATTTAATAATATTCTAATTTAATAAGCGGCTCCATGTTCCTGCTTCAAACAGGTCAATCATTCACTAAAACTACGACTTTATTCATGTAATATTAGACTATGGTTTTAATACGAATTAACTCTGATAACAAGTTGACTTTATTCCTATAATGAAAACACTAAATTAAGATTTTATTCTCCTAATCGGCCTGTTATGACTTTTTATTTAAGACTTAACTTTAATTTCTTATGACTCTGCGACTGTTTTTGTGACATTATGACTCTATTTCCAAACTCCTAAAATATTTTGGTAACATTTTATTTGACGTCTATCTCTATAACACATCATAAATATATATATATATGCGTTATAATCGTGTTATAGCACTGTATAACTAGAGTTATAAACTCTCTCTTTATAGCAGTAATCATAAGAATTATGATAATTAATGAGTGTTTATAATGATAGTTATACAAGTTTATGAACTATGAACTATTTATAAACACATTATAAACACATTGTTAACAGTTATAACACATTATAATCCCTGACCTATGCTATAAAGCATTATGATCATTTAGGAGTGTTTATAACTATAGTTATACAGTGCTATAACGTGATTATAATGTAGTTATACAGTGCTATAAGACATCATACATAGATTTAAAGTGCGTTGTAGAGATAGGCGTCAAGTAAAGTGTTACGAATATTCTTTATCCTTAACATATGGCTCTGATACTCCTCTTTAAATGCCTCTTTCTTTCTTTCTTTCTTTCTTCTCCTCTTGTGTGAAGTTTTTATATTACAGTATTAATTCTGTTTTTATGGCCTGAATTTAAACAGCTCCTATAAACCTGATGACCGTTTTGATTTCGTCTCAGAGAGTTCGGTGTGTCTCTTGTTTTTGTGCTCGGTGGCTGAAGGACAGACTGTTACCATCTTTAATGTCACATCAACACCATCACACCTCTTATAAATATTTGTTTCATGACAACACACACTCTGGGCCTCTTCTTACTCCATGACCTTTAAGTCACTGACTTGAATTGATAGTTACATAAGCAGATTGTGTCCTCTGTCTGTGCAGCACTCTCAGAGGTTTATTCAAGTGTTTAAAGTTTTTGTTTCATTTGCATTTTGCAGGTTTTAAACTTGAGTGAAGTTGTACATTGAGGTTAGTTTAGTAGAGACTCAGCTCTTTCTTGAACAGCTCGTGGTGGCATCCTGCAAACTTGCAAAGCATGAGAGAAAAAGTGCACATCTGTCCAGGGTAGAAAACCTTTGGCTTCCTTTTGCAGACTAAAATTTGATTAGAAGAATTACAGTTTCTTGCTTTTGGCCAAGCTGTCGGACTGTTTTAGAAACACTGGTTTTCCGGTTTTTCTTTCAGTTCAGAACAGGAGTTAAACTTTGAAGCTTTTAAGGCCACATTTGCTAGAAGAGGTTATTGTCGGGCAGAAAAAGCTTTATTTAGGTTTGACTTTACATGAGGACATCTCTCTTTCTCTGCAGATGCACGCGATGGGGAGCTGCTGGCAAAGCACAATATCACCCACATCCTGTCCATTCATGACACAGCAGCACCTGTACTGGAGGTGAGCTCTGTCTGCTGTGTGTCCTAAATCAGCCTTTACAACCTCTGACACCAACACTGATCTGATCACTACATGCAGCAGAAGTTCAATACTCCAAAAAACTTATCAGGGATTTCTACTAATACTTTGATTGATTCTTAATCAGCAAATTAGTCTTTGTTTCTTCTCTTAGTTTTACCTCAATACAAAAAATCTAATTCTCATCGTTTTTATGCCTCAAAACTGACTTTAACATCATAGTTGTTTTCTAATGGTTCACCTGTAATCCTAACTAACATCTTCCCTTCTTCTTCGATTCCCTCTTTAATCATTTATCAGATATCGGACAGCTTCTGTTTGGATTTTCGAGGATAAATAAAAGACAAAGAAAATCTTTGAAGTGATTTTCTTTAAGACCAAATTCATTTTGATCCGACGCTGACCAAACAGACCACTTCAAATGGTGTGAAAGTCAGATGTTCTTCTTTCTTGGCGTGGAAAGTCCTCAGGTCTAGTATCAGTCATAATGTGAAATTCATCTGCTCCTCTCATGACTCGCATTTTTAAATATTGTGGACAAATCTGCACATTTGAATGCTGCGTTTAACCTGTGCGGCTGCAGCTGGGATGATGCAGATGCAGCACATTTACACTGGGAGGTAGGAGCTCGGCGGTCTGCGCCCGATCAAGTCTTGAAAGTGCAACTGCATAAAAAAGTTTCTGGCGTTTCATGGCCGAATTTAGATGTTGAGATTTGAGTGTGAAAAGGTGCAAAAGATGTTTTACTTATGTGTACGTGTCAAAGCGTGTGAGAACCTGCTGGATTGAAAGTACAAATTTACCTCGACTGATTTCCATTTGGTAACAGATGTAAGAGTGAACATTAAAAGTTTCATGAAGCTGAGACTCTTCCCTGTCCAAACAGTTCACACTGAGCCCTTCAATGTTGAATTTATCGCCCTCTGTGCTCCGTCTTCGACTGGTTTTTGAAAATCTGGATCTTATGTGTCCGCTTTCACAACTTTCATCTTTTCTTGTTGAAAGCGAGCCTGAAAAGAGCTCACAGATTTCTGTACACTTTCTCCATCCATTCCTCTTCTGTTTCATTGAACGTAGAAGAGAAACAGCAACTTGTTTTGCAGTATCACTACCCAAACTGGTCAACCACCAAAACTTTAGGAGAGGTTTTGGGCTCAAATTGGGGCCCGGGCGTGCCTGCTTTATCTTGATGGCAGGGTTGTTGTCACTTGAAATTGGATGACACTGCTCTCCGCGATCTGTGGTTGTAACGATGACTCAGGTCTGTCGGCCCAAATAGCCAGATGGGACGGTTTTATTTGCATACCTAACAGTCAAACTGCTGACTGATTGATTTCTTGGAAGACAGCTTGATGGTTCCTGAGAGAGGAGGGTCAAATTTGCAACCACAAAATCTCTAAGGTCCAAGTGCTGTTTACCGTACGTTATGTGCTTCTAATTAACATATTGCAAAACATAACCAGGCGATGACAGTCGAAGCAAATGAGTGAAAACTATTAATCTCAGCATTTATTCACATTTTTGACCTTTGCAAAGAAATTCGGTGCTGCACAAGATTTCTCTCTCTGTCTATAACACACATTTCCTCAGTATTAGTGCTGCATCTTTCCTCAGAATTATTCATGTTTATTTATTTATTGTCACTACTACAAAACTTAAGTTTTGTGGGCGTGCAAACGAGCCCAGGAGGAGAACATCCAGGCCTCGCTGTGTCCCAGAGGGCTCAGGGGTTTTCGCAGCGGCGCAGTCATAACTGGACCAGTTAGTTTCTGTCCACTGTATGTACCATCAGCTGCCAGGTGCAGAAATACACACACACACAAGAACACACACACTGAACATCGTTAAGTCGTGACCTACCACATCAGCAGGGCCATAGGGGGCAAGGTTTCAGGGGCAGTCCCATCCAAGCAGAAACAGGAAGTGTGTTCAAGGCGGTGTTCGAACGGATGACCTGACAGGATGAAAAAAACTCCATTTTAAAAACTGTATTCGTTAAATCCTCAGAGTAACGACATGTTTGAGTTAGTTTAGACTAAATTACTGCCTGTTTTGTCTTTCAGGACATGACGTACCTGTGCATATCTGCTGCTGACCACTCCAAGCAAAACCTGTGAGTACGAACAAGGAGAGGAAAATGGACTTTAGAGAGACAGACGCAGAGTTTGTCTGCAGGAGAGGTCCGATATCTGCATAAAAAGAAAAGGAAAAATTCTCAGTGTGAGGTAGAAAGTTTTAAAATAGTCTCTGTGATATTCAGAAAATATGATAAATGGCTGGATTTATAAATAATTGTGTATAATGCACATTTATTTTCTCCTCCAAACTTACAATGAAAGACGCTGATCTGCAGACATGCATGCTCCAGAAAAATCTGAGTGAATCCCTCATCGTTGATATCGTCTCTATATTAATCAACTTTAAATGTAGGAATTAAACATGAAAACATGCTTTGACAGTTTCTTTAATTATACGTTGCAGAGGTTTGACTGAAACGAAGCCGCAGCCTCTGTGAATAAACTCAGTAGGGAGGAGCAGAGGAAGTCGAGCTGACTGACTGTCTTTTGGCGGCAAACGCTGCACCTCTGAAACACATCAACTAAAAGTTAATTTTCTTTTTAACGTGCATATTCAGTCATGGAAATGTTCGTATTTCTCTTATTATCTAAATCATATTTAAATTCAGGCTCATGCACAGTGGAAATTAAAGGTTTATTCTCATATTCATGTGATTTAGGCATGCTTAGGAATTTTATATTCTATTTAAATCAAGTCTGTTCTGCTTCATGATGCTAAATCCTACAGACTGCACCTTTAAATGTTGGGCCAAATCTCTGTGCTGTAAGTAAAGAATAAGTGATGTGAAAGAGGTCTCAGACTCTCAGTCAGATTAATCAAATATTAACATTTTACAGTGTCTTTAGGTTGGGAGGTGATCAAACTTTCATTGAATATTGATTAAATTAATGAAGTTTCAATGCCAATAACAACATGGAGGCATTTTCAGAAATTAAACACATAAAAATGTGCAGATATTTTAAACACGGTGTGACCTCTGTGAGAGTAAATGGCTGATAAACAGAGGTGAGATCTGCAGCGGGTCAGGGAAAATGTAGAAAGAGGAGAAAAGGTTAAATTTAGCAACAAAAACAAAGTTGAAAATCTGTGTTAATCTGATAAAAAAAACCCTCAATAATCTCAATATTAATCTCTACATTTTTAAATCAGCCGAGTCTATCAGGAAACGGTCTAGATGAGTCTGTAAATGTGGTCTTTCCTCCTCCAGGATTCAGTTCTTCAGAGACAGCATCATGTTTATCCACGAGTCCCGACTGAAAGGAGAGGGCTGCCTCGTCCACTGGTGAGAGGAGAGAAAATAACTGAGTATCACTTAAGTATCTAAAAACTCACTTAATCCTAAAATCATCTCTGCAGTTAAAAAGCACTTTGTCATATTTCTGAGCCCCCTTTAACGTGTTTCCTGCTCTTAATCATCCTCCCAGTGGTTGAGCTGAAGATTTCCTGCCACACAGTAACACCACATGAAACTCTTTGTCTTTTGCAAATGAGGATGTTGTGAGAAAGAGGACGAATATTCAGTTGAGTTGATCTCTGTTTATGAGGACGTGTATTTGCCTCGCTGTGATTACTGACTGGAAATCCTCAAATTCAATTAAGTCACTTCTCATTTTCAACCACATCAATGTCACCCAGCAGACAATCTTTATAAATCACCTCACCTTTCATCCTTCCTTATATCAAAAAAGACAAACCACAGATCTTGAAAATACCAGGTTTCACTTCTTTTTACTCTAAAGCAGAGCCTCTGAATATGTGAGGTTGATATTATAAACTCCACCGTGGATCTGTGTGCTCGCTCTCAGTGTTGCAGGTGTGTCCCGCAGCGTGACTCTGGTGGTGGCTTACATGATGACGGTTACAGGGCGAGGCTGGGTGGACTCTCTGGCGGCGGTGAGGGCGGCTCGGCCGTGCGCGGGACCGAACCTGGGCTTCCTGCGGCAGCTGGAGGAGTTTGAGAACACAGAGCTGACAGAGGTGAGTGAGAGTCAGGGAGACGGTCATTCAAAGCATCAAGTTTTCAATATTATTAGCACGCCTACAGGAAATCAGATCATGTCTTTATGAAAGAGGGGAACACAAATATTGACTCTTTAGAGTCTACAGGATCTGCTCTGATAAATCGAGGTCTCTGATTGCAGATTAAATCTTCAAACTTCCTGTGTTTTGTGGTCCATCAAAGTTTTTACATCTGGTGTTTCTGCTGAAATCCCCTCACTGCATCATAACCTGATTTACAGGAGTGGAGAGATGCAGCCGTACAGTAGTAGGTAATAGTAAACATCAAGATACTGTAATGTCTAATCTTCAGTGGAAATGGTATGGAAGTTTCATCTGAACCTTAAAAATAGTTCTTTGTTTTCTGAAAAGTGGAGACAGAATGATAGAAGATAAGGGCCACATGAAGAGAGAAAAAAATGACAGGAAAGAGATTAAAGTCAAAACTTTGAGATTAAAGTGGAAATTTAAATATTAAAGTCGACTATGTGCTAAAATGTAAAACTGTCCCGGTGCTTTCATGTAGTGTTTTAATGTTCTTGTTGGCTTAATTTCAAACATTTCATCTTATTTTATGAACAAATATTCATGTTACGACTGAAAGTTTCTAAGAGGAACTTCCTGATCAATCTGGCGCCCCCTGTGGACAAAGTGATAACTAATGTTGTCGATGATTTTGTCCGATAAATTGTGTTTTTTCAGCCAAAAATATCTCAACTTGTTTTACTCATCAATAATAAACATGCACTAGTTTTTTAAAGATCACAAAAACAAACTGTCATTTTTTAGGTCTTAAATATTCGTCACTGTTAACTTTTAATATATTTTATAATCAGTTTAAATTTCCTCACAGGAGCTTTAAGTTTAGACTCATTTGAAGTGATTATTAAAGCATTTTTTAAATATCTTTTGACTTTTTATTGTTGATGTGATTTTTATAACTGAGTTCACCTGACTTTAATATTGTGGAAATTTCAATATTAAAGTCGACATGAATAAAGTGGAAATTTCGACTTTTAAACTTTCGACTTTAATCTTGAAATGGAAATTAAAAATAATCTCCCTCCTGTAATTTTTTTTTTTTTTCTCTTCTTGTGGCCCTCATCCTTTTTTCGTAAAACAGGGACAAGAAAACTGAAAAAGTTGAGTGGAGCTCCATCTTCTGCTAATTAGGCCGGTGTACCACAGATTAGTACCATGACTGGGTATAATAAGAGCGGTCCAGAGAAGCGGGTCTCTCAGAAGAGAAAATTCAAGCAAAGGTTCACCATTCTGTGAGAGAATGTGTGAGCAAATAGCCCAACAGTCTCAGAATCAAGTTCCTCAGACCCTCAGGTGATGCTACATTAAAAAAAAGACTTGACTCTGTAGTGGAAATATCGTATAAGCTGAACTGGATTTCTTTTTGGAAATCGTGGAGCGGAGGAGAGGAGGAACACCTGGTTTTCCTGCAGTCCTGATTTTAACCCTCCTCCTCTGTTAGGGTCTGTTTTCGTTTTTAAATGCTCAAAAGAACCACTGCTCTTATTAAAATTATGGCACTTGTTGTGTTAGGGTTGCTGTTGACCTGGTTAGATTAATATCTGATCATCAGAACAAAAACCAAAATCATATGTGCACTGACAGGAAACACACTGACAGTCAGATCCTCTTACACTCATGTGAGATTTAACATCAGGCATGTCCAGACATGTGAGATCAATTCAGTACAGATGTCTGTATGAGGGGTATACTGACAAAGAAAGACCCAGAGGACCACAACCAAAACTATCACAAGCAATATTTTCATGTATAATGAAGCCGAACAAGGTAACCTAGAGATGAGAGCCAAACTGGATGATAGAGAATTGTTCAAACTGACCCTTAACGTGGTGGGTGTGTAGTAAAAGCAAACACAGGAGGAAGGTTAAATTGTCGCATCATGAAACAAAAACATGAAACGTTACGTTGAGTTGTTGAAATCTTACATCAGACAAAGATGACACAACATTTCACTTTCAAAACTTCAGAAACTGGTCTCCTCAGTTTCTGAATGTTGATACACAAACTGTTAAATCCACAGTCTCTACAGTTTTATCTGAAAACTAAAACAGTCTTTTGACTCCCTCTTCATCCTCCCTCTGCTCTTTGTCTCTCTCTCTCAGTATCGAACCTGGTGGAAGGAGCGATACGGGAAGACCTCGTTGGACGATGAAAAGGAGGTGGAAAACCTTCTAACTCGTAAATCTGAAAACAGCAGTTTGACTCTGACCAGCATCAGTCCTGATCTGAACACCAGAAGCACCTGAGGAAAACAGAGAGAGAGTTAGATCTGCTTTGAGGAACTCGAACACCTGAGGACTTTGTCGATTCCCATCCCCCTGTCACCGATCCTGCAGAGAAAACTTTTCTTTTGTACTAAAATGATTTGTTGACTCTTTTATCTGCAGCGCAGTCATGTGAGGGGGGATTTTTATCTCATTGTCTCGTCCCCCGTTTTCATGTCGTGTCTTTGCTTCTAACTGTCAAAACAACATGCAAGGGCAGTCAAGCCTGACACCAAGGAAACATGATGAACATACGCTCCTCAGTGTGAAGACGCACACAGCAAACTGCCCCCCCCACCTCCTTTACTTCTGTTATGCTGTGTCCTCAACTTGAAATATGAGTGTGTGACTCTCTATCTGTACTTCCAGTCAATCTATCTATACAGTTTGATTCCTTTATGAATGTTTGTATTAAAGATTGTGTGAGATACAAAAACACGGTCAGTTCAAAGGATCAATAATAGAAACGTCTGCGTGTAGAATCTATCTACAGTTTATCTATACACAGAATATTCGGTAAATTACACATCTGAATTTGCATTTTCATTTGATTAATTTTCATTAACGTCAGAGTCAAGTCAGTCGGTGAATTTTCTGTTTGGGGGAAGTTAGTCCTAAACCAAAAACTACCGGGAAAACACATTTTTGAAAGACAAATTATCAGTATTTTTAGAGTCTTTAGGGAATTTAATGCATAAAAATTTTAAGTTAGATTAAATTAAAATACCAATACTGAAATGTAAAACTGTCCCGGTGCTTTAATGTAGTGTTATAATGTCCTTTTTGTTTTAATTTCAAACATTTCATCTTATTTTATGAACAAATATTCATGTTACGCCTCAAAGCTTCTAATAGGGAGCTTCCTGATCAATCTGGCGCCCCCTGTGGACAAAGTGATAACTAATGTTGTCGATGATTTTGTCCGATAAATTGTGTTTTTTCAGTCAAAAATATCTCAACTTGTTTTACTCATCAATAATAAACATGCACTAGTTTTTTAAAGGTTAAAAAATCACCAAAACAAAATTTCATGTTTTTTTTTATTTTGCTGATTGTCCATGAATTGATTTTAGGTCATAAATATACGTTGCTGTTAACTTCAATCTTTTCCATAATCTGTTTAAATGTCCCCACAGGAGCTTTAAGTTTAGACTCATTTGAAGTGATTGTTGTTCTTTTAATAAAACATTTTGTCTTTATTTATTTTGACTTTTTATTGTGTTTGATGTGATTTTATAACGTAGTTCATCTGACCCTAATATTAGGTAACAACTGAGTAAACTTTTAACAAACTCTTGTAGTAATGAAAGCTCCTATGAGGATTTTCAGCGTGATGAAACAGACTGAAATAAACCCTGATGTCTCATTTTGAGCCACAAAAACAAACAAAACCATCAAGTTAAAAATAAAACATATAAAATCAGATTTTTTTAATGTCGAAGCTGCTGTCAGGGGGGTGGTGTCTGACGAAGTGAACACCTGTAGGCTGCTGAAATAATCTTTTTATATTTCAAATGAGCAAGATATTATAGTGTTAAAAAGTCTCAGTTTGTCCACAGGGGGCGCCAAAATGGACACAATCATAAAGTTCCTCACAGGAGCTTTAAATGCTTTGATAATACTTTTATCAATACTTTAAAGAGTTTGTGTACTTTTTATTTCACTATGTGTGTCTACAACCACAAAAAGAGGTGAAGAATTAAAATAAAACATAAAAAATTTACAAAATATTTGATCTTTCTGGACAAGATGTGACGCACAGTTTCCATCATGCACCGAAAGAGAAGTTTTAAAGACACTGTTAGTATCATTCATTAGTTCTGCTTTTTGTATTCTTAGTAATTTTCTTCTGTAAAGGTTAAGTTTTATTGTTTTAGACGCTTTAAATGACAAAAAAAGGGAACAAATCTATTTTTACCGCTCCTTGTTTCTGAAGAAAATATCACAGCTTACTTCCATATTTGACTTTGAGACTCCTATAGATGTCGATTATGTCATAATAAAACGATCAATAATCAGATTTTGGCTTGAGACAATTTTATGTAGAAACTATTTTAAACTTCTTTAGGTTGTTGGAACTGAATAAAACAAGTTACAGTCTGCCAACCCAACTCTGAGTTATGGGTTATTGGCGTTTCTCAATACTTGTTTGTTGGTTTCTGATCATCTCTGATTTGATGTGGTAAAAACATCGATCAGATCTGTTCCACATAATCCTCCAATAACAAGGAAAATCGATGCGCATCACTTCTGAGGCAGCAGGACCACCCTGAAGAGTCCTTTTCGTCAAACTTTTATCATTTCACAGAATTGTTTTCGTGCTCGGCTCTTGACTTTTTCCACGTGTGCGGGTGTGTGACACTTCTGACTGACGCCGGCAGGGTTTCCCCGTCAGGCGCCTTTACTGGAGATGCGCCGCTGTGTGTGCGCTGATAAGCTTCATAGGAGAGAGAGAGAGAGAGAGAGAGAGAGAGAGAGAGAGAGAGAGAGAGAGAGAGAGAGAGAGAGAGAGCAGGTGCATCTTCCTCTTCTTCAGCATCATCCCCTGCTCTCTGACCCCGCCCCCCTCTGTTCGCTCTCTGGTGGAGGATTTAAGCGCTCCCGCCGTAAAGATGAGGGCTTCTTCTTCTTCTTCTTCTTGTTTTTCGCTCTGACTGATTTCTAAACTGGACCCACTTTCACAGGTAAGAGCAGATCCACGCGCTTCACCGGCGCACACCTTCATCTGCGTGGGAGACCAGTGGGTTTAGAGAGTTTTTCTAATCGTGGAGAGTTTCTACCAAAAAACTTTCACAACATCAACATCAGCTCCCCTGAAAGAAACTCTGAGCAGGACTATCGGTGGACGTAGAGATGAACGCAGATCTGGATTACGGAGGGTCCGGGAGCAGCGGGAACGGGAAGCTGAGACAGTGGCTGATCGAGCAGGTGGACTGTGGGAAATATCCCGGGCTGGTGTGGGAGAACGACGAGAAGAGCATCTTCAGGATACCATGGAAACACGCCGGGAAACAGGACTACAACCGGGATGAGGATGCCGCGCTTTTCAAGGTAAAACACCCTCCTCCTCCACCACCACCAACAACAGTGTTCGTGGATTTTCAAATTAAAATCGATTAAATGATAAAAAAAAAAAAAGTTTCTCAAGTGAAACGAAAAAGATACAGTTGCTTGTAAAGTCATAAACTTTTTAAGAAGTTTGCGTTTGTGTTTAATATCTTTATTGTCTTGCAAGAAATCGATCACAAAATCCGGATGCAACATTTTCTTTCGTGTACTTTAATTATGTTTTTGGTTATTTCAGCTTTTGTCAGAGTTAAGTTGTTCTTTTTATCGACTAAAAATGTTTCCAACTGTTGAATAAAACGTATTTAAAGCAAAAACGATTTCTTCAAAGTCCCCAAGTAAGACTTTAAGTCCTGCTACAAACACAATTCTGTCATAAAAGACGAGAAAAACGCAAAATATCCATGGGAATGTATAGAAATGGTTTTCTTGCACAAAAAAATTCTCGGTTAATCGACGACTCACATGAAGATTTCTTCAAAGTCCTCATGTGAGACTAAACGTCCTGCTACAGGTTAAATACTGTTATAAAAGACGAGAAAAAATGCAAAATATCCACATTGTTGCACCTGAAAATCCTCGGTTAATCAACGACTCCTATGACGATTTCTTTCAAGTCCCCAAGTAAGACTATAAGTCCTGCTAAAAGCAAAATTCTGTCATAAAGGAAGAGAAAAAATGCAAAATATCCATAGAAATTTATGGAAATGAGTCTGTTGTACATGAAAATTCTCGGTTAATCGACGACTGCCATGACGATTTCTTCAAAGCCCCCATGTAAGAGTAAAAGTCCTGTCATAAAAGACGTGAAAAATGCAAAATATCTACATTATTGGAAATGATTTTGTTGCACGTAAAAATTCTCGGTTAATCGACGACTCCCAGTTTGATCGTTTTAATCATATGAAGATTTCTGCCATGTTAGAAACTTGTGCAGACTCTCTAATAGGCCCACATGCAGGACAGAGTGGAGATCCCTCTGCATGCAGGCCTACTCCACACGTGGGTTAAATTTCCCCCGTGGTTTGTCTGCAGGCCTGGGCGCTGTTCAAAGGCAAGTTTAGGGAGGGTATCGACAAGCCGGACCCCCCAACCTGGAAGACCCGCCTCCGCTGCGCCCTTAACAAGAGCAACGACTTCGAGGAGCTGGTGGAGAGGAGCCAGCTGGACATCTCAGACCCTTACAAAGTCTACCGGATCATCCCTGAGGGGGCCAAGAAAAGTGGGTTCAACCTCAGACACCTCCTCCTCCTTCATCACATGTTCAGACTTTAGAAATGTTTGGTTTAAGGTCTTGAAGTTTGTGGGTGAACTTTTTGGTTTAACCCTGAAAAAAAAAAGTTGGAAATTTTCTGTAAATGTCTTTGCTGATTGTTCAAAGGTCACTGACTCCTCACTCCTGCAGTGACAAACCACCAATGAAGGTCACGCTGTATGATCTCAACAGATGTGGCCCTTTTTTTCTGCTGAGTTGTGTGGTTGTGTGTTAAATATTTTTTTATGTGCTGTATTCAGGACCCCGACAGGAGGACAGCCCTCTGAGCCAAATGAGCTACCCGGTGCAGGTCCACCCCCCTTACCCCGCCCTGCAAACTCAGGTGATTTTCATACACAGGAAAATGAAAAGGAGAGAAAGAGAAAGAGAGAGAGAGAAGAGCTTCATGTGAAACAGAGAAAACAGGAGCTTTTAGGCATGAATGATCCTGCACACGTACATCAATCCTTTCCAATATTATTAATTTAAGGTGTTAATTTAACTTTTTACCATAATTATATATCTGATGATGAGTAATTGTGTCTGCAGATGCCTCAGTACATGCCCACAGCAGAGTGCAGCTGGAGGGACTACTGTCAGGACCCCCCCTCCCTGCCTGAGCTGCCCTACACTCAGTGTCCCTGTCCCCCCCGCAGCCTGCAGTGGCAGGGCCCGTCTATGGACAATGGTGCGGTAATAATCACTCACACAGAACTGTCCATATTCCTTCACAGTGTCTTTGTGCAGCAGTGTTAAGTTGATGTGTGTCTGTCTGTTTGTGCGTGCAGGATACCAGCTCAGAGCCTCCATCTACTCGTACAATCCTGCGGACAGTCAGCCGTCACCGTTCTCTCTGGACGCCAGCATCAGATCAGCAGAAGCGCTCTCAGGTTGACGACACTTTCATTTCACTTTTTTTTTTTTTTTTGTACTTGCACACCCTGAAACTCGACAGAGAAGCATAAAAAGTGAGACTTTACAGTCGTGTCGGTGTCGACCTGCAGAGTCCAGGTTAGCGAATGTAGTTTCACATAATTTAACTGTTTGATTTATATCATGAAAAAAAAACATACGTGGATTTTTAAACATTTTTAAATGACTGATTCATCCCAAAGTGTGGATTACAATTGGGTCCATTTTTAAAATAAGGTTAATCTTAAAAATATAAACAGCCCTCTACCTACCTGGTGTAGCTGTTCACCTGTTGGCCAGTTTTGGTAATTTACTGCCCCCTATTGGTCAGCAATAAAATACAGCAGATCTAATAAACGCTGAGGAATGGCGCTGTAAACTTTGAACATAGCTGGACCTGTTTCAAGAAAATTAAATACAAAGATATATTTTTAAAAGCATTTTTGAGCTATTATTAAAACTAAGACATGGTGTATAGACGTCGTTTAACTAGAATAACATTTAGTGGTTTCAAAACTGACCAAAAACCTCACAACATTGATTCTCCAAAACCCAAAAAGCAGTGTCACATACTTATGATCAATACAGTTATTGTTGTAATCACTTATTAACTCCTTGTTTAATTACTCTCTCAGGTCTCATGCTACAACCTTCCACCAACTTTAACGAGACAAGTTTTTCACAGTCATCCTCCAGATGAATAAACAACATTTAACAACATTAAACTCTAACTAATATGAAAAAACTGCACTCGTCCAATTACTGAGCTGAACTAATAAACATGTTAAAGAACATGAGTCCAGCTACTTGGGTTCAATTTTGTGTTAAAAGACTCTGAATTGCGCAAATATGAGTGTCTTAATTTTTCCTGCTGCTAAAGGCAGACGGCTGCACTCCTCCTGGTTTCCCTCAAGGTTTCTACCTGATAAAAACAAGTTTTAATTTGCTTCTGCTGTTACCAGGTGCTTCTTTGGTTTCAAAAGTTGGAACAAAACTTCCCTCGCCAACAGTCATAACCTCTTTGACTGGTTGTGGTCGATGGCTGCCAGGTAGTAGCCAGGTTCTGTTTGAGGTTTCTACCTATTACAGAGCAGTTTAGACTGTCTTTGTCCTTTTCATTCTAACTAAGCACCGGCTCATTCGGTGTAAAAGTTTGGTCTCAACTGTCAAAATTAATCTGAAACTCTGGTTTGTTGTGGTTAATGGCTAACCACCTATGTGTCTGGTTTCACTCAGGGTTTCTACCTGTTTAGAGGGAATTTTCCTTTACTACCATTTACTATGAAGTGTTTTTTTTTTACTGGTAAATCAAATTTATTTCAGTTATTGTAGTAGTCCCAACATTTCTCACCAGTCACAGCGGAAAGCTTCCAAGTAATGAGTCTGGTTCTGCTCAAGGTTTCTGCCTGTTATGGAGAAATTTCTCATTTTCAGTCGTTCTATATGCAAAACTTGGTCTCAGTTATTAAAACCCTTTACAGCTGTTTGAGGCAGATGGCTGTCCACCTACGAGTCTGGTTCTGCTCAAGGTTTCTTCCTCTTATGGGACATTTTTCCTTGCCACGGTTGCCGAGCGCATGCACATTGGTCGTAATAAACATAGTTAGATAACGTCTGTCCTGATTCAGGGCTGTGATAGTTCAAAATCAGAGAATAAACATGGATGATACTGAAGATAAATCTACAGCAGACTGTACAGCTCAACATTCGTGATTTACGCATTAAAAAATGTGATAATAACACGTCGTTGACCTTTACCTTCTCCCCTCAGACCTTCGCCTTCACGTGTCCGTATATATCCGGGACAGTCTGGTGAGGGAGGTGACGGTCGCCAGTCCGGAGGGCTGCCACATCACTCCGTGTTCCCCTGAAGAGAAGCCCTTCCTGCAGTCCGGCGGTCGTGAGGTCATCCCCCTGCCTGTGGACAGTCTGAGGAGGGCGGACGAGTGTCCCCCGAGTCCCCCGTCCAACCTGGACAGGGGGGTGTTACTGTGGATGGGCCCAGACGGACTGTACGCCCGCAGGCTGTGTCAGAGCAGAGTGTACTGGCAGGGAGGACTGTCCCAGTACGGAGACAAACCCAACAAACTGGAGAGGGAGGTTCCCTGTAAACTCCTGCACACGCAGGACTACCTGACAGGTGAGATGACGGCAGACAGACGCAGCTAACAGTTTCTTTCTCTAAGGGTTTATTTTTGACTCAATGATTTATCTCATAAACTTCTGCACTGACTCGACCACATGCAGTGGATCTGATAATGCTGCTTCTAGTCTTATCTCCAGTCTATGGTTGATTGTACTACAGCTGTTGCAGAGAAAAGAGAGGAGGATTATTATAGGCAGCGATCTTGAAATGCAGAAAATAGGATGTTACCTAGTGGACCAATCAGAGGGCTTCAAGTCGGGGTCCTTTTGATTTTCAAGCAGGTGAACATCAGGCCTCATATCTAGGTTTTTGTTGGCACAAACCTACGGTGCAGAGAAGACACAGAAAGCATTAGAAATGACCAAGAAGTAGGTCCGAAAGTGCAGGCGGAACCTTTAACTCTACAAATTCACTTTTAAAAATACTAATATGACCCTTCAATGAAACCCTTTAGTTTGAAACAAAAGAGGTAAAAAAAAACAAGAAACAAAACTTCTTTTCATTGTTCATGTCAAGACGTGACTTAAGAAGACGACTATTTTGATGCTTTTATTTTGTTTTATTCCCTTCATTGTAAAAACATGCTTTTATTTTGAAGTGAAGTGGAATGTAGAATGAAAACAGATAAAGATGCTACAACTAGGTAGCTACTGTTTCTGCAACACCTGAAACCATGAACTTATGCATTTTTAGCACAGGATCAATATTTCCTTTATCATCAATACAAGTATATAACCACAACTTTAATATACTGTAAATGTTTTAATATTTTTCAATCCAGATCATTAAAAGACGTTTTAAGGATCTCTACAAATCTTCTAAATGAACTTTTACTGCTTCTTAAACTTTGTCTTTTTTATCGTAAAAATCTACATTAAGCTCTATTTTTAACTTCTAGGGCGCAGAGTGTGGCCCGCCTGTCTAACAGTAAATCATCAGATCTGAACTCACAGCTTGTGTTAATGAGTCTGAAGTTTTTTAGTCATTTACTGTCAGCCTCTCTCAGAACAAAAGTTCTCAGAGCTTCATATCAGCTCCAGATTGTGGTAGACTGTCTTTTTAAAGTCGTATTTCATGATGAGGCAACAGTCACATGACTTCTTGACAGCCACACTATCCCCACCCACACGCCGCTCAGAAGGAGCCAGCTGTGTGAGGGCTTGACAGCTAATAGTATTTGCATTTGTGGTATGAGGAGGACTTTCCATTCAATCTCCCCCAAAGGTCACATTTCTTAAAGAGAAATTCTCCTGAAATCATTTGAATCTCCAACTTCTGATTATTAATGATTCAACTTCCCCTCCTCCCCGATTCTCAGAGATCCAGAGTTATGGACTCCACGGCCGGCCGCCGCCTCGTTTCCAGGTCCTGCTGAGCTTTGGGGACGAGTGTTTGGACCTGCAGAGACAGAGGCGCACCCTCACGGTTCAGGTGATTCTTATCCCTCCTCTTCAAATCTTCAGAGTCATGTTTTTAACTTTGAAAGGTTGAAAGTTGAGTCCTCTCAAAGTTTGAGGTGAGGCCCGGAAAGTGAAAAGTAGGATTTGAAAGTGTGAGAACTTTTTCATGGTCATAACGTCGAACTTCAGTTTCTGATCGAGTCTCAGAGAGATTCAGCCCCCTGACTTTCATTTTTGAAGAAGACCACATGCTAATTCAGGTTTGGATGAGAGGATCCTTCCAGTACAATACCTGAAGCAAAAGACAGGGACTTAAAAAGCGCTCTCATGTTGGGGACCAAACCTTCAAGTTTTGAAAAAAGACAAATGTCCAAATTCAGGAACCTTTAACAAGAATATTTTTCTTACTTGAGCGTCTCGTTTAGGGATCATAATATCTTGAAATGAGACCTTAATCTGGGTTTATCGATCTGGGTTTATACATTTGCTGAATTTTGAGTTTTTGCACCCAAAGAACCCTGAGATTAAAAACTTTTTTCTTTTTTTTTTCCTGTCCTATAATCTGTGTTTAATCGACATCTTAAAGTTTGTATTCCTATATTAAACTTTTTTTTTTTTTTGCCTGTTTTGAGAGAATATGGTGGTTAAGGTGTTAAGTGTGAGAGAAAGTGTAAAATTCTAATTTTTACTCTCATTTATTCTCATTTCTCATCAGCTTCTTCTCATTTCCCTGACTTACTCAACATGTGAAGCTGTGGATTATTGACTTTTATGAATTAAAATAATAGTACTCATACAGGAGGTTCAGATTGGGCTGAGAACGGGGTCATTGAGTCAACGCTAGAACAGAGACGAGTAGTAAAAACAGACGGTTCATCACGCCCGTAATGCCCCACTTAAAGTAGGCATGTGTAGTTTCGAGTGAACATCTTCTGGGCCAAATCTCAACAATCATCAAACCATTCAGAAGTTCTCAGAGTTATGAAACTGTCCTGTCAGGGTAAAATCATGCTGCTCAGACTTCATTCAGAGCTTCTCAGTGAACGTTCAGACTGTAGATTTTTGTTTTTCAGATCATGAAACTGGTTAAAACAGCTTTCAAATCGATCTGCTCTGGAAAAAGTTAACGGTTTAAACGAGTCTGACTCACCTCTCTGACTCGCTGCGTGTTTCAGGTGGAGCCCCTGTTTGCCAGGCAGCTCCTGTACTACGCCCAGCAGATGGGCGGCCACTACTACCGCAGCTACGAGCACCCCGGAGTCACGGACCACATAAACACCTCTGAGGACTACCAGAGGGCCATCCAGCACCACCACAGCAGCAGCAGCCTGCAGGAGTGACGTCCTCAGCAGGTTCAAGAGACTGTAAATGAAAATAAACTTGAAGATACGTCAGAAGAAGAACAAAGAAACTGAGAAACGAGTCCAAACTCGGATACGAAACTGAAGGACATTTCTTAGTGACGCCGAAGATAGGGTTGTTATTTTTATACTTATATTTTTGTGCACTGTAGATGTATTTTTGACTTACTATGCAAACAAAACTGACAGCTCAGGTGATTGTAATGTAAAATAGAAGATGAATTTTAGTGCCTGAATTCATAATTTAAAAATCTGGTTGATATTATTCACCCTCAGAAGTTCAGACGAGGTCAACATGAGGCCGGATGGAACTAAAGTCTGCGTTACACCAAACAGTTCAGTGTGTTGAATCCACTCTAAAGCTACAGTGTGAGGACTAAAAATGATTGTTTTCACTGAGGCTTTTACGGAGAATGTTTTTATAATTTCTGAGTCTGGAATCAGAAAGTTCGCTCATAATAACCACAATGTCACGTACATACACGACTCAAATGCACGGTTCTCCTTGTATATATCAAATATCATATACTTACGGTTTTAAATCGGTCACCCAAGCAGAGGAAGTGAAGGAAAATCCCTCAAACCTTCAGTCAGGACTCCAATAACCTTCTTTGGAAAGGGGGGGAATCAGACTAGGGCTGGGCGATAAAACGATAATGATATACATCGAAAATTAATTTCCCTCGATATTGATATGAAACATGGTTGATATGCTTATTGATAGTCGGCATTCTGCCGTGTTTTGGTAGAAAATGTTGAAAAGACACAAAGACCTCACAGATGCAGTAGCTTTTTGTATTGCAAAAGACATGCTACAAATAAACACTGTTATATTTCATTTCAAAATAATAGGGAACATTGAAGATTGACAAGTAATTTTTTTATATCATGATATACATCAATATTGACTAATATGTAAAAATATATCATAAACTTTTTCCCGTATTGCCCAGCCCTAAATCAGACCCAAACCTGGTGCCATTTCTGAACGCCAGTGCTGTGTTTACAAAGACCTGATGTAAAGACAGGATCAGACTGATAAGACTTCCATCCCCTAATCTTCAACCACACGAGTGAAACTTTTAACAGCAGTTATCAAGTTACAGTGGAGAGGAAGAACTTCCTTTAACAGGCAGAAACCTCCAGCAGAACCAGACTGATGTTAGACAGTCATCTGCTGAGACTAAGGAGAGACTGATCGAGCTGGAAAACAGGGAGGTCTACAGCAGCAGGACGTCTGCAACAGCGATCCAGAGGAACCTAGGCGTGAATTTTACCATCGGCCTTATGTTGCTATAATCTGACTAACACCCTGGGGCAGAACAAAAACAAAGAGCATCAAGTCTCCACTGTTTGCACTTGAATTTAGCAGCTACAAAATAAAGACATTTAAATGTTTGATTATAAATGCAGACGTCTCTGCCTTTAAAGTGCACGAGGCCACCAAACTGTAGTTTCATTCTGCAGGAAACATGTTTGATTTACGTCATTTTCTTCTCGGAGACACTATCACCACCTGTGAATAAATATGGACAAAGTTTGGTACCTCAGGGAGCTGGTTTTAAATAAGCTTTTTACTCAGTTTTGTACCAGATTTTTAAAAAGGAAAGTGTATTTTTAAATGTGTGTGTCGAACATGAACTCTGAGAAAAAGTTATAATGAATGTTTCAAGGTTTTCCAGCAGAGAGGAAAACGTCTGATTTTGTAAATAAACAATAAACAGTCTGAATGTGAGGAGTGGGGACCCCTCTGTGTTTCAGTGCGAGCTCTTCCGTTGGTGTCGGCGCTGTGTGTGTGTGTGTGTGTTTGAAGAGGAAGTGCGGTTCAGATGCAGGATGAGGCTGGTTAATCGAACTCGTCATTGTCACAAAACAATGTGATGACATCACGAGAGGAGGGGAAACAGAGAGGAAGAGGTCGGCCACGCTTTCCGCAGCGCTGAGGAGAAAGCCTTCCTGCGTTCTGCTCACAGATTACAGTCTCTTTCCACTTCCATGGAAAACTATCACCTCAAAACCCACAAATACAAACATGTTTGAAATAATTTACAAGAAGAGCAGGGAGATATCATCAGAGCGTGAAGGCTGCAGATGAAAAAAACAAACCCAGTCCAGTTCCTGTGAAATCCAAAACCCTAAACCTGAAAACAGCAGACTGAAAACTTATCAAGATGTGATCAATAAACACGTGCAGTGATATGGTTTCTTATCAGACTGCTATCGTACTTACTTCACTGATAAAGACTACGTTTTTTTCTTTTGTCTGTTTAACACCAAATAAAAGATTAATTCAGAGTCTACCACATCAGCCGCCATCTTTGTTAATGAAGAAAGAAACAGTTATTGTCATAAACACATTGCAAGCAGTGAGATAAGTCGTGATTGGTCCAAGTTGGCAGAAATGCAACACTTAAGTCAAGAAAACAAAATATACGGCTTTTCTTTTAGTTAACAATGTGTAATAATAAAATAAAATTTTGGCTAATTTTAAATGTAAAGAAAGACTTAAAATTAGCCAAAAAGAGACTTTTTTATTTTATTTCATGGCAGTGAGTCTAACAGTGACGTTCTGATTGTTTGTATTATAACAGCAGTAAATCTGTTCACACCAGCTGGAGAAGCTCAAGTGAAAAAAAAACATGATTATTTTTACTAAAATGACACATGGACTTAGAAGTAAAACATGTAATAGTGTTGGAAAAAACACTTTTCACACACTTTATATTTAATCATTATTTAATATCTACAAAAAGCTCTGACAATTACAATACTACAACAGCTACAGGTCTAATGGAGTGTTTTTGTTATTTTCTTCTTCTATTATTTATATTTTCTCGTAGAGTACACTTTGGAGGTTGTTTGGATTTATTTACCGGGATTAGACCCGTCTCTATGTGAGATAATACACAGGCTACACTTTAACACTATAAACCAGTTTGGCTGTCATATCAGTGAAATAGGTTCCACAAAATGAAACACATTGAGTGTCAATAATTGTATTACTTATCCTCTTAATACTACAGCACTGAATGACACTATTAGAAACAAATATAATACACCCACTCAACCATTATGGTTGTTTAGAGTGATTTAATATGCATCATTATTTTAAGCTCCCACTGACTGTTTGCTGACTGAAGCTCCAATTTTTTATTACTTTATTTTAGCAAATCAGAACTTTACAAACCATAACTTACTAGTTTTTCTATTTAAATATAGTATATACAGTCTATGATGTAAACATATGAAGTTGAATTATTCCTGGTTTGTTTAACATCTACATTTATTGACAGTATTTGGGAGTTATTGGGTTAGCTCTGCAGATACTCAAAACTAAGCAAGTATATTTGTCTTATTTCTGATAAAACCGTTTTATTTAGACTCTATATAAAGAAAATTGACTACAAGGTAAAGTAAGACCTGAAATAAGAACCTAAAAGTCTACCTACAGGGTGAGAAAATGAGCTTGTTAAGGGACTTAGAACAAGAACCTGATGGTGTAGATCTTTTTCTGCTCACTGGCAGATTTTTTTTAATCATAACCTCCAATCCAGGTCTTATTTTCAGCGAGTTAAAGACTTCATTTAGAAATAAGACAAGAAATTTTGAGTGTTTGCGGAGTGAAAGTTGTAAAGTTCTTCTTGAAAAACATGTTTTTGTCCGTGTATTTGCGTGAAACGAGACGGTTCATCCTCACAGAAACGTCGATTTTAAACCGATGTTTTCACACAGCTCTGTCAAACATGTGTGAATCACTCAAAACTGCATGACTACCTGTGGTAGAAAAAGGTGAGCTGGATCAGATTTTCTCTGATGTCAGACTTCTCCATCCTTTAATACCAGCCCACACACACACACACACTGAAGGAGATCAACATCTGGAGGTGTTCGCAGGTTGTGTCACCTTTTTTTCTCCTGAATGGAACAAAGTTCTGGTGTATAAAAAGAATCAAAAACAACACACACAAAAACTTCCCCTTCTCACCTCTCTTACTGTAAACAGAGAGCTGGCGGCGAGCGGATAAAGGTTTAGTCTTTGAACTTATTTGTGAATGAATCCGTGGGAGGACAGAGAGCTAAGTTTAGCACACAGAGAATCAAAACAACTCCTGTCTGCCCTGCACGGCTTTCCCCTAATCGTTAGCGGGAAACCGAGACAAGGGCGACAAATGTTGCTGACAACGGCTGAGAGGTGTAGCTGCTGGAGTATTCAGAAGTTGAGGCTGTCCTCAGATAACCCCGCGTGTCTGTCAACCTTTTCTCATGTGAGTTGTGGGAGTGCCGCCGTCTGAAGCGCTCATTGTGGAAGTCGCCTCCACCCACAGACGATCTCACACTTTCTGTTGTCACCATCTCCCTCCAGGATCCACTCAACCTTTTAGAAGAATTCTGCCCGCTCGATAACGGCCCTCGCTGTCCCCACCCTGCACGCTCACACCCTGATCGCACCCTCCACCTCCTCCTCCTCCTCCCTGAGGTCTAAACTCCAATGCAGCAGCAGTGAGCTGATGAGCTGGAGCTCCAGAGATGAATCGTTCGACCCGCTGATTTAAACCACGATACAAACTGTCCACTAATATGCACGTATGCAAAGTGGCTCAGTGGGGTGTGACAAACAGATCTTAAGATGGTTACTTTTAAGGTCAAAAAGCGTTGAAACAGTCATGCAGGATATGCAGATGTTCTCCCGGTATGATCTTCAGAGTTGCACGGTTTTTTTTTCTCTTGCAGTGTTTTTGTTGTTCGTGTGTTTATCTTGGATTTCCGCTGCACGGCTTTTCGGTTGCAGCAGGTTTCGGTTGTCGCGTTTGTTTTGGAATTTGTTTTGCTTCTTGGAGAGATGCAGACCGTTTCTCCAAATAGAGATCTTTCGGTTCCTTGCAGGCTGTTTGCTCGACTTGTTAATTAATTTCTGTGAACTGCCGAAAAGTCTGAAAGAGAAGTTAAAAATCAAACATACAGTCTGTCTTTTACATAATTTATTGGGTGTAAGAGATGGCACATAACTAAAAAATCATCATTAAATCGGGACGTCTATCAGCAGAGACACGATCCTGACCCTGAACCGCCTGTTAGCCGTTTTTTATCTGCTTCTTAGCTGCATGAGTGACTGTGTGAGATTAGCATAACCAACATGACTGGGACTGTCCTCCACAATGAAATCGACTCATTTAGTGCCATCGAGATTAGACAGAAACATTAGTGTCCGAGTCAGTGAAGCAGAAATTGAAATGTGACGATGAAAGGGTGAAGATTACAGAGATAAGAGGAAAGGTTCAGAAGTCGATTGCACGTGAATAAGGAACAGAGTTGTAGAAACAGGAGAGTGAGTTTATCTCTTTATAGGCTGGACACACGACGGCTGGAAACAGGTGAGCTGCAGCTGCATGCTGCTCTTGAACTTGTTCAGCAGCTCCTCCAACAACCTGCAGGAGAGAACAAACGTGAGATGAAGAGGTCTGCGACTCAGGGGGATTCTCACTGAGCGCTCTGCACATGCACAGGCCAAACAGTGATGAACTGACAGCTTCAATAACCTACAAACCTACAGACTGATGCAAACCTCTGTCTGCACCCTGGAGCTCTTTGCTGCTGCTCTCCCTGCAGTTTGCTTTGGGATTAAACTGATTAAACTCAACAAGAAAGAAATCCTTTTCAAACACAGATTTTGGCTCCACCACCACCACCACCACCAAACGGAACTATTCAAGTAAAAGAGGTCCTGACTGAACCGAGGCTCCCCTTCAGGATCTGCTACCCTTGTCCCTGTCCCCTCTCCTGGACTCTTCACCCTCACTCTCAAACCTTCAGAGCTGAACGTTTTGGGGAAGTCCAACACAGTTCCCCCACAGCGTGTACAACCCATGAAAGAAAGAAAGAACGAAACAAAGAAAGAAAGAGAGGAAGAAAGAAAGAAAGAGAGGAAGAGAGGAAGAAGGGGGAGAGTCAGATCAGAGGTGGTTTTAACCCGTTTAAACCGGGACAGCTTGTACACATTTCAACCTTCCAAGCTGGCGGTGCTGCTGCGTGTTTCTACCCTTTAAGCCATGAGTGCGGATACATCCTTTTGTAACATTCTGTAGTTTTTCAATCATTTCTGCAGTCGTGGCGAATCAAATCATCATACCCGTCTGCCTCTGATAGGCTAATAAAGCTGAAGTGATCGGATGTTGCTACGTGCTTCGTGAGTTAAGTAAACAAAGACGGAGGCAGAGAGCAGTTTTGGAGACGAAGCGTCCAGCCGTAGTGAAGGTTGTGATATTGAAAGAAATGAAGACGTTGAGAACCTTCAGGATTTGTGGATGAGAGGAATGTTTCTGGACAATGACGAAGAAGAAGAAGAAGAGCTGGTGGACCTCCAGTCTATGACTGTAAACAGTGTGAACAACCTCTTCATACTGAGGTCTTTGGCTCACACTGTCCACGTTTTCTGTGAGTGTTGCATGACTTCGGGTGAGCACAGAGATGAACACACTGTCAGACACTTATTTATTTTTTAGTTTTTAGTTCTGGCACTATACTGGGGCAGCTGTTTACCCTTTCAACACCTTATTTTTTATATTTACATTTGTATTGAACGGACACTTTATCATGACTGCCACTTGTTTTACAGAAAGCTAATTTGTTTTGCTGCTTTATTTCATTTGAGTTTGTTTGCTCAACAATGTGATAAATTCGGATGGATAAAAGAAAGTTATCTTGAAGGCCACATGTGTAAGCTCTCAAATTCTTTTTGAATTGTGTTTCTACCTGCTACAGAGGCTGAGATTTCAGCTTTTTTGTAAACCTCAACACTTCAGAAAACCTCAGGATCTGGGGGCCCTTCTCAAAACGGCCCTCAGGATTTCAGAGGCGAGTCTCAGACAGGGTTCAGGTCTTCATGGGTTAAAGGGTCAAAAAGTGTAAACTGACTAGAACAGGTTTCTATCTGGATCTGTGATCAGTTTTAATCACTCACTTTTTATCGGCTCCGCTGTGCAGCTGAGGAAGACCCTCGAGGGCCAGTTTGAAGCTGGCGCTGCAAAAGAAGACGACAGTGACGACAAAAACACATTTATTAACACTGGAAAACAAGTGTGTGTGTGTGTGTGTGTGCATCTACAAGGCCTCCACACTGACCTCTTGACACAAACGCACACACACTAACACAGATACCACAGCGCACACACACACACACACACCAAACACACACACACACGCAGCAGAACCAGATTACTTTCACTTCCTTTCCAGAACCACCAAGTAACATAAATAGGGATCGTAGTGAGGGATGTGCGACTGTTAAGATTCATGTTTGTGACACTCGCAGTCGTAAATCACTGGGTATATACACTCGGAGAGTTCCTGTGTGTGTGTGTGTGTGTGCTGCACTCACTTGCTTTCAGCGTTCAGGTACGCAGCTATGGCGTCCCTCAGGGCACAAAGTTCAAGTCGAGCCTGAGGCGGGTAAAAAAGAAAAAAGAGGGTGAGATCGACTCGACTTGATCGACTGTCAGCAGATTGAGCAGAAATACGGCGTTATCAGAAATGAAAGGTAAAACCCCTGAGACTGGTGTGGGGTCGTTCTGAGTCAGGGTCTCGCTATGAGTGTGTGATGTCGGTGTGTAGTCATCAGTGTGTACCTGCAGGGCGCCGTTTTTGCTGAAGGAGGACACGCACTGCATCAGGCGACACATTTCATCTGCGACCGACTCGACGATTCGGGAAAGAATTCGAGGAACCAGGTCCTTCGAGACGGTGAAGACCTGAGGAGACGACAGGAAGAGACGTTAATTAAGGCACAGTTTGGGGGAAAAAGGTCAATTATTGAGGTTTTTGATTTTGTTTTACCTCGGCGTGAACGGCGATGATGTTGACCAGAGCTTCCTTCAGGTAGTTCCTCACACCTGAGGGAGAAGATGCACAACAAACCGTAAAAATCCAGATTAAAGGTCTGGATGATAATGAGGAGATAAAATACAAATGAATCCTGATCACGCTGCAGAAAGACATGAAGAGTTCATAAACACTGATGCAGAAACTACCTGGATTCTGGGCCCAGTGTGTGAAAGGTTTCTAACCAAGTTCCCAAACCTGAAGAACCTCAACAGGAACAGCCAGAGCGGCATAAAATCACCTTATTGTTCGACCCTCTGAGACTCTCTTACCAATATTATTCTTTCCTTTTGATTCATGAGCGCTGTTTGACACGTTAGTCACAAACTTCACAGAGCTGTTAAACTGGGGTTAGATCAGGGGGCTGGATGAAACGTGGTCGAAGTCTCAGTGATGTCAACTTTCTGAGGGAGCAGTTGGAATCTGACAACGGCAGAGAGGTGAGTCAGGGTGGACCTCTGTCCTCCTCACTTACAGATACAGTGTGTCCTAACCAGCAGCAACATCTGCAGCCATAACAGGGCTGGGTGATATGGCCTCAAATCAATATCACAATATATTGATCAGTTCATTAACGATTAATGGACGATAACTCCTCCACAAGCTGCTCACCCCCTCCCACATTAACTTCGTCTACTTCAGCCGCTCCAACTTTCTCTCCGTCCTCCATCTCCTCACCTGTCTTTCCCTCTTTGTTACAGACTGGATGGGGTGGAGTCACGTCTCTGATGTAGGACAGCGTCTTAAAGGGACATGAGACTATAGCCTACCTACACACATCCAAAAACAACTTTGGTTTATTGATTTTTGTGACACTGAATATACTGATGTGGGTAAAATGACGTCGGTTGTTGTCGTAAATTTAGGGATGGGAATCGAGAACCCGTTCTTGTTGAGAACCGGTTCCAAATGATTCAATCCATCGTCATCATTTACATTTTATCTTAACGATTCCTTTCTTCTGGGTACCTTGAAAAACGGTCTTGCGAGTGCCAGTCTAAGTGAACGGGAACAGAGAGAGAAAAAAAAGTAGGCAGAAAAGATCTAAAGCGAGGCTTCATTTTACTAAGAAAGACGACAACAGTGCAACGCTTCTAGAGCAACATGCAAAGGTGGAAACACCAGCTTAAACATTTGTCAACAGAGCACGGCATCATATATAAGGAGTCACATGTATTCAATGCTCTCCGCCGCTGCTGCTCCGTCTCAGCACGGCATGGAAGGTACGTATGATAGGGTGATACATCCTCATTTACCCAGACATGTCCTCTTTTGGGGGGCTGTCCAGGGGGAGTTTATAAAATCCTTTAAATGTCAAGAACGTGTATTCATTCAGAAAACAGTGCAGCGCATCAGGGCTCTCTGCAGCTCCGCCCCTCAGCTCAATTTTAAGCTGAGCCACTCACACGACGCCGGCATGCACTGTCTTTGGGAATTCAGAATATTCGTTTTACTGAGTTAGAAGCGCATAAAAAACATTTGACCCGAAACAAAAAAACCCTCAAAACTCGGCACACAACTACTACACACCCTGCGTAGTAGTTTCTTCTTGTCGAGAGTTCAAAATATGGTCACCCTAACATATGTCCTGTGTTAACATAAACACAATGCATGCCAGAAACGCTCAGTGAAGGTGGCATACATCTTTTTCTGTCATCAGAGACTCAATAAAATGTTGAGTTTACGGTGAAATTGTCGACTTTGTTTTTAAATCAAAGAAAGGCATTGATAAGGGAATCGTTAAAGAATTGAATCAATAAGTAGAATCGATTAAGGCATTGATATTGATAAAATCTTACGTAAATTTTGGTATCGGTAAATCTATCTTCAAATCTATCCGGTTGATGATTCTTGTAAGAGGCTGTAAACACGTCCAGTTTTGTTCTCGAGACACTTGAGGAACTGCAGTTTTAGCACTTCTGCATTAATCGAGACTGAAGGCCACAGTTTCTACATCAAATCACTTCATACTTGTGATCTTTCCCATGAGTCTTTATGACCTGATGATGTCAGCACGCTTTCCTAAAGACGGAGAGACGGTTTAAGGTCACTGAGGGTCATTCACTCCTGGGTGATCAGATCATAGACGGACAGCTCCTGATACTGCAGTGCTGCAGCTCCAGTGAGTCTCAGGTGGACGTCTGGTTCATCACCTCCCTCCTCTTCGTATTTTCAACATCTAAATATATTCACTTCATGTTTGCAGGTTTCAAACTTTGCAGGATTCTTCATAACAAAGCAAGAAGACTGATAAAATAAACCATACATCCATTTGAATTTGCAATATCATCCACAATCTTAAAGCGCTGCACTGAGCAGAATTAATGTACAACAACTCAGGATGCATCAGTTAATGACGACTGAAACTCCATCTGACACCCTGTATGTGTAGTTGTGAGTGTAGTTGTGTTCTGAAATCACTTTAAAGAAACGTTTTTGGTCGACGAGAGAAGAAACAGAAGTTTGTGCATCAGCAGGAAGTTTAAGATTAAACAAACTCAAACGTGAAACCAGAGACAACAGAGTGAAAGTAGTGAAAGTGGATCTTTAATGCCTTGCAGCGCCCACACACCAACAAAAAGTACAACAAGTGAAAGTATCAGATCCTGGATCTGTGGGCTGAGTGTCCAAAGTGTTCCTGTTTCACATGCAGCTCCGACACACAAACTCGCAGCAACAGAGCAGCTTTAGATAAACACACAGTTTTTGTGCAGCGGGTAAAAGAGCTGGTGACCATCTGGAGACTTACCCAGCATTCTCACACACACACACACACACACACAAACACACACTCTCTGCTATGTTGCTTCACATCCTGTTCAAAGGTAAACCACACACACACACATACAAATGCTACTTTCACCTGGGTTTGCATCTGGTGAGCAAAAAAGTTTAAACTTTACACACGTGCAAAGATGAGGCTGCAGCTGCACACCCACAGCTTCACAGACACACAAAGGCCAGTGTGTTCAGGTGGGACTGATGACACGATCTCTGCGGTGTTTACAGTAAGTCATCAAAGACAGAAAACCACAACAACACAGATCAGACCTGACGAGTCCACTCCCACTGTCAGGACTGTCAGGGTGGATTTCTAATATCACTGGGGTCAGTTGATGGAGCTTTAAACTGAGCATGCTCACTGCAGTACCTGTCGGTGTTTGACAGTCCCTCCAGTCGAAGTATCCGGCGTAGATGCCGGGCTCCAGGGATCCGGCGATGGGGTCCGCCCGTCGCTCGATGTAAGCGTCAAACAGTTTCCTGTCCAGCTCTCGCACGGCGTCCACACTCACCTGACAAGGTGAAGGACACATGATGTCAACAGAGTAAACACTCACACTCTCACACCTCCTACGTTCATGTATTCACCCTCACACCTAAAGTTCACTCAGAGTGTCACCTTAAACTGCATTTTTTTAATTGTTGGAATCAAAACATCCGCCGTGACGACGATTGATGTGAAACAGTCATACTTTCTCTTTGCATCAATTCCAGATAAAAATCAATCATCAGAAATAACACAACGATCTCAAAGTGCAGATTAGGTCGATCATCATAGCAGTTATAAGAATAAGCGTGTTCTTTTACTGAAAGAGGAAGTGCATTTTTTAGGACATACGGCGTCACAGCTTCGCCGTTATGAGTCAACTAATGCGATCACTTTCTCGTTTATCTTGTTTTTCAACGTTTTCATGAAGATGTTTCATGTTCTTGAGGAGTGGCCTGAGAGTCTGATCAACAATATCTGATTGTTTCATCGCTGGGTTTGAGTTGTGAGCGGATGAAACTGTGGACTAGAATTTTGTCAGGGTGAGCGTGAAAACCAGGCGCTACGTTTGACACATTTCAGAGTTTTTCTAATATTTTTGATGCGACAGGAAACAGAGTGGGGAGTGCGAGAAGGGACGAGAAAAGGGCGATAAATTATCATCCACGATATATCGTCAGAAAAATCCTCAATGATAAATATTTGCTATCTCATGATAAATACGATGACATAAATGCGAGGGACGGACTCGCAGCCGTAGCAGAATAACAAACAAACATGGCCGAAGGTGGTGAAGAAGACGTTTCTGAGCATCTGGTTAGTGAACGAGGCTCCACATGAGGGATTTCCTTTAAGATCGGGGTTTAGATGATGAGTGTGATCAGGTCTGCCTGACATCAGAGTGGATCTGCTGCTGTTAACTCTGTGCAGCAAGAGTTTTTAACAAATGTTGAAAGTGTTTCCACTGGGGCTGTCCAAATACAATATTAATATCAGATATCGGTCCAATATCAGCCAAAAAACATTGGATTATATCGGAGTGCATCTAAAATCCCCGATATCAGCACTCCGATACAAGCGGTCCATTTCAGACTCCAGTCCAACCCCTCAGAGCCCACGTGATCACAACAATAGTGTGTACTACGGTACAAACAAAATAGAGAGGAGTAGGAGTGATGTCGGCTGTGTCGCAGTATTTTTTGTATATCAGTATTTATTAATATCTGGATCGGCCGATAACGAAGGCTACAATATCGGTATTGTACGGAAGTTTGGACATGCCTGGTTTTCACATTTGAGACTTGTGTGATGTCATTTGTTTTCTCCATAACCTCCCACTCAAACTTGTGGTTAAGTATCTTATTTGACGACTCCCACTGGTGTTCTCAAGACAGAATTAGTCAAAATATAGATTGGAATCAAAATATTTTTTATCAGGACTTATCGTTATCCCTAGAATGGCAGATCTTATTGTGATATTTTTTTGTAGATCATCCCTTTTAGGGACACGCATCAAATTAAGTTTGTTACTGCATGTGGGGCGTCCCAATAAAGTTATTCACTTGTTTAGAAATCAGAATTTTCTCCCTGCTGTGTTTGATTCTTGGCTCTGATTGGTCAAAACCTCATCCCAATGGATATCAACTCTATACAACAGGAGCGAGATCATAGCAGATCGTACACGTCACACTGAGACACGCAGAGGAGCGTGTTTCACTTCTGCTTGTCGACACTCAAACATCGCTGTCTGAGAGTGAGCTCGATTAGGAGGCTCAACATTATATCACAATATAAATCCTGTCCTGCAATCCAGGCAATAGCATTTGAGATAGTGGTGTATCATGAACAGGTGATCATGCACATTTACATGAGAAGATTATGACCTTTTCAAAAGCGTCTCATGTTATTTAAATAAAGTGGGCTCAGATCTGCTGTGGAGGGAAAAAAACGTCTGTGAATAAACAGAAGAAAAAAAACATCATTAATCTTTCAGAGGAAGTGACTCGTTTTTTACAGGAAAATCAATCGCGCATGTCTTTGCTTTGTGATTCAGCTGTTAGTCATTGTGTGCATTTGTGTTTGTGTGTGTGTGAAGAAGAAGAGAAAGGAGTGAAAATGTGGAACTGAGCTTCTAAGACAATGACCTTTACAGAGTCATATCTCTGCTCAGAAGAGAGCAGCAGACCTTTACTATCTCTCCACATTTCTCATCAGCAGCATGAGACAGCAGAGAGGAGTTTTTTAGGTACTTATTTAAAATGGTGAGAAACAAAGAAGAAGAGTCGGACTGACCCGGGTGATCTTCTCTGTGCCCGTGAGGCCGTGTTTCTCAAAGTGGTCGGCCAGGTTCAGGAAGGTGTGTCTCTCCAGGTATTGGCAGTTACTGAGGATGATGAGGAGACGCTGCTCCTGCAAACACAAAGACACGATTATCATTGATCATACTCATCATATATTAACTGATCGAAACTCAAACTTGGCCTTTAAACAAACTCAGAGGTCAGATCAATATCACAGAAGAGGAAACACAGAAGTATAAACTGATTAAAGAGATTCTCTGTCGTCTTCTTTTCAAAGATTTTGAGGCAAAGTTCACAAACTTGAACACAGTTTTTCAGGCTTTTTAAAAGATTTTCCATCAACCAGAGGAGTCTGTTCAGTGACAGACTGAAAAACTCTGTGGTCCCTCATCCAATCAGACTGTTCAACTCTTCTCTGGGGAGGAGGAGGAGGAGTAACAGGAGGACAGAAGATGGGAAGGAGCAGCAAGAGTAACAGTAATGTGCAAATGTCCATACCTTTATATCTTACTTTTAATATGTAAATACTTCATTTATCTGAACTTTCATTATATCTTTAAATAAACAGATTTTTTTATTTCTTGCTTATTTCTGTTCTTTTCTGTACATACTGATGCTTTTTTAATTCTAATTTCCCTGAGGAATCTAATCTAATCTAACCTAATCTAATGACTGACTTCATGGAACTATCATCTCTTGGGTTTAAGACTCATGGCGCTCTTAGGTTTTGCAACAAACTCCCAGTTTCTTATGTCTTCGATTTTTCAATCAACACTTCACTTTCTAAATTCATCCTCACTTTGACAATCGGTCCTACCCCTGTCGATAAAAGGCGAGCAGATGGAAATTGCTGAGTCCTACAAATACCTCGGTGTCCATTTGGACAATTAAACTGGAAAGAAAAAACCTGACTAAAGAAGACTCAGTCTCGACTCCTCTTTCTCAGAAAGCTAAGATCTGTCAGTGTCAGCATGGCTACTGTCCTTTTTTTTATGCTGTACTTTACAGGGGGGGCAGCATATCATCTGACAACAAAAATGGGGCCTGATCAGTTATTGGCTTAGTCCCAGAGGCCATTGTTAAGAGGAGGACCAGGTCTAAATTAAAATTGATCCTGGGCTACAAAGATCAACTGCTGCGCCGTGTTTTTAACGGTCTTTAAAGCTCTTTCAGTGAACGACTTGTGATGCCTCGTTGCTCCACTGAACGACTGAGAAAGTCTTTCCTTCCAGCAGCACTGAGATTTTTTAGTAGCACCATGTTTTTCGCACTCTCAGGTGCACCATCAATGAACGCGTCTACTCTCATGACAAAGGTGCACTGAATGAGCACATGAATAAGCCAAACAAAACAGTCAGATAAGTCAAACTTTATTTAACTCATTCAATAACTTCGCGTGGCTACAGTAGCTGCAGGATTTGAAGTGCGCCTTATAGTGTGAAAAATACGGTACATGCCAGGGTCTGACTTGGCACTGCTGCATGGTTTGTAGAGGTATTTATTTTAGTGTTTCTTCATCTTTATCAGGCTTTTGTTGTATCTAATCATGTCCTTCTCTTTTATTGTACCACTTTTTTAAATCATGTTTTATTGGCCTTGACTGTGTTTGTTGTGTACCTGGTGTTGAGTGTGTGTTTTTCTGATGTCTCCGTGCTGTTTTTGTCTTCTTGAAATAGTTTCCCTTATGCAGGATCGATAAAGTCGACCTTAATTTACCAGTTCTCCAGACTTAACAAACATTCAACTTCTTCTGCGTCACTAAAGAGGACATCTATCGTTGTTAAAATTATCCGTTCACTTTTATATTTCCTTTTTTATTTGTGAAACAGAAAACTTTTCACTCTGAAAAACACGTCTTCCTTTCCTTTAATCTCCTCACATTAACCCGAAGCTCTCAGCTGGTCAAATCATCACTTCCCTTCACCAAATGTCCCCACGTCCTCATTTATAAAAACCTTTTCACTGTAACAGGCACCACAAACCGCAGAACAAGCTTCAGAAAAAAACACAGATGCCTTCACGTGAATTTGATCGCACAAACGCTGATGGGCAAGACGATAGAAAAAAAACAGAGTTAGCCTACATTCTCATGACCACAAATGATCTCACTGTCGGCAGCCGTTTGTTTGTCACTCTTGATAAGATCATTCAGGCGGCCACTGTTTACAGACATCTACCCAGTTCTGTTACTCAGATACTCTTTTATTTGTATCTGTTGGTTTTGGAGCTTCAGAAGATCGAGTGAACATCATGAAAGGAAGCAGACTCCACTCTGGTCAGCTTCACGCACTCGTCTCTCTGTCTGTCTGTCTGCTGAAAAGCTGCACAGTGTATTCTGGTCGGGGTTAGGGGGAAACCCCGTCTGCACCTCGCTCCATTTCCCTTTACCAGAATCACTCTACGCCCTGCTCTTCCTCCTCTGTGTCCTCCTCTTCCTCCCCTGCACTTAACCTCCTTCTCTAGCATCTTCAACAGTTTACAGGAAATGAGGACGTCCACGACCAGGAAACAGCCTGATAACACTTTCTGCTTTAAATGAGTGACACACATGTTTGTGTGGCGGTGGTGCAGAGGAGCCCACGCTTCGGTGACGCTGGCTGCAGCCAAATGTGGGATTTCAGGTATATGAACCTCAAACTGTTTCAAGGAAATAAAAAACAAAAACTCCACGCTTACGGATGTCGGACTGAAGGTCTCCTGAACGCCAGAAAACCGATCCGGAGAAGACAGATCCACAGACATGTTCCTGCGTACAGGAGAGATTAGATTTTATGAATACACTCTTACACACACTCTGATTAAAGACCTGAGAGTCATCGAAATACTCACAGAGACGTTTCCATTTCTCCGTCTGATTTCGTGCTCAGATGCTCCAAACAGTTGATGAAAACCTGAGGGAAACCAACAGACACGCAGGTTAAATCACATCATTAAGTTTCCCCTCTTTTAATCTACATAATCAGATGTCGGTAAAATGACATGATGGCATGTCGGTGTCGCCTCGGAAAAAGAAAAGCCAGCAGAGACACGTCAACAACCCGAGCCGCCACCGTGTTTACAACATGCGTTCAAAAATAATCTCTAGACTTTGAGCTGGCACCTCTGCCCATCGAAAAATCCAAAGTATGAGGTGTGTGGACTTGTTGTGGCCGGAGGGAACACAACAGTGTGGTCTGCTGAGTCTGCACAGTTTGGGGTAAATATGCTCTAAGCGGCGGTTGTTACATGCCGGCACTATGAGAGTGAGTTTGGACCCAGAACACCCTGTTTTTTTTGGTGGTCAGAGGTCTGGGAAAGTTTTCACGTCGGGTCGAAGAGCCTAAAACTTCAAACATGTGCATACATGTGACACACCGAGGAGAGGGAGGCGGAGGACTTTGGGACTCTTGATAAGTCACAAGGTTTAATGTTTTAATAGATCTCTCTTGTAGAAGAAGGATTACGGCGAACACCATCATTCAGCAGCATGTTAAAAGAGTTTTTAAAGTTATTTTCAAAGTTTTAAAATCTCTTTTAATCACTTTATTCGTCTTACTTCTTTTTCTGTTGGTCTCAGTTTATCCTGTTGGATTCCTAAGGGTTTCTTCTCTTTCTCTTTTCGTATGTTTTTAATCTATACTTCATTCTTATGCGTGCATGAAATCAAGTTATCATTATTAATTTGAGGGGTTATTATCTGTGTTGTTTTTTTATTTTCCAGAACTTTAAAAATGTTTGAAACATTAACTGAGCTTCCATGCTTTTTGTGTGTTGTTGGTTTTTACCTTCATGATGCCCACACTGAGCTCTGCAGCCTGGTCCTGGACCTGGTCCAGCTGCAGCACCTGAGGAAGAAACAAGGAGGAAGTTTGTCCACCATCGCTCTATCAGGAGAAGACGATTGATCACATGATCGGCGTGTTTACAGCTTTAACTATAAGGAGTGCTTGAATGTTTATGTGTTTATTGCATCAGCTGAACTTACTACAGGCTCCTTTAATGTGACTACAGGGCTCAACGGTGCGACTGTTTCACTCGCATTTGTGACTAAAATTAGATGCGTGCGAATTGTAAAATGTTTTTAGAGGCACATGTGCACAGAAAAATCAGCCGAGGCGACAAATGTTTTTTTTCCTGTAAATACGGCGGTGAAGTTAGTTTTAGGTTGGATATATTTTCCTGTAAATACGGCGGTGAAGTTAGTTTCAGGTTGGATATATTTTCCTGTAAATACGGCGGTGAAGTTAGTTTTAGGTTGGATATATTTTCCTGTAAATACGGCAGTGAAGTTAGTTTCAGGCTGGATATTCGACAGACATTCACTGCGGATCTACCGGTGTCTTCTCACTCTCCATAACCAGGAATGACAACAGCAGCGCGGTTAAATCTACTCGACACCCTCGCTGTCAACATTGAGTGTTGAGTAAGGGACCGTCAATAAATTACCTGTTGATGTTCTCAGAAAAGGCTGTTTTCCTTCAATAGCTTCACTGTCATGTGACCAAAAGACCCAAAATTGATTTCAAATAATAGCACTACGGTCGGACAAAAAGACACACCTCTTTTGTCCCCAAATTTGTCCTCCCAAACTGTTTTGGTTGGTTCATTGTTCCCCTAAAGTTCTTTGTGCTCCTTGTGAAAAAAGTTAGTGTCAATCCCTGGACTTTGTTCTGAGGTACAGCTGCAGAATTTTAAAGAAATTTCAGTTTTGACTATTTCTAATTGTTTTGTTGGTTCAGTGATGAACCCTAAATGAAGCAGGGAAACAACTTTTAATCATCATCGTTGTGATCTTTATGGGAACTCTTCTGTCTCTTTTTGCTCACGTTTATCTCTCCCGGTTTGATCTCCAGCGGCTCTTTGAGAGACTGCAGCATCTGGACCATGCACTGTTCAAACTGTGCAGGCTGTGGAGAAGACAGAGACGAAAACAGAGATCAGAAAAGTCATCAGCATCATGGAAGGTCAGCTGGTAACATTTCTCTGATTTTGTTGAAGGTTCGAGGAAGTTTTTGACTACATGGAAACAGAAATGTCAGTGAAGATCGTTCTTTTCTTTTCTCACGCTAGACAAAAAGTTATTAGTTGCACATTTAAAATACCACACTGACATTGATGCGTATCTTTCAGGGCAGATGTGACGCGTGGGTGACTGTTTATCTTCATGTCTGATGCAATAACATCATAACCTTACCAGACTGGTGATCCCTTCATTATCTACGACCCAGTCCTCCTTCTCTGCGAGTCTTTTCACATCTGAGAGTGAAAAAAGGTTTACTTGAGTTTATTGTTTTCAGAGAACAAAGAAGAAAAAGTCATTGAAAGCAAAAAAAAATGCGAATAGAAATGTTGGTTTCTGAAGGAAAACCACAACAACATCTAAAATAATATCACTATCAAGACCACAAATTGATCTGAGTGAGTGTGGGGAAAGTTCAGTGAAAACCAGCGACTTTTCTCAAAATGACCATGATTACCACAAGTGAAACTGAGACTGTCTGGTTTTAGTCTCATTACACTTTCTTCATTACTATCAGGGAAGCTGTGTCAGGTAAAAAAATGACGGTTGAGGACAGAAACCCGCCAAAAACACACGTGTGTTTCTGCTGTTTATTGACTTTTGACTGCAGCAGATCTCCTGGTTTAACACACGCTCCAAACACTCCTGCACCGACTGTTACACTTAACTTGATTGGTATGATGTATGTATGAAAACCAGAGTGAACAAAGCTTTTTGGGACGAGGTCGAAGAGAGATGGTGAAGTTTTAGAAAAATGAGTCTTATCCGAGGTCGTGAATTTTAGTTGCATGTCTGAGGGGTGTCAGTGTTTCAGCGTTACCTGAATTTTTTTCTTTTCTTTGTGGATTTTTTCTCGACAAATTCTGTATTTTTACTCACATTCATAAACAACAAACAGAAAGAGAAAAAAAGGAGCGCGCACGAGGCTGGGGAAACGTGGCTTCAAGACGGAAAACACCGGGAATGTTTGGTTGTCAGTGGAAAAAATGAGGCGACTCACAAGATTCGTTAAAATATCCTCAAACTTACGATCAAAATCTCTCACTTTTCCTACAAGTATTATTAAATTTGATTTAAAGAAAGTGTGCAGCAACTCTGAAACTACTTTTCTGCTTTCCTACACAGCCTGACTAACAGCTATACCAGCTAACCATCACCCACAAGAATAATCAGCTCAGGAATCAAACTCTGACACCTTTTGTCGACAGTGGTCTGTTAAGTTTCACACTTTCTTAGTAAGATTCTCTTTGTGATAAGACGAGGTGCAGAGGTCTGACTTTCCAGAACCTGAAAGTCACAATTGTTGTGTCTTTTATTTTCTTGAATGAAGCAGAAGTGAAAATAACATCATTTCACGTCTTTTAGGGATGTTATCAGGGAAATATTGACTTCATGCATGCTTGTACTCTCTCTGTCTGCTCCTGCTCACCTTCTGTGGTGTGCAGAAGAGTCACCATGAGGCAGTGAACTCTCAAATCCAGCAGCAGATCCTGGATCACCTGCAGCAGATCATTAGGGATCTCCAGAGCGGACAGAGCGTCGTGACAACCTCTAGAGGAGCAAAATAGAGAAAAAGGAGAGATTGAGAGTTTGTTCTCAACGTGAAACCATGAAATCATCGACGTGTTCAAAGAATCAGTGTGAGAACCTGACGGTGTGGATGATTTGTGTGAGCCAGGTCCCACTCAGCTCCGTCTTGTTCTCCCAGCCTCCGTACATATTCAGCTCCCCCTTAGGCAGGGTGGTGGGGAGGAGAGCTCCGCGAATCAGCTTCACCAGCCGGTTGGTCATCTCCTCGATCATTTTCTATAACGGCGACAGGAAATGTACAAAAAACAGGTTGAGTGGAGGAAAAGTTTGTGGTTTTGAGTAGGAATCTGAAAATACAGCTGTGGTGTAAACAGTCTCACTTTAAAGTCGTTCTGTCTCTGTCGGGCGTTCTTCTTGGATTTTTCCACCTGCCCTGATTTCTCTCCCGTCTGTGGAAAAAAACAAAAAAACAAACAGACGAGAAAAAGTGATTTTTGATTTTATCAGTGAACTGAAATCAGTCATCAAAGTATTTTGACAATAACGTTTGTGGGACTTTTTTGTAGTTCAGAAGTTCATAGGAAGGATAAAAAAAGCTTTAAAATCTCCTCATACAAAATAAGATGATGTTAAAGTCAAAACTTTTAACTGTCACCAAAGGACCAGAAACATGTGAGCATAATGTGAGGGGTTAATGCAAATATGAGAGAGAAAACATGTTTTGTTTTTTACTCTTTTAATTTGTGACAAAGAAAAAAGATTGAAAAAAAAAAAAAACTAGGATTGAGTAAATATGCTAAATTTACTTCCTTTTTTGTCTGTTTTTGTGATTCATATCTTATTCCTACATTGTATTATCATTCAAACGGACTTTTTGGTGTGTCATTATTTTATCTGTTATCTTTCTACGGTATAATTTATTCATTCAGAGTAACTGTTTAATTATGTAAACTATGGAATCTCCCTGAAAACATCAGACTGGCCTCTTCTCCTTGGCCTTTGTTCCTTAGTAAGACGTTGGCTTGATTAGATTTTATTGTTTCTTTTATTGCAGTTATTATTTTACCCATGTTAAATGCCTATTAGATTATTTTATCTGTTTTTATATGTAATTTTATGTTCTATGTAAGATGTTGTGTCTTTATTTCCGATACTTTTATTACCCTGTACAGCACTTTGGTCCTGTGTGGATGTTTTTAAGTGCTCAACAAATAAATTTGGATTGGATATTATTCTTTATAGTCTTTTTTTATTCTACTCTTAATCTGCTCTCTTTAATTTTAGTCGAACCTCTGGTGTTTCAAAAACCTCCATTTACATGCTCCCGCTCCATAAAGTGACTCTCAGAGGAGATCAAATGATCCCAGTGACACCTTCTAAAATAAGAGGGAAAACACCGTCTGCCAAAATAAAGCCTGGTTTTAACTTGACATTGTTTTTATTCGATGTTAAACTTTCGGAGGCGTTTACCTCGCTAAAAAGACTTCCATTAACGTAAGAGATCCAGAGCTTCCAGAAGTTTGGCAGCTGACCAATCACCACATCGGACAGCTTCTCCACAAACTGCACCTGCTGCGGAGTTTCGAAGCCCCAGGCTGAAACAAAGACACACAAACACAAAGAGTAATAAATAGACGGATCAAAATACCTCTGCTTTACTCAAAAGTTATCAAAGATTTTTATTATTCAATCAGCAGATAAAGACCAGCACGCGCAGGTTACTGTACGACTTCCAGGAACCACTTGTGCCCCTTCTGTACTTCTGCCAGTTAGAGCAGACATGATCTGCTGCGATTACGCATGACTGCACATACAGAGATTCCTGTAAGCACCGTGCATTTCAAAAAGTGTTACACACAAACAAACAACAACACAGTCAGAGTGTGGTTCACGCAGGGAAGCCCCTCTGAAGCACCGCGGAGTGTGGGGGTTGGGGTGTAATGTAACAGCGGCGCTCACTGCTGGGTCGTGGCGTTCGCAGGCTGCCCCCTCGCTTCAGAGACGCTGTATGGCTGAGCCTGCTGAGGGCCGACGGACGGGTATCCCCCTCCAGGCCGGAGGCTCCGACACCGTCTGACAGACGTGAAGAAACACGGGAGAAGAAGGGGGGAGGAGAGGGGAGGCGAGGGATGAGAAATGAACTCAGAGGAAAAAGAAACACATACTTCAGATATCAAATAATCAAATAATCCATTTTCATAATTCCACATTCCTCAATAAGCTCAGCGGGCTTTCACACCAAACAATCCTCCCTCGCCCCTCTCGTTCTTTCTTTATTTGTGTTCTGATCCGTCTCTGCCGTGGCCCACAGCTGAGAGAATGTCCCGTTGTTTCCAGGGTGAGGAAACAGAGCTGTGGGCTTTGTGAGGGCCGGGGTGAAGTGGGTTTACATCGGCCACACTGGGCTCAGTTACGTCTAACTCTCGGACCCGGAGGCAGGGCTCCACTAGATGGCAACAGAAGGCTTTAGAGAGAGAGAGTCCAGCTCCATCTGTACGCTCCTATCTCTGCTGGTGAGATGATTTACAGCCTCATCTCTGAAATAACTTTAGGATAAGAGAAAAAAGGGTGAAAGTTGACAAAAGGGAATGAAAGTGAAACAGTGAGTGCAGCTCTGCAGAGGAATCAAACTACACATGTATGAAAATGAAACTTTTAAGTCCAATTTATGCAACCCTGCAGCTCGCCCACATGTCGTTTATCTAAACCAAGGGGAATGGATGTCCACATTTCCAAAACATGTGTCTGACACACACACACACACACACACACACACACACAGAGTGTTCTGGTGAGTCACAGGCTGAATGTAATGTGTAAGCAAGTATTGAGAAATCCCCAAGCAAAGGAGGGCATGCGGTTAAGGTTGCCGTGCACACAACACAGACATCAAGACTAGAAAATGTAAGGAAATTCTTATTTGAGTCAGATTTTATTTAGTCAAAGCGCTCTCTCACACGCACCGACAACACATTCACACAGACTCTTTCTGAATCTGTGCAGCGGAGTCTGTTTTCCTCTCAGGGATGAGAGCTGCTGTTGATCCAGGTGTCAGCTGTCCTCGGGATACACAAGATACGTGTACGTGAGGTGTGCGTGCGTGCACATTCTTTGGGTTGTTTCTTGGTGAAAGTTTGAAGGTTTAAATATAGGAGCTCCTGCGTATGCGTGCCGAAGACAGTCGAACAATGTGTGTCACTCCTGCTCACTTCCTCGTCGGGTCTGGAGCTTCTCCGCAGCTCGGATGAGTTCCTGTTCCCCGGGAGGTCGCCGACCCCGACCACACACACGCCTGCTTTCTCTCCAAACACACGCATACACCTTACTGACTCCTGTTTGAATGGAGTTTTTTTAAGCATTAGAGATGGGACAAAGACTGACAGACTTCAGGGTCTCATTGTTGTGTTTGAGGAGACTGTGGACAGTCTTCGTTTTTAAGATTTAACTTGAACAAACAAGTATTTTTTCACATATTGAAGGCATGTGATGGTATGTTTGAAAAAAACACCATGTCCATCTATATCTCAGTCTATATTATTATCATGCTTTAATGGTGATTTATGTCTCATGTCAGCTGATTCTCTTTGTGGCGTCAGCTGTGGAAAAGGAAATAACTGTTTCTTTGCAGCAAAATTAATTCTCTTATCTGACACCTGTATTGAAAACCACAATATGGCATTTGTTCTAAGGATCGACCAATAATCGGCACGGCTGATAATATCGGCCGATATTCAGCATTTTTACAATAATTTTTTACAATAATGGTGTTTCAGTAAGTAAGTCGGAAAAAAAGCGAAATCGGAGGCAGAAACAAGATGGCTACATCTACCAAAGTTATTTTAGCGCTTGCCTTGTCCTTGCGTATATATTGGACAAGGCAAACGCTAAAATAACTTTGGTAGATGTAGCCATCTTGTTTCCGCCTCCGATTTTGCTTTTTTCCGACTTGGTAACTGAAAAAAAGATTGATATCTCACCCAGGGGATACGCTGTTTCACCCGAGCGTCATCACAGCGACTCTCGGCGACTCCCCGCCGAATGCGCACAATGCTACTGCGCAAGTGGTGGAGTGCGTACAATGGTACTGCGCAATGTTGGTTTCAGGAAATGAAGAAAAAACGTGGAATTACCGAGAGCTTTTCTGTACATTAGTGGAAGGCAGAACCAAGTTGTCAATAGTTTATACAGTCTATGAGTAAAACAAAGAAACAATCTAGCAGGTAACATCACCACTACAGGTGCGCCTCGATCTCAGTGAAGCTTACGGAGCTAGCTGTGCGCTACTTCAGGTTCTTTTCTCATTTCAAAATAAAAGCACGTGTTTCAAAATGAGGCCAAAATATACGTTTTTACTGCAAATGGGTATCAGTTCGAAATGTTATCGGTTTCCTCGATTACTTATAATTGGTATCGGCTCTAAAAAAAAACATATCGTTCGATCTTTAATTTGTTCATCTCTTTGTTAACAATTATAAAAGATTGCAAACATGTAATTAAGGTAACGTCAGGTACGCTTTGATGAATATTGGAGAGCTGTTTCCAAGCATATTGAGGCTAGCAGTTGCTGATTCGAGTCCCGGCCTGGACCCTTTGCTGTGAGTCTCTGTCCTATCTAATAAAGACAAAAACGCCCAAAATAAAAGATGAATATTATCATAAAATGGAGAGTTATAATTAGAACGTTTCCCCCGCGGTGATACTGTCCGAGCCCCAAATCACAACCGCATGCTTCCCAGACAAATTCTCGCTGACAAACCTGTTTTCCTACGAGCGAAATTTCCTGCTAATCGTATTGATATTGGCAGAAGAGGCGCTGTTCAGGAAGTGAAGAGGACTGCACTTTATAATTGAATTGGGCAGAGTCAGATTGCAGCGCTGGGGCACGATGGGTTTGTTTAGACATACGGAAGCAACTTGTGCTGCTTTGCCTCCTCGCAAGAAAACTCTGGCTTTAGGCTTTTTTTCCCACCACAGATGAATGGCTCTATTTCACGTTTGGGGCAATTTACAGGATAATTAATGGAATCATAATACGCCAGAACGGCCTCTGACCTCATATTGTGGAGTGAGAAACACAAGAGACAGAGAAAATGACTTCAGTTAGCGCAGACGTGGCCGGTCCGGCGCAGAGAAATGATCTCTGCCACGTGTGACGCTGACAATGGCGTAAAAGATGAATTATAAACACGGTGAGCTGGTAGATGTGATTCAAAGAGGAGGAAGAGGAGGTGGAGGGGGAGGCTGTGAGGCACCAGTGAGGGGATTCTGGCAATTTGAGAGGTGGGAGGGAGAGGGGAGGAAGAGCGGGGTCAGGGGAATGTAGTGGATGTGGTTTTGTGATGGTGGCTGCTCAAGGGATGCCTGGGTGGAGGGATGTTTCAAGAGGCACAGGTTTCGAACTTGGGTGAGTGGCAAAGACAGTAAATAGCTCCCAGGTGTGTCAGTGTGTGTGTGTGTGAGGAAGATGTGGGGATGGAGGCGGCAGAGGGGACAGGAGGCAGCTGCTGTGGTGAGAAAAGGCAGAAAAACAGGAGGACCGTGCACATCCTTCTGCACCTGCTTTTGTCTTTTTTTGATGATATCTATGAGTAGAGAAGGAAAAAAGTGAGTGTTTTTAGCGTTTTACTTCGGGGTACTTTGAGGAGTTTTTGACTGGTAACTTTGTTTGTATACCAGCACCTAAACTAAGCTCTCCAAAACAACACAGGCCTGGAATGTTTTCTCTTCAGGAGCCACAGTCGGAAAAGCTGGTCGCATTAAAAACAAACAAACTTTTATCTTAATAAAACAACCGCAGAGCAGTCATTTGACATTTTTTCTGATCGAATACTTTGAATTAAACGATTTCTATGTTGGAAAAAAAAAGTTAAAACTTTTTCTTTTCAGCTGTTCTTACGTTGTAAACACAGGAGGGGAAAAATATACTTCAGATCAACATTGGAGGAAAGATCACAGGTTTTTTCCTCACGTGCCTCTCAGAGCTGTCATCCAGCTGCCTAAACTTAAACTCAGCTTAAATATAGATGTTGGAAAACAGGTAACACCCAGGAGTTTTCTTTGGAAACATCGTACCGCTCACTCTGGAGGAAAGTGAGAAATAGGCAGGTTTGTGTTTTCTGTATGAGGTGTAGTAAATGTGTAAGAAACAGTAACTCGCGTGGTTATATTAAGAGTTTTCGCACTAGCCGTACTAAGCCTGCCTGATGTGATTTGTCGTCTCAGCTTCACTCCCCACCACATGTTGCTCTGCTGAGGAATGTGCGGACTGAGAGGGGCCATCCCTGACATGATGATCAAGATGATATTTAGCCACGGAGAGGCAGTGAGCAAATCACCCCCCAGATCCATCAAGCCTGAGCCCCGGAAACCACTGTTAGCCTTAGCATTAGACGTGTTTATGTTCCAGCTGCACTATGTGAAGCAGCCACCCACTCACAATGTATTTGTATGGGTGTCTTTGTGCGAGAGCGGGTGTGGTTGGAGGGCTGCTGTTCTTCCCGAGCGGACGGTTTCACGTTCACATTTCTTCGCCGGCTGATTTAACAGAGGAACGGCTTAATTGGGGTTAATTGTTCCAATCCATCTGCGAGTGAGAAACAGAGGTGGCGGTATGTGTGCGTGTGCAGTAACACGCCAAATCCAAGAAACCCAAATCCGAAGCCAATGCTCCATAACTTTCATCTTATTCATACGTTCGTGAAAAAATAAACACGCAGGCCTCAAGGAGAGCGAGCGGGGTGGAGCGGTGACAGAGCAGGCGGCGAACTGGTATGTCAGAGAGGTTCACGGGCTTCTCTGAGCTACCTCACAGTCACATGACATCCATCAGCAGTTTAATTGGAGCTTTTCGCTGCGTGTGTAAAACGATCCAACATGTGAATTAATCACCTCTTTGGCCGCTGATGAACTCGTCTTTGCAGTTCTGCATCAGCTGCAGGATCCACTTGTGCTGCGCGTAGATGCACTGCCACGCCGGGTCGCCGGGAGCGTGGAGGTCAGACAGGTACCTGAACAGGAACAGATACAGAAGAGGAAATGTTAAAAATCAGGGAAACAAACAAACAGGGCTTTCAGTGAGTAAGAAGTCTTTGTTTAAATGTGAGAGGCTGCTCCGTAAAGATGAGTTTTTTTATTATTTCAAAAGCAGTAAAGATACTCCAGTAAAGTTTCTCCCATCACTCACTCGAGAACTCATTTCTTCGCCATTTTTCCTGATCACCTTGAGTGAGACCGTAACGTTGATAAATGACGTGATCGTGCTCTCCTGCTAAACATTTACTCTACCGCCCTTTTTGGCTTTTTCATCGTCTTTCTCAGAGAAGCTGGAGCTCAGCTTCATGTTTTCTCTCGTTCTCTTTCAGGTCCCACTGTTGTCACTGTGTTACTATGGCGATCAGGCGGGCTGCAGCACAGACAGCCTGATAGACATGTTGAATGTAAACAGACCTCCAACAAAAAGACACCCTGCACTTAATCGATAGGAGGCTTCTATTAGAAGTTTTACGGTAATTTTAATGTGCTCACATGAGACGAGGAGCAGCTTCGAGGCTTTTTAAGTCACTTTTACAGCCCGACTTTGGAGTGAGTTTCACACAGTGATTTTTTCACACTAATAGAGGAGGCTTCTGCAGAAAGCATCCATCAGTTTGGACACATCCTGTTCACATATTGCTGGGTGTAGACAGCTAGAGGCACTTTGGGGTCAAGTGTCTTACCCAACAACTGAGTCTACCACTGAATCACAGCTGCCAGCAAATTCAGTGGAAACAGCTTCATGAATGTTCCTTATTTTACTCTATTTTTAAAAAATTAAGTTCATACTCCTGATAAAAACACCAAATATGTCCAAGAATTTTTTTTTTAGAAAATTAAAACCATAATGTAGAAAACATCGATGACCTCAATGACGTTTTTAGAGATCCACATCTGCACCGAACAATCACAGAAAAACAGCAAACCTAAGAAAAGCTGTTTCCTTCATTAAGACAAAGACTGTTGCAGCTCCAGACAAAACCTGATCTTTTTGTTTTTCTGCGTTAACATATGTCCAGAACACGTATGACTTCAAATCTGAAATAAAATGGATTTTTCCCTCCAGACCGAATCCCACAAAAGCTTCACCCTCTCCTTCATCTCTGTACCCACAACCATCCCTCTCCCAGGAGTTTATTTTGTGGGCATCGTTCAGAGACCTGTGGGCCGTCAGATGACTCACTCTCTGAGCTGTGGCCTGGCTCCCTCTGCTGTCATCCTGTGAACCGACTGCTCAGTTGTTTCTCATTAGGTGGCATCTTTCAAAAGTTACAGCACAGGCACACAAAACACACACACAAACACACACACTTTAGCACACACAGCTCCCTCCATCCACGGCAAGAGTAAACAGGAGCTGAGTGGGTGTTCAGAGCCGTGCCTAATGCAGCAGGATGAAAGATGTTGCCGTGTGGTTGAGAACTGGTCTCTGTGATCCTGACAGGTTGGTCTTAACAATAATAAATTTGGAGCGACCACAAGTATGGAACGGACCGAAGGAAAAAGGGGGGAAAAATAGAGACAGAAACAAAGAGAGAGCAGGAGAACAAACGCTGACGAGACCTTTGAATGTTCAGAGAAAAGTGAGGAGCAGAGAAGAAAGTGGACAAAGTTCTGGTAAACGATGACACGGCAGACTTAAAAGAAACCCCGAGGAGGGTAATAAAGGAGTACGACAGAGCGAGCAGACATGGCTTTACAGTGACACAGACTGTCGGCTACGTGGAGAGAGAGTGTGACACGCTAAAGGAGCTCAACGTTAAAGGAAGTGAGAGGCAATGAAAGAGTTTAGACACCTGATGTATCTCTTCTGGTCGTGCAGCGTTGATGGAGTCTGTAGCAGTTTTTCCAGTAAGAGGGTCCTCAGAGCGGCGATCCCCATTTCAACCTCAGCATAAACTACGACAAAGGGAGATTTTTGATTATTTTATTTGTTTGTCATGAAAAGAAAAGACAGGAAAGAAGGAAATGTGTTTACCTTTTTTGAAAACAGGAACCTCTGTGGTGCCAAAGAGAGATTTGGCTTTCTCATAGTCATTGATGACGACGTCATAATCACCCTGAGGAAAAAACATGGAGGGAGTTAGAGCGCCTGATCAGAGCTTTATTTTAATTGATCAGCTCTCCTGTGAGGGAGCTCCTTCCAACATGGTGGAAGCCTTCAGGGGCCAAAACTGTCTGAAGGTTGACCTTCTTTTAAGTACAAACAACACTCATGAAAAACCCTGAAGTGTCTACTTTCTGACGTGCACTGTTGGGGGTCACCTGGTAGATGATCTTGTTTAGGGTGCTGATACGGTTCTGTGGTAAAACTGTACCCTGATGTACTCAATACGACCAGCCAGGGTTCAGTTCAGACCCTCGCCTTTTAATACACGTCTTTTCCTTCTCTAACCGTCCAGTCACCTGATCTAATCTCTATGATTTCTTTATATAATGACAAAAAAAGCACAAAATTAGCTTAAAATCTAATTTCTCCTTCACCGTTTTCAAACAGAAATGTTGTTTTTATAAGTCTTTACAGTAATGTCATTATAATGGCTCTCTGCTTTGCTTGCTCATATGATTTTTAAGGTGTTTAGACAAATAAATTAATGATAAATATGATTTTAAAACAGTTTCTTTGCTTTCAACAAAAATACAATATGAGTATCATGTCTGTGATCCAGTTAAAAATGTATTTCTTGACAAAATATAAGTCAGATCATAACTTTTTGGTGCTGTTTGAAGATGTTCAAGGATTTATTGTTGACAATTTGGATATAATTGTGAATCATTTTTTAATTTGGACTCTATAATCAACATAAAACACACTTCATTTTCACAGAGGGCCATGAAAATAAGTGGGATTTTGATTTTATTACTACTCAGCTATGAAAAATGAAAAGTTAATTTTCTCTTTTTTCTTGTTTAAAACAATAATGTCTGATTATTAAAACCCAAATATCTTAAGAGCTTCATGAATAACACTTTGCATAGAGAGGTTACACTAGATCAGACTCAACCCCCCCTGCATTTACCAGAGAGCTGAAAGTTAAAAGCTTGCTGGTGTGGAGGCGAAGGGGAAACCTCGTTTGCTCTGCTTTTGTTGCTGAATGTGGTCTTCATTGAACATTTGTACCTTTTGGATATTACGTTCGATGTTGAGTGGCAGGTTGAAGAGAAACTTGAAACGCTGCAGGACGTTGAGTGCATTGCGTGTGGAGTCGGCTTTGTCTTTCCGCCCCAAAACCTCCTGGAAGAGAGTATCTGCGGTTTCACTCGCTCCTACGAGAAACACAGAGCGAGGAGGAGAGTGAGAGACTGGAAGAGGCAGGAGAAAATGAGAAACTGGGATACTGTAAAAATAAATGTTGATACCACATTTCCCTTTTAATGTCGGCCTCTGGTTTTCTTCCTGCTTTCTATGCTCTCTGACACAGCAGACTTACAAAGTGACAGCTATCTCTGAGTCTGACAGCCGAGTACAACCTTTGCACGACTAGCTGGCTTCGTGGGTGGCCTTGGATGTGCCGTCAAACTGGAAAAAAAAAGTTTCTATTTAAAACAAACCCCTCCCCCCAAAACAAATCCCCGAAGAAGAAAAAAAACAGCATGGGACTGAACGGAGGAATAGTTCACATTTTTCACTCACCAGCCTATGTTGTCATGAAGCTAATGTGCTTTTATGGGATTGGCTGACGGGCGCTGTATGTCTGACGCATGCATCTCAGGGGGTGAACGGTGGCCCGGCCCCGCTGGGTAACAAGCCCGCGAGTGTGGGCTGTGGGGATGAAAGCTATGTCCGGCTGTGGGGTTTATTTATTCAAGAGTCCGGGAAAAGGACCTGATTATTGACCCTCCATTAAAGGCGGCACATTATCATGTATGAGATGAGAGGGTGGGAACACAAGATCTGCTGAGGTTTCTGCTGCGCAAATGTGGGGAAGATGTCCAAACATGTCTGGAAATAGACACGCTGTGCAGCATGTGATGAGTCTGTGTGTTGGTGTTGGGGGTGAAGCAGCAGAGGATCAAGTCTGCTCTCATTTAGACTTTTGCTTTGTCAGCTTACACTCCCTTTATCAGATTTTTATCTGATATCACAGGGTTTCCGACATACTTGACATTTCCTTTTTTAGTTTTCACTCAAATTTACTGATCTAAAACTTAGAGGTGCTGCAGGATTTAAGGTCTCCACATCGTGCAGCAAAATGCTTCAGTTGAATTTGAATCCAACATGCTTCGTTTTTGAGAGGAAAGCAGCAGAAAAAGTGGCAGAGCACCTCTTCAAAAATTACAGACCCAATTCTCAGAGAGGCTGATTAAGCCTGGATTAATATCATCAAACAAAAACAGGCTGATTTTTAGGGGTGGGAGTAAAAAAACAATTCATATAAGTATCACGATTTTTAGTTTTCCGATTTTTAGATTAATTTTTATGTTCAGAAATCGATTTTTTTTATTCAAATTTAAGGATAAATCTTAAAAACTGACTTTTGTGATGTGTAGTTTTGGGGGAAATATGGTTCCTGTTATAGTCAGTAGACAATCATAATCATCCAACTGTTTAACTGGTGTTAAAAATGCAGAATTAATATTGAGAAAGTCGACAATATCGTAGATTCGCAATTTAAATCGGATTGGCATAAAAAAAAACGAAGGACCGAATTGTGAGAAAAGCGTATTGTCCCAGACCTCATGATTTTCCCCTGAAATGTTACTAATCCTGTACAAGTTTTCAGAGTACCACACCGATGGTTTGTTCCTCATTTGTTGTATGTAGTAGTATATATCGTTTTTAGACTTTGAGAGATTCTTTTATGCTTTTATCTCCACAAGACTGGACTTTTGCAATGGACTGTACCTTGGCATCAGTCAGTCCTCGCTTGCCCGCCTACAGCTGGTCCAGAACGACCGGCACATGCAAACGTGACCACACAACTCCAGTCTTGGCAGCGCTACACTGGCTCCCGGTACATTTAAGAGTTGATTTTAAGATCTTAATGTTTGTTTTTAAAGCGCTCAATGGGTTTGCCCCTTTTTATTTGACTGAACTTTTAAAGCCACATGTCCCCTCTCCGTCCCTCAGATCCACAGACAAATCACTCTTTGAAATCCCTCAAACACGACTCCAGGGCAGAGGGGACCGTGCGTTTTCTGTCGCTGGGCCCAGACTATAGAACTCCCCCACTCCAGCTATTTCTAAATCACGTCTCAAACACTCTTTTATTCTATGGCTGTTAACACAACCTAATCACATATTGTCGATTCATTGATTACTTTCTAATAGCTTTTATCTGGTCTGCTCTTGTATTTCGCTGAGTGTTGATTTTGTTTGTTTTTTAGTGTCTATGTAAAGCACTTTGGTCGACTTGGTTGCTTATAAATGTGCTCTACAAATAAAATTGTATTTTATTGTATATGGTATCAGTATATGGTACATAACTAAACCAAGAGTGGAGATCTTGGGGGGTTGATCATGAGGAGAAATGTAAATAAACACCGTCTCCAGTTTGTCTGACTAAACGATTCTTACTGTTGAGGATGTTTTCCAGTCGTTGGGTCATCGATCCCTCCACTCTCTCTGTCCCGTCAGACTCCAGCTTCTGGTGGATCGCTGCAACACAAAAGTTTTTATTTAATAGTTTTGAATAGGATTGTAAGAGACAGAAAAAAAACATGAATTAAAATCAGAAAAATAATAAATATTAGCAGGAAAGGAGACGGAAACAGTCCGCCACACTGTAGAGAAACCAACGTTCAATCCCCTGAGATGAGAACAATTTCAATTTGAGGAACTGAAGGTAAAACAATAAACAGACCCTACCCCAGTGGTAGATGGGAGATAACCTCACAGAGCCACACCCACAGATGCTGCTGCTCCTGCTAAACCCCCCCCCCCCCCCCCCCCTCCTCTTGTGCCTGTTCCCACGCAACAAGACCTGACCTTGTTCCAGAGTGACTGTACTGGATCAATTCACCTCAGCAAAGCCATTAACAGAGGCACTCTGTGGTTTTGGGACATTTGGAGCCCTCTGACCTGGAGGCACCGTGAAACTCAAATGTTTCAAGTCTCTGAAAAATAACATTTGGGAGAAGCAGAGCTGGAGGTCAGGGGAGGCAGGAGGAGCTCTCTGATGGCTTAGAGGGAGTCTGAGGAGAGGTGAGAGAGAGAGAGAGAGAGGCAGAGCGAGCGGTGTGGCTGCCCCAGTGGATAAATAAATGAAGTGCAGTAGTGGGCAGCTGGGTGCTGAGAGCTGCAGTGTGGGTTTATTGACAGAGCGAGAGGAGAGCTGGAGAAGGCTGAGGAGACCTTCTCATACATAGTTGTAAAGTGATTCAAATATGCAGCGAGGAAGGAGACATCTCAAGAATGAAGAGGAGAAAAAAGGAAGAAGATAGAGGCCCAGGAACTCCGCGTCTCTGCACTGTCTTCAATATTTGATCATGAGCGACAAATGGGAATCAGATTTTGACAACAGAGTGAAGAAAGTGTAAACAGAAGTGTTGTAGGTGGACAGATTCTGGTGCTTTGTAACTTTGAGCTCGTTTAATCTTCTGTACAAAACACGCCATTTCTGCTACTGTCCCTTTAAGGCTCCCCCTGCACTTTGGAAACCTCCTTCACTGTTGTCGTACTGCAAAGTCATCTCCCTCTGTTTAAAATGACGAATTATGAAACACGCTTTTGACCCCAATTCTGGTCCGGAAAGTTTGAAAAAAATCCCCAGCGACAAATCTCAGGTGTCTTTTTGAACAAGTTGAAAGAAACGGTTGCAGAGTTTGCATCTTTGAAAATCTTCAGTCCAAAGTTTTGGTTCAATATTTTAAAAATTGCTAAGATGATCAACCACAATCAGAGACTCACATTTTTGATATACTAGTAAAAATATATCCTCTGAGCAGTTCAGCTTGAACTGGAGTGATGTTTTCTTTCATCCCTATCCGAGCTAAAAGCGCTGGTACTGGCTGTTAGCAGCGGTTGGAGACGGCGGAGGGAGCGGGGAGGAGAGTGAAGGAGGAGAGCTCTGTAAATAAATATGTGGGTCCACTCTGACAGACAGAAGCCTCAAGGCAGAGACCGAGGTATTCCTAGAGCACACTGTTCAAACATGCCACGGCCTAATCGGTTTGGACATCACTGACCCTCATGCGGACCTCAGCGTTAGAAATTTTGGTTAGGACAAGAGCACGTCGGCAGAGGAGGGTAAACGGGAGTGCCCAGGATTGATAGGCTGAACACAGAGGAAGACACACATGCTGCAGGTCTGCTTCACGTCTCCATACTCCCCCCCTCCCTGTCCCGCTGCCAGCTGTGCGTCCTCTACATCTGTCACACACTGAAGTGTTCCTGACGTCACAGCTAACCTAAACATCAGGTCAGAGTCCGGATAACACACCGAGCCAGGACCCCGAGGAAGAGCTGCAGCTCCAGCTTCACTTCCTGGAACCGTCGAGGGAAAAAAAAGAAATGAATAAGAATAAAAATACAAGTGTCCCTGGATTCTAAAGCTGGACGATGTTTTGACTCCTGCCGGGGCTGGGGGCTCGGGGAATAGGCCCTGGGAATCTGGCATTTTTGGAACACGGTAGCCGTTCCGTTTCCTGCATTACTGGGAGACTTCCTTTTCACACAACAATGAAAAACCTCAAATTTCAACATTTTAGTAGAAACAACCCTGGACTCTCCAGCAGTCTGTCAGTCCAGTCAATCAGCCGGAGCAGCTCGGGCTCAGAAACACGGCTCTCTATTTGTCACCGAGGCTCCACGAACAAACAGTCACAACCCCTCCAAAACCTTCCATTTCTTTCAGCAGTCTGCGGTGGTTCACATGGAAAGTTTACAGGATCACTTGTTTTCTCACTGCAAAAAATTCCCTTCTGCAAACAACTTAAATATTATATCAAACAAAATGTCCCCGAGATGGTTGGGCAAAAATGATTTAATGAGATTTCCTGAAACTTGCATAAAAATCAGGTCAGCTCCAAACACAATCGGAGCTCAAAACTCGTACAAACAGTCAGATATAAACCATGAGACTGGACCTCAAACACAGCTGAGAGAAAACACGCTTTAATTTCAGGTCTGAGGACTCAAACAGAGCTGCAACAATCAATTATCAATTATCCCTGAAACTCTTTGTCCTGCTGGGGAGATTTCACAAGCGATAATCTGAACCGTTTTCTGTTTTTAAGCTTTTATATCTCAAGATTTGGAGCTTTAGGTCACTTCACAAAGAAGTTTCTGACAGTAAAAAGAACTGAGAGACATTTGATTTTAATTTTATATTAATATACTAAAAAAAAATCTTCACAGTGACCTTCTACTAGAGATATACTCATTAATTCTTCTGCATCTTTCAGGGTCTCAACATCCAGATCTGTGCCAAAGGGATCCTGAATTATTGTTGTGATAATAAAAAAGTTAGCAGCGAGGCCACCACACAGAAAATCAACACTGAACTTTATAAAACTAACAAAAACATTGAATTTAATGTGTAATGTTTGATTTGTTAAAGGTCAACATGGAGGTTTCAGTTTAGCTTAAAGCTCTTATTTTGACATCTCCAGTCTGGATTTGTGGGATATTTCATTAGAAAGAAGAGATGAAGCGTTAGAAGCTGCAAACGCAGAGAGGTCGTGGTATCTGCAGATTCTATCTAGTTCAGCTCTATGTCCAAACACACACGCACAGACCCGGCGCACCAATACTGACCACAGAACAAACAAACAGCACATCCACCACATTGAGTGAATCTACTTCATTATTAACCTGCACAAACTAAATATCACAACAGTGTAGGGCTGGACGATTATGGTGAAAATATCACAATTGTTTTGACTGATATTGAAATCCTGATTAATAAAGACGATTATTCATTCAAGACTTGAGTATTTATTGAACCAACAACATTTAACTTTTAACTTGAACTTAAAACAACAGGAACTTATGTCCACGCTGCACCGTGCAGCACATGAATCCTTTTTCTTCGATTACAATGTTTTTATGATCGTTAAGAAATGAAAATCGAAATCATGATTAAAATTTGATTAATTGTCCAGCACTGCAAAAGTGCAGTTTTAAGGTTTTCCTCAGAGTTGTCAGTGTTTCAGAGGAGCAACAGACCGTCGGTGTCAAATTACACACACTTGGTGCACTGCAAAGATGGTAAAGGTGCAGAGAGAAAGCAGAAAGAAATGCTGTGACTAATCTTTACTCATTTATGAGGAGAAATTGATTTCAAATCATTTTAAATGTAATTTAAAATGCTAACTTAATACCTCACATATATCATGCAAAACAAAATGAGAAATGTAGAGAGAAGATTAAACTACACCAGACCCGCACTATTTGGTTATGTTGACCGTTGAGTTAAGGCTTGAATCCTACCAGAAGTGAAATTGATACATAAAGCACAAGACAATTAACATTAAAATGTAAAGTAACATCCTGTGAGCTTCCTCAAAAACAAAGTTAAATTATTATGGCATAATAAAAGAGCTTTTATTCTGCAAGAGTGGCCATCACAGCAGAGATATTCTTATTCAACTTCTCAAACTGCTGTGAATTTTGTATGCTGAGTACACTCAAAGTCTCCACCATGTCAGAAGTTTTGTTTCATGTCGGTTATACTTGGTACGTTGTGGACAAACTGCGCAGAGATGAAGTCTGCAAAAAAAGCTGCTTTCGCCCAAATACTCTAATTCCTTTAACAAGTATATTTTAGTTTACTTTGTCTGGTTGTGCTGGTCAGTCACCTGCAAAACTGTCTTTGATTTTGCGCTGTAATAAAACAGACGTATCACCCACCCCTACTTTAAAAAACCCTGATATTTGTGAATAACATTAACAGCAGCATACGTGGTTTGTAGTTGTTAAACACACACAAAGCTCAAAGTCTTAAAAGTCATCTGTATCTGCTGTGAATGATCAGTTATTCATAAGAGCAATTAAGAGATGATTAGAGGGATACGAGAAGAGAAACCGGGCAAACCGCCGCGGATACTGAAGTCACAATCCAGCTGTTTGCTGTAAATATTTTTCCAGCATTTATTTTTCCATTTCTTCTTCCCAGATTTGGCTTCTTTTCCTTGTTTCCACCTTGCTCGCTCGCTCGCGTTATACAATAACTCCAGACTTCTATTATAGTCATCAATAAAAATCTCACATGCGAGCAGAACTGAAAATAAACAGCAGAGGAGACAGAAATGACTTGATGGTGATTGAGAGGGCTGGAAGCACTCGCAAATCCCGAACAAGGAGAACACACAAGTTCCCTGTTGGTTCCTTTTTACAGTTTTCGCAGCGAAAATCGAAGGTAAGATTCATTTGGAATGACTCAGGAAAACAGAGATCTGCCAAATGCTGCAGGGAGACAAAGAAAGGATTCACAGTCACTTAGACAGCTGTGCTAAAGAGGCCTGGCAGTGAGCTGTTGCAGAGCTGTCTCGAGCTGGCTGACTGCTGAGAGCGTGCAGGCTGGTATGTCGGTTTGGCTGACCGTCTACAGTATACAGAATATCTCCACTAAAACTATCCATTCTGAGCCACCACTTCTTTTTCTATGACTGAGAGCCAAACCTTGGCAGGGAGAGGATGTTTTAGTGCAGTAATGAGTCAGAGAGCTTTAAAATGATCCTCAGAGGCCCGGAGTGTAAAACTGTTTGTTTGCTGGGAATGAAATCGGCAAAGGGGGAGTTAGATATGAATAAAGGGGAGGACTTTCACACATTTACAGCTCACGTACAGAGTGCTTCAGCTGCAACTGAGCATGTCCAACAACGTTTAGATTCAGCACATCATGGAGCAGGTAGGTTTTAGAGCTTTGTAATGTGGTCATCATGACTAGTATTTACTGCACATTTGTCTATATGGTTTCCATAAAAGCCAAATCTGCTGCCTGTTTGTGAATCCTAGAATAAAAATGTTGCTCTTTTTGAGTTTTCATAATGTTCTTTAATTTTCGTCAAGTGTTGTTTTTGGAAAGTTTTCACTGATGCAAAAGTATAAATGGTGAATTGTACTGGTCAAATTGTATGTCACTCTTTTAAGGTTCCGGATTTAGTATTTCTTTTTTAAAAACAAAGACGTGTGGCTACAGATGGAGTTGATCATTTGCAGCAATAACGATCACCCTTCATGGATGAAAAAAAATCTTCTCCAGTGTAAAAAAATATATATATATATTCTAAAGGGCTGCAATCGGACAGTCAGGCATGACTTTTAAAGCCAAAATACGCCTCTAAAATGTACATTCAAGCCAATACGTTTTGTTTGTGATGTCTCAGTATGCTTGATATGAAGCAAATATTTTACCAAGGCAAGTCTAACTGATCATCCAACTTTCTGACGTGCTGCCGTGATATGTAAGGTTTTTAAGGTTTTTAAGCGCGTACTCATAGCTGCTGTACAGGATGATATTTTTTTGTAGGATGGTAGGTGAAGATCCGACCCTCCTTTGCCTCTGATTGGCTAGAAGTGCTGGGCTCTGATTGGTTATTCCTTATGGCTGTGAAACGTCATCGTCTGTCGGGTTAGGGTTAGGGTTAGGAGATTCAGAAGTGCGATAATGTTCTGTAATGTTCTGTTCGATGTACAGAGCCGACAGCCCGCGCTCGGCTTGAGCGTGTGATGACGTTTCACAGCCATAAGGAATAACCAATCGGAGCCCAGCTTTTCTAGCCAATCAGGAAGAAGGAGGCGGGACCTTCCCCTTCCATCCGTTGAAAAAAAAATATCGGCTACCACTCGGCGGAGATGCCATTGCGCATGTATGACTTTAGGCAGAGATCGTAATAAAGTCAGATTCCTCACTCTATTGGAAAAAAAAAACGTCTGGTGACACCTCATTGACGACTTTTTATTGATTTTTGTCAAAAACGTCAACTAATCTTTCAGCTCCACTGCTCATTCACATATTTATAACTGCGTCACTCCACCATGACTGTTTTCCTGTTTTTATTTAGAAAGTTTACTTTCGCTGCGTGTTTTTCCAAACAGTCATATAATCGCACGGATAAAATAAATCCCATCCTCTCCACTGGGTCCTAAATCAGCATGACGTCGTCTCGGTTCACAGGTCACTTGAGTCCATCTCTGCTGCCCCATTTCCTCTAATCTGTACATTTCCCATTGGGGTAGTGGGCACACAGTAGGCACGCTCAGTCTGAACGTGAGAATGACTGCGCATTGTTCCCATTGGTCATATTGGGTCTGTTATCAGCACTATCAGTCCTAATACTTGGGCCTGCATTGTGTGGAGCTGCTCCGTTTATTTAGATTCAGCCACTAACAATGAAAACATTGCCTCTCTCCCAACCGGGGCACAAACATTGGGAAAGCAATAATAATAATGATGGAGGCAGAAAAGTGTACGTATAAATAGTAAGGGGAAGTAACTGAGCGGCTATGGCGGGAGGAGAGAGTAAACAGACAAAAGTATGAATGATGAAGCAAACAATTGATGTGAGATACCTGGCAGAGCGACAGCAGTCAGTCTCTGCTATCTTGAAATCTTTCTGGTGTACGAAGTCTATGTGTGTGTGTCTTTAACGTGAGGCTGTGTGTGACAGGTGAGAGCTGATCTCATTTTGATGAAGGTGAATTAACCGTGTTGTGGTTGGCTGCTGTAACCGTAGCAGTGAGTCGAGGGTTTTCACACAGCAACCAAATGAGGCTATTTAATCAACCGCTGCAAAAACCACATTTGTGGAGAGAAAATTCCCAAGACACGACTAATACTGCGGACTTTCCAAAAAAATCAAGAGCTCTTTCCGAAGCAGAGATGAAGAGTGATGATTTGGAAGTTTTTGTATTAATTGCGGATTATTTGGTGCTAGTGTTAATCCCCTCACCTGCCAGAGCGTCCTGAGCCTCGAAGAACGTGCTGAGGCCTCCTTTCACATAAGCCAGACTCCCCTCGTTCTTCTTGGTCGCCTGTTTCTTCAGGTTGCCGGCTGCGAACTTCAGGTGCTCAAAACTGAAAAAAAGAGGGATGCCATTAAATAAAGCCGACGATGTTTCACTCGTCGAATATTTTACATATTTTTATGGCCTCATGAGGCTCAAGCAGCTGAAATATGAAGAATTATTGCCAGTAAATCTGCTGATTGGATTTTGAGGAAAACATTTATTGTGTTTTATATTTATTTGAAAGCACCATTAAGTATTTTTATGTACTTTGATGCCGTTAAGATTATGTTTTTCTTCTTGTATACAAACCGTTATTATTCCCCCGAGCTGTGGGCAGGTTCCTTCCCTGATACATTAATACGTTTATTTTTCCAAACAACCTATTTTTGCTCAATATTAAGTGTGAAAATAGAAAACAATAAAGAAATCAAAACAAAATAACTAAATTTAACTTCTTTGTCATTTCTGTTGAGACATGTTTTTTGGTGGTTCTGCACACTAACAAGCATGTGACTCAGAAACCCGACCCACTTCTGGGCCAGCGTGAGTACGTGTGTCAGTGTCCTGAGTGAGGTTTCCTCCGCAGGAAGAAACAGTCACCCGGCGAGGTCCAAACAGAGGCCCCTGGTCATGCTGGATCCTGGGGTCTGGGTTACTGGGAGGCTAAACGAGGGGGAGAGGAAACCAGGAGAGTCCAAAATAACTCTGTTCTGCCCTGAAATGACAGTCAGCTGGGCTCAGGGCTTCTGGGTCAGCCGGCTGCCTCGTCTGCGAACTCAAGTGTTCCTCTAAATCAGACGATCCAGTGAGGATGTGGCCGAATAACTAAATCCTTACTGTGGACATCTTTTTCTCCAAGACATTAACTTTTGAAACCAGTCACAGCCGTCACACGGGCTGCGATAATTTCTTGTCGCGGTGATCTTTTCCAATTAAAGATAATTATAGATTACTCATTTTGTGTATAAAATGTCAGGAAATTGTGAAAACTGGCCAAGAGGATGTTTTATTTCATGCTACCAGCAAAAAATCCCCAAATACTGAGCTGTACCGTCAAACAGAAAGAGAGGAGTTTGAAGTAAGAGAGTAATTCATTAACCAGCCGCATCTTTACTGGACCAGTCTTGGTCATAATGTTCTGCTGAGTGAAGGTACTAAAGGGGATCTGTTGAAAAGGTTTACCTGCAGCCGATCTCACCTGTCAGCAGAAAGTACGACTCAAGAAATGAAGGTCCTCAAGAGAAAAGGAGGGGTCACTAACAGAAAGAAACTCCTGCCTTCCTCGTCTCTATTCCCTCGATCAAAAATATGAGATACAAAAGCGTCCCTTGTCCCTCTTCACTGCTTTAAAGCTTTAACTGCTTGTGACTCCTTTTATAAGACGATAAAAAGTATTAAAGCCAAAGACCTACCTGGATCCTGCGTGGTTTTCGATGAGGTACCAGGTGGCAGAGAAGTTCTCACTGGTGAAGTCTCCGCTCATTCCCGGAAATGTCAGCTCCAAGTCTTTGGGTGGGAACTTGCCTCTGGAAGATGAAAGACAAACAAATAAGATATCAACTGTACTTACACTTCAAATATGAGTTAACAGGTAAAAGACCACGACTTTAAATTGGACTATAAACACAACACAAGTATTTAAATGTTAGATTCTGAATGAGGAGCGTTGCACTGCAAAATAATTTCTCATGTGTTACTGGTACCAGCTCATCCAGCAGGGGGCAGCGTGCAGCCAAAAGTAGCCAGGCTGAGAGAGCTTGGCGTGGGAAGTGCAGTGTGTGACGCCTGGGTTCCCCTGGAGGACCCAGCACTCATTAGGGAAGCTTGATCTCTACTAATGACCCGTGGCCTATGCAAACCAAACCCCCCTACCTTCACCGCCACCACCCACTACGCATTTTCACACACACACATGTATACAGTAGAGGGGAACCGACACACAAACAGTGTTACAGTATTACAATCTGAGAAATGTTATAAATAAAACCCACATCCTCTGAATGGAGAGTTTCATGTGTGCAAACACAAACCATGAGCCTGTGGCATCCACTTCAAGTAGTTGTTAAAAAGGTTAAATGTTAGTTTATACATCAACACACTGAAACATGTCGATTTCAGGTATTTAAAAATGACATAATAAACATACATGCAGATTTTAAAACAGTTTATACAACTTTGAGAGATTTTTTTTTACCCAGATGTTTTTAAAACCTTTTTATAAAGACTAAAGAAGAATTATAACCGAGTATGTTACTGACATGTGTTCAACTCCTGCTCAGTAATGTCACATTTAATAACAATAATGGAGACTTAAAAGTAAATTAGAGTGAGCCTTGATTTCCAAGCATTACTCTGCTGTTGTCAGTGGCATGTTTCAGGATCTTAGATGTGACGACTCTGCAGGGATTATTCAGATATCCACTATCTTACTCACTACATGATCTTTTCAATATCACACCTCTGAAAGGGTTTTAAGCACATGCGCAGAGCGAGTTTCCTCGATGTTAGATATAAGAAAACACAACATGTTAACAATAAAAGCCCCTTTAAGCAAATCAGCTTGTGAAATGAGATGCAAATGTCAATATTGTGTGATCTGAGGATTTCTGTTGGGGATTCTTGTTCATTAAAAACATACGTGGGGAAATGCAGTTATGTATAAAAGAAGGGATTATTGTTGATTTTCTGATTAATTCAACTGTTTAAAGCATCAAATGTATTAATTTGCATATGATTTAACAGTCTTCTGGTTAAATGTATAATAAGAATGACTCCCACTCTCTTTTATTGGGGTAAATATTGTGTTTGTAGCACATGCTTGCACTCTTGACGGTGGGTCAGCTGGCAGCTCAGTAGACTCACTTTGCAAAGTACCCAGTACCATCTTCTTAATACCCACTTATAAAACCCCACTTTACTCTAAGATTTAAAAACCTTCAGTACCTTCTTTCTGAGGTCCATGTTAAGGCCGAGCACTGGGGCAAACACCTGAAGGAGCATTTCATTCAGAAAACTCTCTTTTCGAAGATCAACACAAACAAAAGAGACTTTAACAGTCAGAGATGATTGTGTAGACTTTGCAGACTGGATGTTTAGAGAAGTCCTGGAGGACGAATGAATAGTACAGCCTGTAAACGGGGGTCTCGTCTCTGGCCACGAGCGGTCACTTGCCCCTGGCCCCTCTAAAGCAAACAAACACTGAGCTAGAAATGCCAGAACCTGACAACACAAACTATATATTACAACTTCTGCGCTCCCTGCCAGGCGCGTGGGAGGCAGCACCACGCCGCCTGCTCCGAAGCAGCGTACAAACATGTGTGTGGGTTACAGCTTTGGTTCTTTCCAAATCCCTTTCTATCGTCGTCCTCTCTGTTTTATACACAATTATTGTGTTTCCACTCCCTGTGAGCGGCGGTTAGAGGCTGCCCAGCCATTGCTGTGTTGGCATAATATTTCAAACGCCTGCATATGGGGAGAGTTTGTTTCTGTTTGGGGATGTAAACCATGACTCAATAAGAAGAGTGCGTGTGTTTATGGTGGTGTGATCGTGCTGAGCGATTTGTGTGTATTCGCATGTTCTCGGTCCGTACTTGTCTATCTCGATGCCCAGCGGATTGCTGGGTCTCAGGGACAGAGGGGAGATGCCTTTGTTGCGGTCAGTCCTCATGTCGTAATAGTTCATCTCATCCACCCACACGGCAGACTGGTCCAGGATACCTGCAGGAAAGGGCGGGACAGGAGAGGCATGACACGCATTAGTGAGCTGAACTCCACTCCAGATGAGGACTGGCACACACCGGAGCACACGCTCATATTCAGTCAGCATCATTTAATGTACCTGATCACTTCTGTGTTTCTCTTTTAATACGCCAGAGCTAGTTCTGTTTAATCTGCTTTCTAACATATGTTACCTATTCTTGGAGTGAATATACAAAACATCACCTCTTGTTCTCAGAGAGGGAGGCCTACATGGATGTGAACCTTTTTTATTTCCAGCAGGTTGAAAAAAAGTTGGATTATGTAGAAGTTTATGGCTTTTTTAAATGAGTATGTCGTTTCACTCATTCCTTACAACTTCTTTAAATATTTCTGCTCAGAGTAAAATAGGTGCTAAAGCAGGGATTCCTTATAGTAAGGCGACCTTGTGGAATCAGGACAGAGGTGTAGCCGTGCCAAATTTAACAAACTAGAAGCTTTAAATAAATCATTGAGTGAAGTCATGGCTGCTGAGTCGTTTTCTTTCACACAGCCTGTAGATGCTGCAAAAATCCTCCTGCCAAGCGAAACTCTGAGAAGTCGCCCGGTGTCGAGTTAAATGTGTCGATGTTGTTTGTCGAAGGAGTGAACACAATCTCGCTTTTGTTTTGTCAGTTTGAATGTGATTCTTCTTTGCTCTTCCTTTTTCCCGTCCTGAATAGAAAACTTCTTATTTAAAATTCTAATGAATAAACTCGGAGTAAACAGAGAGGACACATGATACAGGATTCATCCAGACCGTCTTAACATTTTAGGATTAATGAACGACTGGAGCGCAGAAACTCTTGATTGTTTGTTGTTTATCGGCACAAACTCCGTGTTCAGCCTCTTAAATATGAGGAATTGCTGTTGAGTCTGTTCTATATCACTGTCGAATAAATAATTATTGCTTTTGACTTGTTGGTTTTTAAAAACCAAACATTCTGAAGACGTCACCGTGAGTTTTTGGGGCTTTTCACATGTATTTTTCCTGACTGTGGCTGGAGTGTTTAGTCTGAGCACTGTCAGGAAATAAAAGAACAAATTGAACAATAGTCGTACTGCTTTTGTAAATAATCATTATTGCGACGCTAATTCCAGAAAAGAAATGCAGACGTCTTACCAATCCTCTCAGGCCTGATCAGTTTGAAGGAGACGGTGGAGGTGCCGAGACCTCCAGACTTGGTGGTGACGATAATTTCTCCCTTGTCATCTTTGGCAGGACCCACGCGGCACACTATCTTACTGGCTGACATCCACTCGGCTGTCAGCAGGCAGTTGTGGCCGCAGATTGACAGACCTGAGACGGAAGAGAGAGAGGGGAAAGGGTGAAAAGGGTGAGCGATACAGCCACACAGTGACAGCACAAATAAACAACGTGTAGCACCGACGCACACGCACCGACGACCTATAACAAGAGGAGCCGTCTAACAGCAGGTTAAGTCAAACCGTCACCAGGGGTTAAAGGTCAAGTTGGGGTCATGACGGGAGTGGGTGGCCTTGACCTTCCTTCCTTTCACTCAGCTGCTTTAAGCTAACGCGTGTCACTTCAGTGCTAAGTGGCCCATTACTGACACAATGTGCACTTTGCCGCGACATCTGTTGTCCTCCTTTAAAGACCCTCTTGAAAACTCGAGGACAGACGAGGGGATTACTTTGACGTTTCCAGCCAAGAGGACTTCACGTGTGTGCAATCAAACATCCTCAAAGCCTGTGAAAGCTGATCAACAAATAGCCCATAAAACCGTGAATAATATGCCCATTAGAGTCCCATTTCCTGCCTCTGTTTTCTACTGGCTACTTTGTTTGAACACAGCAGCACTCACACACATTTGTGCATATCTAATTGTCTAATAACAGGGCCCCGGGGACATTCATGCTCAGAAATAGACCTGTGGCACAGAGACCTTCCCCCGCATGCCAAGCAGAGAGTGTGTGAGGCATCCACTCCTTCCTCCAACCAAAGCAGTGAGGAAGAGGAGAAACTGGCGAACACGAGGGGGGAATATAGGCAAAGTGTGACGATTTAACGTGTAATGAGAACAAGGTGGAGGCCGTCATTCGATGTGTCTGTGTAAATCATCAAATATCCATTTTCATATGAAAGCATGTTGATGAACTAAAATGAGACAAACGTTAATCTAAATATTTACTTCAGCTCAAATATCGTGTTATAGAGTTTGCTGGGAGAGAAAAGAGAAACGTGACTTTGGATTTTCACTGTTTTATTTTGTTCTAATCTTTGAAGAGTGCAGTCCAAAAATTCACAACATTAAGTGTTTATGTTTCTGATGTAAAATAAAAATGAAAAATAAACTAAAGTTCTCACATGGGGACACAATGAGGAAACATTGAAGTTTAGGATGAAACTAAAAAAGCAAGCAGAGGTAAAAACGTGTTATTTTAATTATTATATTTGATGTCTGAAACGGCTCTAAAGGTGTCAGACCAGATGATGAAGCTGCTGTTTAAAGTTTTCCTTAAAGTGACAGACTTGGATATAAACGACAAAATCAAAAGACATACATATATTTAGACAAATTTAAATATAAAAGTTTATAAATGCTTGTTTTTAGTATCATCTTTAACTTCAATGTTTTTTGCAGCCAGTTAAAACTTCCTCATAGTGGCCCAGTGTGAGAACTCGAGTTTATTTTTCATTTTTATTTTACGTCAGAAACATTAACACTTAATTTTGTGAATATTTACAGCAAAGAAATTAAAATTACATTATTTTAAACCTTCTTTTTCTTTTACTTCTTTTAGTTTACAAGTTTAGTTTCTATTCATGAAATTAAAAGATGGAAAGTGAAGTCTGAAATTCTTTTAAAAAAGGAGGAAATCAGGAAGAGGAGAAGAATCAGAGGTCTGCCTGTACACTTACATATGATATAAACGAAAATAAACTTTACACTGGTCTGTTTAAAAAAGGGGGTCGCTGTGGTTTGATGATTGATCAGTTAATATGATCAGTTACTATGATTAAAATATGATTGAATAGCAGAGCGGGCTTTATTTAAACCGTTTCACTTCCCTCCTTTAGAAACAAGTAGACGAAGAAATAAAGAACAAAAATATCAGCCGTGTGCCGTCAGGTAAAGAAATAAACATTAATTTGATTTACCTAAAAACTGTGAGCTGGTGTAAATTTATGTCTTTTAAATGCAGATTTATCTTGACATATTAATCAAACGTTTACTTTTTTAATGAGACACAAGAAAGACAAAGAATTATCGAGAGGATGTTTTCGTCCACTTGGAAATCAATTTTTAGAAATTTCAAACAAAGTGCAAAGACACAGATTTTCCGAGACAAATCTGTCCGTGTGAGGTTAGTCATGTGGCTCCAAATGTATTACCGATGAGGTCGGTCGAGCCCGTGCCCAGGTTTTCTCCACGGATGGTGACTTTGGTCCATGCCGCGCCCTCTTTGGGCGAGATGCCCGTGACCAGTGGGGGCTGACGGGAACGAGACATGGTGGCCTGAGGCAGACAGGAACTCTGGGTCAATCAGCACCTGGACCTGGAAAAGAGGCAGAGTGGAGGGGTGGGGGGGGGCAGACACAGGAGGGCATGGTGAGTAAGACTGGACTTGAAAAAAAACCACAGTCCAGTTTACACATCAGAACAACATCCAAAAAATTCAACCTCAGGTGCTAAAATGATCAAAGTGTGAACAACGGCAGATTTAAAGAGGCTGCAGAACATGTGAAGAGTCTCCTATTTTAATCACTTTGATAGATATTATTATAATGTGATTATTTTGTTTCATAAAATACAATAAAACAAAGACAATACACCTTTGTGTGCTTTTGCAGTTTCCATTTTGTGAATTTGACAACAGTCCAGTCAGTGTGAGAGCAGAAAAAAAGGGTTTTCATTTTAAGTCAATTTTCTCAAATTATTAAAACATGTAATATCTTCTGACAATATCAAATAAGCTACTATCTGCTTAAAGAGCATTTTATAATGGTTTCACTAAATCCCTCGCCACACTAGGGTCATCCACAGTTAACAGTTCCCACCTGCTTTTAGGGTTTAAGAAATAATCTTTTCCTCAACATGGAGCCATAACTGGTGAAACCAAAACCTTTTTACAAAAACAAATATGGTAAATTATTTTCTAAAGTTCAGCGACCGCTTGTCTCTCTCTCTCCCTCTTTTTTTTTTAAGCGGCAGATATTCAGGTTTTTAAAAACTGACCTTGGACTCCAAAATACAGGCCGCAATTGGCTGGCGGCTAGCGTTAATTTCCCACCCTGTAGGTCTCCAAACAATGTATGCATTGCAGCAGTTATCTCTGAGATAATAGGAAAAATAGAGAGGGGAGCCAAGAATGAAGGAGCAGACAGAGAGCAGGGAGGGAAGGAAGAATGTAAACCTCACAGCGAAGGATAAATAAACCTGGCCTCTCCAATCATTCCACATAAGCCCACACAATGCAGTACAGATTATGGTACCAACGAAGGAGCACCCATGCAAATCAGTTCATGTTGGGGCTGAGCAAAGGAAGACGGGGAATGAGTCCAAATGCAAAAATGAAAGGATGTATTTCAGCAGCACAGATGTCTGCTAATAAATTACTGCCAGGTCTCCTAAAGGCTGACCAATCCAGACTCTGAAGCAGCTTCAGCGGGGCTTCCGCCCTTTTCTCCGCAGCCAAAACACGCTCTCCACAAACAATGCAGGAGTTCACACGGACCGGACCTGAGACCAGTTCACGGTGGCCACCCTTAGCACAGTTATTAGACGGCCAAATATTAGATGTAGGTGTAGAAGTGGGGTGGAGAGGGCTTCCAAGGGCCAACGGGAGCGACAGCATCAGGGGAAATCAAACCTGACAGAGCACTTTATTGATTAGTCGACTTGTTAAAGAGACTTTTCCTGAGGAGGAAAACCCTGCAGCAACAGCAAGAGTCCAACTCCATGAAGTGTCTAATCATTTAATTAGTAATTAAGCTGTTTTTAATAACTAATATGACAGAGTTGTCAGTGGAACAGCAAAAAAGTACAAAATTTAAATCCATATTTCACAGAGAGAAGTCTTAAAGTTTGATGAATGTGGTCCGCAGGATTTCACCTAAACACACTCAGAGTAACAAAGACCCTTAAAGACCCAGAGAAAAATTAATAAAATTAGGAAACAAACAGTGTTTGACTTTTTCATGTTGTTATAAAGCTTTGACAATAGTTCACTCTTTCACCTCTAAAGTGCAACCAGGGTAAAAAAAAAATCTCTTACATTCATTTTTCTAAATTCAGAGTTTTTATGTAGTTTTTCCTGATTCTGTGTTTTCACCCTGTTCTTATCCTACTTTATAAAGAGCCAAATTTTAAATCACCACTTAATAATTACTGAGATAAATGTAATAACTTTACTCAATTTTGGATAAATTTACTCCTATTTTCTTTAAAATGGTGATCAGACGGTTAACTCAATTATATCTCGTGCTGCAGTTTTTCCCTATAATGTCAAATCTCATCTTAAATTTGTGGTCAAATTATACTCAGAAAACATTTTAACAGTGACTTCAAGGTTTTTAAAAGTGATTCAAGTTTAAATGTTGAACAATTCTATTATTTCTTCTTTTACAGTTTGCAGTTTTGGATTCTGTTTTAGGGATCAAATAAATAAACAAGCAAGTCATCACTCCATTATGAATATTGTCATATTTAGTGGCTAAACTAATCCACAAGACTGCGCTTTGACAGAACTAGGTATTTAGAAATAAAGGCAATAATAAATAAACAATAAATGTGACAGGACGGCGGTAAATGCAAAACAAACTTTTGTAAATAAAAGTAAACCCTCTAACTCAAGTGCACCATCACACTTCAGGGTGTGTGATTTTATAAATAACAGTAATTTAATATATTATAATATCTCTTAAAAATGTGCAAAAATCAAAAACATGATATTGTATATATGTCTTTTTAAATCTTTGATAGTTAATGTAATATTGATGTTATTTTTAGGTCTTATTTATCAGCTGAGAGCAGGTATGTTGAAGTAAACATGAAGTAAAAATACTAAAATTATTATTCTATTGTTGTTTAATTTAATTCAGTTAACCAGTGAAGCTTTAATTTTTCTTTATATTCAGTTTGGTGAATTTTTAGCAGATGGTGGATGAAGTGAAATTCTGCTCTGTCTGCAGAGTCCCATCGTTGGAGGAACACCTGTCTTTTAATCCAGCAATGAAATGTAACATCACTGTTTGTATATTTGTGTGGCATGCAAATTATTAAAACAACCTTACATATTATATATCCCACACCCCCTGAACACACATCTTTGAATAGTCATGTGGAGTTTTAATCTGCATCACTGCATCAGGATGATTATTATTAAACACTCTCCTAAGGAACAGCTGTTCAATCTGGTGTAATGCATCTGTTCTGCAATGTTATATAGTTTGTTGATGCATATAATATAAACGCTATTTTGATTGCATGACACTTTTGCACTGAGAGGTATAATGGGGTCCAATCAGCAGAACATTTCAGGATCCTGAAACCATCTTCCTGCAGCAGGGTCCCCCCTCCGTCACCCCGACATCGTGGAGTTAACGAGAACCTCCAGCAGGATTTACCTCATGTTGTTACTGCTGCCCTATACTTGTCAGAGGAAATGGAGGGGCTATGAATCTGACATGCAGAAGATAAGAGGTTAACAGGCCTAAAACAAGAGCTCGGTATATCCTTCATCAATCCCATATGTTTAGAGTGGGAGGGCGAAGGGGGCAGAGAGCTGGGATCTTTATTTTCTGCAATTCTGATTCCTCTTCCAGGAGTGTTTCGAACTTACCCCCCTCCTCCCCTCCTCTCCCTTCGTCTTGGAAATACACGTGCACAAACACACAGATAGCCTGCCCACACACACACACACTTATGCACACATATATACACGCTGGGCAGAATGACAGCTCAGCTAGGTTGCGTGCGAGGGGCCCGAGCTGGAGTTGTGTGGTCTGTGTGTATGCGAGTATGTGGAAGGATCTGCGGAGAGGTCTGGGCAGTGTGTGTGTGTGTATATATGTGTGTATGTGTGTGTGTGTGTGTGTGTGTGTGTGTGTGGTCTGGGTGTGTGGTCTCTGGCGCGGGCCTGGGGAGAGCCTGCTGACGGCTGGGATGAGAAAAGAGCCGCTGTGTTTACTTTACTCTGGGGGCTGTGCATGGACACGGGAACACTGCCCAGACCCCTCTCTGTAACACCAGCGCGCACACACACACACACACACACACACACACACACACACACACACACACACACACACACACACACACATGCGGCAAGTCACGCAGAAACGAAGGGGGTACTCTTGCACAAGTCTCATGTCACACACCATCACAAATACGCTGTAAACCAGGTAATAGAAACTATAACCCTATACAGACTAAGTGAATGATTTTTTCCTTAAAGTAGCATGAAGAGGAAAACAAAAGAAGATGTCGCTGAAGCTCCGACTGGAAACTTCTGAGCGAGGTATTCAAGCTCTTCACCTGCAGGGGGCGTCAGAGGACCCCTCAATAACATTTAACCCCACTTTCCTCCAACATGTGTCAAGTCATGTCATACAGTAGAGCAGAAATTTAATCAATGACAACACACAACAGGATTTAGACCCTTTTCTCGCTTGATTCCTCTCCAAACGTGATGCCGTCGGCCCCCCGGCCCCCCGTCCCCAGCCTCTCTCTGCGGTGCAGGGCTAAAAAGGCAGGTTTGTTTTCCTTGGAGGCTGACTAACAAACAGCAGGTTTGGCTCTGATCTGTGTGGTAGCTATGAGGAAGTCTGAGGCTCTGGATCTTCTTCCAGCCCGGCTAATAAGTGGCAACCCCCTTCCTTGGCTCTGCGCTGGAGTACGTGGACACAAAGGAAAGACTTTTCATTAAAACTCTAAACAAATCTTTTTGCCACATGAAACCATTTCATTTCCACATGCCGCGGTGTGCCCCAAATATGCTGGGCTCAACGGTCTGGGCTCAACGGATTTCTTCTGCACTAAAAAGACAGACAGCCTTCAGACCCTCTGAGTGACTCGTTTCATGTCAACACCGAGACATTTTTATTTTTAATCAATATCTATACGCTCTCCTCTGTGGCTAAAGGAAACACATTTTTAATCATCTATATAACACTTCACTTTTTTTTTTTTGCACCTGCAGGTTACAGCTCTGAAAATAAAGGCAGTGTGTCATTTCATCATTTTTCATAATCTTGATTGTGGCAAAACAAATATTGAGATTTTATTGTGTCTAAAAATTAAACAGCAAATACTCCTGAGGTTTAATACAACAGGCCAAATTTAACACTGTATAAAAGGGCAGAAGTATGATATTAGATTTTTGATATTTTCAAACTCAAATATTACTTTATGTACACTTTTTTTATTCACTGCAAAGGATGTTTTCCTATTATTCAGATAATAAAAGTCGATTTAATTTTAAAAACAGACATAAAACTGCATTAAAAATCATTTTTCCATTGTTAATTTACCCTTTTTTAAAATACAGACATGAAGCAATGTGTCAATAAATTACTTCCATACAGCTTGTATGTAATGTGTTCTACTTAGATAAGCAGTTTTTGCACGTACATGTTTTATTTTCTGCTACTAGTTACATCAGTTGATAATAACCACCTGCAATGTTCATATATCTCCTGATACGAATGAAAAGCTTTTTAGCTGTTATCTACTGTTACCTATTACATCCCAAAAACATGATGCATAAAAGCAATTGCCTCTTTTATGAAATATATCAAACTAGGAAAAAATACAAGTAATAATAAAAAAAATGTAATTTATCACAAATTCTTTTGCTTTTCAGAAAACCGATAACTCAAATAGTTTATTGAAGTGTTTTGATTGTTCTGATAATTCGTTATTAGCATAAATTCTACTTGCAGAAGCTTTCTTTGGGTATCTACAATTATCTTGTAGTGAAAACGGATTATTTGCAAACATAATTATTGATTAACGCCTTTTAAAATGATCAGATTCTCAGTGTAATGATTGTAAACGATGTATTTTGGTATTTTTTAATGGGCACCATGTTATTTATTCTTATTTAATTTGCTTCATACTGAAAAATATTTGATGATGAATCTAATCCATTCTGAGTAAAATGTTTGTCAAAGTCCTTCAGGTACTTCCTTGGTCATTGTTACAGTTAAAGTGTAATTTCTTTAAGGGTTATTACGATATTTTCATGAATTTGAATTATTTTGACCATCTGAGGCAAACACTTCCTGCTATCACTGTCACCTGAGGCTTTAAACTCTTAAATATAAATCAAAAAGAATTATTAAATGGATAAGAGATTATAGCATTTACAAAGTAGAGATTTAAAATGATCCTTTAATTGTTTGGCTAAAATTAAGAGGGCATTGTTAAACTGTACACCTTACTCTCTTTTCACTCTCTGTCTTCTCATCGATGAGAGAAATGTCCCCTGATAAGAGATCACACACACCATGTGTTACAGAGTCTCTGCATCACAACAGTCATGAAAATATTGACCTGAACATTGACCTTACCACGCACACACACACGGCTATACACAGCGTCCCATGAAAGCTGCGTTCATCATACCTTTAGATCTTGAAGGTGACTCGCATATGGCAGTGATTGGCGGGAGTGTGTGTGAGTGCTAAGGTGTGTGTAAAAGAGACTGTAATGGGTTTTTGGGGGGGGCACAAAGGGACCCATTTAGACAGATCATCACCCTCACCCCCCCCTCCGCCTCCCATCACAGCAGCTTACCCGCTATCCCCTCATCCTACCCCCCACACTAACACCATTTCACTCCCTGCTCCCCAACATTACACAAACATCAGATTCCTTCAAAGACCCCCCCCCTTGACTCGTCTGAATGGACAGAGTGAGCCAAACATCGCCCAGCCTGAGATGAGTGCTCTGATCACACAGGCCGAGTGAAGCTCGGAACAATCTCCCACAGTGTTCGCTCGCACCCGGCCCACCGCACGCCTCTAAGATGTGGAGAGGCCAAACGAGCTGATAGTCAGAAAATTGACCATAATGTGAGTCAAGGGTATCAAATTTCAGACAAATAGATCATAAAGAACAAGAAGAGAGCAGGTTCTGTTTGGAAACAGATGCAGCAGCGCGACCGCTGTCCCGTCACTGCGCTCTCCCACAATGACTCAGCTTCTCCTGTGTGAGCGTTTCGTGACAGAGAAAGAGGACAGAGTGATCGGATCATGTGTGCCTCTGGTTCACTATCCGACCATCATGATGATGTCTGCCCACAGGCTTTGTTATCTTTAGGGGCTGTCTGTTTGTTTGTTTGTCAGTCTCAAGTGCTTTTCAGAGTTAGCTTTAACGAAGTCAAGTCCCCAATTTCCCATATAAAAATCCTGAAACAATAAACAGAAATATGAAGTATAGGCCTGAAAACGCAGGAAGATGTTTTCAGAGGATTAAGAGACTGGAGACAGGCGGCTTTGCCCAGTGACACGGCCAAACGGAGAGATTTGAACCTTCAGGAGCCACTGCTTTACATAAAACACACACCACCAGCGTGAGAACCATCCTCACAGTCCCAGCAGCATCCACTACATCAACACACAATCATCATTTCAGACAACAAACCAGACAACTTTTAGGATGTAAACGATATTAAAGTTAGGTGAACAAAGATGAACTCTACAAGATATTTCACTGCCATGTTGACAGCTGATAGTTCAGAGTCTCAAAAGAACTAATCATACAGAATATAAAGAAGGAGCAAACATCACGAACAGACTTTTCAAACAACTTTACAAGTCTCTGAATACACACATATCTGTTTTAAAACGCTTATAGTAGAGCTGTGTATTTAACGGTATTTGTTTGTTCAAGTCCAGACCACAACTAAAAGAAATTAAAACATACAAACTTTATGCAATAATTATGTAAATCTGGTCCTTAAAATGTCAGAAAATAGCAGCGATGGCTGTCATGGATAATACAGCCTTAAGTCCAACAAAAATGAATGGTTTGTGAATCATTTAAAGTTCCTGTTTAATTGAAACTAAAGCAAAAACGTACTGTTAATGCTTGTTTCATGTTATACCAGAAACACGTAATAAATGCAGAGTTAAGTTTGGTTGTCTTGCTGAAATATAAAGAGTCTTCTCTGAAAAATTCCTCATCTGGACGGCAGCATAAGTAACTCTAAACCTGTAGATACTGTTCAGCATTAAAGGTGTCCTCCTAGATGTTACAGCCACCTATGCCATGAGGACCGATGCATCCCCATACTGTCATAGATGCTGGCCTCACTTCTTCAGAGTGGAGGATGCAGCATCTATCAATGTTTTCCAGAGTATATGTCAAGTTTTGGTTCACCAGTTTTTACCCCAGCCCATCTACAAACAGTTACCTTTATTTCTAGATCCTGTCTATGTATGATTTCATCTTTTCATGGTGCAGTTTTAACCTCTATTTGTGAATAAATGCAGCTCATAACTGTGTTCACTGTTTTAGTTTTTTTAGAGTAACTTTAAGCTCATGCAGGGCTCATACAGCACCTCAGATAGCAGCAAACATCTTCTTATCTTTATTCCTGAGAGACTTTCTGGTGACCCTTTTATACTCAAGTAACTAACCTGCTGAAGATAGTCAGGCGATGTTTGTACAACTTTTTCAGGGTTTTATTGTGCTTCTCCCAACTTGTTGGCATCAAATTTAAGATGTAAATCTATTCTAACTTTAAATTTCTATGTCTGATTTGTTGTTCTTTAACTATTTTCAATTAAATAAAGGATGTAGATGATTCCTAAAATTATCATTATTGACATTTTACTCTTTTCCAACTCTTCTTCTGTTTGACCAACACTGTAAAAACTCTTAATAACACAGACTGATAAAGCAGATATTACTGTTTCAAAAGTTTAAATGTGTTTGCTTTCAGTTTTCAATTGATAATAATATTTAGATGAACAGCGCAGCCCTAAATACAGACTATCTGTGGTCAATAATATCTGTATTAACTGTTATAAGTCAGAATCTGAATACATTTAACATTTCAAACCCAGACTTTGTTACTATTAAGTGTGTCTCCAACTACAGCTGCACAACTTTCCCAGCCCAGAACTCCCCGTCTGTCTGTCCCTGTGTGTGTCCAGGTCTGACTGGGTCACAGTAACCATACTGTGAAAACCAGTGGCCCAGCAAGCCTGTCAGCAGAGAGGGGGCTACCAGGTGAGGTTGACTGCAGAGAGAGGACAGGGGTGAGAGAGAAGCGCCGCTTTAACAAACAAGGTTCGGACTGACCCCCGACGCTCTGCTCACCCCGAGGTCTAATGAGCGGCGGCACTGAGGAGAGCCTCAAAAAAACACAACCCACCACATTCCACCAAAACAAACAAGCAAGGCCACCCAAATTTTTCAATTAGAGCCCGAGGAGGGGGGCAGGAAATGGATCAGTGTAGCCTTTCCCCCACTATCCCCCAGCCAGGCGGTGCTGACTGTGTGGAAGAGAAGGAGATCCACAGAGCTCTGCGGGCTCTCACTGAAAGGTTGAGGACTTTCTGCCACGAATGTCGACACAAATGATGGAGGAGCTCAATGACAAGTCATTCCTGCGACACGGCGCCTGCCGGCAATCGACCTGTCAATCAATTACTCTTATTCCCTCCCACATATCATCAATCAGTTGAACAAACACACAGGGTTTGGTACTCATTCTCTTGAGAAAGCCTATTAAGAGAAAGTATGTTATACCAATATTTGACAAAAGTACACAAGAGGAGGGATTACGGGGGCTTAGACTCTGTTCTGTTTGAAAACACGACACTTAATGAGGCTGAGCTGAGAGAAGGCTCCACAACCACGACAAAACCAACTTCAAACCAAATAAGAATTCAACCTAAAAACCGACAAGAAAAAAGAAAATACAAATATGAGCGATTACAACTCAAAATACTTTTTCCCTGCAGTAAAATTTGACTTCCATAAAGAGGCACTTCGAAACCAAACTTAACAATCTGACTAAATCACTTCCATTATAACTCCATGTATGTGCAGAAGGGGTGAACACTGTACCTACTGCAGAACCAGAACCCGTGTCAAATTCAGTCAAAACACAGATCCTGCAAGACGGTCATTACTGGTTTGAAAACATATTTGGTTTTTTGTACATACACACCAAGAACATTCACTGTACCAAATGTCAATAGAGCCACCACAGCAGGAAAAAGGCATGTAGCAGAGTTATCTGTGTCCTACCACAGCCTCTCCATCCCAGTTTAATTCTCTGATAGTCTAATGTTCCTCTTTACTGGAGATTCAGAAGATGTCATGAGACTAAGTTTATGGATGTTATCTTCATCATGTGACAGCTGCCAGTCAGAAGGCAGAAAGGAACAGGAAACAGGGAGGGCTGTGAGTGAGTCGGGTTCCACTTACACTCCAAAGATTGGCACATTATTCCCACACATTACAAGTTTGTATGAGCACACATGGTGTGCACTCACACTAGAGTTATTTCTCTGGGGCAGCATCACTCTAATAACAGAGACTCCAGTCTGCAACACTGTTCATGCACTTGTCTGGTAAACTATGTTGTATCAAGACAGTTGTCCGTGTACTCTTTTTGTTTCTTTTCCCTCCTTTTCTTTGCAAAACAGCACACTCCCTTACTCTCACATGTCCATTACTTGCTCTGGCTTTCTGAATAATAATCCAAACCTGGTTTCACAAAGGATCTTAAATGTAAATGCATATGCCATAATGTCTAAGAGCTGGGTTAAATCTAGTATTTTCTTGCTTGTGAGTTCTTATTTACATGAGCATGTGTGCAACAGCCAAAACAGCTTGAGTGCCATTAATGCAGGATGTATCATTAACAAGTTTGGAACTTCTGAAGTAAAAGGGCAAAAAAATAAAAATAAAAATAACATACAAATCTTTTACACCTACATATCTCATCACAGTTGACATTAAAGTTTACATATTTTAAATGACAGCTTCAATAAAGAGTCTCTGCTTGGAAATAGCTGACAATAACTCATCTCATATCAACATATTAGGGACTCTACAGGAGGGTAAAATTGTACAGATTAAAATCCCTGTGAGCCAAAAATCAGCACACAGGGACAAATTTAATACTGTTGTTATTATTATTATTGTTGTTGATTTTATTATTGTTGTGTTCTTATTATTCTCATTATCGTTAGTATTACCATTATTGTTATTATTTTTGGGTTAAAACGCTTTGGCAATATTGTTGTAACAATCATGCCTTTAAAGCTCATTGAAATTGAAATTTGAAACCGATATCATCTTGTTATAGGCAGATCATGTGAAGCCCCTATGTTGTGGATTTCACTTGCCTTATTATACCAATAAAATGTGGGGGGAGTCTAATACATTTTAGATACCACTTGACTCTATTCCAATCAGAGGGCATCACTAATCAGTGTCAGAGCAGGTGTCACTGTTTGTTTCAGTCTAGGTGAATTGTGTCTCAGAAGTCTGGTGATCTTTTACTCTTTTCTAGAAAAGTTTGATGTCAGTAAGTGAGAGTGCAGCAGAGATTTGCATCTCTATTACAGCTGTCTGACAGTGAGTTTTAACTCAGTTGTCTTGTGTTCAAGATGATTTAGAGAAGAGGGATAAACTGTAGCTGTCTGATATATGCGCAAAGGAGTGGCCATAAATACAACCACTCCTCATAATTGTGGCTCAGATAATTCAAGAATGAACAGATTTCACTTGGAAATGTTTTCTGACACAGACATGAGTTGAAGTTTGCATCCCAGACTCGTTTAAAGATGCAGGTTACAGAAAGTGAGAATGCATGATCCCTTTTCCTTTGCCAACACTGCAATGCACTACAGTTACAGCAAAAAGCAACAGCTTTACAAAGATATACAGCACAGTCTACGAAGCAGTCATCAAAAGATTGCACAACCTAATAAGATCTATTCGCTGAGACTCACACACTGAGAATTGACCTCAAAACAGCATTTTCTACACAGGAAACGCTGCAGAGCCTTTAAAATGACAGACATGTCAACACAGCTCAGTTTATATCAAAGTATCACCGTTAGCTCGGTTTAACATCTGTCAGGTGATTCTATTATCACTGCCACAGTGTCAGAGACACTCGGTTCACAGTAACACACCCGTTTATTATTTTTATAAAACATAAAAACCGATTTGTTTATAAAATGAACGAGAAGCTAACGTTAGCTTAGCCTAGCCTCCGTTAAGATCTGAACGTTTCTACCAAAGCCAGAGGACTAATAAGAGGCTGTTATTCGTTTTTATTAAAGTATTAAAACCGCATTGACTATAAACTATCACAGTCAAAGTCACTTTTCAATTTTAAAGGTAAAATGTCTTGAATAAAAGAGAAACTTACAGCTTACATCGACTGGGCTGCAGAGACCGTTTCCTGTATCACGTGACCACCTCAGGGTCTCCGTGTTGAGCCACAGCCCTTTCAAAATAAAAGACATACAAAGTTTTTTTTTTTTTAAATAAACAATAAAATGATAATAAAATTACATAATATCGAAAAAAATAAAATACAACAAATGGGTAGATCGTAAAAAGTTAAATCCCATGTTGTTTTTTAGTGTGAAATAAAAAGAAAATCTAATAAATAAAGTTAACTACACTAGAACAAAATTAAAGAAAATAATAAAGAAAGTAAGTTTATAAATATACATGTAATCTAACATGATTCACCTAATTATTTGAGTAACTGTGCCTCCTATTATCTGGTTTGGTTTCACAATAGTAGAGAAAATTAATATTTCTGTCAGTAGTAAATTTATTGAGGTCAGTTTGGCAGTACTTATTCTTAACCTTCACATTGTTATAAAAAAATTGCCTGTTTCATTTCATTTACCATATCTTAACACTCATTGGTGAAAGTTCTACCTCATTTGATTGGGTTGTAGTTGGTTTAACTGCAGTATAATGAGACAAAATGAATAAAGATGGTGAATTATTTCATATTAAGAGACCCATTGTTTAAAAATCAGTTAAAATGTATCTACTGTATCTTAAAACTTCTATATCTAGTTTAGTTTTGCATTATACCAACAATCCTTGTACTTATATCTGCCTTTATATGTTAAAGGAATAGCTGTGAGGCATTATTGTGTTTTTAAAGAATCTGATAAACAGTTTGATAGTCACCTGGTCTGCTTATATCGGACTAAAATCAATATCATTACCCTGCCCTCTCCTTTCCTGTTCGACATCCTTGGTGTGAGAATTCTGCAGCCCAGAGGGAGCTTTGCCTCTTTCCTCGTCTCTCTTTTCACGGTGCATCACTGAGGTATTTCCACTTGTTCTGGGAAAGGCGCAGCATCATTAGAAATGCAACAGAGACCACCCAGGCACACAGTACAACACCGATACCATTACATTTATCTCACCAAATTGTGCAGGGCAGAAAGAATTTCGGTGATAAGGCAAGGCCCAGTCCCCGGGGAGACATATTGTCCAATTAGACGGGCTAATCTGATAATTGAGGGATCAAACTGTGACTTGGGAGTTTGCACAGATGCTGATACAACACAGGGGCTGTTTGCCTACATAAACATCAACTTACAGCAATGACGCTGGAAGATTCTGATCGTGGTCTCAGAGGTACTGCCTTTGCCATTGAATGAGAAGATCAGCCACATGTCAAACATACCAGCTGATGACAAATTAATAGATTATCTTGTTAATGAATTTTCTAAGATATCCTGTATGACATCCATAGTTACAGGCCAGTTCCAGTTTGACAATTTACAGCAAAAAAACAAAGCTGCTTCTGGGGCTCTGGGTTTTGGTTGATGGTTTAGATGAAGATATGTTGTTTAAGATTAAGATATAGTGAAACTATCTCTTTAAGAAACAACCTCTCCTACCTGTCCAACAGCAAAAATTGGCAGTGAGTGACACAGAGGATTTTTGTTAACTAGCATCACTTTCACAAGATCATGAAAAAATCAACAACCATAAAGAGTTACCACTTTGTCCACAGGGGGCGCCAAAATCAACACAGACACAAAGTCAAGCAATGGCAATAAATGAAAGGTAACTAGAATCAACACAACACTCCTTTTGACGCCTTTAAGTGACAGAAATAAGATTGGTAATCACTTTCTCTGATGTCATGCCAAAGGTTGAATAATGTTGCAAACCTAAGTTTCAGATTTAAAGCTCCTGAGAGGAGTTTCTAATTGGTCAAGAAACAGACGGGACCTGGTATTAAGCCTTTTTATAACCTTCAAAAGCAAACAAGACCATCAGCCACATGATTCATGATATTTCTATGGTAATCTTTAATGCCCGAAGCCAATGTGAGAGGGTCAGTGTAAGAACCAATGACTGACAGAACTCTAAAGAAACAATGTTCTTACTTTTTCACAACAATCAAACAAACTGAGGAAGATGTTTTAACATTAACAGATAACAGAATAAGAGTTGAGATTAGATTAATGGTCTCATTTAGTCAGAGGGGGCGCCAAAACTGACACAAATTCTTTGCTGGAGCTTAAACGGGGAATCTAAAAATCAATGTCACTTCAGCAGCAGGTGTTAAGGGCTTCAGTTAGTCTTTGTTTGTCTTAAAATACGGTGAGTTATTTGTAACACTCAAGCAAACAAGCGCACCGCCTGCTAATGATCCTCTCGCTGAGCTCACAGCACGTGTTTGCATGTTTTTTTGTTCCTAAATAGCTCCGTCTCTCCGAGCAGGTGTCCCAGGTGTGCACCCAAGGGACACCTCTGGTTCCTTGATCCTTGCTGTGACCCCTGAACCCTCTCTAATCCACATCCCGTAATGGCACATGCTGCGCTGGCACCATTGCTCATCCCTGAACCCTATTGTTCATTGTTTGTCTTCTCCAGTTTTTTCCCATGGGCCCCTGGCCAGTGAGAGGAAAAGGTCACTGTAAATATTGCGCTGAAATCCTCCCTCCCTCCCATGGAGCTCCTGAAGATGGAACAGGCGACCAGTGGGTGAGCACTTCCTTCCTGCGCAGGGCACTTCGACTGTAAGACATCAAACGCGTATGAATCCCTCAATGTCAGAGATCTCTGCAGTGAGATCATGTGCTCGGTGTTGACATTGCAATAACCTGGGCAGGTCTCTGAGAGGCACATCAGATAACGTTATATCTGAAGATACAAGTCGCTGCAGTTTATCTAAAAAAGTGGACTGAACACTTAAAAGACTTCTTGATTTTCCCCTTTTAAATAATTCTAACCCCACATTTACCTCAGCTGCTTTACAGTCGAACGTTCTCTTTAACTGTTAGGTGAGCGAAAAATATGTTACTCATAACATAACATAAACCCAACCCCCGCCTGTATTTTGCATCGCGTAAAACACACAAAATATGGATTCCAAGGGAAATGAAGTGAGGCTCAGGCACCCCTGACCCATGAGTGGCTAATCACTAGCCTGTAGCTACGCTGTTAATATAAGACGAGGAGATTTTAAATAAACCCCTGATATTTGGGTTTGTTTTGCTTCTGAGTGGCGCTCCGTCTCCCGCTGCTCCCCTTTCCCGGAGGAGTCCAGTTCTCCTGGGCTCACATTTTGGGCTCCGGAAATCCAGGCCTGTGCCAGGCTTAGCTTGGAAAAGCATCCAGATGAACACAATGAGAGAGGGAGAGTTAAGGGGAACAGAGAGCCTTTCAGTATGAATGCTGACACGTTGCTGGACACACATTGGCTGGATAATATGAACATGGAGGGAGAAAAGGAATTATTTTACAGCAAGGTGTTGAAAAATAATCTGATTATATCTCTCGCTTGACCTTAAAAGACCAGAGTGTGGGATTTAAGGGGATCAATCTGCAGACAGTCATAAATTCCAGTTATATTATGTTTTTGTTGGTGTAGAAACACCTGAAAATGAGAGGAGTTGTGTTTTTTCACTTTAGAGTAAGCTCTTAATGTCCACTAAAGGAGTCTGCCCTTTTTGGAGCTGCCCTGTTGCATCACTTTGTTTCTACAGTAGCCTGGAGTGGACAAATCAAGCTCCCCAGGTTCCTCTCTTAACCAAAATAAAACATGAACGTGGTCATTGTGACGTCAACTATTGATTTCTGGAGAGATGTTTTGAGGCCCAACGATGGTGGGTGCAATTTTGACAACGTAATCTCAGCCTAATATCCAATCCAGCCAAAGAAGCAGGATTTTAGTCTCTTTGTAAACAGCCAATAAATAAATGAGCTGCATACGAACCATACCAACCATACCAAATGGCCGTTTTAACATGTGACCTAATGGGGCGTCCAGGGCTCAAGCAGCCAGCCTTATGGGGCGCTCACACCAAGTGCGAGTAAATTCATCTACTTGCTTAATTCGCTCAAATCTAGACGTGTGAATGAATAGTATTTATTCGTTTCATTCGTGCGTCAACAGTCATTTTAACGGTAATCCCTGCCAATTCATCATTCATTCATGGAACCAAGTGATAAACTTTGTACAAAGTTTTTGTACAATTTACCAGGTAATCTGACCTCCTCACTCACTTGCCTCCAGGTGAGCTCCTTTTTTTTCCGGTTTCGGTAATTTAAAGAAAAGATATCGTGTAATTCTGGGCACCCACACACCGACACCGTCAGTTTGTCCTTCATTTTAGATACCAGCGAACAACCGTCCATTTTCACACATCACCTGGCAACCTTCGTGCTGATTGGATATCGCAATGCGAATATCCGCTCAAGTTGAGACATTTTCATTCGCGTCATTTGTGCTGCCTGAGTAGTAGGAGCGTCTAATCGTGTCTTTACATTGACTTAACATGTAATTCAATCATGCGAATAATTTTACCCGTGCTTGGTGTGTGGAGACAGTTAAGTGGACACTTCAGGAAGTGCAGTTTTCTCCGTCACCCTAGATGGCAGCTTGGTTCTTCTTCACATTAAACTGGAATTGTCAGATCAGGTCATGATGATATTCAACTCTCTGGTCAAAGTCCTGACTAAAACTGCGAAGATGCTAACAGCCATGGGACACAGGGGATGTTCAAAAGTGATTCATCTCTGGTTGTTTGAAGACAAATTTTTAATCAAGAATAATTGATTTGTCACAAGTTCAGAAAATACACAGAAAACTGTCAAAAATTTCCACAATATATCAAGCACAGTTAAACATGGTACCACAGTCTTCCGGTAAATAATATAAACAAATACGTTTGTCAAGTGTGGCTAACATTAGCAGAGCTAGAACTTCAAGCTATCGATCTCTCTGGTTAAGAGGTTTTATGTCAGTTTGATCGCTCACACCCTTCTTTCAACTTTATCTGCATTTTCTAGATCAAATATTGTCAAACGAAGCCGTGCTAGGAGATGCCGTCTGTCAGCTGTGCCAGTTTGGATCAGGGTAGTAGAGCATTATCACAACATAACATTTCTACAGACCTGACATGTGATTGTTAGCTGCGTGCAGCTTAAACACAACATGTGATAGTCATTTG